TTGTCCTCGAACGGAGCTTCCCATTGTCCTCGAACGGAGCTTCCCATTGTCCTCGAACGAAGCTACCCTTTGTCCTCGAACAGAGAGTGTCCCATTGTCCTCGAACAGAGAGTCCCTTTGTCCTCGAACAAAGAGTCCCTTTGCCTTGGTGGGGTCCGGAAGAAGAAGAATACCACTGATCTGAGCGGCTGCATCAATTTTCAACGAATATTTAACTTTTAGTCTAACATTTAAGAAGCTGAGAATACTAATAATGAAGGGATGTCGCTCTGTTGTGATGACGGGACATCTCCATCATTGTTCTTGCCTTATGGGTTTCGGACCAGGGGTCCACCAGCACTTTCCCAATCCTGTCTCGTCACGGGATCCCGCCGCGAGATACCGGTAGTAGCGGTTGTGATCAGACTTGGGACGGCCACTTCTGTTTCGAAACTCCCTCCCCCCCCTTTTCATATTGATTCCGGATCATGTTGCTGCCTCGTGCATCATTCGAAAGGCTTACCTTTTTCTTCTCTGAAGTAGCAAGTATTGGTATATTTAAACTGCTATCCTACTCCTTATAAATACACTTCCACAACACTGCAACTCTGATGATACCACGACTCCAACACCCGATTATTAACATTGAAAGAAGCGAGCATTAATATAAATCGAGTCCGAAAACTGTAAGATGTCGCAGAGGGGTGGCAAAGATCTCACTTCCGCTCGCACGGACGCCGCCAGCAGTAGTACCTCACAAGAGTCGACATGGAGATGGACATCTCTGGTGCGGTAGAGCTCTACAAGGCGCTGGCAGAGATTCCGACCGTGTCGTCTGCCGAAATAGTCGCCGACGATGAGGATGAGAAAAGTAAGAGTGCGTATTGCTTGCGTCCTCGCTTCTGTCTCGGGACGATGCGCTGACTTCAGGGATGCTACCTCTCCAGCCGTCAGCCTCGTCTTGTCGCAGCGCTCCCATTCGACACTCTCTCGCTATACAGCCCGTCAGCAGCTTCTCCTCTACTTACCCTCTCCTGCCTCGGGCCGCAGCATAGACGATCATGGACGTGTCGACGAATCTGGCGAAGGCGTACAAGTGCGCGCCGTCCCCCCGGGCCCCTCCGTGCAGGCTGGCGACGACACGATCAAGGCCATCTTTTCGGCATTTATCCCTAGCCTCAAACAGACCCGGACGGCTTTGCTTCGCGAAGACCAAGGCGACAAGGACAAGGGAACAAAGCGGCGGAGCGTCGAGCTGTGGCACCGCGAGACGAAGCTGAGCGCGATCGACGTGACCGAAATCCATGCCGCCTTTATCGTCGATGGTTGGTCCTGCCTGCTATCGCTGCCACGCGGTCGTATGCTGATCAGTGAGGTATCGTCACAGACACATTTGGTTCTTTGTCCCTCTGCCCCGTCACTGGGCAGCGAATTCTCTACGCAGCCGAGGCAAGGGCGCCAGAAAAGAGAAAGAAGATGGACAACCAAGAAAACAGTCATGAAGAGCCCGGCTTGGATGGCCTCGAAGCCTTTGAATACCGACCCGGTCTAGGCGAGAAGATGGGAGGAAGGACCCGGCCGACGGTCTGGATGGCCACATTTCCATCGAATACGATGAGAGGGGGCGGCAGCAGCAGCAAGGCAGGTCATGTTGCTCGCCTCGCCGTCGACGGAGATGAGCTGAAGGCTGCCGGCCAAGACATTAGGGACCCTCTGCTGGGCCAGGCAGTATTTGATGCCAAGGGTGAGAGCATCATTACCACGGCCTACTCGCTCCTGGCGGACGGGCGCAGGTTGGGCATCATCTACTGCACCAACCGTCCTGCGGCCATTCTGCGCGCATACCTGGATAATTCAAGAGACGATGAGAATCGGCCGACAAACAAACACACTTGTATTGCCGTTGGCAAGTGGACTCGTCTCTCGGCTGAGGGCGTCAGCGCGCGCTCCCCTCGCATTTTTGCCAATGCCAATTCGCCTTCGACTGCCATCGTTTGGCTTCAAAATCAGGAAGCGGGTGCCCACAACGACTGCGCAGCCCTGGCCTCGTACGACGACGACGGCAAAGACGACAATTGCCGCGAGATACGCATGCAGATCCCAATTCAAAGTCGTCCGCCCGATAACGGCAGCGGCTGGCCGGGCCTGTACCTCGACCAGCTACCGCGCACTTGCCAAGTCGATGGAGGTCTCGTCACCTCAACCATCTGGGGTTGCCGCAAGACGATCATCTTAAGACGCCTCGCACCTGCTTCTGCATTTTCATCTTCGGCACATAGAGACGCCGAAGAACCCGTTCAGGATCTGACCCCACCCTCGGCGAGCGACGAGCAGCCCTGGTCATACACTGTCCTGTGCACTGACGGAAAGCACCTCATCGTTGCCGTCCGCTCCAGCCCGCTCAGACCCCAGCAGCTGCTCGTGGGTCAGCTATTCACTCCCACCAATGGGCCGAACCTTGTCCCAGCAAAGGTTTCTTGGACCATGGCGAGAGACCTCGGGGGGCCGTATCAGCATAAAAACGGTGAGACCACCTCAGATGGCAAGCTCCACAGGCGTGCTGACAGACGCATTTTTGTATGTCACATGGAAAGGTCTCGATGTGCTCTCGAGCCTCGAAGCTAGTGTCGTGGAGCAGAGGCCGTCAACGGATGAAAGCGAGATAGCCGGAAGACCAGACAACGATAGCCACGTTGGAGTCCAGTCTATTGTTCTGCGCCCCTCGTCGCTAGCGAACAGAGAGAGGGCCCCAGCTGGCATTTTGGTGCGTCTCCAGTATCGCGGCGGTCCCAGCGACTCTGCATGCATGCATTGAATTTGGCTAATGTGGGTCCCTTTGCCCACCTCCTGCTTTCCACCACGCTATCTCCTTCTCCTTCTCTTCATGACGCGGCTACAGTTCCCACATGGCGGACCGCATGGAGGCACCACCACCGACTGGAACCCTGCGTTGGCTGCACTAGCCGCCTGCGACTGTGAGTTGCCCTTCTTTGCCCTATTCCCTTTCGGGGTCTCACCCAGGGACCCGCACGCACCTAATTAACTGCTCCCCGCCGTCGCACTTTGCCGCAGATTCGATTGTCTTGCCAAACTTTCGAGGCTCGCTTGGGAGGGGCCAGGACTTTGCACATGCCCTACTGGGCAGGTGCGGCGATATCGATGTCAAGGACTGCCTCGGTGCCCTGAAGCAACACCTTGTCGAGCCAGGTCTCGTCGATTCGAGCAGGCTCATCGTCATGGGAGGCTCTCACGGCGGCTTCCTCTCGGCTCATCTCATCGGTCAGCATCCGGACGTTTTCAAAGCAGCTGTGATGAGAAATCCCGTCGTCAGCATCGGCACAATGGAGCCCTCGACGGACATTCCCGACTGGTGAGTCTCAGCAGGTCCAAAACCCATGGCCTCAGGGCTTTGATCGCCGGCCTCTTTTGCACCGCTCTCTTGCAACAAAAGCATCCTGACCTTATGCTAACCACGAAGTATTCTCCCTCCGCCCCCTTCTTCCCCTCTTTGCTTCCTCGTGCTCAGGTGCTACTCAGAACTTGGCTTGGATTTCCGCTTCGAGCATCCACCCAGCTTTCTTCGACGCTATGGACCCAATCTAGAGTCTGCGTACGAAGTGCTTCAGTCCAAGTCGCCAATTCAGCACGTTGACCGCGTCAAAGCGGCCGTGCTCTTGCTCGTCGGTCTTGACGACCAGCGCGTGCCACCGACACAGAGCAAGCTCTACTATCACGCCCTCATCGGCCGACGTCGAGCGACGCGGGCCGAGCACTCTGATGGGCCAGCCGTCAGGATGCTGTGCTTTGATGGTGCCGATCACGCCTTGGATACAGTTGAGGCCGAGGTCATTGGCTGGGAGGCCTCTCTCAGGTGGATAGATCGCCACACCTAGTCGCAAGTGAAGCGCAACGTACGTGAACGCGAAATCATAATGATTCGATGATGAACAGAAGAAGGCGAAAAGACGAGAGATAGACCCAGAATGAGAATCGCAAAGGAAAATTGTAAAAGAATGACCGATTTGAAGCGAAAGGAGGAGATGATTTCAATCAAGAACACCATCACCAGGATGACGAGTCTTGTTGAAGAGCGAGGGGAGTGTTATGTCCAATTGCACTCAATCCCTGGCCGAGAAGCGCTCGACAAAAACCTCGACACGAGACGACATCGACGTCGACGACGGGATTCTCTCCACGCCAGTACACAAAGTCTCTCCGCGGTGAGTCGCAGTCCAGTTGTAGTCGTTGCTGTTGTATCGTTGAAAAGCAGTCATGTTCTGCGGTGACGTCGGGTCAATAGTCGATGACGGTCTCTGGGGTAGCGTATCTGGATTTTTTAAGTCTTCCCGCAGCTCGATGTCGTCCTGCGCCGCAAATGTGGAAGAGTTGACGATGGGAGCCTCGCGAATGTCCGGTAGGACATGCCTTCCTCCACAGACGTCGGTGGTGAGCTTTCTCTATGCTGTCCCCAGAAAGCGGTTGGGCATTAATGTTGCCGCATGATAAACACGTTTCAGCTGCTAGGAAAGCTGTACATGAGAGACCAAAGAAGGCGGGCAGCCAAAGAAGTTCGCGTGGAAAGGGTTCCTGGACAGCCCTTTGGCCATGAGACCACCATGCGACTTACCGGCTGCCCGCCTCTTCAATAGAAAGCCAAAGAGGACGATGAAAAAAAAGAGGGATCCCACATTCTCCGATGCCAAGTTAATGTCTGAGTTCGTCAGCTTGTACAATACTGTACAGAACAGAACAGAAAGAAGGTGCGCGGCGCGTTTTTGGTGGACTTCTATCTGTCTTGCTCCAAACGGCCTAGCTTGTGCAAAATGGCCTCCAAAATGTACCGGCGCAACAAGATCACCTCTCTGCATGTGCTACATAAGTCAGCGGTTCTGTCAGTCATCTCACTACTGCTGACGATGCCGAAGGAGATCGTTAAGATTCGTTCGATCTTCAATTTGATGCTTTTTCGCGTTCGGATCGCGCGGCCGGTCTGTCGTTTCACCATAGATTGACCGACATTGCCGAGGTACACTTTTCAAGTCTTCTGAGATCACCATACTTCGCACCGCACGCGTATTAGGAAGAACACGTATCGATAACGACCGGCGAGAGCTTCATGGTGAGTGTAAGTGTAGGGTGTGACAGCCAGAAGTGGTTTCTAGGACTTGAATAGAGCTATGGAAATTAAAGTAGTAAACTCGTCGCGTTTTGAACATATTTAAAGTCGAGCATTCTTTCTCGTTTTACTCACACCACAACCAAGCTAGAGACCTGATACCTGGCGTGAGCCCTCCATTTAATCTAGACAACATCCGTTGAAAATTAGAGAGCCTGGGAATGACATTAAGAAGAGTTATTGCGGAAAGAAGACAGGGGATTAGAAAAGTAGTCAAGACGCAACGTGGGTACTCTTTTTTTTTTTTCCTTTTGCTGTAACAAGCGCCTTAAAAAAGTCCTACTTCTCCGAAAAGTTGCAGCTTCTTCAAGCGTAGATACCCGCTGACAAAAGCAGCTGCCTTGTACCATCTTCCGTGAAGACACTTCCTGCAAGCGCGAGCATTCGACGGTCTGTCGCCGCCTTCTTAACACTCTTCTCGCGCTTGCGAGGTCTGAAGGCTGTCGGACTGCTCCAAATACTTAATTCATTAAGGCGAGAGGCCAGGAACTCTAAGACTCACAGCAATTTGCAATGGTACACGGCAGTATTGGTGAAAGTTCTGGAGACTCTTGTTGATTGAGACGATTGACGCTCCTGGAAGTAGAAGCTCCGACAGGCGGGACATTCCTGGAAGGTCGTCAAGTTGCATGTTGATGTGAATACCGCACCCCTGTGAGGGATCCGTAACGTAGTTGCGATAAGATCTTTGATGTAGGACGTGAATTGTCGGCACCTCCTTACGAGTCGCTGGAAGGTGTCCAAAATTGTACGAACGGGTTTGCAGATACTCGAATTGAGAATGCGTAATACGTTGCAACTCGTGCAGACATGACCAAGTGTTGCGATCGAGGTCATTTTCTTGAGGTGACGGTATGGTGAAGAGGTTGTGAAGGCTCGCCGGGACGATAAATAGGCTTGCGACCTCTCCCTTTGTAATTCTTTATCCCTCGGAGCTGAGCGGTTTCGCGCCCGAGACCGAATTATACTGAAGATTCGAAAGGAACAAAGGGGATATTTATTTAGGATGGCGCGGAGGACAAAGGAAGAGGCGTCCTATGCACAAACTTGTAGTAAGTCTGTGACCACATATGCACGTCATTGGTGGCTGCACATCAGTCGAAATGGTTGAGAATGGCTCTTCTTGGACCGCCAAGAGCGCAGCGAGCAATATGTGCCAAAGATGCTTGCTCTTATCCACTAGACCCGCATCTACGCTAAAGAAGGGCCCCGAGATAGAAATTGAACATCGGCTGGTAGAAGTCGCGGTGATGAGGTTCTGACAGCTTGGCTCGTCGAGACACGACGATGGTGAGAGGGATTCTTCTTTTCTAACATCAGTCCTGTGAATTTGCGTAGACGTTCATACGATCTGATGGCGACGACAGATCCCACCTGTTGTAGGATCGCTAAGAGAGCGAAACTATGTTACTGCGAAAGAAATAAAGAGTTGATGATGAGATTTTGACATGTTCGGCAAAGTGCGATGAGGGGAGTGCAGCCACTTGACAAAAAGATCGAGGCGACGAGAGGTCAATGCTCCGTTTGATCAGACCCTACAGTGGTGTGGGAAGGGTTGGGCTTTGCGTGATTACATATGGACAGCCTTTTGCTTGTCGCCTGAGGCGGAAAAAACGTCGTAAATTCGAGGACTTTGTGATGAGGGTCTGACATGGCCATGAAGGTATAAGAAAGGCACTTTTCGGTGGGACAGCTCCTTTCTCCTCCGCACATCATCTCATTTTTCTCCACCTCCTTCTTCCCTCTTTCCTCACCAGTCATCTCACCAGTCTTCTAACCAGCCTACTCTACAATGTCCAGCATGTTCCAAGGTGTCATCCGCTGCCTCCGGAAGCCTAATGGCCTGATCAGTATCGAGAATGTCTTCCCCGCGATCAGCGCCGGCGTTTCTTCCGCCGGAACCCAGAAGCCTTCCTTGATGGCCAAGCCCACCGCTGGTGAGTCACCACCTGGCGTGGACCAAACATGAAAGAAAAGCGCTGAGAGTTTTTATCAATTACAGAAAATATCTTGAAGCAGAGCCTTCAGGGTCAAGAGATTTTCAATGCGACTCAATTCAGCGAAGATGCTCGAAAGGTCATGATGGCGATTCCGGAGGGCATTGACGCTGTGGACGTCACGATGGTCAATGGCGAGATTACCAAGGTCAAGACGGTCGTCAAGCGCAAGACCTCGACAGACGAGCAAAAGCCGAGCAACAAGACGGAAGATTCTGTCGGTAAGAAGATCAACCAGCGCAACAGCATCGATAGGACGCAGTATCCTCCCTTTGGCATCAAGAAGCCCGTCAAGGAGGAAGCAACGATCTTCCCTGGTCGCAAGACCGTTGGTCGCTCTTAGTCTGCAGATACTCAGGTATTCATCGATATGATGGATGTCTAAGTGCTAGCTACATAGCGTCAACTTCTTCACCTAGAAGACTGTCTCTTAAATCTCTCCCAAGTCATTAACCGAATCACATCCCCTACCGTGGCTCGACATTCGTTCAATCCTCTTCAGAAGCCTTATATGCAAGATGCCAACGTCGAATCGCTCCCTCTGCTCCTTCTTCTTTCTGCTTGTTTCCCTTAGCTACTCCCCTTCTAAAGCTTTGGCGAATAGTATCATTTAAATAACCCCCTACACGCTCTTTCCCAGCTTTCTGACTGCAAGAGACGCACGCACGATACGCCGTGCGACATGGCTTTCTTTTGATCCTTTTTTTTCGACATGCCTCTCGAGATAATGTTGTTGCCACGCGAGACACCCAGATTATTTTGTTGCGTGGCCTGGCTCCATTGTTTTAGTTTCCCATTGTCCTTCCCTTTGTCCTCATCGAGAGGACGACTAATGGATTTTGTGTTATAAGAGGCCATCTTTCCTGCCATCTTTATCTCTGCCCACTCCAACTCTTGTCGTGAACATGTCTGAAGGCTCAACGATCGCGTTCATCACATTCTCCTACATTTCCTTTATCGTCCTACTGCTGCCGGCGAAATGGCATCTGAGAGCTGGAAATTACGGTGAGCAACTCAGGCGACGCTTTAGATGAACGCTGGAGCTCAAGCAACTAAATCACTTTTCAGGGATCCTTCTTGTAAGTCGGCAAATCATATATGACGAGATGGTTGACCTGCACGTCTTACAGTAAATGCGCAAGCGCTTCAGGGCTGACGGTAATCTGTGTTTATAGATGGTATTCTGGGGCGCCCTCGGCTCCTTGACTCAGGGCACGACCGCGCTGCTTTTCAGAAACCGTGCAGACAACTTCTGTCCAGGATGGTGCGACTTCTCGGGTGCGGTGCAGTACGTCTACCCAGTCGGCTTTCTCGCAGGATCGCTGAGACTGCTGATGAAGCTCGAGTCGATCGCGTGTGAGTAGCGCGTCGTGTAAAGCGGAATGAGCACGTCGTTTGGAGTGTGTTACGGTCTGACCATGTTCGAATGATCGCAGCCACGAGGCAGGTATCGCAGTCGCATGCCGACCGGCGACACACTCTGGTCCTTGACATTGCCCTTGGCCTGGGTCTTCCGCTGCTGATGATTCCCTTGCGCCTCGTCGTGCAGGGCCATCGCATGGGTGAGTCGCGCATCGAAGACCATTACCAGCCTTAATAGGCTCACGAAAATTGTATCGCCGACCCTAGACATTGTTGAGGGCTTTGGATGCGAGCCTCCAATCTACCCCAGCGTCGCCGCCGTTTTGTTGTACCAGATCTGGCCTCTCGTGCTGGATCTGTGCTGCCTAGGCTATGCCCGTGAGTCGCCGATTGATTGTGCAGCAGGACACGACCTCCAAGTGGGCTTCATATGTACTCACGCATCTCCCTTTTGCCCTTTCAGTCGCCACGATCCGATGGTTCCTGCTGCGCCGTCGCCAATTTGCCGCCGTAGTTGCCTCGTCGGACAGCGGGCTCAACTTCAACAAGTATCTGCGTCTGCTCGTCATGTCGGGTCTCCAGGTTGTCGTCTGGACGCCCGTCTCCATCTATCTCTTTGTCCGTAATCAGACGACGCTCCCGCACAAGCCTTACGACAGCTGGAATAGTGTGAGTGGAAAAAGACGTGGGGTTTTTGCCTCTCCGCGTTGCCTCTCTGGCCCTGCCGTTTTCTCTACCTTCCCCGTTTTGTTCCTTTGGAAGCTGACCAGATTGGAGTGGTGGATTTACAGGTCCATCGGCACTTTGACATGACGTACAGCTACACCAAGTCCAGCGGCCTCCTGACGCCAGCGCTGCTGGAGGACCTCGAAATGGGCCGGTGGATCGGCGTGTGTGGCGCGCTGGTTCTCTTCCTCTTTCTCGGCACCAATATCGAATCAATGAACGAATACCGGCGGTGGGCCTCTGTGGTCGCCTCGCCTTTCTCGACGCGTTCGAGAGCGGCGGCAAAGGCGGCCGTTGGCCACCCAGTCGTTCGTCGCCACGAGAGCAGCGTCCAGGCTCCGGCCGAGGAGGAAGAAGGGCAGCTTAGGTGAATGAGCCGCGCCCAGTCTCTCTGCATGACACACTTTGTAATGAGGACCTCTTTGCTGACCGGCGTCTCGCTCCCCTGTGCAGCAAGAAGCACATCGAAAGCTTCAGTATGCCAACACTCGACCAGGCCTATCTGACAAACACCGTCCCACTGACGCCCATCACTCCATCGGCGTCGGCCGACGGCGACGACAAGGCGTGGCCGGGAGCGACGGGTCGCTTCGACAGCTTTCGCCGGCCTGCAAACGAGGTTCGCCACCATGAGTATGGACGAGACAGCAGCCGTGGAGAGCGGCAGGAGACCGTCGACGGTATCTTTCTCGAGCTCGGCATCCCAAGCGACACTGTCATCGTCCACACGGAACGCGTCATCCAGCGTTGAAGCGTTGTCCATGTCCTGTGTTTCTTCTGTTCTAAAGGAAGCTGGTCTCTCCTTTTCACCAATCTCCTCTTCACCACTCTCGCCTCGGCTCTTTTGGTCGTTCTGATGCTTCGCTTCTTCCTCAAGCCCTTTTGCGCGTCTCTTGGTTTTCTCTCTTTCTTCATTCACGATACGATTAGCACCAAACGAAACCCTCTTCTTCTACTACATACGAAAACGACCTCTTTTGTTGGTTGGAATGACGATTTAGTCTTTGTCAAGATTGGGTCTTGCAAGGAGAGTATCGAGTTAAAAGGTAACGAAAAGGCAAAAAGAAGCAAGAGTGTGCTGTGCGTGCGTCATCTTCAGCTGCTGCCCCCTTCGAGGAGCCTGACGATGATCCACGAGCTGCCGGCCGCGGCGGCGCCGACAAAGAGCGTCGAGGTGGCGCCATAGATGAGTCCCTTTGCATCCGTCTTGCCTCCGGTCCAGTACTGCTTGACGAGGCCAAAGGCGAGCAGGATGGCGCCCGTGACACCGATAGACCAGAGCAGGGCAACGTGGACGCTGTCGACGAGAATGTAGGGCAGGAGAGGGATGAAGCCGCCGAGGAAGTACGAGGCGCCAATGACAATGGCCGAGATCCAGACGCGCGACTCTTCGACCTTTTCCATGCCCTGGCCCACGCGGAGCAAAAAGGGCGTGAGGCCCCTCTCTGGCCCCGTGAGGCCGTCGGTGCGCATCCACCTCGGCGACGTGGCCGGTGGCGGCAACAGCCGGTCGTCACCGTCCTGTCCGCCGCTCTGCACGAGCCTCGAGCGCTCGGACCCTTCGACGCCCTGCAGTTTTCTTGCAATCTCCGTGGCCAGGCTCTCGTCGACGCCAAACGGCTCGAGAATCTCACGAACTTCGCGCTCCATCTCGCCAAAGCAGCTCCTCGCCACGCGGTCCTGCGTCTGGGCCAGCTGGAACTTGTAGTGTTGCACCTCTGCCTGCGCCGAGAGGAGGCCGCCGACGCCCATTGAGATTGCCCCCGAAACCTGTTGGTTAAGCGCCCTTGTCAGTGACAGTCTCCAGCTGGGCGAGAACAAAAGAGGGAAGAGAGAGACACCCACCAGCTCGGCCAGACCGGCGAGGACGACGATTCTGCTGCTTCCCACGCCCGACAGGCCTGCCGTGAGGGCAAAGGGCACCGTCAGGCCGTCCGAGAGGCCGATGATGACGTCGCGCACAATATCGGGATCGATGAGCGACCGCGAGTCGTCTGGCTTGAGGTCTCGGCAGCAGACGCCGCGCACGCCGTTGTGCTTTTCGCACTTGGACCGTGCCGGCGACGACGACGATGATGATGATGACGACGACGACGAGGGACCTGCCTCTTCGGGAGTGGCTGCCGCCGTCGCCGAGGAGGATGAGGATGAGGGCGCGTCAGTGGCGCCATAGGTAGTCTCTGTCTTTGTCGGCCACAGTCGAGTGTTCTCCGCCGACGACGAGGCGCGAGGCTGCTGATGCTTGTTCTTAGACAGTAGCGAGACCGAGGCGCCCGAGCAGCCACCCGCGCCCCGTCCGCAGTCGCAATTGTCACAGGCCATGTCTGCTTTGCTGGATGAGAAGGAGAGGAACCAGAAGGAAGAATGTGAGAGAGAGGGAGAAAGGGAGAGAGGGAGAGAGGAGAGAGGAGAGAGGAGAGAGGAGAGAGGAGAGAGGGAAGATGGCAACGTCAAGGAGAGTGCTTAAATCCTTGACAATGGGCCGAGGCACTCTAATCTGCACCAAAAAAAAAAACCCAAAAGCACAAAAAATTCCTCTTGCTTGGAAATGGATAGAGGCCCGCGCACCGGGCTTGGAGGAGATTTTTGTTTTAGACTCGGGCCAATGAGGTCCAGTGTATTTCGAATGGATATGGGAGGGCGTAAAAAAGAGAATTCAGGACGATGACGGATCCTCAATGACAAATTGCTGCTCTTCTTCTTCTTCTTCTTGATGTCCGTTTCGCGCCTCGTGGGCGTCGGCGTCGGCGTCGGCGTCGTCGGCGTCTGACGGTGAATCCTCGAACGGTTGGCCCCGGCCTCGATCCTCTTGGATGGTTGCGTGAGGATGCTCCGTGACCCCTCCCGGTCTGTCACGGAGCGGGATCCAGTCGGGGCCTCGTTCCTGAGCGCGCGCAAATTTGGCATCATCGTCAGCGTGGGCCCAGGATAATTTACCCAGAACGCGAAGGATTGACAGACTGACCTACTGCTCCTCGCTCTCCACTGCCTGGTAGTCTGTCCGGCCCCGTGCCGATGGTGCACCGGCCGAGGACCCTGATCCCGCGCCAAAGAGCCTGCTGGCCCATCCCGGCGGTCTCGATTTTCGTTTCTCCTCGGCGGCCACCTTTGCCGCGGCAGCCCTGGCGATGCGCTCCTCCTCGGACATGAATCTCGGGTGGCTCGAGATGGACCGTCTTAGCGTCCGTTGCCTTTCTGTGCCGTCGGCCGCGCTCGTCCCCGTCTCAGATGAGATCGACGTCCGCTCGGGTCTGAGCCGCTGGCGTTCGTCTGCGTCGTCGTCGTCATCGTCATCGTCGTCGTCCTGCGGGATCGGTCCAGCAGCGTCCTTGAATAGCACATCCATTTCCTGCGTTGCCCGCATTCGCCAGTTCAGCACTTTCTTCTTCTTGACAGCAGCGGGAGCCAGAATGCATGACTCACCTCGAGCGGCACACCCATGGTCTCAGGATAGCAAAAGTAGACGAGAAAGAAGCTGACGAGGCAGAAAAAGGCGTGCATAAAGTAGAGGCGCCACTTGATCTTTTCCTGAAGGATGGGCGTAGCCTCGCCGACAATGTAGTTGAAGGCCCAATTGGTGGCCGTGCTGAAGCTGGTCCCCTTGGCCCGAAAGGCCAGCGGCATAATCTCGGGCGGGTATCTGCCCACCTTCCATTCAGCCCCAGCATCCGGCAAGCCATTTCTACCGACCACACTCACAGCCATGGAATGGGACCCCAGCTGGCACCAAAGGCAGCATTGAAGATGATGACGCAGCCCACAACGGCCTGAGGCGTGTAGCTGACATCGATGTAGAGAAAGTACCCACAGGCACTGAGCGCCAGGGCGGTGGCGACGGAGCCCGAGAGGAGGATAACGCGCCTGCCGAGTATGTCGATGAGCCACCAGATGGGTACTGTGCTGCCGACGTAGATGATGCCGTTGACTGCAAGGAGGTGTGGCGTGAGCCAGAATTGGGAACGGCCAAGGACCGAAGAGGAGAGCAGGAAAAGCGCAATGACTTACTTCCAGCCATGAGAATAGCATCGCGTCCGATCCAGCCAGCGCTCTCAAAGACCAGCGGCGCATAGTAGGAGATGACGTTGATGCCATTGAGCTGGGCAAACATCTGGCTCGAGCATGCGATCAACGTCCGGTATCTGTGTTGGTTCCGCTCCCTCAGTTTAGTAAACGCGCATATAGCGATGCTCGTCCAGACCTACCGATATCGCTTCCACATGGCTGTGTAGCTCCGGTCGCCCTGGCTGCGCATAAAGTAGACGTTTTCCTTGATCTCGCGGTACTCGAGTCTGGCCCGTGGCTCCTTGGGGTCTCCCCCACCGTGCAGGTCGGCGAGTACGCGCATGCCGTCCTCGTCGCGGTCGTGGTCGAGTAGCCACCGGGGCGACTCGGGAAGCATGAGCGAGCCAGCGGCCAACACGAGGCCAATGATGACCTGGAGCGAGAGGGGAAGTCGCCAGGAGTAGTGTCCAGGCAAGAAGCTGCAAAAGTAGTCGACCCAGACGCTGAATGCATAGCCCACAATGTTGCCCGTGTACTCGATGCAGGCCAGCTTGCCCCTATTCTCGGCGGGAGAGATCTCGGACTGGTAAGTGGGAACAATCATACTGAGAGCACCAACCCCAAAGCCGGCAATGATGCGTCCCAGCACCATCATCGGGTAGCCATTGGTGGCCGTCTGGATGGTGCCGCCAGTGGTGAAGACGACGGCGCCCCAGAAGAGGACCTTTTTGCGGCCAAAGATGTCGGCAAGGGTGCCGCAGGCCAGGCTGGTGATGAGGGCGCCAATCTCGAGGATGGCAACCATGGTGCCGATCTCGTACGACGTCGGGTTGTGAAAGTAGGCCTTGAAGTATGGCCCGGTGATGACGCCCGACTGCACGATTGGGCGGGATGGGTCGGTCGTCCGTCAGTTCCTGTTGCTTTTCAAGCAGAGGCCACAGAGATGCTCACCATGACACCCTGGTCGTACCCAAAGAGAAAGACACCGAGTGAGGCAAAGCAGGTGATGAAGAGCATCAGTCCATCGCCCTTGATGCCGGCCCTGGCGAGGGGCGAGGTGCCGGAGCTGTGCCTCAGGTTGGGCGGGCGCAGGCGCGGATTGCTCATCTGGCTCGACGCCGTCGACTCGGACGACGTCCTCATCTGCTCTGCTGCTGCTGCTGCTGCTGCTGTCGTCCCGGCGCCATCTTCCAGGTTCGACTCTCGGCTCGCCATGTCCGAAGTATTCTGCGGGGGTTGAGCGCGAGAGAGGAGTGTTTCACGTCTCGCACGGCCTCTCTCTGTGTGTGTTTGCCTCTGGCTCCTGTCAGGCACGCGCGTGATCCTGCCCACTTTTTCGACTTTCGACCTTCGTCGCTCATTTCAGCGTCTTCCCTTCCTCATTCAGAAGAAGGGGACGAAAGTGGAAAGCAGAAAGACGAGACGCGTAGAGACGCAGCAAATGACGGCGGACAGCGCTGCGACGCTCTCGCAGGCCGACATCCTCTCGGACCTCGCCCTCCTCTCGTCGTCTTCGTCGTCGTCGTCGTCGCCGTCGTTTCTCGAGCTCGGCCGCAGCCTCCTGCCGCCAGAGCAGCTCGCGTCAAAACACTCGCAGGATGACAAAGCCCGACAGCTCGTCCGCGACTACCTCGCCCTCTCGCGAAGCGCACCGGCCGGTGGCGAGGCAAGCGGAGCTGACGTCGACGAACTGCAACGGCGCGTGGCTGCCTTGCAGTCGAACCTCGAATCAATCGGCAAGAAGCTCGATGAGGCGAGGGGAAGCGTCGCCGGGCCATCAGAGGACCCCGCACAATAGACACACTCTCGCACCCAAGAGAGCATACACCACTGTATAGTATTACTGTCCCATGCCATTGAGCCCACACAGAACCAGTTCTTCCATCCTCTCTCTTGATCAATCAGCACACGTTGCGAGACACACGGCCTTGGAGAGAATGCTAATATCACTACTCCTCCTCGCCGCTGCCCTCGAGAGGCAGGTCGGGCGCGAGCGAGTTTTGAATGTAGACGGCCAAGAGGGCAAGACAGATGGCGAGGATAAGTGTGGCGAGTTTGCCTGCAGAAGAGTGACACAAGTGGTCTCGTCAGCCGAGGGGGGAAATGCAGAGAAGAAGAGAGGAGGATCAGAAGAAGAGACTTGAAGATTCTCACCGTTGAGCCACCCATTGAGGAGCCGCGACTCGGCATTCTTGTCGACGGTGACGACGCGCAGACTCATGTCTGCACTCCCGCTCACGATGCGGTCCCCTCTCGGGCTGAAGGCCAGACAGGTCGAAGGAAAGGCGTGGGCGTCGCTGAGCGTCCACACGGGCTGCAGCGTCCGTGTACTGAGGAGATGAAGCGAGAGGTCCGAAGTCGACACGGCGACATGTCGGCCCGTCGGGCTCATCTCGACGGCCGTTGCAGGCCTCTCTGCAATCTGCCTCGTCCGAAGCAGGTCCCACGAACCTGTGTCCCATGCTGAGATGAAGCTGCAGACAGACTATGCATGAGCTGGGTGCCAAAACAGAGGGAAAGAGACAATTATACTGGACGCACCACTTGCGGATCCTCGCCCGTTCCCGATCCCTTTTGCTGCTCCCCAGTCCTTGCTCAGGGCTCGAATTGACGACGGTATAGAGGCGATCGCTGCGCCCGCCGCCATTGTTCCTGCCAAAGCGAGCACCGCGGAAGGTGCAGGCAGCAGCGCCCTTGAGCGATGGATTCCGGATCGTCTGGTGCACCTTGGGCGTCGAGCCGCTCTCCTTCTTCGACGACGATGTCGACTCTGCTGCCGTCGAGCTGGACGTGGGATAAATTTGGACGACGTCAGCGAGGACAAAGGCGACGAGCGAAGAATCGGCGCTAAAGTCGGCGTCTACAACCTCTGTCGATGCCGTCGGATTGATGGACCAAAGCTTGTTGAGGCCAGGAAAGGTATGTAGCGCAAACTGACAGAGTCGATAGCAAATGTGTGAGCAAGGGAAAGCGAGCCTGGGCTGCACACACATACCTGGCCATCCGTGGCACCGACGGCGAGAAAGTTCCCGTCTGGCGAAATCCTTGCCACTTTCTGAATTGTGCAGGATCGTCAGCTTTGGTAGCCAAGTCGACCCAGTGAATGAAGGACACTCACAATGTACTGCTCTGGATCGCGGATCGACAATGACTCGTGGCTCTGCAGCTGGCCAAGACTGTGCTGCACCTCTTCTTCCTTCACCTGCGCCTCTTTTGCCGCCGTCTCAATGACCTTTTCGGCCTTTTCCTCTGCCTTTGCCTGTGAGGGACCGGTCCGCTTCCACTCGAACATGCGCACGTTGTCGTTCACGCCGTTGGCCAGGCTCGCCTCGCTCGAGTTGATTCCGCACACAATCTAGTTGGTCAAGGATGTGTCAGATGGTCACAAAGGTTGAGACTTGACACAGAACTCACTTTTCTTTGACTGGCTCCTACTTCGGACCGTTTCACCGATTCCTCGCCTTCGTCGTCTGCGTCGTCCCAGTCGTTGAACTCGTCGGGCGCGAGCGTCATGCACATCGGCGCGTCCTCGTCACGGCTCAGCTTCATCTCTGCCTTGTCAACCACAATCTTTTCGGCGTTGACGACCTCGACAGCGCGCTGGGAACATCGCAAGCTCAGTCAGCTCCTCTCCGACCTCGACAGCAACGGGTAAGAGAGGAAGAGACCTACAATGGCATTTGTTACGCCGCTCCTGCCCCGGCCTCCTCCCCCAGCATACAGGATCACCTCGCTGCGGGGCAAGGCGACTGCATAGACGGGGATTGGGCTCTTGGCAGTAAAGTTTGGTGGCGCCATCTCGTTGCTCCTTTTCCTCCTCTTCCTCTTCTTCTCGTTCTTCGTCTGGAGAGCTGCGCGGCAAACACGAAGAATCTGGGATTTAGGGTCCGTGCTGGTGGAGGGTAGAGCCACTTTCTTCGAACACGTGGCCCGCCAGTCGCGCGCGGGCGCGCTCTCTCTTCTCGCACCGGCGTTTAGGAAAAAAAAGTGGCGAAGCGTCCGTCGGCCAGTGCGCAATCCATCTATTCAAACTACCACCACTGCACTCAGCATCCAGCAAGGGGCCAACTCTCTACACATGACGGACACCGAAGCGTCGTCGTCGTCTCTCGCTGGTGGAGGCGACGCGCTTTTCAAAAAGAAGAAGAAGGGCGCTGCTGGCCGGACAGGTGTGCGCCCTTCCTCCCTGCAACAGCAACAGCAGCACGAGGCCGAGGTGGCGGCTGAAGAACAGGAAACATCGACGGTCGTGCACAAGAAAAGAGCCGTGAATCTCGGTGGGGGGCTGGCTCAACGGACAGGCTTCGCATCGGCGAAGCGAATGAAGCTGGACGAGGACGATGACTCGGAAGCAAGGCTGGATCGGTACGGTGATTCCACAGTGGGCAGCGTCGTGCGATCCGCGTCAAATGGCGCGACGGGGATAAGGAATGCAAAGGACGATGCGACGAGAGTCGACACCTGGTACGACGATGAAGAGAATGCTCCCAGCAGCAAAAGCAGAGAAGCTCCGGGAGACGGCGACAAGCAGACAAACGACGACGGCATCTACCGCGGCGCATCGTCCTACTCTGCCTACACGGCCACGCCGCGCGAGGGCACAAAGCCCACGACAAAGGGTCCACTCAAGACGACGACAAATGTGCGCACCGTCACGGCCGTTGACTACCAGCCGGACGTGTGCAAGGACTACAAGGAGACGGGGTACTGTGGCTTTGGCGATACATGCAAGTTCCTCCACGACCGGTCCGACTACCTCGCTGGGTGGCAGCTCGACCTGCTGCCCAACTCGGCCGCTCGGCAGGCCTCGGACGACGAAGGGGAGGATGATGACGAGGAGGAGGTGCCGTTTGCCTGCCTCATCTGCCGGCAGCCGTTTACGGACCCGGTGGTGACGAGGTGCGGCCACTACTTTTGCCAGCGGTGCGCCATCAAGCGCTACGCAAAGAGCCCAAAGTGCTTTGCATGTGGCGCACAGACGCAGGGCATCTTCAACAGTGCGACCAAGATCCTGGACCGCATGGCACGGGCACGCAAGAGGCGCGAAGAGGAGCGCGAGGAGCGGAGGTGGAACAAGAGAAAGAATCTGGAAGAAGAGGAGGGTGGCGACGCCGAGGACGGCGAAGCCGGGGAGATTCTTGACGGTGTCGAGGTGGGAGGAGGAGAGGGCGATGAAGAGGAGTGACGTGGACTCTGCACTGCAGCCAATGTACTGTATTTATATTCCCATACGTAACATGACAATCCGCCTTATTTTTTATGACAGCGACAGGCCCCTCACGACAGGCCAGCTTCGCGTCTTAAACCCCCGAATGTTCCACGGCGACTCCCTTTCCTGCATGACGCCCGCCTGTGTAGCTGCAGGAAACGTGCACGGTTTTGTCAGTGAATCGAAGCGTATACCCAAGAGGGAACGAGGTGACTCACTGGCCCGGACGATTAGCGCATATCGATTGACGCCCTCGTCGCCCATCGCTGAGCGCAACGAACAGGGCAAGTCTGTATGCCAGATGGACCATGCCCAGCTGAAGCGAGCCGCCAGCTGTTCATCACCATCGGGCTGATTCGACATCTGGACCGTCGTTGCCCTGGCCCATGCTTCGGCGCCTTTTGAATCCGCCGCGTTGCGGAGATCGGCCACCGAAGCCAGCTTCCGGCCCGGATCGGCGACAAAGATGTACTCGACGACGGACACTGGCGATCCGTCCTGTCCGACAGCATAGCCTCTGGCACACGCACTGCTGCCTCCTCCTCCTCTTCCTCCTCCTCCTCCCAGCTGCAGTGCCTGGCCCTCGACTGGCTCGTCGATGGCCGAGCCGATGCCCAGCCTCTGCAGCGGCTCGGCGGCTTCGAGGATCTCCTTTCGCCTCTGTGGCACACCCATCACCTCGTCCCTCCATGCCTTCTCACCCTCGCTCGGCGGCTCGATGATCTTGTAGTCGAGTCTCATTGGCGGGCTGTCGTTGGCCAGCTTGCTCACGCGCATCCCGCTGAGCCACTTGACCCAGCGCGCGCCCGCGTGGCCGGGCACCACGGCACGTAGGGGAAAGCCATGGGCGCACGAGAGGGCGGTGCCGTTGTGTTTCCACGCCAGCAAGCAAGCCTGATTCGGATGCATGGCCGTCGCCAGAGGGACCGAAGCGCCAAAGTGCTCGCCTGCCGGCCTGTCGGACTCCGATGAGGGCTGCGACGAAAGGAGGTGCAGATGCAGGTCCCGCGACCAGGCTGCCGCATCGTGCGCGATGCTCTCCTCGGACGGTACGAGCCGGGTTGCGTCGGCGTGGAGGGCGTACGGATCGGCCACGCCTAAGCGGAGCAGCATGGAGCGCACCGAGGCACCTGGTCGGACCGTCTGTCAGTCAGTAGGAAGCGCGAATAGCCATCATCATGATCATGATCACGCGCACAGACGCACCCGACCACACGGCATTGGAGATGACGCCAGCCTTCCACTGTATGCCCTCTGCCTTGCCATGCTCGCTTTCGACCAGCTCCTCGCGCCGGTTCCCTGCGCACTCCAGCACCGCCGTCACGTCCACCTCGTCCTCGTTGCCCATTAGATCGACGAGCTTGACTGTCGTCTGGCTGGCACCGAGTGGCCAGCCCTGCTCTCTGATCACAGCCTCGTCCACACCCAGGCTCACGCTCCACTCGTCGTACGTCGCCGGTGTGGACGGCTCATAGATGATGTCATCGTGATTGCGGTGGAAGAGGTGAGGGATGGGCGTAATGAAGGACGACGAAGCCTCCTTGTCCTCTGCATTCAGAGGTTCGCCGTGCCTCTGCGCTCGGCCGGTCAGCTTGCAACCAAGCAGGTGTCTTCCCCCCTTCTATTCCCTCACTCACTCCTCGTTGATGCACGGTCAGATGGTCATGGCTGCTCATCGTGCTAAGCTATCCCATATCTTTGGTTCGTACATTACAGCTCCGTGCCTCCTCCCCTCGCTCCTCAGCGACGAAGCCCAAGGGTTCCCGCGTCGGATGGTACAGTAGAAAAAATGAAACTGGCTCGTGCACGCACAGTGAAGTCATCGATCGCTTCTCCACGTAGCTAGCGAGCGAGCGAACGCGCACGCGCCCGCCGAAAAAGGGCAAGGCCAAAGCAGAATGGCTGTGTTCAGAACGCTACTCTTCTCACCTTCTTGACAGCGCAGCCCACTTCTTCGTTTCTTCTTCCTCTGAACAACCAGCAGCCACCTCTCTGCACCGCAACGACACAAGTCAGCCAAAGATGACTGTCCACTACACCCTCACATTCATGCTCCTCTGCGTGGAGGCGTTTGTCTTCCTCGCTCTGTGAGTTGTTTCTCTCCCTCTCCCTGTGCTATCTTTGTAGCTGACGTTGGCTCGACAAAACAGAATTGTGCCCCTCCCCTTCAAGGCCCGTCGCGCCCTCTTCCAGTTCTTCGGCACGGTACGTAAGCCATTTGCCATTCCTTCTTTACTACTTCTCACCCTTTGAGTTCTTATTCCCACTGCCAACAGAACCCAATCGTCGGCAAGATCCTGTACGGCGTCAAGATCAGCATCATCTTCGTCAGCGTCCTCCTCGTCGATGCCGTCCAGCGCCTCTTCCGCGTCATGGCCGACCGGCAGGCGGCCAAGGACCAGCTCGGCGTGCGCGACACGGCGCACCACGACCTGCTCATCAAGCTCGCCTTTGCGCAGCGCAACTGCTACCTCTGCGGCTTCACCCTCTTCTGCAGCCTCATCCTCAGCAGGACCTACAGCCTCGTCAATGAGCTCATCGAGGCCCAGACGCGCCTCGAGCAGATCCAGGGCTCCGCAAGCGCAAAGGGTGGTGCGCCCTCGACCGACATTGGTGCGTCATTTTGACCTGTGTTTTTGCATCACAGAGAGAGAAAAGGCTGACCCTCTCTTGTTCTCTCTCTTCTCTCTCAGCCACGATGAAGAAGCAGATGGAGCAGCAGCAGAAGGAGTACCAGCGACTCGCAGACGAGCTTGCCCAGGCAAAGGGCCAGACCCCATCGACCAAGAAGGACTAGAGAATTCTGGACACGCTCCTCACTCTCTGCCTTCCTCGCGCGCAAAGGAAAAGGAAAGCACACACCCCTTCCTCATCGACGACTAGGGCAAGCAAGACCGGTAGAAAAAGTACTTGTCAGATTATCATTCTGCACCGGATGAAAAGATGTTGTGTAAAAGTACAGATGAATTGGGGTTTTTGATTAGATCTACTTGTTCAAGCCCACCAGGCGCCTCCGCAGAGGCACTTGTCCCTAGCAATGCTGCCGCTCAGCGCTGTTTGGCCTCCACAGCGAATGCAGGTGAGCCGCTGCTCATAGTCGAGCAGGGGCGCCTTTGAGATGATGTCCCGCCTGCTCGTCGCGTCCTGTGCTGCTGCGCTCCATAGTCGCCCGCCTTCATCGTCAAACCAGCTCGGCTTAGGCACGCCGCCGGCCGCTGATCCGAGCCGCTCCTCTTCCTCGTCGCCAACAAAGAGCAAGAGCAAGTCCTTGATGACAGTGCCCTTGCTTTGCACGATTCGCTTGCCAAGGGCTTCCTCGGCCCGCCTACCCCTCGAAAGCCTCTTCCGCCCATACCAAGCTTCTTTCTCCTCTTCCCCACTCTGTCCCTTCTCTTCCCCTTCGAGCAGCAGCGCGAGTCCATCGAGGCTGACTTGACTCCTCGCTTCTATCTCGCACAGCTGCGCCCTCGCCAGCGCAACGACATCATCAATCGTCGGCGGCTGTCTCTTGAGGTTCTCCTCGTCTTCCAGCAGCGGCCGCAGGCCCTCGGCCGTCGTCGTCACTTCGAGGAGCCAGTTTCGGAAGGCCCGGACGCGCCGAGTGAGATCCACAACGACTTTGCGCGGAATGGAAAGCGTGAGCAGACCAAGCAGCAATCGGCCCGAGGTGGCCGTTGCGTCCTCTTCCTCTTCCCTCGTGTCATTTTCTCCATCGTTGCGGCCATCATCGGCTCCCGCATCGGTCGAGCTCCCATTCGCAATTGACGGTAGATCGCACAGGAGGTACGCAGTCCGAGCGAGATCCTCGACGAGTGCGTGCAACCAAGCTATGCTGGCCAAGAGAGCCGGTACCGACCCTGGATCAAAAAATTTCATCAGATGAGCAAAATGTAAGTTTTGTGTTGTGAAGCGGCACGACAACAGCAGCGACTCACCCAAGTCATAGTGGTTGCGCACCCTCGCCTCCCTTGACAGCCTAAAGAAGCGAGCTAGTTCCAAGAAGAGGCGGCTACGTCTGCATCCATCGACAGCAAGCCTGAGTTCCAGGAGTCTGAGTTGCTGTGAAGCCTTGGGTGGCTGGGCCATGCCAAAACATTTGACCGAGTCCTTGACGACATCGGCGCCTTGCAACACCATCGACAGATCGCCATAGTCGTTCTCCTGCAGAAACGAGAGGACCAAGAGCAGTCCTGTAGATCGAGGACCGAGCAGAGAATATTTTGCATGAGCCCGTATGGCCAGAGGTCGCGTGCACAGAGGGAGGACCAAAGAGCTTACCTTTGTTGTCCGACGCCCACATTCCCTTCGATGATCTAAACAGCGATGGCCGGCCCTCAGCGGTAATAGCAGCCACGAGGACATCGTTTGGTGACAGTGTCATTCCTGGATCGAAAGCTTTGATTTCAGTCTATTCGCCTGTACTGCAACGAAAGGGAGCACTTACGTGACTGCACGGCGGGCTTGCACTTGAGCGCCTCGTAGTCATCAGCGACTTCAAACGTGAGGCTATCAAGCACACAAGTCTGCTCTACTGCCGTCGACGTCTGGTCACCGTTCAGAGGCCATTGTTGCCAGGGAACCGTAACGCAAAGAATGCGATCAGAGTGCGAAGCCACTACCACTTCGCAGAGCTTTCGCCTCTCCAATGCCCTGAACTTCGTCTGCTCGGCCATCCACTCTTCGTTGCTGTCATCTTCTTCGTCGGTGCTCGAGCCTGCCAGTGGCCTGGCTTTCGCAGCCTCGAGGCTAGCGAAGGCGTCGGAGAGCTTGTTGATCTGGCCTCGCTTGAGCTGCCAAGCTTTGAGGACCGAGCCCGTCGGCGAGTCAAAGGCGACGACGAGGTTGAGGGGCGACGTGCCAGTCCAGAACATTCGGAGAGGCTCTTGCCCAACAAAGATTGGCGCCAGTGGTCGAGCCGCAACAGTCGCTTCTGTTCAGCGAAGCAATTAGTCATTGTGCTTTGTAGGGAAAGAATTCAGATGGCAGAATCCTCACCTTGGCTATTAAAGTCGATCTTGAGTTCGAAGAGATGCACCTTCTCTTGGCCGTCCTCAAGGCGGAATGGCGTCGAAGCCACCTCGTCGCGAAAGAACATGCCAAGAGCGTCATCGGCCGGCGCAGAGCCCGACGGCATCGACTTGGACGTCCTTGCGACTCGGCAAGCTAGTACCGCCCTTGGCTCGTCCGGCACCAGTCCAACAGCAGCATGAGAGACCCGTTCGGAGCCCAACGGCGGAATTATGGGTACCGTATGCAAAGATAAGCGTTGGCTTTGGACATCGGCGTGAATGAGAGCGACGTGGCCATCTTCGCACATTGTGAGCAGGGCCACCTCGGTTGAAGATCCGCCAGCGGAGAACTGAGGTCCGCAGCTGTATGTTCTTCTGTAGTCTTTGCCTCTCTTGCGTTCCAGAAGAAAAAGAAAAGAGCTGTCAGCGGGCTTGACAAAAGCAGCAGCTTCTCCATGTGACTCACCCTTCTCGGTTGTGCGAGCCACTGTGCTTCAACAACCTTGCCTGGGAGTAGAAAGGGGGACGACATAGCCTTCCCGGACACGAGTCTCCAACGGTTGAGCGCTGCACCCCTTGTCCAGAGGTATGCGAGCCCGGACGGGAGGCAGGCAAAGAGAGCGTCTCCCCTCGGGCTAAAAGTAAGCACATTGGGACCCAAATCCCCGGCGCCGCCATCGCCCTTGCAAGCGAGCGAATGGACTCGTTGAGGCTTGGAGACATGAGCTAGGGCGATGTTGTTGCCGCTGGAGAGAGCAATGAGGTTGTCGGAGCTCCAGGCAACGGCATGGCGAGACTCGTCGTGCCTCTGTCTCGAAAGCCAAGACGAGATGCGACCGGCTGCTAGAAGAGTGGACCTTGCCTCTACGTCTTGATGCGCTAGGTCATCGTCAGGCACCGTCTCCGATTTCACCTTGGCCCGCTTTGCCGGGGGCGGCGGCACCGCATCATCTCCCTCCGAGGTCGTCATTGTTGGGCATCAGTCGTAGCTCGCGCAATGGAATCGAAGCCATCTCCACGGCCAGATGTTGCACGTGACTTGTCTTGTTCAAGTGCCAATTTAGCTCCTCGACGCGGCTGTAGGCCAAAAGGAAACGCCAAAAGCCGAAGCGCTCATTCTCGACGCTGTTGGCACCTGACCGTCTTTCGATGCAAAAATAGGACTATTTGGCCTGCACCAAGACATGCTGTCCTCCGCGAGCTGCGCTTATGCTTTGAGGTCAGGTGAGCGTGCGAGTAGGTTATTCAACCACCGAATTGCTCTGCACGCGCTCATTATGCTTTCTTTCGCGATATTGAGGCGCTCTGCCATGCACACTTATTGACACCACTAGGGACAACTCCAAACATTGCAGATCCCCATTCGACGAACTTTGATCGATGTCCGAGCAACGCGACAAACCCTGTTTTCGCGGGAGAAAGTCGCCGTTACCTGCTCCTTCCATCGCCACTTTTACTGTTTGCTTGCACACCTTGCTTTAGGTTTCGCCTTTGGGAATTTCTCTCTAGCAAGAGGACTGTGCACTCGGACATGCGCGTCCAAATAACTCCGGAGCACAAAGTAGGGTTAAACAATATAATGGGCCCTGTAGAAGACCTCATGGAGCATGAGGATGAGATGCCCGTCGTCCCAAGACAAACTTTGATCTGTTGTCCGATTTACATGGACAAATCGGACGACGGCCGCGGAAGAAAGATAGGATGCTGGAGGTGCTCCGATGGGGCAGCTTGTCTGTGCGGAAAATTAAGGTTCTCCCATTTCGGCTAAGGGTTGGATAATTTGGCATTAAAGCTGTGAGGTGGTGGTAGCGCTCGGAAAATGTAAAGAGCGAGAGAGCTTCATGACCAAGTCTGAATCACGTACAGCACCTTCTCAAATGCCGTCGAACATAGGCCGACGTGGGGGACGCCCGGTGGCGAAACAAACTGGCTAATGCTCAGGGTCCTCTAGGATGTGTGCCTGAGAGGTTCATGAAAACGAACACGTTCTATCGACGCAATCTTATGACTATTATTGCCAATTACTACAGCGGACGAGCAAACAAGGTTTCATGCTGACGGCCTTGTGTTTGGTCGCTCTTGTACGCGACCTCTCCAGGGTCGTCGTGTAGATGCTATTGAACAACAGAGCAGATTGTTGTCGCCGCTAATGATCAGCTAGCAAATTCGCCTTGCGCGGTGGTTTTCCCGGCTTTCGATCGTTGGTGAATGGAGACTTTTCCTGCTGTTTTGTCCCTTCTTTTGTAATCTAGGGACCGAAAGTTCTTGCCCTTTTACCTTGTTTATTCGTTCCCATGAACCTTGTCGGACGAGGACCATGGCATGAAGCCGAGCCGGCTTCATCCATCCGATTATTTGGCTCCCCCCACCTTGTTGAATAGTAAGGACATGCTTCCTGCTCCTGGTCCGATCGAGCATTCTAGCAATCTTTTCAACAATCTTATCGTGCGAGATTAGCCCCCGTGAGCAAAGGACACGTTCACGAAGAAGCGAGAGGAATCTCTGTTCTAATACTCCTCAACTACTACTACTTTACTACCCGACCTCGGAGGCGCGGAGATTGAATCTTTGCGTGGCTGCAGTGCGCATGAAATTCCTGCTTTCGCTCCCCTCGTCATGTGAATGGTCCCAGACGCGTCGCACGACGCGTCCCGTCCATCGCGCGACGTCGGCGTGAACATATGCCCACCCCGCTTTCGTGCTGGTCTTTGTAAGTCGCTTGCGAAAAAAAAAAATAACACTGGCATCTCAGGGTGGACAGGAAGTGTGGCAGACGGCCAATTAACTCCCGAGTGGGGAGTCGGGGTGTTTTCGCGCCCACACAGGCAGGGTCTGACCATCTCACTTTGTCCTGTTGGCGGGCCACATCAGTACAAATCTGGCGGATTATCAAAGTGACGGAGTACTAAGTGTAGGTGCTGCAGTCCGAAAGCGGCAGCGGGGGATAAGTTAGTTGCGCTTACGAACCGCGTTTTGCTGCAAGTGCGACTGACGTGGGAACCCTCAAACCGTGCGTCGCGTATGTCTTGCTATTCGGCGATGCAATTAAGAAGTAATCTCAACATTCAACTCATGCATGCCCTTAGAAATTTCGCATGCCCCCCTTACGACCTCCCTACATATCGATTTGCAGGCCCTGCCAATCTTGCTTCAACCCTCCAAGATTCTGGGACTATTTATTCGTAAAGTGTGCGAATTCAATAGAAAAATAAGCTCGACAACATTCTCAATTTTCGCTTTCGTCCCTTTGCGTGTGATCGTACCGTTGCCTTGACATGGCACATACGCTCGTGCGTTGCATCACAGCAGCAACTTTGAGCCTGCAGGTAGAGATACGAGGCCGGCATACACACAGTCTACACACGAAGGCCTGATGTGGACATGGGGCAATATGGCAAGGGCCGATGATCGGGCCTGCTACAGAATCAGTGAATTACTTGTGCCATATTGCCGATGGAGGAACACTATTGATTGCCGTTGCAAGCGATGGTTAGATGATATGCTTTCTAATCTGCACAGGGAAAACCATCCCAAAGCAAGCAAGCAAGCAGTTCTGATGATATGTTGTTCCCGGCTGCTCGCCGTGAGAAATAAGCACGCAAAAGACACTGGCAATCTCTCTTTCCCCTCTGCCTTTGCCCGGCCGTCGGGGACAGCTGAGGTTATTGTCCGTGCGTCCTCTGTGCTGCGTTTTATTTTTATATTTCGCGCCCTTCCCGCCCTGCTTGGCTGCCCTACCTGGCTGCACTACCCTGTCCGGCAGAGAGACAGACTTGCCTCTTTGAGAGCAAGTCCTCGTACAAAAGGCTTGTCAGTCCGCCCTGGCCTCTGCGACGCGACCCCTTCCTTCCTGGAGAACCTGCATCCCTTGCTCCTTCCCCTTTCGCCTCCCGCAACTTCCACCCTCCCTACCTATCTCACTCGTCACTGTGCCGTAGCAAGCGACGTCGTTGTCCAAACAACGACGAATCCCCTTGCCTTTTCGGTCGCTGCCGGTCCCCAGCACTAAGTCCCGGCGTGTTCGTTCCATTCAACGACGCCCACTCAGTCCCCTACTTGGTTCCTCTCGGCTGCCGAGAGTCGCTCAGTCGTTGAATTCAACAAACCCATATCGATTCGATTCAGCCATTTACTTTGTTGACTAAATCGGGTTCCGTCTCACTCATAAAGGATTTTGCGCAAGGATCCACCCCCCTACTTCCAGCACGTCAAGATGGACTTCTACGACCACTCGACATTCGTCCTTCAGCAGCCTCAGACATCGTCGTCGGCGACGTTCAACACTTTTCAGCACGGCGGCGGACAGACTCCTCACCTAGAAGACCAGGAGAAGTGGAAGTCGTCGACATCCTCACCATCACCGCCATTGCAGCTGCGACGGCCACCGTCATCTCTGCAACAGCAGCTTCAGCAGCAGCACAACCACAATCACAATTGCTCGACCTCCTCTTCCTCTTCATCGCCCTTCGACGCGGTCAACGACGCCGCCTTCTTCACTGCACCACCGTTGTCTGCCTCATCAAGCACGGGCAGCTTCGACAGCGTCGGCAGCTACACATCGAGCATCGTCAACAACGACGACGGTGAGACAGGAGTCGGTGCCACGGCATTCCTGAACAGCAATAGTCTAGGACTTCTCGGCGACCTCAGTCCACCGTCACCAGTCAGCCCAACGACCACCGTCAGCCAGCAATCATCTGGTCCCGTGTCTATGCCAATGCAGGCGCATGTGCTCCAGCGACAAGCGTCGATCTCAAATTTGTCCGACGCGTCTTCGTCGTCGTTCTTGGAGACAAACGGCGGGGGCTCTTCAGCCTCGTCGCATTCGCCGCGATCCATGACGCCGGCTCAATCCCCCCTGGGTAATCTTCACTTGTCTTCGTTGACGATCAACACGCCAGGCGGTCCGCACTCTAACAACAATGGCACTGCACCGCACGCTCTGCGGGCCTCTTTCGATTCGGCAACCGCAACTCAATTTCACATTTACCGTGAAACTCCCCAATTGATGCAGCCGCCGCCAGGAAAGAGACGCGCCCAGTCGCTCTCGGCCAACCATCCTCAACAACAGCAGCAACACCAGCACCAGCACCAGCCACATCACCAACACCAGCACCACGGAGTTGACGCACCGTCGCCTGACGACATGACACCCATGCCACCGCCTACGCAACAGTTCAACGGTCAAGCAGCCCAGGGCATTGCGGGCATGGTTAACGGTATTCCCAACACACCTATGCACAGCCGCCTGCAGCACCCGCACCAGCAGCTGCAAGCCACGCCTGGTCAGTCATTCTCCAACACCACAACGCCAGAGACGTACGGTGATGCGTCGCCGCTGACGGCGATGCACCGTCTGACGCGTATGGCCAGCTTCCACGACTTCAGCAACAGTCAGCAGCAACAGCAGCAGCATCATCATCAACACCACCATCATGATGGAAACAGCAACGACAGCACGCCTCCGCCAGCCGCCGGCCTGCAACAACACCACCAGCAACCGTTCATGTTTGGAGGTAAATGCCTCGAGGCGGCCTTCAATGAAGACGAGATGAAGCAGCAGCAGCAGCAGCAAAATCAGAGCTACTTTACGGCAGCCATGTCGCGTGTCTCGTCGGCACCGGCCCACTCGCTCGTTTCCGACGGCTCGTCGACGTCTGATCAAATGTCGATGCCCGCCACGCCTGGCTCTCGTACATCGCAGATGACTTTTCTTCAGGAGCACGATCAATACATGCGACAGCAACAGCAGCAACACTCAAAGGCAAATGGCATGACCATGATGCCATCGACTCCAATTCAGATGGGCAGCCTCCCATCGCCCAATTACAATGCCTCGTTTACGGCGCCTGCCATGACGCAATCGAGGAGCAGCATGGCTAATCTTGCATCGCCGCTCTCCGTGGTGTCGCCCATGTCGGTCATGGATCAGCAGGACCTCATGCGTTCGCCGTCGAGTGGCGCGACACGAAGTCGCTCGTCGTCGCTGGCCCAGCACCACCGTGGAAGTGCAGTGACATCGACTACAAGCCAGACGCCTCGAAGCCGGGGTGGTCGCACGTCTGCGCTTCCCCCGCTCATTGTTTCATCTGCCGACAAGCAGCATATCTGTGGCTTCGTCGGCTGCGAAAAGCGCTTCAAGCGCCTCGAACACCTCAAGCGTCACCACCGTACCCACACGCAGGAGCGACCTCATGAATGTCCAGTTCCTGAATGCAGGAAGCTGTTTGGACGGTCCGACAACCTGACGCAGCATCTCAAGACGCACTTCAAGGGAATCGGCGGCAGGAATGCGAATCTGCTCAACCTGACAAAGGGCCTTGACGAGGCTGCTGCTGCTGCCGCCGCTGCTTCATCCGGGTCTCCCATGGGCAAGAATGGTCACATTTCTTCGCCTCCCTCGTCCAAGGATCTTCGACACAACCCTCATGCGGCCGCTGAGCATGCCGCCCAGAAGGCCGTTCAGAAAAATCAAGCCAAGCGAAGAGTCGACGAAGCCAACGCGTCCGCACTTGGCGGTCCCATCTCGTTGAGCAAGCCTGGCCAGGCCCCGTCGCCTCCCCTCCACGCCGCCAACACCAACTCTTCGTCTTCACCTTCGACATCTACCTCGTCTCATTCGCATTCCTCTTCGCCCGATGCTGCTACTTCCTCTGGAATGCAGCTCTCTTGGCAGTAGATCCTTTTTCTTTCTTTCCAACGGACACTTTCTTTCTCATCTAACGAGCCACGGTCATGTCTCTCCGCGAGTTCTCCTCTCGGTTCCCTCGCTCTCTCTACGGGCCTGTATTCTATTACATCGTCGTACCTCGTTCTCTGGTCTGTTTTACTTCGTCATTCCTTTCCCTACCCTCTTCATCTTCCACACATACACACACACATTCATTCTCCTCTTTTCACAATTGGAATACCAACCGAGTCAAGACCGTACACGCAAGCGAGGCTCATGACTTGAAAGCCAGAATAAGTTAAACGCCCGAACGGGCACCAAGCACGTCACTTGTGCACCCCTTTTTTTCTTTTTTCTTTCGTTCGCCAGATAAACCTTGTTGCGATGTTGCTTCGGAGCTGGGAAGGAGGAGGTTGAATTTGCTTTGTGGCTGCTCAGAACAACAGCCGTCACCACCGCGTACGTGGGAAATAGGACACGAATACAAATCTTGGCGGTTCTGAGCAAATTCTCCAGTACGTGGTTTTGCCGATTCTTTTTTGGGTTGGGTCGGTCGACCGACGCGCTAGAGTAAATAAATTTCCCAGAGGCTGTACGCGGGAGCTCGGTCAGGCACAAACATATCGCGCATGCATTCTTACAGCGGCGCTCATCTGGTGGTGGGATTTATTTTTGTAGTGCAACGCGCATTGGCGTGGGATTGCCGCTTGGACTCGACTTGGGCTTTGTAAGCAAGCAAGCAAGTAGGGAAGATCGAAATCACTAGGCTGCATCAATATTATTGGCGTTTCTTCCGACGCTGTATGCTGCAATGCCGCCAAGCTGGAGATCAGTAGTAGCAAAGACAGCGTTGAAAGATTGGACCTGCCTTGCCAATTTCTTCCCGTGCTTGCTGTAGCTGCTGTAGCTGCTGTAGCTACTGTAGCTCCGACGTGGGGCTATGTACAGAGAACTTGATAAGGTGTCATTGTCGCTACCGCTTCGTCCCACCTCGTTAGTCTACTAGCCCGACTTCTCGGGCTTCTAGCATAATCAAATTCGCTGACATGTGCGTGTAAGTGACACTCCGATCGATGGGGACAATCATGCCCGCTGTGGATGCTCTATCTCGCTATCTCTGACGGGCATTTGAGGCATTTTTTGGTCAATTTATGTACCTCCCCCACCCGGCTCAGAAAGTGGGGAAGACGGGACAGGGACGGTGAGTGGTGGATTCTCAATTTGGTGAACGTGGCCCTTGGGTCAACCTCATCGTCTCCTCCAGGTAGAGAAGATTCGGATGTTGATTGGAATGGTGTGGAGAGGTGGGTCGCAGCTCGTTCTTAACGGCAGTCTTGCAGAGCCTGGCGCCTCTTTGGTGAAGTGACGAGGCGGTGTCCTCGGGTCAATTTGTGATGCCGAGATCGGCACGGTCTGTTGATGCACATGCCTTCGAAAGACGTCTTCTTTACATTGAGTCTTCAGCTATTCGCTGGAGGACAAGACATAGATGTGAAGGAATGGCGCGGTATGCTCTCGTCTGCATTTTGTGCAAGTGCTTGCTCATGCCTCTCAAGAGACAATGGGATCGCCTTATAGACAAATGACTGTGACAGATTTTGTTCTTGGGCCTTCAGGATCAGCAGAGAGGAGACTCCCAGCTTCGTTCTTGGAAATGGAGACGAGCACGCAGACCAGCTGCGGAATCCGAAGGCATTCATTCCAAAGCTCGGAAACGAAATGTTCCGTAAAACCAGCTGGGCCAAACGAGTGTAGCGGAGTCAGTGGGCTGGGACTGTTCCGAAGATCGGCTTCAGCCCCAAGGTCTGACCCGTCTTCGGTCCTCACTACTCTCTTTCACAGCGAAAGAATGGGCCTTGGGGCTAAATGTGAGCGACATTCGTGAGCGACATTCGTCACCATTCCGAAGTCAGGCAAAAGTGTCGAGGGCGACATATTCACGAATAAGAGCCTTGTGCTCGTCCAGGGTGCTTCTATCAGGCTAGGCGCACGAGCAATCTTAATGAACGGTGTCTCCTGCTTGCACCGCGTGGGTTGAGAGCCTGCCTCCCTTCGGCCGTAGGACCTGCCTGGTCTTGAAATTCCAACGCGTCCTGCGTCAGACAACGCCCTAAATTTTTCTCGCCGCCCGGGCTCACTAGCCGCTCGTCGACGCATTCCACGTCACCAGCTACGAAGCGCGCCACTCACTGCAACGACGACAGGTGAAAAGGAGTGGTTGCGCACACTCTTCATTCTCAAAGGCGCCCGGGCGCGATTGCTATTGATGCGGCCGCGACAGATGAGCTCGCCAAGAGGTGCAACTGGTGTCGATGGTGCTGCGCATCGACGTCGGGGCTCTCCACTCTCGTCGCTCTTTCTTGTCGTTGCTCTCCTCTTCCTCATCGCCCCGCTCTCGTGCCTGTCAAGCTCTTTGGCGTCGGCAGAACAGCGGAAAAGCAATGCAGCGGCTGCTGCACAGCTCTTCAACAGCCCGCTCCTGACTGGAGCCGGCGGCGCCTCTCCTTCGTCGTCTTCCTCCTCGTCGTCACTCCTCTCCGAGATGCTGAGCAGATCGCGCACAAGGGGAGGATCACCGCCGCCACGGGACATCTGCCGGCCCACTGGCCAGATTAGCGATGCGCACTGCGACTACGAGACTGTCGAGTCCGTCCTCAACTCTCCTAACTTCTTCGACACGCTGGACCAGTTGAGAAAGGCACCCTACTTTCGGTACTACAAGGTGGACCTGTATCGCGACTGCCCCTTTTGGGTCGAGAACGGGCTGTGTATGAGCAAGGACTGCACAGTGCAAAAGACGGACGAGGTGAGATGGCCTTCTTCTTCTTGATGCATGTCACAGTAGAAGAAGCTGTAGCTGAAGCTGAATGCGCCCTTGCTCCTGCAGACCGAGATTCCACAAGAGTACAGGAGCGCCCACCTGTCGCTGCTCAGCACTACGCCCGACGAGGAGGTACATGGCGGCGGAGGCTCGATGTCGTCCTCGTTGCATGCAGCAGACCCATCGCATCTCATGACGGACGCCGATGCATCGACTTGTACATGCGCCGAAACGGACTTTTGCCACTGGGAAGACGAGGAGTGGTCACCCGAGAGCCAGTGGGTGAACCTGCTCGAGAATCCCGAGAGATTCACGGGCTATGCTGGGCCATCTGCCAACCGAGTGTGGCGGGCCATCTACGAGGAGAATTGCTTTGGCGTCGGCACCCTCTCGTCGTCGTCGTCTTCATCGTCATCGGCATCCTCATCGTCGGCCTCTTCCTCGTCGTGGCTGGAACCGCCACGGGAAAAGGGGATGGGGCCTGGTGCGAGCGGATACGTGACGAGCAAGGATATCTTTGGCAAGGACAAGGCAGCCTCGAGCGAGGCGACGCTGAACCAGCTCCTGGGCAGCCTCGCCTCGCCCTTGGTCGATGCATCGTCGGAGCAATGCCTCGAGAAGCGTGTCTTCTACCGCCTCATCTCGGGCCTTCACGCCTCCATCTCCATCCACATCTGCCACGATCACCTGGACCAGCGCACGGGCAAGTGGGCGCCCAATCTCGAGTGCTTCATCTCGCGCATCGCCCACCACGCCGAGCGGCTGGAGAACGTGTACTTTGACTACCTCGTCCTAGTTCGCGCCCTCGCCAAGCTTACAGAGAGGCTCTCTCCCGCGGAGGAGAGCCAGGGCCAGGGCCAGGGCCACACCACAAAGGCGACCGCGGCGACGCCCGCGGAGATGGAGCGCGCCCTGCCGCTCCAGCTCGCCCGCGGCTTGCCCGACTCATCGATGGATGAGTCGACGCCGCTACTCGCCTCGCTGCTCGCCCAGGCGTCGCAGTCGCCGCCGACGTTTGACGAGCAGGCCATGTTTCACTCTGACGAGGCCGATGACGAGGATCTGCGCTACGAGTTCCGGCGCCGGTTCCGAAACGTGTCGCAGATCATGGACTGCGTCGGCTGCGACAAGTGCCGCCTGTGGGGCAAGCTCCAGGTGAATGGCCTGGGCACGGCCCTCAAGATTCTGTTTGGTGGCCGCCATGCCGGGCTGGCCGAGGGGGCGCGTGGCACGTCCAACGACGGCATGCTGCTCCAGCGCAGCGAGCTCGTCGCCCTCATCAACACCGTGCATAGATTTGGAGAGAGCCTGCGGGCGGTAGAGACGTTTCGGGAAATGTACCACGACGAGGTCAGTCGGCGGGAAAGAGAAGAGGAAGAGGAGGAGAAGGGCAAGGAGCAAGACCAAGAGCAATCACAGGAGCAGGAGAAGGTGAAAGGGGACAAGAGAAAGGAAGGAGACGAGGACCCAGAAAGGCGGAAGCAAAGCAAGCCCGTTCCTCCGCGCAAGACCAACGCGACCAAGGGGGTCAGCGAGAGTGGCAGCGACGGCCAAAAAGCACAGGAGGAGAAGACGTTCTGGTCACAGTGGATCAGCATCTGCGAGGCAAAGTGGGACCAGTGCGTTCGCTTCCTCATTGATCTCATCTCGCCCGCCACGTCTCCTCGACGGCGCCAAAGTGGCAAGCAAGAGCTGTGACATGTGTGTGTGTGTGTGTGTGCGTGCGTGCGCATTCTGTAATTGTATTTGATGGCATTGCTCCGGCTCTTTGAATGACGGACTGACAAAGAAAGAGCGCTACTTCTTCTGATCGGCCCCACCTTCGCCCTTGAGACTCATCTCGATGGCTCTTGCAATGGCTTCTTCCTCGTCCATGTCCTCATCCTCGTCTGCACCCGCCGCCGCCCCTGCACCCGCGGTGCCTGCTCCACTCGCCATCTCGACGTCCTCGTCTTGACCGGAGCCCTTTTGCTGCTGCGAGAGCGCCAGAGCCTGCTGCAACATGGCGTCCTCGGACTCGTCGACGGCCGCGGCACCTGTTCCGGCCAAGGGATCAGCACCAGGCAGCACCAAAGACCCTCTGGAGGGCAGAAACCCACCTGGTGCCGGCTCCACTTGGGCCGGTCCGCTGCTCGTCGTCGTCGCTGCCGGAGCACCCGCCGCCACCGCAGGCGCAGCGTCTGATGAGGCTGCTGCTGCTGCTGCTGCTGCTGCTCCAGCCGAGCCTTGGGTTTCGCCCTCGGCCACCGTGTCGAGCGAGGGCTGCGCAGAGGCACCCTCGCTCGCTCGCTGCCGTGCCTGCTCCTCTTCGAGCGACATACGAAGCGCCATGGCCAGCTCTGGGTCCATGCTTGGGTCGACGCCGAACTCAAAGCTGTTTCCACCACCGCCCTCGCCGCCACCGCTTCCTGACGGCCCAGCTCCGTCACCGGCCTCGCCCATGAGGATCGGCGAGTCGAGGATGATGTCCGACAGCAACCTGGGTCCAGCAGGGATGGTCAGGAGATGTCTGGATTCGCCTCGTCGTCAGTACACTCTAAGCTAGGCGCGCTGTAAGCGAGAAAGAGCACCCACGAATTTTCTCCGCTGTTGACCGTTTCGACAAAGGACCTCAGCTTCGAGTCATTTTCCTCATCCTCGCCAAAACTGACGACGTCAACGGCGACATTGTTCTTCTTGAGCCGCTTTGCCAGCCGGACCAGGCCCTCCTCGTTGTCCGAGATGGGGGAGCCGTTGAAGACAATGATGCGCTGCCGCTGGTTCTTGTCCTGGCGGTGCTTGAGCGCCAGCTGGGCGACATTGATGCCGCTGACCAGATCGGCGGCGCCAGAGATCTGCGTGGCGTGCATGGCTGCAACGACCTTGCCAAGGTCCTTTGTGAGCGTAGAGAGAACCTGAGGCCTGTTGCAAGGGGCGAGAAGAGAGAGAGGGAGAGAGGGTGAGCGCGAGAGTCAGGCGAGAAAGAGCTGTTCAAGGACAAGCGCGAGCGTACTCACCCTTTCCCAGCCATCGTCATGACGCCAACTGCGCTGTCCGGGTGCGACTGACTCTTTGCCTCAAAGACGATGTTGACAGCGTCCGACTGCGCCTCCCAGCGAGAAGGTGTGTAGTCGCCGTTCCTCATCCACTCGGAGTTGTCGAGGCTGTCGCACGTCGGTCAGCACGCGCGACTCGGAGCAGAGAGCTACAAACGCCAGAGTACGGGCACCACTCACACAAGCATCGTCGCCTCGAGCACCATGGTGGGCCGTCGAGCGTTGGTTGGTGTTAGGTTGGTGTGTGTTTGTGAGCGTGCTTGTGAGCGAATAGTAGCGCTGCTTGATGGCGCGTCGAGAACAAGAGTCGGTCTCGATCACGACGTGCAGCTCCACGCTTCTTCGGCCGAGAGCCACATTCGTTTGTCGCCTTCCCCGACGACTGGCCTGCTCCATCTGCACGCATCGCTCACTTTGATTGACTTCGCTCGCTCTCTGCCGTCCTTTCATTCTCTTGCGCGCGCGCTTCGCCTCCTCCTCCTCCCTGCTCATCCGCTCCTCCTCCCCACCCCATCCCTCTCACCCACCCGTCCTGACAGAGCATCATGGCGGGTAGGATACGGGAAGTCTGGGCGGAGAATCTCGAAGTCGAGATGGGCTACCTCCGCGAAGCCATTGAAAAGTATCCCTATGTGGCCATGGTGCGTTGGGACTCTCACACTTGCTAGGATGCCAGCTGACCCAGGAGGATAATGATGGGACGCTAGGATACCGAATTCCCAGGGATCGTCGCTAGGCCCATCGGTTCGTTCAAGGGCTCGTCCGACTACCACTACCAAACGCTGCGGTGTAACGTGGACCTGCTCAAGCTCATCCAGCTCGGCATCACCGTCTGTGATGAACAGGGCAACTTACCGCCAGACATTTGCACCTGGCAGTTCAACTTTCGCTTCAGCCTCAACAACGACATGTGTGCACCAGAGTCCCTCGATCTCCTCAACAAGGCCGGCCTGGACTTTGATCAGCACGACAAGATGGGCATCGACGTCGAGCACTTTGGCGAGCTCCTCATCACCTCGGGCCTTGCCATATTTGACGACATCAAATGGGTTTCGTTTCACAGCGGCTACGACTTTGGCTACCTGCTCAAGGTCGTCACCGCACAGCCACTGCCGGCGCAGGAGGCCGACTTCTTTGAGAAGCTGCGTGTCTGGTTCCCCTGCATCTACGACATCAAGTTCCTCATGCGGTCCTGCAAGACGCTCAAAGGCGGTCTCCAGGACGTGGCCGATGACCTCCAGGTCGCTCGGATTGGCCAGCAGCACCAGGCAGGGAGCGACTCGCTGCTGACGGCCTTTACCTTTTTCAAGATGCGGAAAAAGTACTTTGACGGCCAGATTGACGATTCAAAGTACCTCGGCTGTCTCTATGGCTTTTCAGCTGCTGCGAACCGGCCGGTGGGCGTCGCCACCGCCGGCGCTGCTGCCACTGGCCCCGATTCGAGCAATACCAATACTGCTACCGCGACACCGACAAAGGTGCCTGCGGGCAACCCATTCACAAAGACACTCATCGGCGCAGCAGGCGGTGGTGGCGGCTCCTAATGGTGCACGCCTTCGCACGCTCTCGCAGATTCACTCATTTCAGACGTCACGCACGTCAAGCGCACGTCAAGCGCACGTCTGGAACCACTTCGGACTCACACGGAATGGGCGTGAGCACCGCTATTAGGAAAGGGGCCCTGGATGGGACTTGGGAAGCTACTCTAGAGGTGATTACAGCCACGGCACGATGCTACATTACACAATGACTTCTTGTTTCTCCCTGTGCCTCGTTTCCCCTTCCCTCCCCTCTTCTTTGATGTAAACAAGTTGCAGTCCTCTGTTTCCATTTTCCCATTTCCCATGTACTATTACAAGCCGGCTCCTTTACATCCCCCATCCATCCATCCATCCATCCATTCATCCATCCATCTGACATGTGCAGCGTCTGGTCCGTCCGTCAGAGCGTAATGCCCCCGTCATCTTCGTCCATCGGCTGTTGCTCTTGCTCTTGCGCTGCCGTCTCATCAGCCGGACCGGCGGCTTCGGGCTCCAGCAGTGCCGCCCGCGCCTCACCCAGCGACGTGCTCGCCTCGCCCCCCTTGGCCTCGTAGATGCCAATGAGTCTCTCCAGCCTCGCCTTCTTTCTTGCTCTGTCACACACACCCTCTCCATCAGCTCCACACACTCACTCCCTCTCTCTTCCTCTCATGCTCATGCTCACATGATGTCGCGGTTCTCGCGCAGCGCCAGCGCCAGCTCCGCGCGGTCCTCCTCATCCAGCTCAAGCACCTCGTCCTGCTCGCCGCCATCGCCACCATCGCTGCCGTCGCCACCGCCGTCGGCCCTGCCCGCGAGGAGCGCTGCGATCGAGGCGTTGGAGCGCGTCAGGGACTGGATCTGCGTCGTGGCGTGCTGCACCAATGCGAGCACTTCGGTTATCTCGAGCGACTCGAGCGCCACTGCGTCATCGTTGTCCACCGCCGCAGCGGCCTTCTGGCCGGGTGCGGCTAGCATCGTGTTGGTGGCGGTGGGGGCAGAACGATGGGCATTCTTCTTCTCGACTCTATTCTAATTTTCTTTTCTGAGATTGTTCCTTGTGGAGGAAGGCAGGCAGTAAAGGAGCGATGGCACAAATCTAAATTGCTGCTGCTGCTGCTGTTGGAGATGCTGCTACTACGTACACGGCCGCCTTTTTGTGCGCTCACGGTCTGCTGTTATTGAGGGCTGCTACTGCCGCTGCTGGCGCTCTTGGCCTTCTTGAGGCTGCGCTCGAGCATCAAAAACGCCTTCATGCCCGGGTCCAGGCCGCCAATGACGCTGTCGACCTCTCGCTGGGCCCGCTCCTCGGCCTCTTCCTTTGTCAGCGTCGCGCCCTTCTCGTTACCCGCCTCTGCTGCTGGCGCCGGCCGGGGCCCGAGCAGGTCGACATTCCACTCGTCGCCCGGCAGGACACTTTGAAGCTTGCCGCGCGCAGCCGTCAGGTCCTCGTGGTACTCCTGCAGCGCCTCGGCGTAGAGGTCGTACACGCACCGTGCACACCCGCTCATGCAGCAGTCCTCAGGCCCCGGTGGATCTGGCCTCCTCGGCACCTCTACACCCTTGATGAAGATCTTTTTGTCCTTGGGCAGTTGCGGCTGCTGCTGCGACTGCTGATCCCCCGGCGGCGCAGTGCGCGTGTCGGCCTGCTCGGCGGGCGACTGCCTCGTGGCGAGTGGGACCTGCGGGTCAGTGGACGCGGAGCGCGAGGGCGTCGAGGCCATGGATGGCGAGGCCGGCTCCGAGGCGAGCGAGAGCGTCTGTGCGCCGTGGTCTCCGTGCTCCTCGAGCGCACCCTGCTCGACGATGGCCTCGACAATGTGCTTTGGCCATCGGTCAGCTAGGTTACCGAGCCCTGGGAGAGCACCTCGTCAGCAACTGAGGAGCCATACAGCCATAGAGACATAGAGAGAGAGAGAGAGAGGAATGAAGAGCAAGCAGGAAACTCACTCAGAGGAGACACTCACTCTGTCGACGCTTCACCCGTCGCACCTCATCGCCCAGTGAGGGCGCAGTCGCTTCTCTGTGCATTCTCGCAGATGTGTGTATACCCCTCGTCGACGTCGCGTTGCCTGCTGCTGTATTGTTGCTACTGCTGCTCTTCGTGCTGGCCGATGCGGCAGGCGATGTTCCATTGGACAGGACATAGCCCTTCGTGACGTCTTCCATCATCGTCCTGCACCCAATCCTCGCCTTGAGCCGGGCGCACAGCAGAAACGCGCCGCTGAGCTTGCGGTTGAGCGAGTACGTGGGCTCGGGTGGTGGTGTGAGCCGCTGGCGGAGCATGAGGGGGATCTGGGCCCGCACCCTGGCCGTGATGGTCTGGTCCTCAAACAGGTACGGGTCGGGCGCATCGCTCCGGAAAGGCTCGCCCAGCGCAATCATGCTGTCTACATGAGCCCGCTCCATCTCGGCCGACTCGTCGCCGGTCAGGTAGCCCACCTTGCGGCTCCACGCCACGCACTCGTCGTGGCGACCCCCGATGGCAGCGCGCAGCATGCAGAGCCAGTCATCGATGAAGTCCTTGGAGTACTCGCGCGTGGCGCCAAAGTCGATGAGCTCAATCTTGGCCGTGCGCTCGTTGTAGAGGAAGTTGGTCCAGTTGGGGTCCGTCTGCATCAGCCGGAACTCAAAGAGCTCGCGGAGCGACAGCTCGAGGATTTTACGGGCGATCTGCGACAAAAGAGACTGCGTCAGCTTCGAGATACATGTGCACTCTCACACCAGCAAAGGCAAGGACCCACATCGTCGCGCTTCTCCTGGCTGTACCGGCTGGCCTGGGTCAGCGGCCGTCCCTTCATCATCTCCGAGGTGAGGACGCGCTTGCTGCACAGGCCGTCGATGACGCGGGGCACGGCAAAGTGCGAGTCGGGGCGATTGAGGAGCTGACCGAACCGTCTGGCCATCTCTGCCTCGCGCTCGTAGTCGCACTCGTCGTCGAGCTCTCTGCGCATGACGCGGATGGTGTTGTCGAGAAAGAGGCCCTTGGGCAGCAGCGCAGAGGCCGAGACGAGCCATCGCAAATTCGAGAGGTCCGACCCGATTGACTCTCGCACGCCGGGAAACTGCACCTTGACGGCCACACGCAGCCCCGGGTCCGTCGGGTGGTCCTTGGCCAGCGTCGCAGCGTGGACCTGGCCGATGGAGGCCGAGGCAAAGGGCACGTCGTCAAAGTCGCCAAAGGACGCACGCCAGTCCTGGCCCAGATCCTGGCGCATGACCTGCTCCATCTGCCACACGGGCATGTAGTTTGCGCTGTTCTGCACCCGCAGCATCACCTCCTCGATCTGCTGGGGCAACATGTTGGTGTCCTGGATGCTCATGAATTGGCCCAGCTTCAGCGCCGCGCCGCGCATCGTGCTGAGCTTGTCGACGAGCCTGCGCACGTTGTCGTCGCTCATGAATCCTTGCTTTTTCTCGCCGCCGCCCAGGTACGAGCCGGCGCTGCCCCAGGCCAGGCCAGCGCCCAGGCTGCCGTAGTGGAGCAGACGGGCGATGCGGCTCGAGGGCACCTTTGCTGCGCGCAGTGGCGACGCCTTGTTCTGTGTTGTCGCATCGTATTCTTCCGCTTCTAGCGACGCATCGTTCTGCGTCGTTGCATCGTACTCTTCCACTTGTGGCGACGCCTCTGTCCGCGCCTCCTCGGCCAGCCTTTGCACCTTTTCGAGCGGCTTCTCTTTTGTTGTCTCGGTTGGCTGCGCATTTATGGCCGGCTTCTCAGTCACTTGTTCCTCCATGCTGGCTTGCTGTGCCTGCCCTGCTGCGTTCTCCTTGGCCTCCTCCTCGCCAAAGTAGCCGCGAAGCCCCTCATCGAGTCTCTTCAACAGCGCCTCGTTGTCTTTTAATGGTTCTCGTGCTTTTGCCTCCTTCTCATCGCCGGGATGGGAGCTGGAGCCGGAGCCGGGGTGGACGACCTTCATCTCTGTAAAAGTGCCGTCGGGCGCCATGGGCGGCACGCTGACCTGGTCGGCCGTGGGTGGCGGTCGGAGCACATGGCTCGGCCAAGGCCTCTCCTCGTCTCGATGACGAAGCGGTATGGCAGATGATGATGGCCCCGCATTGTACGCCTGGCTTGGCCACGGTCTCACCTGCCCCTGTGCTTGCTTCCATGATGACGAAGACGACGCCGACGCCGACGCCGACGACGAGGACGATGTCTCGGCGGCGGACAGGGCCGCTGCGCGCCGGGCAATGTCTGCCGCCGCGCTCAGGACAGCAGCGGCGTCCAGCAGCGCTCTCTGAAGCAGCCTTTGCTGGCCCGTCATCTCTCCTCTTCCCCCCCTCTTTTTCCTTGGCTTTCGTGTGCTTTTGCTTGAGCGGCAACGAAGGGCTGGAGCTGCGAGTGGAGTAGAAGGCGAGAAGACGAGACAAAAGACAAAGCTCGGGACTCGGGCCCGGACGTTGCTTTTTAATTTTTCCTTGCGCCTCAGACGTTTCATTCACTTACAGCCAGCGTCTGTTTGAGACGGCGACGGCGATGGTGGACCGAAGCCCAAAGGCAGCGGCCGGCGCAAAGGGAGGCTCAGCTAGGGTGCACACGGGCAAGACCATCCGCGCCCAGTCCCGCCCGCATCCTCGCGCGCAGCCGGCGACGGCGAGTGTCAGTGCGCACGGAAAGGACGAGCGGCTCCTCGCGTCGCTCTCAAACGACACCGAGGGCGCAGTCGGGAGCACAAGCGGTGGAGGCGCGGTCAGTGCAGGTGACAAAGACAAGGGCAAGGGCAAGGGCAAGGCGCGCGCAAAGGATGCTGCCGTCGTGGCGGGCAAGAAGTCGGTCCTGCGGCCCATCCTGGCCAGCCCCTACGCCTTCGCATGGTGAGTCTTGTATAGCGACTTGCCATGGTCTTCTACGGCTTGCTGATCAGATGGTCTATTACCAGGCCAAGCATCGCAAAGGCCGATGGCGAGGTGCTGCTGCATTCCCTCGTCGACTTTCTCAAGGCGGCCGTCGGGCCTCGCCGGCGCACAGCGCGAGCGAGCACGGCGGCTCAGTCGACGGACATGGACGTGGACCAGCCCGCACCGTCCACTTCTTCGTCGTCGGCGGCAGTGCCAGAAGTGGAGATCCTGACGGGCATCAACTCCATCACGCGGCACCTCGAGTCCGCCATCGCGCTCGCCCCGCCCGCCGCCGCCGCGTCGTCTGCACATCCACTCAAGCGAGGCATGCTCTTTGTATGCAAAGACGACGTCGAGCCAGCCGGGCTTGTCTCGCATTTCCCCATGCTCGTCTCCATCTACAACTCTTCCACTTCCACATCCACTTCTCCTTCCACTTCCACTTCAGCAGCAGCAACAGAAGGGAAAGGTGGATCGGCAGGCATCGTCCTCGTGCCGCTCCCTGCGGGCGCCGAGGCGCTCGTCGCGGCCGCTGCCACCGTTGAACAGCCAGCGCGCAGGGCAGCGAGCTCGCGCCGCACGCAGACAGAGACATGGCGGCGCCGCGCCTCGTCGCTCCTCGTCCTCGCGCCGCAGCATCCCGCAACGCCAAAAGCAGAGGAAACAATAGCAACGGCAACGGCAACAACGGCGGCGAGGGAGCTGTTCGACAAGGCGCAGCGCATGGGCCTCGCGCCGCCGCGGATGCCCTGGCTCGAGTCGGCCCTCCAAGCGCCAGTGGCAGGAGCAACAGCGGTGACACGAGCAGGAGCAGGAGCAGGAGCAGGAGCAGCGACGACGACAGGGGGGCAGGGAGAGCCGCGCCGGGTCGAACTCATCGTGCCGCGCATCAAGGTGCTCAAGTCGAGCGCGCCCATCGACCTGGCGCACATCAAGGCGCAGAAGAAGCAGCGCCGGACAAAGGAGCCCCGCGCGCGCTCTGCCGCTGCCGCTGCTGCTTCCCGCCAGCAGGTCGAGCAGGCTCTCAAGAAGAAGAAGAAGAAAAAGAAGAAGAAGAGAAAGGAGAAAGAGAAGGAGGCGGCGGGGAGTGCCGCAGAGTGAGAGTCATGTGCCATGGAAAGGAAGAATGTTATTTCTTGGACATCACAAAGAAAGAGAAGAAGAAAAGAGACAGCCAAGGCAAGGAGTGAATCGAAAGAAGGGAAAGCCAGTTGTATAGTGGAAGAAGAATGTAGCAGTAGTCTAGGACCGCTCGCTGTTGGCCCGGTTGCGGAAGCGGAGGAGGGGCGCGAGGCTGGAGAGGGTGCATGACTTTTGGAGAAATTCGTGCTGGAGCAGCTCGTCGGCCGAGGCGCGGCTCTTGACGTCGGCGCACAGGCACACGGCCAGAAAACCCTTGAGCTCCTTGGACAGCTTCTCGGGCTTCTTGAGCGTGGGGGTGCCGTTGGTGGCGATGAGGTAGAGGGCCTTGAGCGGCTCCTCGTCCAGGTACGGCGGCTCGTTTTCAATCATTTCAATGGCCATGATGCCCAGGGACCAAATGTCGACTTTGGCACCGTACTCCTTTTGCTTGACGACCTCGGGCGCCATCCAGTAAGGGGTGCCGACCATGGTGGCCCGCTTCGACTTTTGGTCGGTGAGCTTGGCGCAGAAGCCAAAGTCGGTGATCTTGACCTGGCCAGAGGCATTGAGGAGCACATTGTCCGACTTGATGTCACGGTGGATGATGCTCTGTGCATGCAGGTGCTCGAGGCCCTTGCACGTCTCAAAGCAGATGGCCGCAATCTGGTCCTCCTCGAGGGTGTTGTTGTCGATGATGTCGGTGAGTGCGCCGCCCTCCATGTACTCCATGATGACCCACAGCTCGTTGTTGCGGACGAGGTAGGAGTCGAGAAAGTTGACAATGTTGGGGTGCTGCGACTCCTTCATGACGAGAATCTCATTGACGATGAGCTCCTTTCTCGGCTGCTGGGCCAGGTCCATTGTCTTGATGGCCACGCGCTGGCCCGTGCTCAGCGTCTTGGCCACATACACGTTGCCGCTGGCGCCCTGGCCGACCTTTTTGATCTTGGAGTAGAGCACGTTGGGGTCCTCTGGGTTCACCACCGACCGGAGCTTCTCCATGATCTGCGCCTCGGACATGGTCGAGATGCGCCGATCCTGCTCCTTTTTGCTTGCGGCTGCTGCTGCTGCTGCCGGCGACGAAGACGACGATGATGAAGGCTCCTTCTTGGACGTCTGCAGCGGCTTGACGCCCGTGGCCGTGCCTGCCGACGGCGCCGGCGGGGGCGCACCACCAGCCTTTGCGTCCCTTGCCAGCGTCGACGCCGCCGCCGCAGAAGCAGCGGGCTTGTCCTTTGTCGGGCTCGACCGGCTGCTGCCGTCGTTCTTGTTGGCCGACGAGGACAGCTTCATGTCCTTGGTCTTGACGTTGAGTGCAGCGACACCCTTTTCCGCCTCGCGCTCTGCCCTCTCGCGCTCGCGTTCGGCCGCCGCCGCAGCGGCAGTCGACGACGCCGACGACGACGAGGTCTGCGCTTGGTGGTGTTGGTGGGCTGCGCCCGAGGCCGAGGCAGCGGCCGCCTTGGCTTGCGCAGCAGGTGCAGCAGGCGCCTTTCGGCTGGCGACGAGATCGGCCTGGCTGCCGCTGCCTGCCCCAGCACCAGCACCAGCAGCATGACCCGAGGGATGGGTGCGCTCGCGGGGCGTGGGCGTGGGCGCATTGCTGGGCCGGTTGCCCATGGGCGATGCGCTCCTCGACGTGCTCTGCGACGCGGCCTGGAGCCGGTCGGCCGACGTCTGCTTGTCGCCCAGGGGGGGCCTCGAGGTGGTGCTCGGGCTGCGTGCGCGGGCTGCCTGCGCCTGCTGGCTGTCCATCGAGGGCCTCAGCGACGATGAGGGAGCGCCATTCTGCGACGAAGAGCCACCACCGCCGTAGCTCGAGCTCGACGACGACTGCTTCGTCGACGACGAGGTCGACGTCTGCGACTGGCCACCGTAGCCGGTCCCTCCGAAGCGGCCGGGCGCATTGGCCTGCTGCGCCTGCGACGGGCCGCCGTACTGATTCCGCTGCTGGCTGCCTCCTCCACTGCTGCTGCCGCTGCCGCCGCCGCCCGGACGCATGTTCATGGTGGGTGTGCCCAGGCCAAAGTCGTCTCTCTCGCGCTTCTGGATGTCGGTGTAGAACTCAAGGACGTCGAGCACGGCCTGCGGGTTCTTTGCATAGTCCTCCTTTGTAATGGCACTCGTCGTCAGCAGCTTCGTCCACTGCTCGGGCAGACCGGTAAATGCGCCGCTGATGGGGTCAAAGCCGACGTGGACCTGGTGAACAAAGTTGGTGGGACTGCTGACACCCATGAGCGGCGACCGGTTGTACACGTCCTCGATCCAGCCGTAGAGCTCCTCGTCGTTTTTCAGCTGGAGGTAGAAGGTCTTGTCCTTTGTCTCGAGCTCGACGCAGTACGGCTTGAGGTCGGTGCGCGTCACGTTGGTAATGTCTTTGAGAAAGATGAGGGCGGTGGCCTGGAACGTTGTCTCGTTCTTGTGGAACGTGAGCGTCTGCTCGCGCAGTGCCAGCCATCGCTTGCTCCAGATCCAGCTCCTGATGCCGTCCTCCTTGACGCTGACGTAGCCCTTTCGCACAATGCCACCACCGCCGCCGCCGCCAGCACCACCGCCAGCGCCTCCCATGCCCGGCAGACCGATGCCGCCTCCGCCATTGGCCACGGCGCCGGGGCCAGCTGGTCTGAGGGGGCCCGTGTAGCTTCCCCCACCGGCCCCTGCGCCCGTGATGCCGGGGAGGCCGCCGCTCATGCTCGGCCCGCTGCTGTGCATAGGTAGTGCAGTCGATGACGACGACGATGATGACGAAGAGCCAGCGCCAGAGTGGTACGACGAGAGGGGCGGGAGAAACGCGTCGTTGTAGCGAGAGGAGCCACCGGAAGGTGCCGAGGGAACCGGGGGAGCACGACGCGAGGGCGTCAGGTTGCCCAGGCCCTGTCCCCCTCCTGCGCCAGACGAGAAGCCAGACATGGCGCTGTAGCAGCGGCTTTGCTTAGCAGCGGCTCTGTGTTTAGGCAGATGCGGCCGTCGGCGTAGTAGTTCGTTGGGCGTGTGGCGTATGCAGCACGCGCGCGACTTGGACGGTGGGTATCGTCGCTTCTCTTCTTGGCCTTGGCTTGCGCGAGAGCGTGTGCGGGCGTGATTTTCCCTGTCTCGCGGCCTCGCTGCTCTGCTGCCCTTTTTATCTCTTGCCTTGCGCCGTGGGAAAGAAAGGCAGAAACAACCAGTCCAGCTCTAAGCTCTAGACGGCTGATTGTCGATCGCCAGTCGCAATGATGCGCGGGCGTACGTGTGCGTGCGTGCGTGCGTGCGCCGTGGCGTGGCGTGGCGTTTGCGCGGCGCCCGTTGGCTTGGATCTGCTCGTCTGGGGACGGCCCGTGCCTCGTTGCTTGCGCCTGTTTGCCTCGCTCTTTCTTCCTCACTCTCGCGCGCGCTTGCTGCGCTGGTATATGCAGACGGGAGAGGGCGCGACGAGGGTTGCGCGTCGTGCGTGCGTGTGTGCGATAAGACGGGCGATCAGGGGAGGGTGGGAAAGGAAGGGCGACGAGGGAGCTGTCCTTCGCTGCTGCTCCACTCAAGAAGAGAAGAAAGAAAGAGGACAGGACAAAGGGAGAGTCGACGAACACACGGGGTTCGTGTGTGTCTTTAATAGGGGGAATGGGGTGAGACAGAGGGCGTGGGCGTTGCGCGAATCTCCTCTCGCCTTCGCTCGTCGCTGTCAAGAGCGCAGGCGGACTCGTCGAGGTTGTTCGGTCGCCGTCGACAGGGAAGGAAATCGATCGGTTCAACGAGGGAAAGAGGAAGGGGGAGATAGTAGTAGCTAGTAGCAGGGATCGCACCCTATCGCGCTAAAGATGACCAGCAGGGCTCTCCTCGGTACCGTTTCTATATCAATTAACGTTTTCTTTAAAACACAAGCAGCGAGGAAAGCCTTAAAATGGACTGACTGACTGTGCGCTATTTTAATTTGGAGCTGCCACGCGACTCCCGAGCCACCCCTTTTGTCAGACATGCGAGCCCGCGCGGGCTGCTGCTAGCAGTGAAGGAACGGCCGACAGATAGGGCGCGGGACGCGGCCTCTTCCTCAGTCCCTTTTCTTTGGAGATGGTCTTCTTCTCGCAGAGCATGGTTCTGCAGAATGGCTCGAGCAGGGCAATGAATATAGTAGCGATGCGGTTGTAAAGATAGAAGTACAGCATGGTTGATGTGTGCGCTCAGGCAAGCAGCGCGTTGCTCCTCGGCCTCGTCACCGTCGGCTTGCGCGCGGCAGAAGAAGAAGAAGTGAGCGAGGATCGGCCGCCCGAGGCCGCGCGCCGCGCAATGTCTGCCGCAGAAGACGAGATGGTGGCGACCCTGGCCGTGGGCGCGGCAGGCGCGGCGGCAATCTTTGCCCTCGTCGTCGCGGCCGTTGTCGCCGCCGCCGCCGCAGCCGCTGAAGACAGGCTGGACCGTGAGCGCGACATGGTGAGCTCGCTGATGTCCATGGGCACGTCGCGGCTCTTGCGCAGCTCTGCCTCGTTGACGCCCACGTTTTCCTTGTCGCTCTGGCCCGCGTCCGCCTGCCGAGCAGGTGCCTTGTTCGAGGATGTCGACAAAGAGCCCCTTCTCTGGGCCAGAGGACCCTGCCCACGGCTGAGGGAAGGGGCGGCAGGCGTGGGCGTCGCCGCAGCAGCAGCAGCAGCAGCAGCGGCCGAGACCCTGCGCACGGTGCTTGGCGGCCCCATGGCGCCCTTGACCTTGACCGCTCGCTGTGCAGTGCTGCCCGGGTCCCTTGCCAGGCGCTGAAAAGCGTCCTCGCTGAATGCCTGTGGGTCCATCGTCGTCCTCCGCCTCGTCGCTGCCACGGCCGAAGGGCCCTTTTTGAGCGAGGGCAGGCTCTCGTTGTCCGTCTCTGTCTCTGTCTCTTCCTCTTCTTCGCCATCGTCCAGGCCGACTTTCTCCACACCGAGCATCGCCGGCTGTGGCACCGCCTGCCTGGCGTCGGGCGTCTTGGACGCAGTAGCCCGGCCCCCCCTGCGCTTGAGCATGTCGACCTCCATCTGCTTTGCGGAAAAGGCCATCGAGAAGCTGGCCAGGTCGGCCCCGAGGCGCTCCCTGGCCTTGCGCAGCTTGGCAATCGTCAGGCCACGGCTGCCGATCTCCTGCTCGAGCGCCTTGATGCGGTCGTCCCTGGCTGTCGAGGTAGTAGCAGCAGCAGCAACAGTGGAAGAAGCACCTCCATCCCTATGGCTCGCGCTCGTGGCAGCAGCCTCGAGCTGGTCGATGCGCGTCTGCATCGTCGCACGCTCGCCTTCCAGCTCGTCGAGCTTGGTCTGCAGCGTCGTCGCCGAGTGCTGGCGCTCGTTGGACTCCTGCTGCACCCTCCCCAGCAGCTTCTCGAGCTCCGAGAGGCTGTCGAGGAGCGCGCCCCGCTCCTGCGCCATGGCATCGCGCTCCTCGACGAGCTCGTGCCTGTCCCGGACGAGCATGTCGCGCTCGTCCTGCTCCTGCGCCACCAGCACCCGGCGTGCCTCTTCGCCCTCGTCGACCTGCTCCCGTGCGCGCTCGAGCTCCTCCTCGACGTGCTGCAGCCTGCCGCGCAGCTCGTCGACCTGCTCGCTGGCCTCGCGCGCCATCCGCTCCTGCACATCGCGCATCTCGCGCATCTCGTCCTGCGCGGCCCTGCTCGCGACGTCGACCTCCTCCATCTGCGCCTCGTGCTCCTCGCGGATGCGCTCGAAGCGCGCCTGCAGCGCCTGCGTCTCGTCGCGCATCTGCGCCTCCGTCTCGGCCTGTGCTTCTCTGATGCTCGCCTCGGCTGCGACGGCCCTCGCCTCGGCGTCCTCGCGCTGCCGGATGGCATCCTCGGCGCTGCGACGCTCGGCCTCCAGCTGCGCCTTGAGCGCGTCGTTCTGCGCCGCCAGCGCCTGCTCCCGCGCGTCGCTCGCCTCGGCGTGGGCCCACTGGCAGCTCAGCTCCTCCTGCAGGCCCACAAGGCGCGTGCGGAGCCGGTCCCGCTCGGCGACGGCATCGTCCAGCTGCGCCTGTGACGGGCGCGCCAGGAGTGCCTCGCGCGTCTCGTCGAGCAGGCCACGCAGGCGCTCCTGCTCCAGCTGCGCTGCGCCGAGCTGCTGCGCTGCCGTCCGTGCTTCCTCATCTGCCTTTGCCTCACCGTGCTTCTCAAGGTGCTTTACGTCGTCCTCCTCCTCCTCCTCGTCGCCATCGTCGCCGCTCGCCCGCGCCTCGAGGCGCGCCTCCGCATCGTCGAGCCGTGCCTGGAGCTGCTCCAGCGCCTCGGCGTGCTCGCGCTCGAGCTCGTACCTCTCGAGGTGCCAGTCCACCTGCTCGTCGCTGTCCCTGCCCTCTTTCCTTGCACGATCGTCCTCACGCTCCCGTCCAAGCTCGCCAGTCCGTCCAAGCTCACCAAGCTCACGCTCGGCCGCACTCCGCCGCTCGCGCTCAAGCGCAAGCTCCCTTCGCAGCGCGTCGACGTGGGCCTCAGCGCTGCCGCTGCCTCGGCTGCTCTCGCGCTGCGCAAGCTTCTCCTTGACGCGCTCAACGAGGCCCTCGACCTCGTCCATCGTCGCGCGCCGGCGCTCCTCGGCACGCTCGGCCTCGCGCTTGAGCCGGACGAGCATGCCATGCAGGCGCTCCGCCTCGGTGCGTGCGCGCCCGCTCGCATCGCGCTCGCCCTCGAGGGCCATGCGTGCCTGCCGCGCCTCGACCTCGACCTCGCGGATGCGCCGCAGCAGCGCCTGGCCCCGCTGCGTGTGCGTCACGTCGAGGCTGTTCATGGCGTCGAAGATGTCGAGCAGGCTCGCGCTGCTGCTGTTGCCCGCGTTGCCCGCGTGAGATGTTGGCGACGGCGAAGAGCTGGCCCGGTCTGCCGTCTTTTTCCTGCTGCTCCCTGTTGACGAGGTCGAGGACATGCTTGCATCCTCGGCCTGGCGAGCAGCAGAGGAAGACGACGCGTCGCCCAGCTGCTGGCCGATGGAAGGCGACGGCGACGGCGATTCAGCGGCAGCGGTGTTGCACAGCGGCGAGCTCCTGGCGGGCGTAAAGGCGTGCTTGGCCGACGAGAGGGGGAGCAGCACGGCGCGCCGCGCGGCCTTTTGCGCCGAGGGCGACTCCTCGAGGCTCTTTGGGCGCCGGCCGAGCGACGACGACGAGGAAGACGACGCAGCGGCACCAGCAGCAGCAATAGCAGACGGAGAAGATGGCGCGTCCCCTAGCAGCGCGCTGCTGGGCGTGTCATCCGGCTGCTGCTGCTGCTCGCGCTGCAACTGCGACTGCGGCGTGCCAAAGCTGCGGTTGCTGCTGCCTTGGCTGCTCGTGCTGCGCGTGCTCTTTGCGCTTCCTCGCTGCGACTGCGTCGTGTGGCTGCGGGGGCTGAGGTAGTCCGATGAGGGTGAAGCAGACGACGACGAGGAAGGCGTGCGGCCGTGCGTCTGCTCCACCGGCCTGGGCGTGAGGGCAGGGGAGGTGTTTGCCTCGAGTTTGCTGCTGCTGTTCTCTATCGAGTCTTGTTCACCATTTTGCAGCTCCTCCTCCTTAATTTCCGCCTGGTGCTCTGCCGACTCCTGCCCTTGTTGAGGGACCATCTGTTCAGGTTGATCGGCAGGCAGCTCGGCGGTCCTGTCCGGCTGCTGGCTGCTGTCTGCAAGCCCACTCATGGCCCTGCCCATCTCCCGCCGCAGGAAGCTCTCGCTGAAGCTCATGTCGTCGAGCGCGGCACCCCTGACGGGTGTCTTCTGGGCCGTCTCTGCTGCTGCTGCTGCTTTGTTTGTCACAGAAGGAGCGGCCTTGACCGGCGACCGCGTCTCGTCGGCCAGGTCCAGCGACTGGTCCTCGAGGCGCGAGAAGCTGTCGCTGATCGACGGCAGCCCAGAGAGGCTGTCCTCGTACTTGGTGTCTGATGTCGGTGCCGTCGGCAGCGGTGCCGGCGGAGAGGCAGACAGCGCCGCGAGTCGCACCGTCGGGCTGCTGACGTTGCTGTTTGATGCGTGTGAGCGTGTGCCGCGCGACGATGTGCTCTCATCTCCATCCTCGTCCTCGTCGTCTTCCTCCTCTTGACGAGCGCTGGTTTGGTGCAGAGACCTCGGCGAGGCGCGCTCGAGAGGATGCGAGGCCGTGGAGCTGACCGTCATGCCGCTCTCGTCGCCGTCGTCGTACATGCGCTTGCCAAAGCGGACGCTGGAGCCCGTGCCCGGCGTGTCGGGCTGTCGGAGGATGCTGCTCCCTCCTCCATCCGCCCGCCGCGGTGCTCCTGACACACCCGGAAGCTTGGACTGGTCAGAAGGGGGTGAGGCATGGCGCGTCATGCTAAACGAGTCGACTGTATGCGTGCGTTAGCTTAGTGGATCTGGCAGAGAACTGCTTTGGCCAGCCACTCACAGGACTGGTCCAGGTCGCCGAGCGGCTTCTCGTTCCCTCTGAGCGTGGGCCGGATCATGAACTGCGTTGTGCTGGCCCATGCGGCTGCGCGCCGCGGTGTTGTGGCAGCCGAGCTGCTGGAGAAGGACGGCTTCGTCGGCGAGGACGCCATCGGCCGCACGGGCGAGGCCATCGAGCCGGGCGAGTCAGGCACCGCGGCAAAGGCAAGTGAGTCCTCGGAGCCGGACACGGACTCGTCGCCGAGGCTGCTGTCGAAGCTGTCGTCTATCCGCTGCATCTCGTCGACACTTGGCCTCGTCGCCCTTTCTTCTTCTGCAACCAGCTTGCAACCTGGTGTTGGGTGTTGGACGCCCGCGCCCCGCGCCAGAGATAAACAGTCCAAAATTTAAATTGGAAAAGAGGCGCGTGGAGAGGCACGTGTGCCGCTCAGGCCAGGCAAGCAGCGTCTGTGCGATCGTCGCTGCTTTGCGCTGCTTCCTGTCTCTGTCTTGTCTCTCTCTTGCTTGTCTTTGCTAGTAAGTCAGTCAGTCACTGGTGATTGATCGTCGAGCAGCACAGGGCCGAGATCTCTCCATTCGAGACCGAGACGAGGTCCGACAAGGAGCCGAGGATGAGTGCGCGGCCGTCGTTGGCGCCCTCGCGGCAGGCCTCGATGGCTTCTGGCATTGCGTCGCCGTCGCCATCGCACATCGCAGCAGGCGGCAGCGGCGGTGTCGTCGGCGGTAGCGGCAGCGGCAGCAGCAGCACTGGAGGAGGAGTCGCAGGGGCAGCCACACGCTTCCGGAGGCTGGTCTGGGAGGCCGCGATCCCCGTCGTCGTCGGCGTAGAGTCGGGCGACCTGCCCTCGGGCTCGGACCGGTCAGTGGAGACGTACTATGCCTCGGCCGCACGCATCTCGTACCTGCCCCTGCTTCTGGCCGAGGTGCGCCGGAACCTGCTCCCGCTCGTCCTCGATGGTGCGGCGCTGGACAAGATTGAGGAAAAGGACTGCTGGTTCGCCTTTGAGGGGACGCCCCTGCGGTGGTGTGTATGCTCCTTACTTTTCTTCTCTGGTCCAAAGCAAGCTGACCCACTCGATGACTTCTCTTCTGACGCGGCCAGGCACTGGCCCATCGGCCTGCTGTACGACTACCACACCAGCAACGCGGCGCCCTCGCAGCACCGCATGCGCACTCCGTCGGCCTCGTCACCCCTGTCGAGCCGCAGGGCGTCGCATCAAGCGCCGCCGCCGTCCGACGAGAGCTACTTTCCCGGCCCGCCTTCCTCCCTCGCGCTTCCTCCGCAGGCGCAGCAGAATCAGCAACAGCAGCAGTCACAACAGCATTCACAACAGCAGTCACAGCAGCAGTCACAGCCACAGGGCCCGCCGATACCCTGGCGGCTCACGCTGCGGCTCAGGAACCCGCCGCTGGACAAGCTGCACTCGACGGCGGGGCTCGCCTCGTGCCGCGCGAGCTTCATGAGCATGCTCAAGGAGGCCGACTTTGTCCGCTACGGCAGCACCAAGCGCGTCACGAACCTGCGCAAGAGCGACCAGGACCAGCTGTGGGACGGCGTTGTGCAGCGTGAGTAGAACGAACCCTACTTGCTTGTCTGTTCTCTCCTCGCTGACGATGGCTGACTGTATCTTTTAGACGACTTCGACCTCTACTGGGCCGTCGCCGCGAAGCTCGTGCCCGTCGTGCCCGATGGCCTGCCCCCGCTGCAGCAGCCCACGCACGACCGCTCGCGCACGGCCTCGGCGGCGGGCGACGACGAGCGCTTCAACACCGTCTCGTCGACGGCGACGGCGCGGCCATCGCTGACGCAGCAGCACAACGAGTCACAGACGTCGCTCGCCGCCGCCAGCATGCACAGCGTCGCGCCCTCTGAGGCGCCCTCGCTTGCCTCAACAGCCGCTGGCCCTGGCCCTGGATCTGGCTCGTCCTCGTCGGCCGTCCGCAGCGTGCCGATGCGCTTCCACCTCGTCGACGGCGCGCCCATCGTCCAGGAGCCCGTCGCGCCCTACCTCGACGACGGCCGGCCCAACACCATCCACCTCGTCCTCTCGGGCCTCTTTCCGCTCCTCTTTCCACCCACACCCACCTTTGGCACCCACGCCGCGCCGCCGCCTGCGCTGGCCTACCCTGTCGTGCAGGGGATACGCCTCCCACTCGAGACCGACGTCGCCTGGCTCGGCGCCGCCCTGCCCAGCGCCGACGGCTGGTGGGTTTTCCTTTACTTGTTACTGCATATAGACCAGTCGCTCACTCATTTCTTGCTTGCTTTGCTTGCCTTTCTCAAACAGGGTCGCCGTCTGCATCAATCTCCTCATCGACGGCGAGGAGCCTGTGCCGCTGCCGCCGACCAGCCGGCTTGGCCTGTAGTCCTTCTTTTCCCCTGCGATAACTCTGCAATACTCGATATACCTTGGCACAGCCCTCAATGAACACTGTCACACAAGACACTGAATGATCACCGTCAAAAGACCTGAGATAGCACTCTCAAAAAAACTGAAAGAAGACAGCCAAAAGACACTGTCAAAGAAGCCCTTTAAAAAGACACCGAGGAACACACACATTCCACTTTGCTTATGCTATGGAGGATTGCTGCTGCTACTGTTATGACTGCTACTGTTATGACTACTACTGCTGCTAGAATACAGTGGGCCTCAGGACCAGCACTCCTCCTGCCACCTGCCCTCGCGCTCCATCGTCGCCACAAACGCCTCCGCCGCCGCCTGGCCCAGCGCCTGCTCGTTCTCTCCTCCTTCGCCGCCGTTGTCCTCTTCCCCTTCCTCTGAAGAAGAAGCCGAGGCAAGAACATCGACGACGGCCTGGCGCACCGCCTCTGGCATCTTGCCGCTGCTCCCGCTCACAAACACCCACGCGCCGCGGTGCAGAACGAGGCGCCGCACGCGCGCGCCCTGCGCCCGGATCGCGTCCTGCACATAGAACTTCCCCGCCGTCGTCGTCGCACTTTTCTGACCAGCGCCAGAAGTCGCGGCGGCGTCGCGCGAGGCGGCGAGAAAGAGGCCGCCGAGGCGCGCGTCTGCCGCGAGCTGGCGCAGCTCGGACCCAAAGAGAAAGTCCTTGGCCGCGTACCGGCATCCGGCAAAGACGAGATCCTCGGCCCCCTGCTGCGGCTGCTGCTGCTGCTGCTGCGGTGATACGGTGGGCGCAGAGCCAAGGCGCGCCAGGAGCAGGGAGCGCATCGGCGCGATGCCCGTGCCTGGCCCGACAAAGATGCACGGCGGCGAGGAGGACGACGACGACGACGACGGCAGGCGAAAGGTGCCGCGCTTGAGCTGGATGGGCACGCGCACCGGCGCATCGAGGCTGGCGAGGTAGAGGGTCAGCACACCGCGGCGCGGGGCCTTGAGCCGCGTGCGATAGCGCACCACCGCCACGGCCAGCTCGAGGGTGTTGCCTTTGCCGTCGCCGTCGCCGTCGCCGTCGCCGTTGTCCTCGACTTTGCCATTGCTGCCGCCCTCGCCGCCGCTATCGCCGCCGCGGTGCCGCTGCGGGGCCGAGGCGATGGAAAAGTCGCGGGCGCGCATGGCCGGCACGACGTCGAGCACGTGGCGCAGCGGCACGGCCACGTCGGTGAACTCCTCGAGGACCTCGAGGATGGTGCGGCGGACCCGCTGGGCGTACTCGTACATGTCGTCGGCGCCCTCGCCGGGGGTCACGTACTCCTGCAGCTTCTCGCGCTGCAGCGAGCCGGGCTTGCTAAAGGGCAGAATGGCCTCGAAGAACGACTGGCGGGGCACCGAGAGAAAGTCGAGGTGGTGGACGCATACATCGCGCAGCGTCGGCCGAGAGGGGCAGCCGGGCGGCAGCGGCGGCGGGTGCGGGTCAAAGGCGAGCGGCTCGTCGGCGAGGGCAAGCCAGCCCATGCGGGTGAGGAAGCGGTCCACGTCCGGCGCCAGGTTCGCTGGCCGCAGCGAGACGACGTCTCCGGGCGCGTATGCGAGCCCTTTGCCCTCGCCCTGGAGGGAGAGTAGACGCACGTCCTGGAAGTGGTCTGGCGCCGTCATGCGCTCGTTCCTGGTCAGCGTGGCCCACTGCCACCCTTCAGGCAGGCTGACTGTTTCTTCTTTCGAAACGGGCGACGACGACGAGGCTATCCCATTGGCCGACGATGGTAACGACGACGACGACGACGGCGACGACGACGACGAGGCACGGGGACCCTCGGCGAGGCTGACGGCAATCTCGGGCTCGAGCAGAACATCGTCGGGGATGGCGTCGACGCCGTCGGGCAGGGGCATGACCTGGTCGAGGACGTCCCAGACCTGCTCGAGCCAGGGCTGGAGGGCGCCGTCGATGCCGAGAAAGTGCTGATCGTCGGCCTCGGCGCCGGGCAGGAGCTCCTGGGCGCCGAGCCCGCGCAGGCGGCGGCCCAGCTTGCGGATCGGCCAGCAGTAGCGCTTGTACGACGTGTCGCCGAGGCCAAAGGTGGCAAAGGTGACCTCAGAGAGAATGTCTGGCGGCAGGTCGGCGCGCAGCAAAAAGTGCCAGAAGCGCAGCGCGGCGGGCGGGAAGTCGCCCTGGCCCGTCGTCGAGAGGACGAGAAAGACGAGCGGCTCCGCGATGAGGTCCGTCTGTGTCGATGGAGTGTCAGTCAGTCAGTAAAGCAGCTCCAGAAGAAGCTTAGAATGGGCACCCACCACGTCGTACTCGTCCATGCTCTTGACGACAACGTGGATCCGCCGCCGGCGGGCCTGCCGCGCGATGCGTGTCGCCACGTCCTGCGCATTGCCCGTCTGCGTGCCATAGAGGACCGTAAATGCCCGCTGCTGCTGCTGCTGCTGCTCCTGCACCTGCGCCTCCTCTTCGACCCCGTCGTGCTCCTCGCCTATCGACATGGCTGCTTCGTTGTCATGGAGAAGTGACGATCCGTCGCTTCTTCCGTCCTCTCTTTGTTTGAAAGATGGTTTTAGTATTTGGCTGAATCAGTGATGAGAAATTGTCATCAAGTGGAGCAGAGGAGCGAGCCACGTGAGGCGACGCCATTCTGAGAAAATAAGCCGCGCGAAGTCGAGCGCGACGCGAAGGCCTGCATAGAGGAACACCTTTCGCGACGGCTTGCCTCACTGACGAGTGACTACCAAGGAGGAGTAGACAAAGGAAAGAGAACCAAAAGAAGCAGAAGAACATGGGCCGCGGGCTGTAGAAGAGAGGAAAGCCAAAAGATGGACACAGGCCTGTCGTCCTCGTCGCCGCTCCCGCCACCACTGCTCGGGCGCTCGTTCGGCGTCTCTGCGCTCGACTCGTCTTCGCCCGTGCGCAACCGCGGCAGCCTGAACGGCTCATCGTCGTCATCGTCGTCATCGCCCCAAACGACGCCGTACTCTTCGCCGTCGCACGCACACAAGCACGGCGCCACGACGATGCGCTCCTACTCGAGGTCGCGTTCGGCCTCTGCGCAGGAGGAGGAGGAGGCGCCCGAGGACAAGATGGCGTTCCTTGCGCGCTTCCGAGCCGGACGTGTTGGTGCTGCTGCTGTTTCTGGCGCCACTGCAGACTCCAGCGACCTGTCGGACCCTCCTCCGCTCTCATCTGAGATGCGGCAAGAAGAAAGAGGAGCGAAAAAGTCTAGCAGCCCGTCGGACGAAGAAGGCGACAGGACTGTTCTCGGCGGCGGCATCGCAGCACGTATGCGCGGCAGGGGACAGCAGGCTCCAGCAGCAGTAGCCGAAGACGAGGGCTCATCAGAAGAAGAAGAGGGAGAAGGAGAAGAAGCCTCGAGGCACTCGCCAAGCCCGCAGAAGGGCGCGTTCGGTCCGCTCGGGAGCGACAAGGCAGCCAAGGTGAGCCGGCCCCGGGGCGCAAGGGCCATTTTTGCCCTGCCGGGACAGGAGCACGATTCCGAGTCATCCGACGATGGCGATGGCGAGGCCGGCCAGAGCGACGAGGGCATCAGCGGACTGAAGGCGCAACAGCAACAACAGCAGCAGAAGCGCCAGCAGCGCATCCTCGCCATGGCAGCACGCGCGCGGCAACGCAGCGGCGCAGGCGACGACGACGAGCGGGACGACGAGGGCGTTGTCGCAGCACGCCGGCAGCGGTCCTCGTCGTCGCCCGTGTCCGACGTCGTCGAGGTGGACGAAGCGGGAGGAGACGACGAGGAGCTGCCCACGGGTGCCGAAGTGAGCAAGATGGCGAGCGACCGCCGGCTGAAGACGATCAAGAAGCAAAAGGAGATTGCAGAGAAGCTCCACCTGGCTCCCTCCAAGGGCAAGGGCAAGGCAAATGAAAAAGACAAGGGCAGACGCGGAAATAAGCTGCAGATGGCCGCCGAGAGCGAGAGCGACAGCAGCGACGACGGGGCGCCAGTGTCGGCAAAGAGGGCCGACAAGCAGCCTGCAGCCAAGGTGAGCCACGGTGATGTATGCGGTATCACAGACGAGTGGCTGACGTGCTCTTGACCAGCCGCTGAGCAAGAAGGAGCTCGAGGAGATGCACCGCATGCAGGCGCGCATCGAGCGCCAGCGTCTCGCCCAGACGGCCCGCGTGGGCATCGACGCCCAGCGTTCGCGCGAGCGAAAGGGCCTCGGCATCGGCGACCTCCTCTCGAGAGTCGAGGCGAGCGAGAGGTGAGCTTGGTCGTGATATCGTGGGCATGTCGTCATGATACTGATGATGCTCTCTGGAATTAAAGCGCCCGCCGCCGTCATCAACAGGCACCGCCACAGCTGCAGGCACGGGAGATGAACAACAACGACTCAGACCCCGTCGAGTCGGCGTCGTCGGGCGAGGATAAGGACGAGACGTCGCCTCGAAGAAGTACTACAGCAGCAACAGGCCCGGCATCGCTGAGCAGCAGCCCGACGCTGCGGCGCATCAAGAACCCCTTTGGGAAGCCGCCGCCCAGCTCGCTGTCGAGCAGGGCCGCGCAAAAGCAGGACAAGGGGCAGAATGACGACGGCGACGGCGACGAGGAGCTGCCCGACGCAGACGCAATGGTCGAGCAGGCCCTGGAGGAGCGCAGACGCAAGGAACGGGCAAGAGTGCTCCTCGAAAAGAAGCAGCGGGCGCTCGAGAGGATGGCCGAGCAGAAAAAGGGGGCCGAGCTGAAGAACAACGACGACGACGTCAACAAGGACGACGACGACGACGACGACGTCATTGAGATCGTCAAGCCCGGTCTGGCCCCGCACGGCAAGAGCAAGATGCCCGCGATGAAGCCGAGCCGGACTGGCATCGTCGCCTCCAACGGCTCGCCGGGTATCGCTGCTGCCTCGGCGTCGTCCCGGAAGCCGGACCCAGCGTGGCCCAAGCTCGTGCCGCCCGACTTTGGCGGTAGCGGCGGCAACAAGAAGACGGTGCGGCTGGGCGTCGCCGTCGAGGAGGAGCATGCACAGGAGCACGAGCAGAGGGAGGAGCAGAAGCAGGACAGGAAGCAGGCGCCACTGGGCAAGGACCGAAAGACGATGACGCGCGAGGAGCTGAATGCGACGCTGCGCCGGCAGATGCAGCGGCAGAACATTGAGATGCGGACAAAGAAGGAGAGCGAGTACCGGAGCAACCCGCGCGCAGGCCCAAGACCGCCCGTCAAGGAGGAGGAAGGGAACGACGAGGACGGAAAAGGTGCACAGGACGGCTCTGGAGGGGGTGTCGATGTGTCGCGCCTGCTCGAAGAGTGGCGCCGGCGCGAGCGAGGAGAGGACAAGGCGGAGGGCGACGACGAGGAGGCCGATGACCAGGACTCCGAATTTGTGCCCGATGACGACGGCGAAGACGTCGAGATGGGCCCCGAGGCGCAGGAGGAGGACGATGAAGACCAGGTCGACTGGGGCAGTGCGAGCGAGCCCGAGGAGCAGCGAGGCGGTGAGGACGAGGAAGAAGAAGAAGAAGAGGTGGCCAACTCCGAGGCAGAGGACAGCGAGAAGGAGAACTCGATGCCGCCGAGCCAGGAGCCGATGCAGCGGACATCCTCCTCCTCGTCGTCATTGCTCCGGAGGGCCTCGCAGCGGTCGCAGGGCGCCAATGGCGACGAGCAGCAAGAGCGCTCGCCGCTGCAGCCCATCGAGCCTGAGCCGCTGTCCGACGCGGGTGCCGACGACGACGACGAGGGGCCCATCGCCATCCAGAGGAGGCACTCGTTCGCAGCGTCATCGTCCGCCTCTCCGCCTCCTCCTGCTGGTAGTCCTCTGCTCGGCGATGGCCTTGGCGACGGCCACAGCGACGGCCTCGGCGACGGTCTCGGCTTCACGCAGTTCTTCAAGCCGACGCAAGGCACAGGACCGGGGCCGGAGCCAGCGTCGATGCCCACCCAGACCGACGAGGGGCTGGAATCGACAGCAGCAGGCGAGGATGCACTGGGCCAGTTCTTTGAAGACACGCAGGTCGATGCGCCCCTGCGCGGCGAGTCGCTCGAAATCATTGGCGCACTCGATGGCGAGCCTGCAGGCTTCACCCAGTTCTTTGAGCAAGGCACCCAGGTCGCGCAGGGCCACGTCGCAGGACCCAGCGCCAGGCCGAGGGGCTCGCTGCAGCGCACGGCGAGCAGCGCCATGATGCCGCCGCCGTCGTCGACGCTGCTGGGCGCATCGGCCGAGGATGGCTTCGAGGCCCTGCGCCGGGCCCAGCGCGCCGCCGAGCTGCCCCTCGATCCGTTTGACTCGCCCGAGATGCCCGAGCTGGCCTCTGAGGACGACGACGAGGATGATGAAGGCGGCCTGTATGCGCATGGAGCTGGCAGCAGCAGCAGCGCCGGCAGGGCTGCTGATGCACAGACGACGCCCGTGCCTGCGAAGCGGTACATCAACCGGCAGGGCTTCTTTACCCAGACGCGGCCGTCCTTTGGCCCCATTGGCTCGTCTGTCGGCGTGAGCCAGAGCCAGAGCCAGTCCCAGTCCCAGTCCCAGTCCCAGTCCCAAGGACTTGCTCTCGGTCTAGGTTCCGGTCTCGGCCACGGCGGCACTGGACACTCAGGCCTAGGGAGTGCGGCGCGGAACGAGGCGTCGAGCAGCGACGGGGAGCGGCGGAGCAGTCTGATGGAAGAAGACGACGACGAGAAGCGAGAAGAGAGTGATGCAGAGGCGCAGCAGGATGCAGCCAAGCCAAAGGACGCATGGCAGGTGCTGCGCATGGCTGGCCGTCGCCCTCGACCTGCGCATGAGGAAGAAGACGACGAGCAGCAGAAGTTGCAGGAAGAGAGGCACAAGAGACGAAAACTCAAGAGGAGCGCGTTCGTCGAGGGCGAGGCTGTCGAGTCGGACGAGGACTCGGACGGCGAGACTGGCCGCCGGCGGGGCAAGGGAGGCGGCCTCGGCGGCGTCTTTGGCGACGCTGGCTCGGGATCTTCAGCCAATGGCTCGGATGAGGATTCGGACGACGACGACGACGACGGCGCGGACCTTGAGGACCTCGTCGACGAGAGCGCCGATGCCGACGAGGCAGAAAAGGACGAGCTGGCGCGCGCGCGCTTCCGCCTCGACGTCGAGGCCGACGACGAAAAGACGCGGGCGCTGCACGAGAAGGCGACCAAGGGTGGCCTGCGCCACCGCCGCCGGCGCCACGGTGCAGGCGCGGCGGGGCTCGACGACATGCTCGACGAGGACTTTGAGGACGAGGACCTGTGGAGAAAGGCGGCGAATCCGTATGGGTCAGCGGCGAGGGCGGCGGCAGCGAAGCGCAAGCGCAAAGTCGACGGCGACGGCATGGAGGCGCTTATGGATGACGACGAGGCGCGGGCATTTGTCAGGGCCTACGACGAGGCGCGCGGCCTCGAGGGCGAGAAGAATGCCGAGGCGTACGCCTTTCTCGCTGGCGCAGACGACGACGACGATGACGAAAATAGCGACAACGACGATGACGGCGATGATCGCGAGGGAGAGGTCGAGTCGGGCGAAGAGAGGCTGACGAGGCGCGAGCTCGAGCGCGAGGTGCGTGAGCGTGCGCGGCGGAGGAAGATGCGCCTGGACGAGGACGAGGACCGGGACAAGGAGGAGAAGCAGGGTCACAAGGACAATGCCGACGACCGGGACAGTTCAGACGACGAGGAAGAGGACAGGATCCTGACGAGGATGCGCGACCGTCTGGCGGAGATGAACGAGCGCGACGGGGCGCGACGCACGGCGCAGAAGAAGAAGGCGCGGGCGGCGCAGCTGTTTGGCAAGAGGCCCACGGCTCTCGACGGCGGTGGAGAAGATGAGCAAGCGGACGGTGACGACGACGACATGGAAGACGACGAAGAAGAAGAAGAGGAAGAGGGAGACCTCGGCCTACTCTCGCGCGCGGCAAGGCACCGGCCAAAGACGGAGGCTGAGCAGGCACGCTGGGCGCGCATCGCCAAAGAGTACGCGAGCGAGGCCGACTGGCGCGCGCGGGCAGAGGCCTCGCTGAGCAGCGGCCGGGGCACAGGCGGCGGCGGTGGCGGAAGTGTGACGGGCCTCGGAAAGAGGATGTCTGCCTCGGCCTCGTCGTCGTCCTTGCAAGTCAGGACCTCGAGTAGCAGCAGCAGCAGCGGCGGTAGCGGCAGCGCGGTGGCAGCAGAAGCAGGACGACGGTCAATGACAAAGTCGGCCTCCACCGTCAGCAAGCTCGGCGTGCTTCTCAAAAAGGACAGCCAATTCAGCCAGAGCCAGGAGGAGCTGCTTTGAGGAAGTTCAACCTTGGTGTGCGCAATCTCGTTTCCTCATCCACTTTGTAGACAGACAATTTCGATCCATGATAATACTAGAGCTGTTGTGGTAGTGGAAGAGATGTAGTGGCAAGAAGTAAAAGTACAGTACAAGACAAGACAAGCGAGGGTGGCGTATGTGTGTGTCAGATGTCGACGTAGCCGCCAACATCTGCGCCGCCACGCTGCTCGCCAAAGGACCCAAAGGCGTACTGGCCCCCGTTGGCGCCGGCCGAGGCTGCGTTGGCCTGGGCTGCTGCTGCTGCCGCGGCGGCCGCGGCTGCCTGGGCCGAGGCGGCGGCCTGCGCGGCGGGACCGAGGCCAGCACCGAGCATCTGGCACTCGTGCTTCCAGCTGCTGCGCACGCTGCCGACTTGGGAAATGACGCGCTCGCAGCCGGCCTTGAGGGCCTGGACGGGCGTGAGGCTGCCGTCGGTCTGCACCTTGATCACGGTTCGCGGCTCGAGCGGATGCGGCACCCGGTATCCGCAGAAGATGACGCCGGGGACGGCCAGCACGGCGCTGTGTGCGACAGCCCTTGTTCAGCACGAGGAAATGGCACGAGAGGGAGGAGTGCAAGTCATGCACTCACTGACGCAGGAGGTTGCCCAGCGTGTGGTCCTCCTTGTTGAGCACAAACGTGGCGGCATTGGCCAGGTGCGCGTCCTCCTGGATCTCGACGCGCTTCTCGTCGGGGCCCAGGATGAAGAGGGCGAAGCGGTCGGGTGCGTTAGCCATGGCTGCCACAAACGCGTGCGGTCAGCAACCGTTTCTTCTCCGAAAAGCATGACGAGATGAACAGGAAGAAGCGAGAAGACGAGGGGCTCAGTTACCGTTGTATGGGTCAGTCATGTCCCCTCCGGCGCTCCTCCAGGGAAGTTTGGCCCCAGAGGAGAGACACCAGAAGGGTCCGACAGTGTGAATATATTGTAATCATCGCCGTGCTCGCCTGTCGCTTGCTTCGAGAGAAGAGGAGACGGAGCAGAATCCAAGACAAACAACAGACACTCACTGGTAAGGAGGTCCTCTCTGGGTCAAGAGATGAGGGCCTTATCGGAGTCCCATCGATGGTACGACCCTCTCGCACAGGCCTGGGGGTGGATCGGCCTGAACAAAGGACGACGGCGACAAAGAGGAAGAGAGAAAGACTGGGCGTGAAAGAGTCGCGACGACGAGACGACGCGGGTTGAAGAGAAGAAAAAGAGCGCTGTTTGCTGCAAAATTCACGTGTCGGGCTCCAAGTTGGAGCTGCAGGTCCCTTTTTTTGCGACTTTCTTCTCGGGCAGGACCGACCACCTTTGCATCGTCACTCACTCGAGCAGCCATGGCGACCATGTCGTTCGTCCGGATATCGTCGGGACGGGGACAGCTGCTCACTGCGCGGTCGCTGGCGGGCAGCTCCAGGGCATTCTCCTCTGCTGTCGCTGCCCGGCCACGGACCGGAACGCCGCTCGTGCGCAGCTCCAGGCCGACGCCTCTGTATGCTGGTCTCGCTCCCGGCGCCGCTCGGTCCCTCTCGCTCTGGCCCTTTTCCTCGTCGTCATCATCACCTCAAGAGACTGTTGCAGAGGGGGTATCAGCGACAACAAAGGGAGGAGCAGCAACAACAACAACAGCGCCTTCGCCTGATGCACTTGCGGCAGGCCAGGCGCCTGTGCAGGACGCCTTGGTGCCCGAGACTGGCGCCGGCATCGTCACGCCCGAGTCGGCGCAGCACGCCATGGCCGCCGCGTCCGAGCACGTCGCCACGCTCGAGTCCCTCGGCAAGCTCTCGTCGTGGCCCAACGTGCACTACGCCCAGGAGATGCTCGACTGGCTCGTCGAGAGCACGGGCCTGCCCTGGTGGGCCACCATCGCCCTCGTCACCATCACCATCCGCATCGCCGTCTTTCCCGTCGTGGTCAAGGGCCAGACGAATGCCATTCGCCTCGGCAACATCCAGCCAGAGATGAACCGGCACATGAAGAATCTGCAGGCGGCCAAGGCGTCGGGCGACATGCGCGTCATGACCGAGTCGACGCAGGCCGTGCAGAAGCTCATGAAGGACAACGACTGCCACCCGATCAAGTCGCTCATCACGCCCCTCGTCCAGGCCCCGCTCTTTATGACGCTCTTCTTTGCCCTCAAGGGCCTCGCTGGTGCTGGGCTGGAGAGCATGAAGACAGGCGGCCTCTTTTGGTTCACCGACATCTCCGTCGCTGACCCGACGACGGTGCTGCCCATCGTCGCAGCGGGCCTCACCCTCGCTGTCCTCGAGACGGGCGCCGAGATGGGCGCTGCAGCAGGCGCCAAGACGCAGCAGCAGCGCTACATGCGCAACGGCCTGAGGATCGTCTGCGTCGCCATCGTTCCCTTCACCTGGAGCCTGCCCGCAGTGAGTCGCGCTCTCTCTGCTTCATCATCTCTCTGCTGACTCCTTCCCCTTCTATTCCAGGCCGTCTTCTGCTACTGGGCGACAAACAACGTCTTTTCGCTCCTCCAGCTCCTCTTCCTGCAGCAGGCGGGCGTGCGGCGGATGCTCAAGCTGCCCAAGAAGGTCGACCGGTCCGGCGACGACGAGAACGACCCGCTGAAGCCGAAGCCGCCGTCGATGCTCACCAAGCTCAAGTCGCGAGTCTCGCCTCCTACCACTTCCTTTTCTTCTGCGGACTCAGCGGCGGCAAGGCAGAGCGCGGATAGTGTCCGGAGGCCGGCGCCGCTGTCGGCTTCGGCCATGGCAGCGTCGACGAGGTTGCGCGCGGCGGACAAGGACGCAGAGCTGAGCAGGGAGAGGGCACTCAGGAGGCTCATGGAGGGTGGCCAGGAGAAGGCGGCCGCGACAGAGGCAGCGTCGGCTGCTGTTGCTGCTGCTACTGCTGCCACTCCTGCCGCCGCCGCTCCTGCTGGTGCTGTGGAAGAGCAGGAGGTCGCAGATCCCTATGAGCTGACGCTGGAGGAGCAGCTCGAGAGGGAGCGGGCGCGCAAGAGCGAGGAGAAGCGACAGCGGGTCATGTCTGCCAGGCAGAGGCGGCAGAAGAAGACGTAATTGTGATACGAGCAATCATTTGAAATCAAGACGGAGCATCACCACTGTTGTATTTTCTTCTTCTTTTGTGAGGGGGAGGGACTGGCGTCGTGACTGATGGTGGTGGTGATACACAGATGAGATGCTTCATTCTTGGGAAGTGAGATGGTGGGTCTTCAGGGGGAAAGAGGAGCAGAAAAGTAGATAGTGTCTGAGTGGTGTCACACGGCGGTGGGAACCTGCTCGAGAGGAGGAGGAAGAGGAGCGCTAACCGGTGGAAGCACCCCTCGCCTTTCCCAGGAGCCGCTTCGGCATGTCCAGAAAGTCCTGCTTGATGGGCGCGGCCTTGTTCCGGATCGCCTTGGCGTCCTTTCGCTGGAAGTCGGTCCGGCCCTCGGACTCCCAGCGAATCCACAGCGCCTCGAGGGCGGCCTGGGCAGCGGCGTAGTTGATCTTGAAGTCGATGCCTGAGGAGAGATAGAGGGCGTACTCCTCCTCGGACCACGCCTTGGGCGGCTGCGGCTTCCGCTTGATCGCCTTCGTTGGTGTTGCACTGGCAGACTTGCTCACGGAGGCCTCCTTGACGTCCACTGCCTCATCCTCGCTCGCGGTTGTGGAAGTTCCTGTCCTATCCTCAGCGGCGGTCGACTCCTTGGCTGACGATTTCTTTGGGCTAGCAGGACGACGCTTGCGAGGCGAGCCAGCTGCTGACTTCGTCTTCTTGATCGGGTCGCCGGCCCTCGCGACGGGACTGGGCGAGGTAGGAGGAGCAGGGTCTCCGTTGTTGTCGCGCGCCTCGCCATCGGACGTCCTTTCCTCTGCCTTCCTGGAGGCGGTGGGCGTGGAGTGGAAGATGTTGTCCTCGTCATCAGTGAGTCCATGCTGGACGGGCGAAAGAACCGACAGCGAAGCTTCGCAGCGGCCGTTCCTTCCGTCTGGATCCGTGCTGGTAGGTGCGTCGAGGAGAATGAATGCGCCCACGCCCACGCCCGGCTCGCCCGGGCTGGCCGCTCGGAGGGCGCCCTTGTGCCGCTGCTTCTTGGGTGAGGGGCTGGGCGTGGGCGGCAGAGAAGCTATTTCGCCGTCGCTGTCGAACTCGGGAATCGGGCGCTTCTTGGGCGTCGAAAACAGGCTGGCCCGGAAGGCGGCAGCAGCAGACGTCGAGGCGGTAGAGGAGCACCGCGACGCGTCCTTGGCCTTTACGGTCTTGGCGGGAGAGGTGGGCTTGGAAGACCTGGGCTGGACCGCGGCTTTCGAGCCAGCTTTGCCCTTGGAGGGAGTGGCTGCCTTTGCCGTGACACGTTGATCCTCGTCGATATTGTCGTCGTCATCATCATCGCTGGACACGTCGACGTCGTGCTCGGCGCCATTGTCGGACGAGTGTCCGTCGTCGCACGTGTCAACGCTCATGCCGTCTTCGCCCTCGGACAGGATCAGTGCCTCGACTGTCATTCATGCCGTCTGGAATTCAGCTCATGTTACAGAGTGGAGAGATGAATGAGGAGAGACATACCCTGCTCGGTGAAGCGCTTGCTCTCGAGGCCCGCTTTGGACGGCGTGCGAGTGCGCGTTGGGCGAGGCATGGTCAGGCGTTTTGCAAAATAAAATTGGGAAGGTTGGGAGAGTGGTCTGGAATGAGAAAAGGAATAGAGAGGGGGGTAGTTTGGCGAAGAGAAGAGAGGAGGGTTAATGAGCAAAGGAGCGGCCTTTATGGGAAGGGATGGGCAAAGAAAATGAATCAACGGGAAGCCTGAGTTTCAAGCGGACGCACACGACGGGGCGGGGCGCACGTCTCTTGCAGAGACTGTATTGCTCGGACGGTGGATGATGATCGATCAAGCGCTCAACTCTTCGTCATGGAGGGTTTGGCAAGCTCGCCTCTGCTCGCAGCTTGGGTATTATAATTGACAGCGTGCACTTAGCTAGGGAGAGAGGGTCACATGTGTAGCTAGTAGCCTCAGATGCCAATACGATAATTGTCAAACGCGGGGCCCACCGTCGCATTCGTCGCAAATGCCGTCCAAAAGGCCCGGGCGGTGTGTCCGCGCGGGCCCCACTGCGTCTGCCACGGTTCGCTCCCCAGCATCGGCGCTGCCTTCCACGCCTCTTCGTCACCGAGGAACAGGGGCATGTCCGAGACGTGGGCGGCACCGTAGGCGGCGTCCCTCGGCCTCCACGTGTTCTCGTACAAAGTCGTGCGGTGTCCCTGCTCTGTGCACCACTTCTGTGCCAGCCTGCGCGCCGGGTCGGCAAACGTAGCCGCCGTAGCGGGGCCAGTGGCAGCCAAGACGAGCGGCGGACGCACAAGTCGAGGCACGCCCAGCGACTCGAGCTTCAGGTCGACAAAGACGGATGCATCGTCCTTCATCCAGCCCATGAGGATGTCCTTGGGCGCCGAGTGGTTCTTCGCTACCCCGAGCGGTCCCTCGGCCGTGACGGGCGCAAAGGGGAGCTCGAGGTTCGAGTTGTTCGTTATGGCCGCCCTCTGCGCCTCGAGGATCTGCTCGCTCGTGGCTCCCAACAGATCCGTGTGGAGCACATCGCGGAGATGCGTCTCAAAGTCGCCGCGCACCTTTTGGGCCTGTTCGCTCGTCAGCACGACCGAGGTGGGCGAGCTCTGGACAATGGCGCGGCTGAAGAGATCTGAACCGGCATTGACAAGCAGCTGCGTCGTGTATGCGCCTGCCGACTGACCAAAGAGCGTGACCTTGGCTGCATCGCCTCCGAAGGCACCAATGTTTCTACGGACCCAGTCGAGGGCGAGGAGAGCGTCTTCGGTCCCCAGTCCAAGCGGACGCGACTCATCGTAGAGGTAGCCGAGCGCACCGAGCCGGTAATTGACAGAGACGACAGTAACACTTCCCTCGCCGGCCATCTGGTAGCCGTCGTACCAGGCAAGCTGTCCCCCTCCCGTGACGTAGGCGCCACCATGGAGAAAGACCATGACCGGTCGCTTCTCGGCGGAGGACGAGGCCGAGGTTGGTACGGCAACCGAGAGCAGCAGACAGTCTTCTGCCATGCCATCGGTGGAGGGAGGTTTGGGACCGGTGACCCGGGCCAGTCTCGAGGCAGACTGCGGGCAAATGACGCCTCGCCGGGTCGCATCGTATTCCACGGTGCCCGGCGCAACCGGCGACGCGCTAGCGAAGCGGCCGTTGTACTTTGCGTATGGGATCGCATAGTAGGTGGTCGCATTCGCTGAGGATTGTGTCCCGCGGACGGATCCTTGAGCGAGCCTCACTGTCGCCATGATCGGTGTGAGAAGGTCGTCGTGAACCTGCAGAAAGAAGCTGACATCTCCCCACCCTGTCCCTAGGTGTTGGGAACGCGGCAGTGCTCATATTGGCAATTTATATCTTTGTCTCATGCAGCCATGGCAGCCCGTCCATGTCGAAGACGGCCGTGCGGCAACACATTGCCACGCGTGCTGCGCTGGATGGATGCCATCTTGTGCATCAGTCCCATCCAATTGCAGCCTGGCGTCCAGCGACAGATCCCTCTCGCATGATTGGGGCGTCGCAGGGCGCACTCTGTTCTTCGGCCCCATCGACGCGAGGCTGAGGTGGAGAAAGTGGACTCCACGTGGCTGAGATATTCAACAGGAAGAAACGGTGACGGGTCTCTTCGGGTCAAATGGTCAAATGACGAAGAATCACGCGCGCATAGCAACAGCGCACGAGCCCGGTTCACGATCGTCACCCTTCAAAGCCGAATACTCCGCTTCCTTCTTCCCTTTTCGCTACCACAACCCACTTCATCGCACACACACGCTCACTCCTCTAGACAGAGATGACCAAGGCTACTGTTATGTGAGTGTCGCTTCTCAGCTGGGGAGGTGTGACAAAGGCTGACGTTCGCCTCCACTCTCTAGCGGCGCTGCTGGCGGTATCGGTGAGTCTGGATCCCCCTCGCTTGCGATTCGCTTGCACACAATACTCACTCCGCTTCCCCGCCCGCGATCCCCACAGGCCAGCCTCTCTCGCTGCTGCTCAAGCAGTCGACGCTCATCACTGACCTCGCCCTCTACGATGTGTGAGTGCAGCACCATCCCTGCTGATGTTTGCGGGGGAAAGCTGACACCGGATACCATCGGAACCAGCGTCAATGCTCCCGGTGTCGCTGCCGACATTTCGCACATCAACACGCCTTCCGTTGTCAACGGCTACCTTCCCGCCGATGGCGGCCTCGAGAAGGCGCTCAAGGGCTCCGACATCATCGTCATCCCCGCTGGTGTCCCCCGCAAGCCCGGCATGACCCGTGACGATCTCTTCAACGTGAGTCAGATCTTCTTTCTTCCAGTGAAGTGAAGCAAGTGAGCTCATATAAGTTTTACAGATCAACGCCTCGATCGTGCGAGACATTGCCGTCGGCATTGCCGCGCACGCGCCCAAGGCCTTCGTCCTCGTCATCTCCAACCCCGTCAACTCGACGGTGCCCATCGTCGCCGAGGTGCTCAAGAAGAAGGGCGTCTTTGACCCCAAGCGTCTCTTTGGCGTCACGACCCTCGACGTCGTTCGTGCCTCGACGTTCGTCTCCGAGGCTGCCGGCAAGCCCACCGAGTCGCTCCAGTACCGCATCCCCGTCGTCGGCGGCCACTCTGGCGCGACGATTGTGCCCATCCTGAGCCAGACGCAGCCCAAGTCTGAGTTCGACCAGGCCACCCAGGACAAGCTCGTCAACCGGATCCAGTTCGGTGGTGACGAGGTCGTCAAGGCAAAGGACGGTGCCGGCTCGGCCACGCTCTCGATGGCCTTTGCCGGCGCCCGCTTCGCCTCGGCCGTCCTCGAGGCTGCTGCCGGCAAGACGACGTCCTCGTCGGCTCCCGAGTACACCTACGTCCACCTCTCGGCCGAGGCCGGCGGAAAGGACGTGGCCAGCAAGCTGCCCGGCCAGGTCGACTACTTCTCTGTCCCCGTCATCCTCGGAAAGGACGGCGTCGAGAAGATTCTGCCCCTCGGCAACCTCAGCAAGTACGAGGAGGGCCTCCTCGAGACGGCCGTCAAGGACCTCAACGGAAACATCTCCAAGGGTGTCTCCTTTGTCGAGTCGTCGAAGCTGTAGATTTCTCTAAAAAGCTCGGGCTCCTCATCGTTCAACTCAAACGGGAATGTGTTGTGTTTGAATGTCAATCAACAAAGATTAAAGAAGATTGATAGATACACCTTGCCTCATGGATTGACCCAGCGGACAATGACGGAGCTGACAAAGGTCTCGAAGAAGTCTCTGCTGCTTCCATACGTCCACTCGACGTCGAGGTGGTGCTCTCCCTCTGCCGAGGCCTGGCGAAAGGTGCAGGTGCAGGCCAGTACAGGTGCTTTGGAGGTGTCGCAGATCACGGCAGCCTTGGACCGGCGCGCTCGACGGGTCCATGCGTCCCTCCACGCCCGAAAGCGGATCGAGTCTGGAACAACCGAGTCCTGCGTGACCTCGACTACGTCGCCGTGCAGTGCCGCGAGCGTTTTAGCAAGCGACGAAGCCGAGTGCAGCTCGGCGAGCTTGAATGTCCGACAGAGGCAGTCAATTAGTGAGCGTGAAGCAGCCGCTGCGGCAGAAGCGCGCCGCGATGCCGAGCTGGAGGTGAGGCGGGGATGGTATGGGAGATGGGACCACGAGAGGATCCAGCGGCGTGTCTTGCTGCCGCTGACGAGGTCGTTTACAAGAAAGTTGTCCACCTGTTGAAAGAGAGGGGGGCATCGATGTGTCAGCTGTGATGCAAGCAAGGAGGCAGTGAGAATGCTTGCTTACACCAGCCGAGGCGAGCTTCGTGACGAGCGCGGCAACGGAAGCGTGCTTGCCGACCATGCTCGTGAACCAGACGACGCTAGAGCGAGCCGGCTCGAGGCAGCTCTCGTCGATGATCCGCGAGACAAAGGCGACCTCGCCGCCTGCCGTCGTCATCTCCACGTCGGCACCCGTGCACATGGCGCTCGGCGGTGTCGCCTTTTCGGCGGCGGAGCGAGCCATCTCGTCGCGGGAAGCGTAAAAGGGCGGGTTGCACATTGTTGCGTGGTACGCAGGCCATGCGTCCGCCGGAGAGGAGGGAGAGAAGAACAGAAGCGGGTCATCGGTCCTGCGTTCGACGAGGGTGATGCGTTCGCGCAGCTGCACCTCGGCGTTGAGAGGGTCCAAGACGATGCGGCGAGCACGCTGAAGAGACCCAGCGTCGATGTCAGTCCCGACAAAGGTCCAGTCCGGGTTCGTGGCGCAACCGAGGAGCGCATATATGCAGCAGGCGCCTGTGCCAACGTCGAGGATCCTCCGCTTTTCAGCTTCGAGCTTTCTCTTCTTCCTTTCCGTCTGACCGCTCTTTTCATCCACGTTGATTCTGCCCCTAGACAAGCTCAGATCCGTGCCGTGCACGAGGTCCTCGATCCAGGCAACGTACGCGAGGCGGTTCGGCACTGCAGGACAGAGCCGATCAGGGCTGAGTCCTTCTGAGACGTGCACACCAAAGTCCTTGAGGAGAAGCCTCTCTGTCAGAGCGCGCAGCACCGCCTCGTCCTGGAAGTCGAGCGTGGAGGTTCCATCGGGAAAGACTGTCAGACCGCGGGCGAGGACGGCGCAGTCCTTGGACAGCTCTACGAAGTCGGGCGGGCTGCGGACGTAGAGGTCGCTGCGAGCTGCAGAGGAGCGCGCATCAACTTCAATGTCCAGCCCTACTGACTTTCTGACTGTCTGGCGCGGAAGATTAAAGCAAGCACTCACGAGGCATTGTAGAGCAGTCGCCATCTTCTTCACGGTCGATCTGCCATTCCTACCGAGATGAAATGACGGCCTAGTGAGGTTTGGCGTCTGGTCAGACTTTGTATAGACTAATTCTCGAGCACAGAGCTCCACTCCACATAGTCCGACACCAACAGCAATGAATAATCTCTCAGCCGAGCTTCCAAGAAGCCGACGTGCCGTCATGCTTGCCCGTTATCTGAGACGACTCCGTTGTAGCATCGAGGCCGCCAAAGCCCCTAGATAGCTCTTGGCTTCAAAGAGAAGAAAGCCGGTCCACAGTCATGACTAAGGAGTGCTTTGTTATCGAGAGACGGCTGGCCCCTCCTTGAGTCTTTAGCTTGAATTCGATGAATAACAATCTGCCCTCGTGGCTATTCATGAAAATTGCAAGAAAAGCAAAAACTAAAGCGAGGATGAAAGAGAAAAAAAAAAGGAACAGAAAAAAAGGCAAAGGCGGCTTATAGGACCAGAAGGAGAGAGACGGGCAGAGGCAGACAGAGCAACACTTTTCGCTCAGCCGTCTGTCTGTCTGCCAACACTTTTTCCTCCCCCTTCCCTCTTTTCGCCTTCCTTCAGCCCTTTACTGCCCTGTCCTTTTCTTAGACGACGGGGACGCTGCCGACGAACGACGTGAACAGGAGGACCGGAGGAGGCCGTTTGTATCGTAGTGTGGATTCGAGCCGGTGTTTGGTAGGTGCAGAGGTGGTCTCGTGAGACGAAGAGGGAAAGGGGGGCTTGACGCTGATCGATCTCGGCGCAGCACAATCTCCTCTATTCACAGGCCGGGTAGCAGCAGTCACGATGAATGCGGCGGAGCTCCTCGAGAACTCGCTGTCGCCTAGTGAGTCCATGCGACTGTTTCTCTCTCGGTGAATGAAAAGACTGCTGACCATCTCTGCAGACGCCGATGTTCGACAGGATGCCGAGCAGAAGCTTGCCAATGCGGCTCAGGAGAACTTTGTGAGTGGCGCTTCCCTTTGGAACCAGAATGAATGCCCAGGGTCGCACGATAAGGATACTGGAATTGACTGGAACACATCCACAGGGTGGCTACTTGGTGACGCTGGCCGAGGCATTGTCGAGCGCGTCGGTCGTGTCGCACCTCCGCAAGGCGGCCGGCCTGGCGCTCAAGAATGCCCTCACAGCACGCGAGGCCGTTCGGGCGGGCGAGTACGCAAAGCGGTGGACAGAGGTGCCCGAGGAGACGCGGACCAAGGTCAAGCTCGAGACCTTTTCTGTCCTCTCGCAGCCGGATCACAGCGTCAGCGTTGCGGCAGCCCAGGTGTGCGCGGCCATCGAGGCAATTGAATTGCCGCTGGGAAAGACGGACTTGCTAGAGATGATTCTTTCGGCAGTGTCGACGTACGACAACAAGGACCTTCAAAAAGCCTCTCTCGATGCCATCGGCTTCATCTGCGAGGCTTCTGCAGAGGTGTGTATAGCTGCATTCACCCCAGCGAGCTATGGGCCTAGAGAAAATTCACTGATACGCTCTTCGCTACAGCAATCGTCGAACGCACTGGCGGCAAAGTCGAATGAGCTCCTCACGGCCGTGATCCAGGGCGCGAGAAAGGAGGAGACATCGACGGAGGTGCAGCTTGCAGCGCTCCAGGCCCTCTTCAACTCGCTAGAGTTCGTAAGGGTCAACTTTGAGAGGGACGGCGAGCGGAATTACATCATGCAGGTCGTCTGTGAGGCGACGCAGAGCCCGAACATTGACATCAAGGTGGCTGCGTATGAGTGCCTGGTCCGCATCATGCAGCTCTACTACGACAAGATGAAGTTTTACATGGAGCAGGCTCTCTTTGGGGTGAGTGTGTCGAGTCCCACTGCATTGCGCAGCAGCGTACAGAACTGACCCTGAATCGTACAGCTCACGGTACTGGGAATGCGAGACTCGGAGCCAAAGGTGGCGCTGCAAGCCATCGAATTCTGGTCGACGGTTTGCGAGGAGGAGATCGACCTCACCCTAGAGGCACAGGAGGCGGCAGAGTATGGCGAGGAGCCGGCGAGGCTATGCTACAACTTTGCTCGTGTCGCTGCTCGCGAGATTGTCCCCGTGCTCATGGAGCTCCTCAAGACCCAGGACGAGGACGCGGATGAGGACGAGTGGGACGTATCCAAGGCAGCTGGTGTGTGCACCGGTCTCCTGGCCCAGAGTGTGGGCGACGACGTTGTGCAGTACGCCATCCCCTTTATCGAGAGCAACATCAAGAGCCCGGACTGGCACGCCAGAGATGCCGCCGTGCTCTGCTTTGGACAGATCCTCGACGGCCCCCTGACAAAGACGCTCACGCCTTTGGTCGAGCAGGCACTCCCGACAATCATTGGCATGATGACGGATCAGAGCGCGGCTGTCAAGGACTCGGTGGCATGGACTCTTGGCAGGATCACGGACCTCCTTTGCGATGTCATCCACCCGGATGTTCACCTGCCCGAGCTTGTCAGGGCTGCCATCGTTGGGTTGCAGGACAAGCCACATATTGCCATGCTCAGTGGCTGGACGCTCATGAACCTCACTGAGCAGCTTGGAGGCCTCTCGGTGCCCGACGACGACGGCAACCCCGGTCAGACGTCGGTCATCTCCCGCTTCTTTCCCGACATTGTCAACAGCCTCGTCGCGGCTACAGACCGGCCCAACAATGAGCAAAATGCGCGAACGTCTGCGTACGAGGCCCTGGCATCGTCGATGGCCGGATGCGCAAATGATTGCCTGCCCAACGCCAGCTCGGTGCTGGTCACGATGCTGGACCGCCAAGAGCACCTCAACGGCATGGCCAACCAGCTCGTCGGCATGGACGACCGCAACAACTGGTCTGAACTGCAGACCAACCTGTGCTCCGTCATTCAGGCCATTGTCAGGAGGCTCGGCAAGGAGGTGCTGCCCTTGAGCGACCGCATCATGACATCGCTTCTGACAACTATTCAGAACTGCGGCAAGCAGAGCGAAGCCCTCGAGGATGCTTTTATGGCTGTTGGTGCCGTCACGGCGGCATCGGAGGCCGACTTTGAAAAGTACCTCCAGGCCTTTTCGCCATTCCTCGTTGAGGCACTGCGGAAGCACGAGGAGACGCAGCTGTGCAAGACGGCCGTCGGTCTCGTTGGCGACATCTGCCGAGCACTGGGGCCCAACGCCGCAAACTACGCCAACGACTTCATGGTTGTCCTGTTCGAAGACCTGCAGAGCCAGACACTGAGCCGCGAGGTCAAGCCAACGATTCTTTCGAGCTTCGGCGATATCGCGCTGGCCATCGGCGACAGATTTGAACCATTCCTTGCTACGACCATGGCCGTGCTTCAGCAGGCTGCTGCGTCGAGCGTGACGACTGCGCCCCTCGACTTTGAGATCGTGGAGTTCTTCAACTCGTTGAGAGAAGGCATCGCAGAGGCTTATGTGGGCATTGTCGGCGGCCTGAGGGCAGCTGCGCCACCCGTGGGTGCAGCAGGGCCAAGCGCAAACGGAAGCGGGCCAGGGGTGGGCCTGCTTCAGCCGTACGTCGAGGCCATCACCTCGTTCCTCCAGATTGTCGCCTCATCGCAGGCCGAGACGTCGGAACCTCTGCTGAGGTCCTCGGTCGGTCTGCTCGGCGATGTATGCGATGCATTCCCCAACGGAGAGCTCAAGCCGCTGCTGGCGAGACCCTGGGTCGCGGACCTGATCAAGGCGGCGAGAGCGCGAGGTAATGGGGCAGACACGAGAAAGACGGCGGCATGGACAAGGGAGATGGTCAAAAAGGCCGGGGGTGGGGCCTCGTGATCGTCCCGCACGTCTCTTCAGTCTCTCGCTTCCATTATTCTTCCTTCCTCCTAGATATCAACTTTCAAAGCCGCATCAGTAGCACCTCTCTTTTCTCTTCTTTTCTTACCCTCTTGTCTCCTTCCATCAGCGAACCTTTATTTTCGTTCATGTTCTTCTCTCTTTCTTTCTTCGCGGCTCTGGTCCACTCGCTCTTATCATTTCTCCCCTCTTTTCAAATCGCTCACCAGGAGCTCTCTTCAACAAGAATGGTCACCGGAAAAAGAAGACAAGAAATATAAAGAAAGAAGAAGAGAGAAAAAGCAGAAGAAAAGATGCTTAAGCGTACAGCCTGGTCTTCAGTCCTCAGCTGTCGTTTGGTCCTCGCTGTTCGATTGCAGACTCTCGCCTGGTGCGAGGCCTCTTTGGCCATGCTTCAAGTCGCTCGAATTGGGATGGCAACAAGCGAGCTTCTTTTGACAGCGGCTTCGCTTGCTTTGTTCTCGCTTGCTCTGCTCTCGTTTGCTTTGCTCTCGTTTGCTTTGCTCTTGTTCGCTTTTCTTTGGCTTGTTTTGCTCTCGCTGGCTCTGCTCCTGGTTCCGGCCTCCAGTCGCCCTTGAGCGAAGTAACAAATTCCGGGCGGACATAACCAATTTTGGCGAGTCTTTCGAGATATCTGATCCTGGTTGCGAGTCCGATTCCTGTATCACCGTCATCCAGCAAGTCATCAATGTTATGCTGGAGCAAGCCAATTCTATCTCGACCATTTTCAAGATTCTTGACCTTAGAGTTGATTCTCGATTGTCTTCTACGTCGGTCCCCAGTATCTTGCTGCTTTTTGGTCGCATTTGGATCGCGTTCATATTTGAGAACGCCAGCAGGACGAGTCAGATCGAGCATGAGGCCCCTGCCCACGTAACTATGGTATTGGCCAACCATTGCTCTGAACATTACTCGACCTTGCTCTCCAAGCCATTTGTTTGCCGCTTTTGAGATAAAGAGTTTCGGATAGTGTTTGACCCCGTACCGAAACCACCAGTTAACTTTGTCCTCTGTTTTCACGAGGTTTAGGCGATTCAACTCTTCAAGAGACGGCCCCTCTTCTAATTCTTCAAGAGTAGCCCTACCCTTCTTGGAGTGCAAGGGAGACTCTGCGCCCTGTGCGATCTTCGCACGACGTCCGTCCCTCCGTGGACTAGGCGTCGAAGGAGCCGATCCCTTGGGAAGATTCTGCTTTGGGCTGAGAGCGCGGGATGGTGGAATCCAAGGTGGTGAAGAGGGCGCCGAGTGTGGTGAAGAAGGCGGTGAGTATGGCGAGGGCGGCAAGTCTTCGAAAACTCTTTCCCTCGGCTGGAGCTCGCGAAAATGGGGGTGCCGGTGGTGAAACGGCTTGACTTGAGGCGCTTGCTCCGTGTCCGATTGAACTTTCCATCGTGGTTCCAGCTCCAAAGGTCCGGCTCCTGAATAGCGGCACTTGTCGTTGGGAGCGATGACGACGGCGAAGACGAGCGACTACCCCTCGAATGATGGGAGCTTGTCACTTCGTCGGTCTCGCCCATCTTCTTCTTTGCCCTTCGCACTGAGGACGAGGACATAATCCCGTGCTCGCTTGATTCGCCATTGTCTACGAACAGCTCATTGAGATCGAAGGAATGCTTTGGGCTTGGAGGCCCAGATGTACCACTTGCCTCGTGTGTACTTGTTCTTCTCCGACTGGTTCCGCTGGATGTTTCGCCTTCGCCGTAATTAGTGAGATCATTGAGTGCGATCGAATGGACAGCTTGTGTATCAGATGAAGCGACTCTTATGTGTTTGCCTGGTTCTTGAGGGCCAGTCACGGGCGGCGCTTTATTGAAGTGCTGCTGTTCCTCGGCGGCAGTCGAAGCTGAGTGTGCGGGTCCATTGAGGTCGAAGCCTCTTGAAAATCGCGGAGCTGTCATTGTTGCTCTTTCTCCCTGTTCCCACGCCAATCTGTCCGGACTGGAAGGCGTGCTCTTCTCTGGTGCCAATGGGGCCTCTGAGGGCCGCCCACTGGACCACTCTTGCTCGAGGGCTGGTTCATTGAGATCGGGAACCCCCCTTTTCTTGATGAGACCAGGAAGCAAAGGTTTCTCGCGCCTCTTGCTTGTCACTTCTTCGTCAGATGATCCTTCTACCGAATCGTCGGTGCTCTTCGTCTGTGCAGAAGAGGAGCTCGACAGTGACTTGGTCCTCATTTGGTCCTCTTTTCTGCTGGTAGTCTCTGCCTCGCTGATACGTCTTTTCTTTGTCGTTGCAAAAGATGACAATGTGGTCTCTGGCGGTCCAAGGTACATTTCTTCGCGGTTGACCATAGGCTTTGAAAGCGACAGCAGAAGCGCAGCTCCTTTGTCAATCTCGCTATGCCGATGGTAATCATGGAAGGGACTATCCTTGCTGTGCGAAAAGGGCGGTGTCACAAGATTTGGGGAGAGATCGGGTCCAGCCCGGTTCTCTGCTTCCTCGGGGAAGCTATGCTTCTCTTCCTCTGGGTCCTTTCTTATGCCATAAGTCGTCGCCTGCACGGGATTACCCTTCTTTCGTCCCCGGCGCACAAGGTGGATGTCTCTAGATGCGTCCGAGGCAAGAGGCAGGCTTGCACTTGCGACTGTGAGGCAAACGCTAATGCACAGCAGCGCTAAGAGATATGCACAATGCACCATGTTCGACGTAAGCTGAGTTGAACAAGGAGGAAGAAAGAGAAGGGAGGGACATTCTTGATACCTTTTAGTCTAAAAAGCAGGAGCAACATTTGTTTATTTTATTTTATTTTATTTTATTTTATTTTCGTGAGCGCCACCGGGTCGTCGAGCCGGGGGCGAGTAAGCAACTAGCAAAGAAAGAAGGGCATGAATAACATTACAATGTAGTATCGCCGGGGAAAGCGATTTGTGTCCTCCCAAGGAGTAATCTGATGGGCGTCATTTCGCTCAAGAGCTGGTTGCCTCGTGGCTACACTGGCCAAACCCGGAGGCTGTGTCCCCCTCCCCCCCTTTTCCCTTGTTCCTGATATCCCTACTTTCATCTTCTCTTTCTTCTCTCGCTTTCCCATCTTCTCCTGCCCTTGAACAAGGAAAAATAAATGCACAGACGTCAAAAACATGGGGAAAATCTGGCTGACTCCTCACAGTCACGCTCTCACAAATAGCACACTCCCCCTCGATTGGCCATTGTTGCATGGACAAAATCATTCTCACTGTCAGTAGCGCCTTTAGATTATTTGTCATGATATGAATTTTGCAAAGTAAAAATTAAACTTTTTCGACCTCGTCTTTTGTGGGTCTCCTAACGTTCGGCAGAGAGGCTCGCTTCTGATCTGCCTTCCATCGCTTTGGAGCTGCTTTTGCTTTATTTCGATGCGTTTCCACGCTCCGTTTTCCTTACATTTGGCCCCCTTTCTAGTATCTTCGGTGGCGTACCAGCCTCTATCAACATCAGCTGTTCTTGAAAAGACTGCCGCTGGTGACCCTTCAGTAACGGATCTTGTATAATCTTGCGGACTGCTTCGCTCCACGACTTTGACAGCTTTCCAGGGTTTCTCTTGAGGTCGACCATCTTTGTTGCTACCTTTTCAATCTCCCTTCTCTTTTCGCGAGTGAGCTTCTCATCGTTCGGCGCAGGAATGCCATGCTTTGCTCTCCACTTCTTCACGTTGCTTTGATATCTCCACTTCGCTTTCTGGTATATGTCTCGTGCTACGCCCAACAACTTCTTCCTTTCTGCTAAAACTTCCCGATTCGATCCATACTTCTTGAACTTTTCAAAGAGCCTTGCTACGCGTTCTGCTTCTTTTGGATGCTGTTCAAATTCCTTTGGCGGAACGCCAACATGTCTGAGCATAGATTCCAAATCAGAAAGTTGGTCAGGTGTTGCCTTCTCTGGTGGGCGAGCGTTGACACTACTGAATTCGACCGGCACCCACTTCCCCTTGTGCGTCTCGAAGTCACTTTCTGCCATCTTCGCGATCAGTTTTCTCCTCGTGCTGGGAACCCCTATCTCCGAAGTCCATGTATCGTCGCGTGATGAAGCTGCGGGCTTAGATGACTCCTCAATGAAGTCATTGAATGAAGAGGGAGACTTCGCCTCTTCGATCTCCTCATTGGGCGAGCGCATTTTACGCATCCCTTTTGTCCCCAATTTCAGGGTGAGGTGTCTCGAGTCTTTGTCCGGAAGTGCCGGGCTTCTTGACGTACTCCCTGCGTCGATCCAACGCGGGCTAGGCAGTCCTTTCCGGTGCTCTGATTCTTTCGGAGACTCGAAACGTGATTTCTTCCTATCTCGTCTTCGATTGAGGTTCCTTAGATGCTCGCCTGATGGCGCATTTGCTGATGTTCTCTTGGGCACCACGCTTTCCAGCGGCCCTGAGGACATTGTGTTTCGCGAAGTTGGGTTATCTGAAGACCTGTAGAATGGTGCGGGGTCAGACGCTTTCGAAGAATTGCTGCTTTCCAGTGAGCACGATTTGTTGCTCCCGCTATCCGAAGACGAAGAGATCAAATTATCTTCGCTACTCGTCTTGGTCTCATCTTCGTTCTGCTTTAGCTCTCCTGTCCTCTCAGCCTTCGAAGAGCCCTCAGCTCTTAGAGTAGATGACGCTCGTAGGCTTCGGAGATGCGGTTCAGCAACGGCAGCGGTCGCTGGATTAGGCGACTTTGTCTGCGATGTAGAGGGGAGCCACGAGGGAGCGGCGTATGAACAGATAGGTACGGTGTGCGATGACGGCTGGGGCATCTCGCACTGACGAGAGGCCACAGAACCTCGCTGAAAGCCGTACAATCCAGTGGATGCTGGTGTTTGCTTAATCCGAGCGCGACGCTCAAGATGCTGTTGTTCGTCTTGCAGACTTGCGGACGGCAGACATACGGCGACCTTCCAAAAGACTAGTAGGAGGATTATGCACTTGAACATGGTGGTTGTTGCGAGAGAGAGAGCTTTTAGAAAAGGGAGGACTCAGCAGGTCGAAGCGGTGTGGCGACGGGGCTTGCGCTAAACGATTTTCGAGTTCTCTAGAGCCCCATACGAGTTGCTCAAGGAGGAAGCTCAGGAAAAGAGAATCGTTCTTGATGCTTTTTTAAAAGCAGGAGCAAGACATATTTTTTGGGGTGGGGGGAAAGGGGGGGGGCACCCGGGTCGTTCAGCTCGGAGCCAGTGAAGACCAGGCAAAGAAAGTAGGGCACAAACACGCTGTAGTATCCGCCGGGGCAAGCGACTTGTGACCTCGCGGATAGTGATTTCATGGGGGTCGCTTCGCTCAAGAGCTGGATTGTGACTACACTGGCCAGCACCGGAGGCAGTGTCTCCCCCACTTTTTTCAATTCCTTATTTTTCCAAAACTGTCTTATCCTTTCTTCTCTCACTTTCCTTTTCTCCCTTGCCCCTTGTATATTTTAAGGTGAACGCACAGATGTCAATGGCATGTGCGGATCCCCGGCTGACCGCTCACCGCCACGCACTTTCAGATGTGCACCCCAACCTCGATTGACCACTGTTGTGTGAACAAAATCATTCGCGGTAGCGCTTTAGACTAAGATTGATCGTCACGGTTTGAACTTAGTCTAAAAAGTAAAATGTCAAATTTTTCGACCTCGTCTTCTTGGAGTCTCTTGATGTTCGGCAGAGAGGCTCGCTTTTTATGTGCCTTTCATCACTTCGGGACTACTCTTGCTTGCTTTCGATGCGTCTCCGCCCTTTTGGTCTGCCTTTGGTCGCTTCTTTCGTATCTCCGGTGGCTTACCCGCCCTTATCAGCTTCAGCTGTTTGTTGAAAGATGCGCGCTGTCCAATGGTCATGAACGAGTTTTGGACGCTCCATTCGTCGTATTCGCTCCACAAGCTTTCAAAGCGTTCGGGTCTTCTCTTGATGTCGAGCAGCCTCAACCTTATTCTTTGAATCTCCTTTTTCTGTTCGTCTGTGTACGTCTTTGTTTTCTTAGGCGCCGGAATACCAAACTTTTTCCTCCACCAGTACCTCCGGCTGTTATAGTTCGATAGAAGTCTATGGAGTTCTCTAGCCCCCACGATGTCCAATGAAGCTCGACCTTCAATATTGAATTCCGTCTTCCCGTTTTTGATGTAGTCTTCAAAGACCAGTCTTGCAAGCTCTACTTGTTCAGGATGCTCTTCGTGATCCTTAGGTAAAGCACCCGCTCTTTCCTTCCTCCTTGTCGTCGTCGGCATTTGAACTTCATGGGTGGAAGATTGTCCAATCGTGGGTCTTTCCGTCTTAGATCTTGCCGAGCGAACGTGGGGCTCCATGGATTCAACTAGTAATTGCTTTCCCTTGAACGTGTCACGATCATTCTCTGCCGCCTTCGCCTTCTTTCCTTTTCTTTTGCTGCTCCTCACTACCTCCGAAGTCAACGCCTGGTCGCTCGATGCGGCTCCGAGTTCCGGTAATTCTTCCGTACGAACGTAGGTATCCAACAAAGTGCGGACCTTTACCTTCCCAATTCCATTACTGATATACGAAGGCGCTTTACGCTTCCCTTTTGTTCCCCATTTGAGGTTGAGCTCTCTCGACCCTTTGCTCGGGAACGCCGAACTTCTCGACGCGAGATTTTCATCATTCAATGGCATAGAGCTCAGTCCCCTCTGGTTCCCTTGCTTTTTTGAAGAGCCTGCATGTTTTCTCGTTTTGCTCCATCCTGGACTGAGCATTATTGAGCCCTTACTCGATGGCGCCGACCTTGACCATGACTTTTTGGGTGCCTCGTCCTCCAGCGGCTCCGACAGCGTCGTGTATTCTGATGCTCTGAGAGACGATGTGCTATCTGAGGACTTGTGAGAGGTTGTATTTTCCCATGAACCCGAAGAATGTGTGCTTTCCGATGAGCTAGATCTGTTATTTTCGCTGTTCAAAGACCAAGACGTCGATTGATCGTTGCTATTCGTCTCATCTTCGTTCTGTTCCAGCTTTCTGGTCCCCGATTCCCTCGGCACGTCCTCTGATCCCTGCAGAGATGGCTCGCGTAGGCTTTTGAAATGCGGTCTAGCCACGAAAGGGCTCGCTGGAGGGGGCGATGTTATCTGCAAAGGAGGGGAAAGCCGCGAGGAGATTTCATTCGAGCAAGTGGGTACGGCGTGTGCTGACGATTGGGGTGGTTCGCAGTGTTGAGGGGTCACGGGAGCTTGCTGATAGCCAAAGACACCAGTGGCTGCTGGCATACGCTTGATTCGAGCGCGACGCTCAAGACGTTGTTGCCCGTCTTGCAGGCTTGCGGACGGCAGACACACGACGACCTTCCCAAAGACCAGCAGGAAGACAAGGTACTTGAGCATGGTTGTTGTAGCGAGGGAGAGCGCGCTTGCAAGAAGGGCGGTGTCAGCAGGCCCCAAGCGGTGTGGCGACGGGGCTTGCGCCAAATGGTTCTCGAGTTGTCTAGAGCTCCATGTACAGCATAGCAAAGCCCCGAAACCACTCAGGATGTCTGTCTATTGTCGTAACAAAACAGCACACACATACTCGTGCTCTGCCTTGAGTACATGCTGCTTTCACATCGGCACCTACGCAAAGTCTCACGAAGTATTGGATTGAAGCATTGAAGCAAAAAGGAACAAATCTCGCAAACACAAAGTAAAAGAAGACGTGGGCTGTAGATACAGCCGAAGCTAGAGACATCAGGACGGTGTTTGCTATGGTACGATCACCTCGATCTCCTTGGCTTTTCTCCCTTTTCTCCCTTATCTACTTCGTCCTTATCCTTTTCTCCCTTTTCATTTACCCTTTCCCCCCTCCTCTTCCCTCTTCCTTCTTCTCTGTTCCGATCCATGTCCTCAAGAATTTTGTTGCGCCTACCCTCGTTAATACTAAAATTCCCGAGATCTTGCGTGTGCGCGTCTGTCCACGGGTCCAAATATGCGTCACCCTGCCTTATTCCCTTTTCCTCTTGTCCCCTTTCCTTTTTCACTTTTTTTCTCCTCTTCTTCCCTCTTCCTTCTTTTCTGTTCCGATCCATGTCGTCGAGGATTTTGTTGCGCCTACCCTCGTTAATGTTTAGACTCATGAGCTCTTGCGTGTGCGCGTCTGTCCACGAGTCCAAATATGCGGCATTATTCCTTATATTTCTTACCCTCTTCGCCAGAACGTCGAGCCTTCTCCTGTCCTCCTCGGTATATCTGTTAATTAATCTTCGCGGAGGATTCTTTGCCCTCTTTTTGGCTCGAAAGCGGTCACTTGCTGACTTTTGAATAATTTTCTTGTATTCACGTATGGCCTCGTCAGTTCCTAGGTACTCGTAATCTTGCCTCGTCGTGACGATCTTCTTTTTCTGAGCCTTCTGGCGCTCCTCGAGCTTGTCCTCGTAAAGCATTCTTGCAAGGCTCTCTTCATATGTCACCGGCTTTGGAAGGTCGTGGTAGATGGGGTGCCCTTGGTTGACACCTATATTTAGATCATGTTTCCTCTTCCGAGACCCTGGTCTGAGAGTCGTTGACTGCCGTCGCTCTTCCTCTACATCTGTCCGCTTTGCACCCGTAGCTTTGTCGAAGATCACCGAGTCCCTCACTTTGTTACGATTAATGGGCTTCTGCGTCCTCAGATGTTCCCCTTGGGTCAGCGCAATGTGATCGGCTGTTGCGAGCTGTTTGCCCTTTCTTGACGAGACTACATTCGCCTTGTCGTCTACTTCCGCGACTCGGGCAGAGCGGGGCCTTCTTGGTACTGTTGGGCCGTTCAACTTCGATTCCAATCCGATGGAAGAATCTTTTGACGGCGGCAGTCTTTCAAAGTCTTTTCCTTGACCAATTGCTGCAAGAAGTCGCCATTTGTTTCTTCGACGTGTACTCATCACTTCCTCATCGCCAGAGAACGACACTGAGACAGGTGGTTGGTAGTCAGAGTGGTGGGAGGCTGTCGAATCCTGAGAAGAAGATTCTAGCCAATGGTAAGGTCTTGGCGATGAAGAAGATTGCAAGGGCGCGCTCGGATCTGACGGTGGAGTCGTGGGGACCGACGTTGCATCTGTTGATGGACTCTTTGGGAGCGATGTTGCATCTGTTGATGGACTTTTTGGGAGCGACGTTGGATCTGTTGATGGACTCTTTGGGGGCGACGTTGGATCTGATGGTAGAGTTGTGGGGAACGACGTTGGAACGTGAGGAGGTTCACTCTTCTGAGTGGGAGGAAGGATTACAAACGTGGCTGTGGAAGACGGACGAGCTTTTTGTCGCGCTCGACGTTCGAGATGCTGGCTTCCATGATCTTGCTCGGCTTCGGAGACGGCAGCTATTGTCTTGGCGGCTGCTCCAAGCGCCAGGAGGATGCAGAGGAAGAAGCAGCAATGCAGCATGGTGGTGTCAGAGAACATGATCATTATGCATTCCAGAGATTGGTGCCACAAGCAGGCCGAAAGGGGCGTGCGTCTTGTTCGGAGTTGAAATTGAAGGCTGACGCCTGTAGTATCGGCCGCCCCGGTCCTGCAACAGCGCTCCGACTCGCGTCCGCATGCCCATGCCTAGCATACCTGGCTACTTCTTTCTGCTTTAAGTAAACATCCGAAGCGGGGCGGAGGTGCGTGGCCGGACGACTCGATTCTCTCGCCACCTACCCTTTCACTTTTCACTCTTTCACTCTTTCACTCTTTCACTCTTTCACTCTTTCACTCTTTCACTCGTTCACTTTTTCGCTCGTTTACACTTTCACCCTGTTTACGACTCTTGCTTTCCCCGTGCTCGACCAGACTCATCCAAACTCCTCCTCTCCACACAGCCACGAGCACATCTAGAATCTCTAATGCCACACAGCCCTTTACACTAACCCGAAGCACAAAGAGCAACACCGAGGAGCATGTGCAAGACATGTCAGATTGATTTATAAACCACAAAGTAGTTGACAGGATAGGACTTCACTCTGAGAGCGGCTTTCGTACTCTTCCCCCCACTTGTAGCCCCCCATTTTTCTGTCTTCTCTTTCGTTCCCTCTCAACGTCGTTTAACGCTTTTATTTTCCGTCTCTCCTTACCCCTGCTCCATAGCTCGTCTCCGTCTATCTTCTCTAATTCTGCCCAGTTCTTCAAAATAGTCTCCTTGGCTCTATCCGATAGATTTGAAGTCATGACCCTCTCGAGGTCTTTTGCCGTCCATCGCGACTTGCGTTGCAGCCCATTCTTAATCCCTTGAAGCTTGCTTTCGAATTGTTTGCGTGTTCTGACCCTTTCGTAAACGCCTCTTTTGATGCTTTTCTTCTCGCTGAAGATTCTCAACAGCCGGTTGAATTCTGCTCTCCCGGCATCACCAAGACCTTGCCACTCCGCGTGATTTGTAGTGTGCATTTTTCGCAGTGGCCATCTCATCTTCTGCTCGAACAGGACTCGACCTCTCCTTTGCTCCGCCGATGTCGTCACGCCAGCCTTTTCAAAGATTTCACTCAACATCTTTGATCGTTCCTTTTTTGCTCCGGCGGTCCAGTCTTTTCCTGTCACTTTTGACCATTCCATAGAGGCTCCAGCTTCAACGCTATTGCTCTCAAGCAATGGGCTCTGGGGATCGGCAGATTGACTTTCCTCGAAGAAGTTGACTGCCTCGCTCTCACTCTTGTTCATTTCTGGCCCGCTCGTTGACGACATTGGTAGGTATGTATCACGGGAAAGCGCTGGAAGCTTCCGACTTTTATTTCCTTTGCGAATAGTTGTCGGTGTCGCTGGCCGTTTCTCTTTTTCATTAGCGAGCGCTTCTTGTCTTTGTGTAGCAGGCGTGGCTCCTCTCTGTACTGCGAGCTTTCGTCCTCTTTGAAAGACGGAGTTCCTACCGCTCTGGACCGTCGGCCTCGGGTTCCACTCCTCAGAAGACTCCTCTTCTGCTTGCGATGATGACGTCTCCCAATCTTCAGCAGGTGAAGACTTTGTTATGTGCCTGGACAAAGAAGAGGATCCGCCCAGTTCCATTCTAGACCGGGATCTGGCGGTCCGAGGACGAGCCAAGGACATTGCTGACTTGAATTCATCGGTGTTGGGAGGAGTCCATAAAGGCGCTAGAAAGTCCAGACGAGGTGGAGTAGTCGGTGAAGAACCCAAATTGCGTGGCTTTTGTTCTACTTGTGGTGGTTGAGTCTGAACCCCGAATATGGCCGTGGGGCTCGGCTTCGCCTTTTCCCGCGCTCGTCGCTGCAGATGATTGCCCTCGAGAGCAGCGCTTGAAAGTGGGTGGAGAAGTAAGAATATGGCCAAGAGAGCCAAACGGAAGATTGATGACTTGACCATGGCTTATTGTTGTAGAGTCGACTGAGGCGGGCAAACAGATGGATCGCGCTGCTCGCTAATGGGGGGTTTGCGTTATATACCTGTTCGAGCGAGGGCTGCTCGCGGTGAATTGCCCAGTGTGCCCAGCCCCGATGCCCCGAAAGGCCATCAATGGTCTCATTTCGCTGGGATTAGGGGCTCTGCTTGGTCGAAACGCACACTGCCTCTTAGGAGGCGTTCGACCGAAGCACCGAATCGTCGGGCCTTCTTTGTTGTTGTTGTGTGTGTGTTTTTTTTTGGGGGGTGTGAAATATTTTCCACTTTCTTTGTTGATGGGCGTTGCTGTTACCTCGCAGACACACACGTAGGTGTTTGCTGCTCCACCTTTTCAGGTTCAGATGACAACAATCGTCTCAGGTCTCAGCGACAAGTGAAATAAGAAGAATGAAATCACCTTTAAAACACAGCGCTCCCACTGGCGTCCGCATGCCAAAGTGTAGCCTACCTAGCTACCTTTTTCTCCTTGTCTAAGTAAACTTCTAAAGGGCGGCGGAGATGCGTGGCCGCACGACTCGGTCATCCTGCCATTTAGTCGTTCACTATTTCACTCTGCTTCATCCAATCTCTCACATCTTCATTCCTCTGGCTTCGTCTCTTCTTTCAAGTCCCTCGCCTTTCTTGTGCTGGACTCGACTCAGTTCGCTTCCTTTTCACACAAGCGCGAGGGCACTCGTAATCTCCAATGCCCCACATTGGCTTAGAGAAAGGAATCCCTCTCCTTCCACCCCTTTCCTGTACTGTACTGTACTGTACTGTGCAGTACAATACTTTTCTTGACATCGAGCAACGTGAGTGGCGGGAATGAGATGGTTTGATACCTCGAGATCATTGACACTATAGAACACAGGGGACCTGCGGCGAGAAACACCTCTCACTCTATCTTGATTTTACTGGGTCGCCTTCGTTTTCTCTTCCCTGCTTTAGACCGACGGTACTTCTTTTTGTACTTTCGATTTTGTAGCACTTTTCTTCTTCGCCTCTCGACACCCCCGCTCCAAAGCTCTTCCGCGTCCATCTTCTCTAACCCTTCCCACTTTTCCAGGAGGTTCTTCCGGGCGCGATCCGTTAAGTCTACAGTCTTGAGCACCTCAAGAAGTTCTGGCGTCATTAGTGACTTTCGTTTCAGGCCGGTTTCGATACCAGAAAGCAGGGAATTGAAGTAGACACGGCTCTTATGTCTCGCAACCTTCTTCGGATCAACTGCTTTCCCAGTTTTCTTGAATTTTTTGAAGATCCTTTTTAGCTTGCTGAATTCTTTCCACGCGCCATCACTGATCATTTTCCGTTCCTGTGCATTCGTCGTGAGCATTATGTGCAGTGGCCATGCCATTTTTTTCACGAATAGCGCCCGTCCTTTCTCTTGTTCTGGGGATGTAGCAGGACCTGCATCTTTAAAAATGTCCTTCAACATTCTCAACCGGTCAATTCGAGCTTCAGGGGTCCATATTTTTCCATCTATTGCTGGTGGAGCCCTTTCGGAGGGGTCAGTCGTGTCGCTGTTGCTTTCTAGCGAGGGGCTCTGGGAATACGTTGACGGAGTCTCCTCAGCAAAATCAGACATCTCGCTATCGATCTCGTTGAACTCTGAGCTTCTCGACGATGAAGCTGATAAGTCTGCCCTACAGATGATCGTCGAAAGCTTCCGACACTTGTATGTCTTGCCGAAAGTTGTGGGCGTCGCGAGCCTTTTCCCTTTCTGTTTAGCAAGCGCTTCTGATCTTTGGACAGCAGGCATCCTCCCATTCAAAACGAGCTTCCCTTTTTGAAGGACAGACCCGCCGTTTCCGTGAACAGTCGACGTCTCACCGCCTTCCTTAACGAATTCTTCTTCTTCTTCCCAAGAAGAGGACAACATCCCTTCTTCAACAGCTGGCGACTTCCTTTTTCGCCTGGACAAAGAAGAGGACTCGCCAGGTTTCATCCGAGGACGTAATCTGGCGGTCCAAGGACGAGGCGAGGACATTGCCGACTTGAGTTCACCGGTGTCGGGGGGACCCCACGAAGGCGATAGAGAGTCCGAACGGCGTGGAGGAGGAAGAGGCAGTGGAGGGCCCAAATTGCGTGGCTTGTCTTCTTGTGGTGTTTGAGTCTGAACCCCGAATATGGCCGTGGGGCTCGGCTTCGCCTTTTCCCGCGCTCGTCGCTGCAGATGATTGCCCTCGAGAGCAGCGCTTGGAGGAAGGTTGAGAAGAAAGATTATGGACAAGAAAACCATATAGAAGATTGACGACCTGACCATGATTTGTTGCAGAGAGACGACTGAGGCGTGCAAGCAGATGGATCGCTCTGCTCGCCGGGGGGGAAATGTAGTATATACCTGTTCGGACGAGGGCTGTTCGCAACAGATTTGTCACCTGTGCCCCACGACGTGGCCCCGATAGAGGGCATGACTCGGTCGAAACGCACACTGCCTCTTTAGAGGCGCTCAACCGAAGACACCGAGTCGTCGGGCCTTCTCTTTTGTGTTTTTCTCCGTTATTCATCTTTATTTTGTTGTTTGTATTTTTATCTTTGGTGTTTATTTTTTCGGTGAGAAACATCTTGCCAGCCAAGATTGTTGGCACGCAGAGGACCATGGCACCAACGGCTAATTGAGAAATCCATTCGCTGGCGGGAGAGTGATAAGCAGATGATGAGAACCGTTTTCTTCATTGGGCGTTGTTGCTACCTTCTAGACTCACACACGTAGATGCTTGCTGCTCTACCTTAGTGACCGTGCCGTTCAGATGCACAACAGTCGTCTCAGATCTCAGCCACAAGTGAATCAAGAAAAGTGATTTTTTTTTTCCAAAAGAAGCGCGTGAAGTGAATCGATCATGGACGGGGGCCCTGTTCTGAACATGATAAACGTGATAGATGAGGTCGGACTGATGTTACTGGCGATAACCCACAATTTTTTTGATAGGTGGCTGGCTAATTCAGCGGTTACTTCTCTCCCCCTCCCAATTGTGTCCAGTGTCATCTTCTATCTTTCGCCTTGAAAATCGACCCTTGAGCTCTTGCTTATTATCTGTTCTGGTTACTGCCATTCAAGTGCTTGCTGATCCTTATCGGTCCATGAACCGAACTTTTGACCATGCCTAGTGAGTAGACGACCTGTGCCATTACTGTGAATTTCGATTCTCTCTCTTCTTCTTTTTCTTGGAGTAACTTGTCCTGGTACTGGCGCTTACACAACGCACATTGAAAGCATGCAAGGCCTCAATAGACAGGTGTTTCTTTTCTTCGCTACTTAAAGTGCGCTTCCCATCAGTCTGGTGACTTCTTGCGGCCACCTCGTCAAAGAGTTCTTGTATCGATTCTTCGGAGGGTGTTTTGTTGTCTCGACCAAAAACCTTCAGGTGCAACAAGCTCTTTACGTTTTTCTCCCACGCATGCACGTATTCTCTAGGCCTATCAGGTCCGCTCCAACGTACTGTTCTACTACTGTGCCTTTGACGCGTCATATGACTCGTGTAGTCTCCTGCCTCGTCGTTCTCCTTGGCCTTCTCGGAAGGGCGTCTGAACCTTTTCTTCCGTCTTGCAGCTGCGCTGACTTGCGGTGGAGAGCCGGAAAGATCGTTGTGCTGCGATTTAGATGGAGAGTGAGATGAGGTGGCAGGGCCAATGGGCGAGTTGGAAGGAGGAAGAAGGCGGAGTGAGCTGACATGGCGCTCGAGAGAAGACGACGGATTAGCGTGGTACGAAAGGGGAGGAGAGACAATAGCTGATGGGTCTTCGTTGATTGTGTTGTGTTGCTCATCAAACCCACGTTGCATCGCGATAGTGTGCGAAGCACTGCCAACGCCTTCCTCGTCCTTTTGCTGAGACAGCTGCGGCTGCTGAACGCCAAAAGCTGCAGTGGACTTCGGTATGCTCTTCTTGCGAGCCCGGCGCTCGAGGTGATTCCCCTCGACAGCAGTGCTTGGGAGGGGAATGAGAAGAAAGAGTATGACACAAAAACCCAGACGAAGGATCGATGACCGAGCCATGGTTCGTTGTAGCAAGAAGTAAGGCGTGCAAGGAAAACAGATGAATCGCACCGCTCGCCAATGGAGGTCGTGATCTCTGTATTTGTCCCAGATGGGCTGCTCGAAATGATATCGGACGACGTGGCCAGCCTCAATGCCCCTACGGCTGACGAGTTTCCCTGTTCTCTAGGAAACAGGCGTGGTTCGGTCAAACTGCCTATGCCTCATTCGAGGCGCTCGGCTGAAGCACCGAGTCGTCGGGCCTTTTCTGTTATTTTCACAGTTTTTCTCAGGTTTTTTTTTGAGGGGTGAGAGTAATCTCCGTCTTTTTTTTTTTTTTGGTGGGCGTTGCTATTACCTCCCATAATCACACACGTAGAGGCTTGCTGCTCCATCTTTGCGACCGTGCTCGTTAAGAAGCACAAAAATCGACTCGGATCAAGCCCAACTTAATGAAGAAGTTTGAAGTCATTTCAAAAGAAACGCTTGAAGTGATTTGATCAAGGCTTGGTTCTGCTCTCTTACAAGGATTGCAGCTTTGATGAGGAATCTGGCTCGCTAAAGTAGCTGTGACTCACGATTCCTTACAGAGGCTGAATTTTGATTCACCCCTCCGACTCGTCTTTTCTCTTCTTTCTTGAGGGGGTCTTTCTTTCCTTCTTTCGCTTCATCTTAGAGTGGCATTTTGCCTCCTCTATTCGATCCAAGAGCGACTTTTTGTACTTTTCGTCGATTTCTGCCTTCTGAAGTGCTTGCTTGTCTTCGTCGGTCCATGTGGAGAGGCGTTGAGCTCCTACTGCTATCCTATAAACTTTCCTGGCGAGTGGAGTATTTGAGTCTCTAAATTTGTTTTGCTTTCGACCTTCTCTCTTCGACTTGGCATACCCTGCCTTGGCATAGGCTTTCTCGCAAAGGTGATAGAATCGAAACTTGGCTTCACGGGTCAGATTCTCTTTTTCTCGATTGGTTAAAGCGATCTGCCCATCAGTCTGACCCGTTCTTGCGCACACCTCGTCAAAGAGCTCTTGTATCGCTTTTTCGGAGGGCTCCTCTTCACAAAAAGCTTTCAAATGCAATAAGCTCTCTACGTCTTTCTCCCACCAGTGTACGTATATCCTATGTTTACCACTTCTGCTCCAACGTCTGGCACTGGTCTTTCCCTGGCCCGGGGGACCGCCTGCGCTATCGATTTCCTTGCCTTTCTTGGAAGGGCGTCTTGACCTTTTTTTGGTTTTTGCAGCTGCGCTGGTTTGCGATCTAGTGCTGGGACGATTGTAGTGTGGCGGAGGAGATGGAGAAGACGACGAAGCAGCGTGATACGAAGGAGGAGAATAATCAGAAGAACCAATTGCCGATGGGCCGTCGTCATTAGAGCTATTTCGCTCATCGATCCGAGGTTGAAGAGCGACGGGACGGGAGGAACTTTCACCGCCTGGCTTGCTCTGTTGCTGAGATAGCTGCGGCTGCAAATCGTCACCGCCTGGCTCGCTCTGTTGCAAAAGTAGCTGCGACTGCGAGTTGTCACCGCCTGGCTCGCTCTCTTGCAGAGGTAGCTGTGGCTGCTGGAAGCCGAAAGACGCTGAGGATGTCGGTTTGCTTTTCTGGCGAGCCCGGCGCTCTAGGTGATTTCGCTCGACAGCCGCGCTTGGGGAGGAAATGAGAAGAAACAGTATGGCAAAGAGGACCAGAGGAAGTACCGATGATCTGGCCATGGCTCACTGTAGCAACAACGGATGCGTTGAAGCAAAGCAAATTGATCGCACTGCTCGCCAGTGGAGGTCGTACTCCTTGTATCCGTCCCAGAATGGGCTGCTCGAGATAATATCGGGCAATGTAGTCAGCCCCAATGCCCCGACGGCTGACGAGTGCTACCCACTGTCGAGTAAACGGTAAATAGGCGCGGCTCGGTCAAAATACACACTGCCTCATTCGAGGCGCTCGACCGAAGCACCGAGTCGCCGGGCTCTTCTGTATTTTTGTATTTCTCAAAATCTTTCTCAGTTTTTTTTAAATTTTTTGGGGTGAATTGATTTGGTTTGGTGACAAAAAATTTCCCTTTCTTTGTTTGTGGGCTTTGCTGTACCTCGCAGAATTGCCCATGTAGATGCTCGCTGTTCCAGCTTCGATGTCGTGCCCGTCTAGATGCACAACAATTTCTCAGGACTCAAGCACAAGTGCAGTACGAAGTTTGAAACCATTTGAAAAGAGGCGCTTGAAGTGACTTGATCATGGATTGATTCTGCTCTTCTCAAGGGTCGCAGACGAGATTGATGACGAGATCGGGCTCGCAAAAGTTTCAGTGACTCGCAAATCTTGACAGATGGCTGTTATGATGTACTGTACTACTCCTTTGACTCCCATTCTCTCTCTTTCTTGTAGAAGTCCTTCTTCAATGAATCTATTCCTCCTTAGACTTGCGTCTTGCCTCTTTTTTTATCTTCAACTTTTCAATTCGACTCAAGAGCTCCTTTCTGTACGATTCGCCGATTTCCGCCGTCTGAAGTCCTTGCTGGTCTTTATCTCCCCATGAGGCGAGACTTTGATCTCCGCTTGCTATTCTATTAACTTTCCTGGCAAGTCGATGACCTGAGGGCTTAGATTTGTTTTGCACTCGACCCTCTCTCTTTGCCTTGGCATGCCATTTTTTGGTAGTGAGTATATTGCAAATCCTTTGGAAACGAAGGATGTCATCACGTTCCAATTTACGTTTTTCTTTACTGGTTAGAGCGAGCTTCCCATCGGTCTGATCTGTTCTTGCAGACACCTCTTGATAGAGCTCTTGTAACGATTCTTCGGAAGGATTGACTTGTTGAAAAGCCTTTAAGTGCAACAAGCTTTTTACGTTTTTCTCCCACGCATGCACGTATTCCCTAGGTCTATCGTGTCTGCTCCAACGTCTGGTTTTGGTATCCTTCTGCCTTGTGTCGCCACCTGCGCTATCGATTTCCTTGCCTTTCTTGGAAGGGCGTCTGAACCTTCTTTTAATTTCTGCAGCTGTGCTGATTTGGGGTCTAGTACTGGCACGATTGTAGTGCAGCGAGGGAGATGGGACGTCTTCGCTATCGATTGCCATGCCTTTCTCGGAAGGGCGTCTGAACCTCTTTTTGGTTTTTGCACCTGTGCTGGTTTGCGATCTAGTGCTGGGACGATTGTAATGCGGCGAAGGAGATGGAGAAGACGACGAAGTAGCGTGATATGGAGGAGGAGAATAGTCAGAAGATATGCTAGCCGATGGGGCATCCTCCGTTTCGACGTTTTCGACGTTTTCGTCATTTTCGTCGTTTTCATCGTTTGAGCTGTGTGGCTCATCGAACCGAGGTTGCAGAGCGACGGGACGGGAGGAACTCTCACCGCCTGGCTTGCTCTGTTGCTGAGATAGCTGTGGCTCGGAACTGCCACCGGCTGACTCGCTCTGTTGCAAAGATAGCTGCGGCAGCTGAACGCCGAAAGATGCTGAGGATGTCGGTGTGCTTTTGTGTCGAGCCCGGCGCTGAAGGTGATTTACCTCGACAGCAGCGCTTGGAAGGGGGATGAGCAGAGAGGCTATGGCAAAAAGAACCACAAAGAGGGCGAACGACTTCACCATGACGTGTGGTAGAGACGACTGAGGAACATAGGCAGATCTGTCTTGACAGGAATCGACCCTTTCTTATACACCTTTTTACAGAGTCTGGACGCCTCTCAGTGACACTGACTTCCGAAGCCCCGATGGCCCCATGGCTCATGGCTTCTTCCTATTTGCTAGTAAGCACGGGGCTCTGCTCGGTCAGCCCTCTATTTTCTACTGCATCGTCCGAGGCGCTCGACCGAAGCTCCACCTCATTTTCTCCGTCGCCCTGATATGCGTTATGATTACCTCTCAATGTCTCGTCTGCAAGCGCTTACTGATTTTACTCAAAAGTTTGGAGCAAAGACTTATTAGGATGTGCACAAGAAACCAGGAGGCTGTAAATGAATGTGACAGAATTGCCTGAAGCGCCTCACTATCAATGGCAGTCTGACCTCTTCAATGGAATATTTTCAAAAGGCCTTTTGGTTGAGGGACATGGTCTCGTAGTGATGAAAATGGCACGCAGGCCTAAAAAGAGCTTTAACGTTCACGTTCATGTTCATCCTGATTCGTTGGGGCCTTCTGTTTCGACTGCGTCTTCTTCTTCTGATGCCCCCTCTCTCCTCTCCTAGAAGCCTCGAATTTTGCCCTCAGCTGTGAGATTATTTTCAACAAGCTCGCTCTGCGCTTTTTACGCATTTTCGTAGTCTCAAGTTTTCGCTGGTCTTTCCCTTTCCACGTCTCGAAGCTTTGGCCTTCTAACAGCCTTTTGATCTTTTGACCGATTAATCTAGAAGCAGATACTGCTGATTTCTGACCGGTAGCTGCTTCTTCCTCTTTGCGCCTTTCTTTTGTTTTGTGATATCTAGCACGCTCGCGAGCCCTCTTCTCTTCTTCCAGATCTGGAAGACTTAGATCCTCCATCTCTACCCTCATTTTACTGCTTTGTCGTTTCGTTTGGTCACTTCTGGCTTCAATCAAGTCGTTGACCTCGCGGCCCTTTCTCCTAATAGCATCGAGGCTCACATTGTTTCCGCGTCTCTCCGTCTGATGACTTCTACCCCGCGGCTTGGAGCGCTGCTGCCTCTTGACGTCTTCTGCGCTGTCACTTTCGTAGTCCGTCTCGAAATAGTATATGCGCTCTTTCCCTTTATTCGCAGCATTGGCAGACCTCGTAAGTCTGGGTTGCGGAGGCGGTTCTGCGCGATCGAGCAGTAGCGAAGACCAAGGAGGAAGAAAGCGTGATAGGTCAACTGTGCGAGCGAGAGGAGATGGAAGAGGAGCGGGATGTGAATGAGAAGACTTCGTTGGGAGGGGGGCGGTATACCGTGAGTCATGTTCGCTCCTCTCGAATCGCTTCTCGGAGTCAGGATGCAGAGCGTTGGGAGGCGATGATGGGTCATTGCTCATCTGAGTCTCCTGCTGAAACAGCTGCGGTTGCTGCGGCTGCTGAGCGCCGAAAGATGCTGAGGATGTCGGCATGCTTTTCTTGCGAGCCCGGCGCTGAAGGTGATTTACCTCGACAGCAGCGGCTGGGAGAGAGATGAGCAGAGAGGCTAAGGCAAAGAGCACCACGAAGAGGGCGAAAGGCCTGACCATGGTGATGTAGAGACGACTTAGAAATGTAAGCAGATCTATCTTGCCAGCAGTCGTCCGTTTTGTTTTACGCCCTCACGGAGCCTGGACTCCTCTCAGTGACGTTGACGTCAGAAGCCCCGATGCGCCGTTGGCTCATGTCCTTTCTCCAGTTCGCTAGTAATTACGGGGCTCGGGTCGGTCAGATTGCTTACTGCATTGTCAGAGGCGCTCGATCGAATCTCCATCTGTAATCCTTGGGGGCATTGTTGCTGCCCCCCTGGATGCACACCTGGAGGTGCTCACTGACTCTTTCCGAAATTGAACCATACCGTACGGAAGGAGCACAGGTCTGATTACTGACGAAGGGCAAGGTGATCAAAGGCTGGCAGTTCTTCTGAAAGAATCGCCTGAAGCACTTGTTCACCAGTGGCAGTCTGTTCACTATTTCGCACCATCCTCTTTTAGGAATCTTGACTATGGAGAGAGAAAGGTTGGGAGGGGATGGCGATAGCACCCAAGCCCGAGGAGTGCACTAAACAATCTAATTATTACCCTGATTCATTCTTCCCTTCTTTCTTGAATTCGAAGACCTCTTTCTTTGATTCTTCTGCTCCTTCTTAGTCGCCTTATTTTGCGCCTTCAAATTCGAGACTCGTTCCATGAGACCGACATTGCGACCTCCATCCGCTGTTATGGCCTGAAGTTCTCGCTGATCCTTCGGTTTCCACGTACAGAAGCTTTGTCCGTGTTCCAATCTGTGGACTTTAACATTGAGTCGCGCAACTACAGAATTCCTTGGCGTTTGACCCTCGGGTGCTTCTTTCTTTAGCTTCTCCTGTCTTCTATGGAAGTTATCGAGATGACAAAGTCTCAGGTACTCTTTTCGACCTTGAATACCCAGATCTTTCCTCTCTTTTTCGCTCGTCATGCGCCTTCCGTTCGTATGGTGTTTTCTTGCTTCCACCTTATTAAAGAATTCGCGAGCGTTTCTGATCTCATCGTAGCCGAACTTGTTCAGATCATCAGAATCTGACACTTTCTCTGCATCCTTTCCTTGTAACTTTGCCTCACGTTGCATACCCCGCGATCTCGGAACTTTCTTCTTACGGGGAAGTGACAGAGGAGGTGCATGTTGAACATGCATTTGAAATTGTCTCTTGCCGTCTTCATCGCTTTCGTTATCCGTCTCGAAGTAGTATTTGCGCTTTTTTCCTTTCTTTGCAGAATTAATAGACCTCGTGAAGCTAGGCCGTAGCAGAGGGTCTGAGCCATCGAGAGGAGACGACGAAGCAGCGCGATGTGAAGGAAAAGACCTAGTTGAGAAGATGGCAATGGGCGATGAAGCAACGTCGTCATTCTTGAGCTGCTCATCAGACAAAGATTTCAGTGCGTTGAAGGGCGGAGAAAGACTACTGCACTTCTCGGTCTGCTGCTGAGATGACTGTGGCTGCTGAACACCGAAAGTTGCTGAGCATGTCGGCTTGCCTTTTTGGCGAGCCCGGCGCTGGAAGGGAGGCTCTTCCTCGGAGCTGAGCACAGATGAGTGTGCTGCTTCTGCCACGAAAGAGAAAAGCAGAAGGCAGAAGATTGCCAGAGCTAGGCTGGAAGCGAGTTTTTGTCGTTTGTTCATGGATGTCGATCGCAAGTGATGGTTGCTGGGGAAGTACGGGTTCGTTATTTGCGATCAAGACTTGTCGCGGGACCTAATCATTGCTTGTAAATTCCTGCTATCCGAAACACTCTCGCCACTTTTCTCGCTGTCCATTACCATTTCGAAAATTAGCCCTCCCACTGTCGACTTCTTGAGGAGTCACCAAACATTGGTAAGCCCCTATTAAAAGCCCCTGTTCGTGGTACACATCGCTATCCATTCGTGATGTGCCCCTTTTGCCTTTCGCACAAAAAACACAAAGAGAGAGAGAGGACTTGGAGCCAAGCCCCGTGCGCTGTGTTTTTTTCGCTGTTTCGGGACGCCACGGAGCAAATTGAGACGCAGAGTCATGCTTGCTTGACGAGAACGAACAGACTAGTGTCGTAACGACAAACGCACAAAGTCAACCGTAGCAGTGGCTGAGAAGAAAACAAAGGAAGAGGTCCCTCAAAAGCATTCTTTCGACGCGAGGTGGCACCAGGGCGACGGCGCGAAAGTCCGAAGATGTGCCGGGCACGTCTTTTCCTTGAGCAGTCGAATATTTATGTATCAGCCTAGGCTTTGATCCACTGACGGAGCTGAATGGCCCTTTCTTCCATGTAAGACGCCCCAGTTGCTCCTCGTCGAGGTGTATGTGTATCAACTTGTCGTCAAACTCACCAGTCTAAGTAAGATCTCAAGTCTAAACTGCTTTGACAGTCTCGTCAATGATGTTTGTTACTGTGCAGAGTGCCACGCGTGCAAATGAAACAACCTTAGTATGACAGCGCACGCCTCTCGGCGGCTGTAGCATGACATTGTAAGTGAATGCTGCAATCATAATAGAGGGAATAACAAGTTACGGGTAAATATATGGAATACAGAAGGTGTGGTCAGGACTTCCACCTTCCGTGTGGGATGCCAGGGGGAGGGGAAAGGGGCGGGCTAAAGGGGGGGGAGAGGGAGATATGACGAAGTGCTCAGAGAAGAAGTGGCAGCAGCATTACAAAGCCGCTTTAGTCCAGACGCCTCTTGTGCGACGTCTTGTTGCCGTCGAGGTTGCCCTTGTTGCCACTTCCGTTGCCCTTGTTGCCGACGTTGCCTGTGTTGATCTCCAATCAGCTTCATGCTCAACATCCAAGGAAGAAGTCCAGACTCACCGTTGCCGGCGCCGTTGGCATTCCCGTTGCCCTTGTTGTTCTTGTTTCCGGAGCCCGAGCCGCTAAAAGATGACGAAGAGAACAGAGTAAAGAAGCGGTGAGCATCCCAGATCTTCTCACTTGTCACGGACGCGATCGCTGCTACTCACTTTCCGTTGCCCGAGGCGAAGCCATTGCCGTTTCCGTTGCCGTTTCCGTTGCCCTTGTTGTTCTTGTTTCCGGAACCAGAGCCGCTGAAGAAGATTGCGAAAGGGGCGATGAGTGACGCTGATTTGGCGCAGGCAGAAAAAACTTCATACTCACTTGCCGTTGCCCGAGGCGAGGCCGTTACCATTTCCGTTGCCCTTGTTGCCCTTGTTGGCAGAACCGTTGCCGCTGAAAGAAAGGCAGACAAGCATCGGTGAGCATGTTTCGAATAAGAGGAGCTGTTCATGAGCATCAACTCACTCAAAGTCACCCGAGCCGATGCCGTTTCCGTTGGCGGATCCATTGCCGTTGTCCTTGTTACCGTTGAGGTTGTCGACGTTGCTGTGTGTGATTGGTTTTAAATGAGCGGGAACGTCGAGAGGCGGGGAAACGGGAAAAAGCACTCACCCAGAGCCGTTGCCCGAAAGGATGGAGATGAGGCTGGGGTGGACGTCCTCGACGTCGCCCGAGGTCATGCGGCACCAGCACTCCTGAGGCTGGGTGGCGGAGACGGCGACGGCCATGAGAGCCATGGCGGCGAATGCAACAGAGAGCTTGACCATGTTGTGAGTAAAATGAGAGTGAGGGAGAGGGTATTGAAGAATTAGTGAGGGGAATCTAGGGTAGGAGCGAGGGGTTGGGTCGGAATCGATGAAGTTAACTGGCCTCTGACGAGTTCTTATAGGGATCGTGCTCACTGCATTCTTTCACGGTGGACTGTACAAGAGGGAAGAAGCGAGAGGGCATGCCATCTGTCTTTGCCCATTACACTCTACTATGGAAGCACTCTAGGTCTCCAACAGCGTGCAACGCGGAAATTATCCGACTTTGAACATCCACCCTCGACTTATTGAACGACTTATTGAATTCACCTTGAAACACCTCGCCTAGGATGGCGGCAACAAAGAAGTGGGATTGCAGAGAATGAAGAGTAGGAGCCAAGGATGTCCGCGGAAACCATTTTCTGCAGAGCACAGGCAATCTGCTCTTGCGTTTGTATAGGTCACGCATTTTGGGGAAGCGAAAAAAGCCGCTAGAATGATCCCAGATTGCAGGTCTCAGACAAATCAATAAATCAATCAATCAGTCAGTCAGTCAGCGTCACGCTTCCTCCATTCGCACCTGGCACGCTGATCTGCGGTGCTGTCCATGATTAGTTTCATGGAAAGGCGCATTTAGATTCTGTTGCAATAATGCCGACTAATGTGCACCCCCACAGAAACAAGAGAGTCTCTGACACCTCTCCACGTTCCCCGAGGGTGTCGTTCCCACGCTTGGTCACCGCACTAACACTCATCAGATTGATCACCACTTTCCTGCTGCCGAAGAAGGGCACTTGTACTTCGCGCAAAGACTAATAGTAGCAAAGAGAAGGACAGATCGACGGTGCCGAGGAGGAGCCGTCTCTCTCGAGAACCTGGCACACCTTGACGCGCAATGTTTTTCTACTCCATGATCCATCACTCAAGCTATCTGGAGCGCACCCCCGCCATTTGCCCTTTTTCTTTTTTCCGAAACCGCGCTAGATTGATTCTTCGCAGCAGAAGCTTCCAAAGCGGCGTCTTCGCAAACTCATCGAAACATATACTACCACCACGCACAGAGAACCCGGCCGAAAAACAGACCACGACCTTCCCAGTCTATTCTAGCAAAGCCAATTAAATGATCTGATGCGTACGGATGTGTAGGGGAAGTGGAAAGGGGGAAGACGACTTCAGTGTGATCGATGATCAATTATCCACAGTGAGATTCTGCCCCGGAGTGGCAGTCCCTGTTAAACATACAACACAAGAGCCGGAAGAGACAGAAAGAAAGACAGAGACGGAGGAGTGAGTCATCAAGTACCGGTACAACAAAGGGAGAGTAGAGCCGAGGCATCACGCCTGACGAGACCGCTTTGCACGTCCGCCAGTGGCCGCGCTGCTATCATCGCCGGCGGCCTTCTTGTCCCCGCCTTCGGCTGCCTCGACCTGGGAACGGCTCCGGGCACGCGACTTGCGCGCGCTGTCATCTTCGCCATACACCGTCGCAGCGGCCTCCTGCTGCGAGCGGGCATCGAGAGCTGCGGCGGCAGCAGCGGCGGCTACTTCGTTGAGCGCCGAACCCTGCCGGTCTGCGCCGTCGTTCAGGCGAGGATCGACGTCGTGCTGTTGCTGCTGGTGGTGTTGCTGCTCGTCGTATTGCTGGTGCTGGTGCTGCTCCTCGCCCTGCTGGTGCTGCGGAGGCGGGGCTACCTCTTCGGGCAAACCGAGCTGGGCTCGGAGACGGGAGATTTCCTTCTTGGCATCCTCGAGCTGCTGGTTGAGGTCCTTGACGGCCTGGTCCATGAGCAGCTTCTCCAGCGTCCACTTTTCGATGTTGTCTGCCTCGTTGTTCTTGAGGCGCTGGATGTAATCAACAGCGCTGTTGATGATAGCCGTCTTGTTTGTCGTTCTGCTGCTCGATGTCTCGCTCGAGGGCACAATCGCCGCCAGCTCATTGATGCCCGACGAGATCTGCTCTCGACGCTTGCGCTCGACTTCTTTCTGTGTGGATGTGTATATTGTCAGTTGAAATGTTCTCGCTCAGACCGCAATGGTACTCACGTGGTTGTCCTTGCGCATTCGCTCAGCTTCAGGGCCCAAATCCCGCTTCTGGCGCCCTTGACGGTGGTTCATGGGAGTAGAGAGCCCTCCTTGGGCCGCGAGCGACTCCATGGCTGCTAGTGCAGCGGCCGTCGCATCGCCGTATCGGTCCACCGACTGCGACTGGAGGTGCTGCTGCTGCTGCTGTTGCTGCTGGTGATGGTGCTGGTCGTGCTGCTCGTCGTGCTGCTGGTGCTGGTGCTCCTGCTGCGACTGCTGGTGGTCATGCTGGCCGTGCTGCTCGTCGTACGACTGCTGCTGCTGGTCCTGCTGTTGTTGTTGCTGCTGCGAGTCTGACTGCTTGATGTCCTTTGTGTCTCCGTCTGCCGCAGCGCGCTGCTCCCCTTCGCCGTCGGCACCCGACGCCTCCGCGCCCTCGCGCTCCTGGCCCTGGTTGTTGCCTCGCTTGAAGGAAGACGCAAACGACGTCAGGGCCGACGCGGCCTGTCCCAAGCCAGGGGGCAGCGAGGCGAGAATGGCCGTTGTGTCGACACCCGATGTGGCATCACTCGTGCCGGCTGTAGGAGTGATTTCAGGCCATGTCAGCGCTACAGTGACAGGAGTCGTGCGAGCCGACTCGACTCACCTCCTCCTGAGGCTCGCTGTGGATCAAAGGGGGGCAAGTGTTGGTGTCGTCAGCACGTGTGCTCGCTCGAGGAAAAAAAAAGTTTAATTCTCCAGAGGCACAGGACGCATCGTGTCTTGCAGCTCCACCGCACCAAATGGGCCCGGCTCAAGCAGGCCCAGTCTCAGCCCAGGCTGGCGCAAACCCGCAAGCGCCGGAGGCATGGGCGGTGGTGGCGACTGCGACCGGACAGTGCATCCACGAAAAGGACACTCACCGCGGCATCCATGATGCTGGCTAGCTGCTCGGCGCTCAGGTTGGCGAGGATGCTGCTCACGTCCTCGGAGCCCTTGAGCGCGTCGGCCTGCACGCTCGTCGTCGCATCGCCCCCAGGCGCGGGGTTCGGTGGCGGTGGAGTGTTGACCATTGTGTTGTCGGCTGTTTCTGGCAAATTAGTAATGCCTCTGTGCGGATCGTATCGAAGTGTCTGCTAGAATTAAAGGCAGCTCCACAATAATGAATGCTGGTGGATGGCGACGATGATGACGACGACGGCGACAGAAGCCCTTGGCTGGATGGCAATCGCGCCACTTGGCTTTCACTCGTTCTGTCCTCTAGTCCTGCTGTGCACAATCTTGCGATCGGCCTCTGTTCTGCTGACTGTCCAGGCCACTTACGTCGGTCCTGTGTCGGGGTGTTGCACTCGAAGCTGGGCACGCGCTCTGATACCCACACGTGATGGTGAAGGTCAAGTTGACGAGGAGGACGGAAGTCAGGTGTTCGCTTCTCACTCTTCTCCCCTTGGGTCTCCTCTTGAACTGAAATTCCAAATGCGGTTTTTCCTGGCAAATTCAGGTCGACTCCATTTTATTGAAATCTTTCACGCCACGTGGCGGCTTTCTTCTTTCTGAGCTCTCTCTAATGATCCCTTCCTCCTGGGCTGCCATCTCGAGACACCAATTGTCCACAGGACTGTGGTGGCTCCTGTCGCTTGACCAGATGAGAAGATGATGAAGTGTCCCCCCCTCTGCGGAGCGAGGAGCAGGGCAGCGACGATGCCGATTGAATGCCGTGTGAGGGCATCCTTAGCCGAGCAATAGCAATTTTGCGCGCAACCCGCACCGCAGCTTTAAAAAATCGCCCTTGGGCTTGCTTTGAAATGCGCTCGAAAACTGTAATTGGCAAACTCCAGGGCGCGCCCCGGTCCACGCGAGCTGGCAAGAACCGCCTCCAGTAGGCAGGCGTGTGTGTGTGCGTGTGTGTATAGCGACTTTCCCCTTGGCTCGCTCTCTCTGCGCTCGCGAGAAGAAGAGGGAAAAAAAAAATTCTTTGAGTTGTCGCCAGAAAGCCTGGCTTCTACTACTACTACTTCTACTCCCACCAACTTTTCTCCCTCTTTCACGGAAACCACTTTGCTCTCACGATGGTGCGTGTGTGGACGTGCTGTCTCTGAGATTGCTCGCTGTGTTCTCTTCGTGCTGACGCCTCCCTCTACTCTTCCCCCTCTCTGCAGTCTGACGACGAGGCCCACAACCAGAACTTCGAGACTGCCCACGCCGGCAGCTCGCTGACGTACCCCCAGCAGTGCTCGGCCCTGCGCAAGAACGGCCACGTCGTCATCAAGGGCCGCCCCTGCAAGGTGAGCAATCTGAAGGCCTTTGGGATGGGACCTCTGGGCAAGGCTGTGGTGGACGGGAGCAGTTGCATACAGAAGCGAGAAGAGTTGCAGGGGGGTCCAAAAAGCGGGGCGGGGAGAGGACGAGGAAGCATGGAAGAAAAAGAAGAGAAAGGTAGAGAGAGCTTGTACTGACCAGAAGATGCCTGCGCACAGATCGTCGACATGTCCACCTCCAAGACGGGCAAGCACGGCCACGCCAAGGTGCACCTCGTCGCCGTCGACATCTTCACCCAGAAGAAGCTCGAAGACATCTCGCCCTCGACGCACAACATGGACGTCCCCAACGTCTCGCGTAACGAGTACCAGCTTGTCAACATCGGTGAGTCATCCTGTTCCTTTTGCTCGTTGGAATGCCATCCACTGACATTGCCAATGTGCGCACCTACCAGACGACGGCTTCCTCAACCTCATGAGCGGCGACGGCGCGTCCAAGGACGACGTCAAGGTGCCCGAGGGCGAGGTCGGCGAGCAGATCGTCGCCGGCTTCGACGAGGGCAAGGACCTGATGGTGACGATTGTCAGCGCCATGGGCGAGGAGCACGCCCTCTCCTTCAAGGAGGCTCCTCAGGGCAAGTAAAGGGAGCCGCGCGATAGAGGACCACGCTGGGCTGAGCTGGGCTGAGCTCTGGAGGGGGCGAAAAAGGGAAATCTCAGTCTGCTTTCTCATCTCCCCTCTCAGACTTGTACGCACACATCACACAAAACCCCCCTCTGTCCTTCCTCTTTCAACTCCCTTATTCATCACCCGAAAACGCATGCTTGAGAAAGAGAAGAATTCTTTCCGCTGTTGGTGGGAGAAAAAGGAAGAGAATGGGTCGGGTGTTCTTGACTCATCGCATCGGCCTTTTTCCTACTCCATCCTCTCGTCTCGCCACTCCCACCACAAACGCAAGCTCTCCTGTATCTCTTTCATGCTAGTCAGCTCTCCTTCATTTCTCAAAATCCCCATCATCCTTTTCTCGCGTTTGTGTCTGACGTGCTCGTGCGACATCCTCTAGTAAGCAGTAGGGCGTCGCTCACAAGCCTCCGAGCAGAGCATGACCATGCGTGCACCAAGACGGGCTTAATATTAAATACTATCTCGACTACATCGTTGTCGATCGCAGAGAATTCCCTGGTTCGTCTGCTCCCGCTTCTAGCTCACCAGGCAGCGTGTCGGCTCTTGCTTGCCCGACATCGCCTGCGGCAGCTTGCGCCGTTGCAGCTCGGCCCTCGTTGTCGGCCTCGATGAGGCTGAAGAGGCGTGACGGCCCCCCCTCCCGCTCCCTCTCCATCCTCGTCGCCACATCCACCACGTCTTCCTCTTCGCTCGAGCTACCGATCCCAGGCTCCTTTGCTAACCCTTCATCTTTCTCTTCCTTGTTGTCCTCCTCCTTTTCTGTCCCTTGGACGGGCCGCTTGTCCTTGGCCTTGCAGTCGACGCCGCCCGTTTTGGCGCTCTCGCTCTCGTACACGAGCATGTAGACCTCGCCGCCCTTGTCCCTGCGGTGCGCCTCGACGATAGCTGCGCCACCGTCCTCTCCCTGACCTTCTCTCTCGTCGCCATCAAGCGGCAACCGCGTCGCGCGCCCATCACACACGGTCCACCAGCGGCCCGCATGGAGAAAGTAGCCCCAGGCTTCAGTCGTGCCAGCGTGCTGGACCAGCATGCCGCAGAGCCGATAGGCCATCGTGCGATTCTCGACGCGCGCACACTGCTCCTCAAACTGCTGCGTCGTCCGCGCTCGCTCCGTCTCGATGGCCGTCTCTTCCGCGCGGATCGCCTCGTCCGTCTCTGTGGCCACAAGTCGCATCATTCCCGCTTCAGTTCTGTCATTCCGAGAAAAGAGATCTCTCAAGGGCAGAGACTCACGCTTGAGCTCGGCATGCAGCGCCGCCTCGATTCTCCGCAGCATCGGCCCGGCCTCTTTGACCTGCTGCCTCCTCAGCTCGTCATCGTCGCCAGCGTCTCCATCGCCGTTGCCGCCACTTCCAACAGCATCCGAGGGCAGGCGGTCAACGATGGCGAGCTCCTCAAAGTAGCGAATCGACTCGCGGAGGGCGCCCCTCGAGTCGCGGCCGTCGTGCCAAGAAAGCTTCTTGTGGTACTTTTTCAGCGCCTCGATGCGCTTTGTCCGCGCCTTGACCTCGTCCGAGTCGACGCCGAGGCGGGCTCCGTTGCGCTTCTCGTACATGAACGGGTCCATGTCTGTGTGTGACGGGTGTCGCTCCAAGTCAGAATGAAGCAGCAGCTGGAAAGGTGGCTTGGACAAAAGGCTCCAACTCACAGATGCGCTCCTCGACCGTAAAGGGAATGTATGCGTCGGCGTCGCCCACCGCCGACAGCTGGTCGGCATGGTCGACGTGGAAGACGAGGGTGTCGGCGACGCGGTCAAAGAGGGCCTTTTCCTCGCTCAGAGTCGCATAGAGGCCCTTTGTCACGGTGGTGCTCACGCGGTCGTGGACCATGTGCAGGATGGCATTGTCGTAAAAGTTGCTGGCTGTGCGCTTGCTCTTTGGCGACTCTGTCCCGCGCGGCTGGACGGCGATGGCGGTCGTGGAAAAGAGGCAGCTGACGAAAGAGAGAGGAGTCAGTCAGCGAGAAGCGCGCGTCATCACACAACACAGACGCACCCCCTGAGATGCTCGTCGGTGGGTGCCTTGGCGTCCGCGTCCTTGTTCCACCCCGCGAGGCCCTTGATCTGCTCGACGAGGTTGGAGATGTAGCACGAGGCAATCTGGTCTGCCGGCCTGTTCTCGCTGTTCATGACATAGGCAAAGCCAGCGCCCTGGACATAGGAGAGCATGTCGTCTGCCACGCACAGCGGCCGGTTGCTCCAGAGGAGGAAGCGGAGCAGGGTGGTGAGCCGCATGACGACCTCGTACGACTGGCGCACGTCGTCGCTGGCCTCGCCCAGGCCCAGGCTGGCCCACATGTCGTGGGTGACGGCCCTGCGGTCGTTGGGGCTGGCGCCGCGCCAGAAGTCGGCCATGGGCTCGGGCTGCGCATCTGGCTCGAGCAGGCGCACCTCTTGTGCATCGAGGGCCAGGAGCGCCTGGCAAAAGTGCGACGAGGCAAAGAGGGCCTGGAGCATGAGTGCAAAATGGCGCAGCACCCGTGTCGGCGGCGTCACGGCGGCGAGCCTGGTCTCTGATGAATCAGCGAGCAGCAGCAGCAGTAGCAGCAGCTTGATTTACACCACTCACTCGTCGCGCTTCCGTATTCTCGACGGCTCCAGCGACTCGATGTCGATGCCACCAGCGGCCTGGCCGTCGTGGCCCAGCGCCGACGTCGACTGCTCCATGCTCGCAGCAATGGCGCGGGTGAGGGCCTCATCCTCGTCATTTGCCTTGTGTGAATGCGCGTCAGCAGTCTCTTCTGGACGAGGACACAAGGACAGAGTAGAGAAAAGAGACGAGGCGAGGCGAGAAGGAGAAGAGCACAGAGGAGAGAAAAAGGAGGAGGAGGATGCGCACCGCTGGAGCATCGTCGATAGTCGCGCTGCGTGTCGTCCGTTTCGGCAGCGTCGAGGCGGGCATCCGTCTGGGCCGCGGCGAGGCGCGCCAGGGCAGGCTGCTGCTGTTGCTGCTGCTGCTACCCAAGTCCGTCCTATCTGCCGTGCTCGCCTTTCTCCGGCTGCTTCGCCGGCCGTAGGTGAAGATGGCGGGCGCATGTGTCGCAGCCTTCGTCGTCGTCGTCGTCTTCGTTTCTGCCGCTGATGTCGGTTGCTTTACCGCCGCAGCCTGCATCGCTGGCATCGCGCTGCTGGACAACTCTCCCTCGGCCTCCCCAGCCTCGCGCCGCTGCAGCCGCCGTCTCCCGCCACGCACGCTCACGTTCACACTCACCGTTCTCAAGGGATGAGGCCCGTGGGATGCGCCCATGCCGGCGGCGCCTGTGCCTGCGCCATCGAAGCCCGGGTAGGTCTGGTGGCGCTTCTGGCGGTCCGTCTCGCTCTCGATGGACGCCTGGAGGGCCCGCTTCATGTCCTCGTCCTCGTCGTCGCCCGTCAGGTCGACGGGGGTGCTCCGCTTCTTGGACGCTGCCCACGCTTGAGTGAGTTCACAGTCGCCTGATCGATGAAATGGAAGGTCCACTCACTGCGCTCGGGCACGCTGGGCGGTGCGCCGCTATTCCAGTTCTGCTGCTGGGCCCACGCCTCGTCAAAGGAGGCCATGGGGCCGAACTGCCCCTCTGGCCTCGGCCCCGCGACAGGGCCCTGCGCCTGCGCCTGCTCTTGAGAATGTGTCTGTGCTTGTTGCGAGACACCCGGTGCTGGCTGCGGCTGCGGCTGCGATAAGTCGCCCTGGTAGGGCGCGATGCTCTGCGAGCCAGCGTCCAGCGTGTTGCTGTTGCTCATGCCGCCGTCGCCGACGAGCTCTGCGCCGCCCATGAGGACGGCATTGATGGCCGCCTCGACATCGCCGTGGTGTTGCTGTGCTCGTCTGTGTCAGCTTCTCCTCTCCTCTCACGCCTGGCCCTGAGCCCCCCCAACTGCGCCCGCACCACACTCACCGCGAGGAGCCGATGGGCAGTCTGTCGATCGCAGGCGGCAAACTCAGCCACCTGCCTGAATAAGCCAAAGTCGCTTCAAGTCTCAGCCTGCTGCCACTCTCTCTCTGCTGCTCCTCACTGCACTGCACTCACGTCGCCTTGGCCTCGTCGTCCATCTGCCTGCCTGCGTCGAGTCTGACTGAGACTATTCGGACAGTCGAGCGAGCAGCTCGAAATGAGACGACGCGTTTTAGATTTTCTTCCTTTGCCGTGGAGGGTTGCACTAAAAGAGCCCCATGCGCAGGCAAAGTCTAACTTCTGGGAAAGTCGTCTTCGCTGAGCCCGATCAGTCGTTTGGCGCCCTTGTTTCATGCGTCTTTCGTCTGCCCTCGCCGCCCACGTCCACAAGCGCGCATACAGCACAGCGATGGCAGGCAGCAGCAGCAGCAGCGGCAGCAAGACGGTGGCGCCGTACGGGACATGGAAGTCGCCCATCTCGGCAGACTTACTCGCGCAGAAGCGCCTCACGTTTGGCGAGATTGCCGTCGTGGCGCAGCAGCGCAGCCACGCCGACATTGCCTACGTCGAGAATCGGCCGTGGGAAAAGGGCCGGGCGGCGCTCATCCACCAGCGCATCGCGTTGGCGGCACCATCAGACGGTGCGGCAGTCACGGTCGAAGGCGAGGGCCGGGATGTGACGCTGGGCAAGTACAATGCCAGGAGCGGCGTCCACGAGTACGGCGGTGGTGCGCTCGCTCCTGCCCAGCCCGGCTCGGGCAAGGTCCTCTTCAGCGACATCACCTCGTCGAGCGTGTATGAGGCTGCGAGCGCTGCTTCTACTTCGACTTCGGAAGAAAGCCCACGCGAGGTGACGCCGACAAGTGCCGTCATGCGCTACGGCGACTTCTCGGCGCACCCATCGCAGCCCTGCTTCCTGGCCGCGCGCGAGGACCACACCGTCGACGAGCCGGCCCGCGTCGTCAACACGCTCGTCTGCGTCGACGAGGCCCGCCGCACCGTGCACGAGCTCGCGTCGGGGTGCGACTTCTATGCGGCGCCGCGCTTCTCCCACGACGGCACCCTCGTCGCCTGGGTCAGCTGGAACCACCCGAGCATGCCGTTCTGGGCCACCCAGCTCTGGGTCGCCCGCTTTGAGCATGACGGTGGCACACCCAAGCTCGTGGGCACGCGTCAAGTCGGTGGCCAGGCCGGCGGCGAGGTGCTGCACCACCCTGTCTGGGCTGCCGACACCAACACGCTGTACTTTGCCAGCGACAGGACCGGCTTCGCACAGCCTTATGCTGTCGACGTCGGCCCCGATGCCCAGCTGCTGGGGCCCGTCAGGCCGCTGCTGGCCAAGCCCGTCGAGGCCGATTTTATCCACCCCGCATGGACCCTGAACAAGTGCGTTGTACCATGACATTCGCTGCCGCATGTCCGTGCTGACTTGCTTGTAAATACAGCTCCTCGTTCAGCTTCCTCTCGCCCGACTGGCTCGCGTGCATCGTCACGACGCGCGCCATCGACGGCCTCGCCCTCGTCCATCTGCCCTCGGGCCAGCTTCACGCCCTCGACACGCCCTTTGTCACCGCCCGCCAGCTGCGTGCCACGTCGCCCTCCTCGTTTGTCTTTGTCGGCTCCACCTATGCCGAGCCCGACGCTCTTGTCGCCGTCGATGTCGCCGCCGTGCTTGCTGATCCCGCACAGAAGCCGACGTGGACCGTCATCAAGCGCAGCTCCACCATCGTCCACGACGGCACCGTCGACGCTGCCTATCTCTCGCGCGCCGACACCATCGAGTTCCCCACCGAGCTGCCCAATGGCATGCCCGCCACGGCGCACGCCGTCGTGTATGCGCCCAAGAACAAGGACTACATTGCACCGACGGGCAGTGCGCCACCGGCCATCATCATGTCCCACGGCGGGCCCACGGCACACTACGGCGCCGGACTCGCCCTCGAGCTGCAGTACTGGACCACGCGCGGCTTCCTCGTCTGCCTCGTCAACTACGGCGGCAGCACCGGCTATGGCCGCGCATACATGGAGCGCCTCATGGGCACCTGGGGCCAGGTCGATGTCCGTGACTGCGTTGCTGCCGCGCAGTACCTGGGCAGCAGCGACCACGAGGGCATTGTGGCCACTGCTGGTGCTCGTGCTGGTGCCGACAGACGCACGCTTGCCGCGACAAAGGCCCAGCGCCGCGTCTCGCAGCGGGGCCAGGCCGAGCTGGCTAACTTAGAAGAGAGGCAGCTCGCCTCGGGCGCCGTCGAGATCACGCTCGCCAACACCGATGGGGGAAACCTGTTCAGCATCGGGCTCGTCGACGGCCTCCTGGCGGCCGTCCTTGGCGCGGCGGGCCACCTGATCCCTGGGGCTACCGTGCAGCAGGGCCTGATGGCTGCCGGTGCCGCCTGGCTCCTGCGCAAGCTCTTCCACGTCCAGGAGGAGACCGTCAAGGTGATCCCGACGGTGGGAATCGAGCTGACGACGACGAGGGGCGTGCGCCTGCCCTCGTTCCTCACGCCCAAGTCGGCCGGTGCCAACGAAAAGGGAAGCAGCAGCAGCAGCAGCAGCCGGCGTCGACCCTTCTTTGTGGCCTCTGTCGCCGGGCGCATGATCCCACGCGATTGCATCATGGACCTCGTCACCAACGAGGCCTTTAGCCGCTGGCGCATCGTCGACTACTGCGCCGTCGCCACGCGGCCCCCGCCGAGCGCCAAGTCGTTCAGCCGCGGCAGCAAGCTCGAGGTCCTCTTTCCCAACCTGCTCCCGCGCCTGCCCGTCGTCGAGCACGTCTACCGCGCCATCTACCCGGCCCTCTTTGGCCACGACCAGCCCGCCGCGACGTCGTCTTCCAGCAGCGGCGGCATCAACAATGAGAAGAGCGGACACGTGAGTCTCGATGTCGCTGCTGCACCAGGCTCCTCACCCCGGGCCGACGGGGCCAAGATTGCCATCGCGGGCGGCTCGGCCGGCGGCTACTCTGTCCTCTGCGGCCTGTGCATGTACCCGCACGCCTTCCAAGCCGGCGTCTCGCGCTACGGCGTCGGCGATCTCGTCGGCCTCGAGGCCCTCTCGCACAAGTTTGAGTCCCGCTACCTGCACCAGCTCCTCGGGGGAAGCCCCACCGAGATCCCGCAGGTCTACCACGACCGCAGTCCAATCCACGCCGCCGACCGCATCCGCGCGCCGGTGCTCTTCCTGCAGGGCGACATTGACAAGGTCGTGCCGCCGTCGCAGAGCGAGCAGATGTACGACGAGATCCGAAAGCGAGGCGGCAAGACAAAGTATGTGCTGTACAAGGGTGAAGGGCATGGGTTTCGCGATGCAAAGCACATCACCGACGCGCTCGCGCAGGAGGAGGCTTGGTACCGCGACGTGTTCAAGCTGGACGAGTAGTGTTTCCTCTCCCTCTCTCTCCCTCTCCCTCGCCTACTCCTCTCGACTTCTCTGCAAAGAAGCGATTCTCACTTCAGGTCCATCTGTGCTCGCTCACTCAAATCCCTCTGTGCATGCTCTCAAACGTATCTTGCTTGCTCACTCAAGCTTCTCTGTGCATGCCCTCGTTCAGATGTTCAGACATGGAATTGATGGTACAGTACATGTGTGCGTGGACTGGCTTTAGATCCGCGACTACTTTTTCCCGCCCTTTTTCTTCTTCTTTTTCGATGATGACGAGGCCGACGTCGTCGTCGCACCTTCTCCGCCTGCCTGTCCCGCCGTCGCCGCCTTGGTCCCCTTGGCGTCCTTTGCCTGACTGTGCCCCTGCGCTGCCGCTGCTGGTGTCTGCGCGTCCACGCCGACGGCATCCTCGTCCATGCCGTCGTGCGCTGCAGCACCAGCCGCAGCCGCAGCGGGCTCAAGACCGGCCATGGCGCCCGTGAGCTCGCGCGTAAAGGCCTCGAAGCGGTTGAGGATGATCGACGAGCGCGTCCGGTACTTTAGGCACTGGCATGCCCACGATGCCTGTCAGTGCAAAGTTCTTTTCAAGATCAAGTCGAGGCAGAGACTCACGGTGTCGTCATTGGTGACTTTGAGGATGAGCCACGAGGCAGAGGGACTCGTCTTGATCAGGTAGCGTGTCTGCGCAGCGTGTGCGTCACAGTCAGTGCGGGTTGGAACAGGGAGATACGAGGATGGGGGAAGAGACACACCTTGGCGGGCGAGCGCTTGTGCAGGTCGAGGCATTGCGCATGGAACGACGGCCAGCGCTTGATGTACACCATCGCTGCGCTGCTCTTTCACCCTTGTTCGGACTCCTCTTGCTGCTGAAAGTCAAACCAAACAAGCGATAAGAAGACAGCGCTGCTCGTCGGACAAGGGGAGCGATGCGATTTTGCAGCTGGAAAATTGCGCGCGCGCCTGGCTTGGCCCTGCTCGCGTGGGCATTTCCAGATTGGATCTCTAGCTTCTTCTCGCAGCAGCAGCAGCAGCCACTGCCCTCGGGGCGGGCTTCATGTGTTTGTAGTACTATCTCAATAGACACCGAACGGAAAAAAGAGCAGGGGTTTTGCCGCCTCAGCCTCAGGAACTGCAGCGCCTCACTCGAGTGCCCCCACTCGAGCGCCTCCGTCCCGATGTAATTAAGCCCCCCCTCCAGGCCGGCCAAGAGACAGAGACAGTGGCAGTGGCAGACTGAGAAATGACGGGCCGGACGGGGGGCGTTTGATTTTTCCCTTTTATCCTTTTTGCCCGTGTTCCGAGCCGGTCGCTCCCCCCGCACGTCACCCACGCCATCTCACGCACAGTGAATGACTGACTGACTGACTGACTAACGCGCATGGCGATGCACCCACCGTCTTCTTGCTGATACCACTCGCACACCGCCTCTTCTGCGAGAGAGCTGCCTCGTCTCTCCCACCCTGCTACCCCCCCCCCCCCCCTTCCCTTTTCCAGATAGGACACACGCTGGGAGCTCGGCGAGAGAGAAAAGAGACATGGTCAGTGGGCCTGATGGCTTCCGGCCACTGTCGGCGACATTCCCAGGCTCAAGCCCAGTCGCCTCGCCATCGTCTTCGTCGTCCTCGTCGTCGGCCCTGAGGGCAGCGCCCGGAGGCATGCGTGGGGGCGCAGGACCAGGGCCAGGGCCAGCGCCGTACAGCCAGCTGTCCTCGTGGTTCCCCAGCAGCAGCCACCACGCCGGGGCGGCGTCGTCGCCCTACGCGGGCACGCCCCTCCACCACCACCACCACCACCCTGGACCGTACCCGCTGGCGAACCTGGAGCACGAGCCGGCGCCCTATGCGTCGTCGTCCTCCGCTGCTGCTAACCATGCGACGCTGCCACCGCGCGCGACAGGCCCCTCTGGTGCTGCTGCTGCTGCCGGCCCTTCGTCGAGCTCGCACCGGCAAGCGGGCGGCCAGGCCTCGACGACCTCCCCGCCGCTCTCGTCGACGTCGTCGTCGGACAAGCGCACAAAGGCCAAGGGCCACACCTCGAGCGACGACGAGATCGGCGGCGGCGGCAATGATGACGAGACCGGTGCGCAGGCGCCGTCGAAGCGGGGCAAGAAGCGGCGCCGTGTCGTCGTCGCATGCGACACATGCCGCCGCAAGAAGGTCAAGTGCCAGGGCCTGCCGAACCGAAGGAATACGTGCGAAAACTGCGAGAACATGGGCTACACGTGCACGTTCACCGTCGACCAGGACCGGAGCAGGGGCAAGTACGAGATCCTCGAGACGCAGCGCGACACGCTCCTGGCGGCGCTCAAGAGCGTCGCGCCCGACCTCGCCGAGCAATTCAGCAAGGGCGACCTCCAGGCTTCTTTGCAGCAGCAGCAGCAGCAGCAGCAGCAGGCGACGACAACCGACGCCAAGAAGCGCGACAAGACAAGGGCAAAGGAGGCGCCCGACGACGACGTCAAGGACCCGCGCGACCTGGGGCCCATGCTCCCCGACGTCGAGGACGGCCGCCCGAGGGTGAGTGTGGTGCTTGTCCTGCGATGCCTTGGGAATGCACAGCTGACCTGGCCCTACTACAGTACTTTGGAGGCAGCAGCAGCCTCAATTCCTTTCACAACCTCGACTCGCGGCCGCCCAGCCCGGGCTCGGGCCACCACGCTTCCCTGCCTCATCCGCCGCATCCTTCTCATCACGCAGGCTCAGCAATCGCCCAACCAAGCCCCGGCTCTGGCTCAGGATCAGGCACGGGCTCAGCCTCTGGCCTCCAAGCACTGGCAGCAACAGCTTCAAAGAGGGCAGGCACAGGAGCAGGAGCAGTCGACGCGCAGCGCATGCTCAACGGCAGCAACAGCGCCGGCAAGAAGTGGCAGGTGCTCCCCCGGCCACGGCCGCTGTACCCGAGCAACTCGCTCGCGTGGGTGCGCCTGATGCGGTGCAAGAACCTCGTTGCTGTGGGCCGCGACGAGCTGTATGCGGACCAGGGCTGGTTCGAGCGCTACCGGTTCCCGTCCCACGACCTCCTCGAGGAGCTCCTCGACGTGTTTTTCCACCGTCTCATGCCCCTCATGCCCATCGTCCACGGCCCGTCGCTGCGCCGGGACCTGGCCCAGGGCAGGGCGAACCAGGACTCTGCGTTCCGCGGCCTCGTCTTCACCATTCTCGCCATCGCGGCCCGCTTTGTGCCCCCCGACGATGTTCGCGTCCTCGCCGATGCCGACGATCCCTCGAGCGCCGGCGACCACTGGGCCGCTGCCTCGCGTCTTTACCACCAGGTCTTTGCCGCCTCGCTCATCAATGTCCAGGTGCTCCTCCTCACGGCCACCTTTATGCCTGCCTCGCTCGGCGTCGGCACCTCCTGGACTGTCCTCGGCGTCGCGATCCGCGCGCTGCAGGACATTGGCCTGCACACCGAAAAGGCCTACAGCGAGTACTCGCCCTTTGAGCGCGAGATGCGCCGCCGCGTCTTCTGGGGCACTTTCATTCTCGACGGCATCCTCAGCGTCAACCTCGGCCGGCCCACGGCGCTGCGCATGGCCGACTGCCACGTCCACCTGCCCTTGCTTGCCAGCGAAGAGGCCCTCATGCGCTCCGAGGAGACGGGTGCCCCCGTCGAGGTGCTCGCCGATGTCAAGCAGCAGCCCGTCGTCGCCGCCGGGTTTATCCACATGATTCGCGTCAACATGCTCGTCCAGGACATTGTCGTCACTCTTTACCCCGTCACGCGCCTCCAGGCCGACTTTGGCCACGCGGGGCCCACCCGGCCCTCGTACCGCGACATGACCGAGCTCGCCAAGCGCCTCGACGAGTGGGTCGAGGGTATTCCCCCGTACCTCCAGAGCATCCGCACCTCACCCTTCAAGCTCCAGGCGGGCATCATCACCTGCGCACGGCACGACATCCGCCTCTACATCCACAAGCCCTTTCTGCACAGCGGCGTGGGCGACCACTCGGCTTCTTCCGCGGCGGCTGCCTCTTCTTCCGCAGCGGCTGCTTCCTCGTCCTCGTCGCACGACTCGGTGCTCAAAAAGATGCTGCTGCCCACGTGCGCAGACCACGCTCGCAAGTGCCTCGAGACCGTCCTCGAGCTCCACCAGGAGGGCCACCTGTCGGACATGGTCTTTGTCTTCCAGCAGGCTTTCCTCTCGACGGCGACGTTTATGATTACCGTCTGGCACTCGACGCGCGACGCGGCCCGGCTCGCGCGCGAGGACGGCGACCTCGTGGCGGCGACGCTCCTCTCCATCAGCCGCCTCGACTCGCGCTTCTTCTCGGCCCTGCTCCGGCGCGCCCAGCGAATCCTCTGTGGCATCGCCGCGCGCATGCTGCCCCACCTCGACGAGGAGAGGCGCCAGCGCATGTCCGACCTCATCAAGCGCAACGGCGGCGCGCTCGAGAATGCCTCGCCGTTTGTCTTTGGCGGCGTCGCCTCGTCGTCGGATTCTTCCACCGCCCCTGCTGGCGGTGCTTCTTCTTCTTCGATAGATGCTGCGATGAGGCGCACACAGCCTTCGTCCGGAGCAGCGGACACTGGCGCGGCTGCTCCGTCCTTGGGATCCAACGGTGCCACCGTCGCCGCTGCCCCGTCGTCGTGGACTTCGATGCCAGAGTACGCCGTCTCGGGCGCACCAACGGCCTTTGCAGCTGCGACGGAGGCAAACCCCGCCCCACCGTCAACATCGTCGGGAGCCGCAGCGCAGCATGAAGACACCGCCAGCACCCTGCTGGACCCCAATTTTGACGCGCTCGACGGCGGCGGCGGCGGCGGCGGCGGCGGCGACTTTGCCTCGGCCGACGCCTCGTCGCTGCTCCTGCCCTCGCACGAGGTGCTGCCCTCGGGCGCGCCCTTTAGCGCCCTGGGCCTCGAGACCGTCTCGGACCTCACCTGGACCGGCTACTTTCACCGCTTCCTCGGCGGCCTCCTGCCCGAGCCTGGGATGCAAGCCGCCGACGCGCACGCGCATGCGCACGCCGCGGGCAGCCAGGCCTCGCCGCTGCCGCACCCGCACCAGCCCTCGTGGAGCGGCCACGGCGGCAGCAATGGCCACGGCAATGGCAATGGCAGCGGCAGCACCCCGCAGGCGCAGACGCAGACGACACCGTCGAATCCGTGGTCGGGCCTCACGCCAGCCTCGTCGCCTGGCTTTGCGCGTGCGCACGCCCATGCCCACGCCCACGCCCACGCCCATCCTCACTGAGCAGGTGCCATGAGCCATTCGCTTGCTGGCTCGTCCTCGCTGGCTCACCCTCGCTGGCTCACCCTCGCTGGCTCACCCTCGCTGTCTCACCCCTCACTGGCTCCTTCTTTTGTATTACTAGAATGTCAACTACCGCTTATCAAACCCATGCGCTGGCCCGTCCGGACTCGCACCCGGACAGTGGCTTTGGCCGCGACAGACAAACCCTCCAAGCAAGCGTGATTTCTCCACACACAGAAGCAAACGATGGAAGTGGAAGTGGAAGTGGAAGTGAAGGGATGGCAATTTGGTAAGAGAGAGAAGGTTGTCAAAGCAAGAGAGTGAGACGTGTGTATGATGGAGTGTGTGTGTGATAGAAAGAGGGGCTACACTGCTGCGAGAGTTGTTTGAAGAGAGAAAGGACCGTTGTTTTTTGTCGTTTTGCTTTGTTGAAGAGCATGAGAAAAGAAGAGGTATCGAGGAGAGAATCCGCGCAGAAAGAATGAAAAGAGAGAAAAGGACAAGGGGCAAAGAGTCTAGGAGGAGGCATTGCCCAGGCTGCGTTCGAGGAGGGCGTGGTAGAGGAACTTGTAGGCCCAGAGGTTGCCCTTCATGCGTCGAATGTCGAGGCTGTAGAGGCCCGGCAGGTTCTTGATCTTGGTCACCTCGACGCTGAACCGGACCTCCTGGCCGCCGTCAACAGAATTCTCGCCATAGAGGGGCTGGGGCAGCTCGTCTGTCGTCGCCGCCTGCGGCGACGAAGCCGTGTTCTGCTGCGAGGAGCCGCGCCGGAGGAAGGAGCGGATGCTGCCGCCGGGGCCCGTCGAGGGACTGGGCGACATGCCCTGAGCGGCGCCCGCGGGGCCGGCAGCAGCAGCAGCAGCAGCAGTCCCATTAGCCGTCGTCGAGGCGCTCAGCGTGGGGCTCTTGGCCGCCGCCGAGCGCTCGTAGTCGGCCTGGGTGGGCGGGAAGACGCTGGTGCGGATGCTGAGGCCGAGGCCCTGGGTGTGGCCCATCAGCGTCTTTGCCCGCTTGCGGCGCACACACTCGAGCTTGAAGTCCTCCTCCTTCTCCTGCCGCATCTCGATGCCCATCGAGTAGAGGGCCTGGCGGACCTGCTCAAACACCTGCGGCGGCGGTCGAGACGTCAGGGCCGACTGGTCGACGGCACCGAGGTGGAAGCGCAGGCTGGCATCGGAGAAGGCTGCGGCAGCAACAGCTTTATGAGCAGGAGCAGCAGCGGCCTGGCCGTTGGCTTGGGTGGCCTGGCCAAGCGTGCCCTGGCCAAGCGTGCCCGAGGCGCGCGGCGTGGGCTGGTGCTGCACCGTCGACGCGCTCGACTTGCTGCCGGGCGACTGGAGCGACGCGGCAGGCTCGCGCGAGGCCTCGGTGGCCGTCGTGATGCTCGTCGACGCCGTCGCATGCGACGCCTGGCTGTGCGTGCCTGAAGTAGACCTCGACGAGGGCTCCGACTCCATGTTGGGTGAGCCGGCATCAGCAGCCAAGGCTGAGGTAGTCCCATTGGAGGCGCCGGTCCCTGCTGCTGCTGCTGCTGCTGCTGTCCGAGACCGGCCATCGTACACGGGCGTGCGAGACGACTGCTGCTGCTCGGCGTCGTTGGTGACCACGACAGAGGGCGTGCGCCCCTCGCCGCTGCTGCTGGCCTGGTGGCGCGAGATGTTGGACGAGGAGGGCTTGGCGCGCGGGACCTCGAACGGCCCCAACGGCGGCTGCTCGTCGGTGAACTGGCCCCTCGAGAGACTCTTCTTGCGGAACCAGTCCATGACCTTTTTCGCTGCGCCGCTCGAGGCACCCACCGTCGAGGCACTCTCGTTGATCGACCCGTCGCCCATCGGGTGGTTGCTGTCGCGCCGCGCCGCAGTGCCCGGCCGCTGCTGCTGGTGGCGGGACGTGGCAGTGACGTTGGAGGCCTTTGTGCGCACGGAGCCGTTGGTGGTGAGGACCGAGGGCGAGGGCGACATGGCGGGCGTCTGGGCGCTGCCGCGCCTCGGCGTCTCGGGCAACAGCGTCTCGCTCTCGCGGCGGCCGTTGCTGTTGTTGTTGCTGCTGCTTGTCAGCGTGTCCTTTCTGAGCCTGCCCGTGAGGCGCTTCTCCTCCTTGGGCGTCTTGCCGCTCGCCATGGCCTTTTCCCGGTCCCGAGACGCGGGCGAGCCCTGGTCGCCATAGCGGCCCACGACGAGGCTCATGGCCTTGCGTCTGCCGCTGCTTGACTTGCGGTTGCTCGACGGCGTCGAGGGCGTGCCAAGCCGCTCCGGGTTGGCGTTCTCGTCGCCAGCAGCAGCAGCAGCTGCTGCTGCATCAGAAGCCGCCCTAGTCTCACCAGCCTGAGCCTGGGAAGAAGAAGACGAGGGCGTGCCGAGGAGACGCGAGAAGAAGAACTTGTCCGTCGAGAGGCCCTTGCGGTGCCGTGCCGAGGGCGTGCGCTGGGGCAGGTTGGCCTTGGCCGTCTCGTTTGCATCTGCGATGCGCTGGCCGCTGCGTGCCGACGAGGGGTCCGGGTGGGGACCAGCGCCTCCCGAGGTGCTGCGGTCGCTTGGCAGCGGGAACGGCTGCTGGTGCTGCTGTTGCTGCTGCGCTGTCTGCGAAGGCAGCAGAGGGTTGGAGGATCCACGCGCGTTGGATATCCGCGAGCTGCCGGGGCCTGTCGATGGCTGGCGGGGAGACGTGCGGAGGGGCGAAGAAGCAGCTGCGACGAGGGGCGCCGCGTCCGTCTCGCGGAGAATCTCCTGCATCTCGCCGGGCACGGGAGACCGCTGCTCGACGACGGGTGAGGGGATGCCTGAGCCATCGCTGACGATGCGGTTCGACGCAGCCGTGCTGCCGCCGCTGCTGCTCCTCGACCCAGGCAAGGCACCACTGGAAGCGCTTGTCTTGCGCTCGGCGACGGGCACCACGACGGGCTTGGCGGGTATATACCGGTCGATGCCCTCGTCTGTGGGCGTCAGGCTCTCGTCTCCTCGTGAGGAAAGAGGCGCCGCCGTCGTGGCCGAGGCGCGCTTCTGCTGCTGCTGCGACGATGCAGCCGAGGAAGAGGACGAGTAGCGCGTGTCCCTGGTCGTGCTGCCACTGCGGCTGACGCGCGGCACCGGGGGCGCCTGGGCCTGCTGCCGTTGCACCTCTGCCTCGTGGGCCGCCTGGCGGTCTGCGGGCGAGTCGTACTCGAGCTGGATCGTGTGCCGCTGCGACTTGGACGATGAGGGTGCACGCTTGCTGCTCGACGCATTCGACGACGCGGCGCCGGCCGAGTCGCGCTTCCGCGAGGCACTCGCTGCGCTGTTGCTCGACGCCCTGGAAGGCTGCAGAGGCACCAGTGCGGCATCCAATTGTTGTTGTGGCTGCTGTTGCTGCGGCTGCGGCTGCTGCTGCTGCTGCTGCTGCTGCGTGGGAGGGAGAAGCGGGGCAGGGGATGCTGCGGCGGGCACGACGGGCACCGGCATGCCAGTGACGGGCCTCGACCGCGCATTGGCACCAGCAATGTTGGGCGACGTGGCGCTGCCCGAGACGACGGCGCTCTGGTGCCTCTGCGCCTTCGTCGAGGGTGACGAGCCAGCTCCACCACCGGCACCTGCGCCACCAACACCAGCACCATTCCTCGTGCTCTGGCTCCGGACCATCGACTGCTGCTGCTGCTGCTCCTGCATCTGCTGCTGCATCGCCATCTGCTGGCGGTAGGCCTGCCTCTTCTTGCTCTGCTGCTCCATGGCCGCCTTTTCGAGATCGTCGACCGAGAACTTGAAAAGGTCGCGGTAGGGCAGCAGCCAGCTGTGGGACATGACGTCGTCGTCGTTGGCTCGCCGCAGCGGGTCGGGCACGAGCATCTTCGACAGCAGGTCGCGCGGCTCAGCGGTGATGTAGTCGGGGAACGAGAGGGGCGTGGCCATGATGTACTTGTAGAGCAGGTTGATGTTGTCCCCGTCTGGGTTCGCCGGGTCGTCGTCAAAGGGCAGGTAGCCGGCAAGCATGGCGTAGAGAATGACACCGCAGGACCACACATCGACGGCTGGCCCGGCATAGAGGCCGTCCTGGACGACGAGCTCGGGCGCGGCATAGCAGGGGCTGCCACAGCTCGTGGCCATGAGGTCGTCGCGCTTGTTCTCGTAGTTGTTGGCAAAGCCAAAGTCGGTGATGATCACGTTGCGGTTCCGGTCCAGCAGCAGGTTCTCCAGCTTCAGATCCCGGTGGACAATCTTCTTCTGGTGAAGGTAGCTGACGCCCGAGATGAGCTGGGCAAAGAGGCGGCACGCGTCGCGCTCCTTGAGGTACTTGTGTGCGAGAATGTGGTCAAAGAGCTCGCCACCGCTGGCGTACTCGAGGACGATGCCAATGTACCGGTCCGACTCAATGACCTCGTAGAGCCTGACGATGTTGGGATGCCTCACGTCCTGGAGAAGAGAGAGAGAGAGAGAGAGAGAGAGAGAGAAAAACCAGTTCAGCTTCATCTTGGGTGCATGCATACATGCACGCAGCTCCTGACTCACCCTGAGGACACGGATCTCCTTTTCCACCTTGTTCATCTTCGACGGGTCCTTGCTCGACAGGCCGTTGTACTGCAGCTGGCCATCGGGGGTGCCGACCTTTTCACGCTTGATGAGCTTGACGGCCACCTCCTCGCCATACTCCTTGTGGACACCGAGCTTGACCTTGCCAAATTCGCCCTCGCCGAGCGTCTGGAGGAGGAGGTAGTTCCCAAAGTGGACCTGCTGGCGCCTCGGATGGGCGGCAAAGTACTGCAGCGCGGCCGGCGAGGTGACGGGGATGCCCTGACTGATGGCGCTCGTGGCCATCGAGGGGTCGACGGGCACGGGCGGCGGTGCCAGTGCGCCTGCCGTCGTGGTTGTCGTGGGCACAGTGGGGTGCGCGCTCGCCCGCCGGTCGTTGTAGCTGGCCTGCGACTGCTGGTTGTATGCGGCCAGCGACGAGGTGTCGGAAGCAGCAGCACCAGAGCCATGGTGCTGGTTGTGGTGGTAGGGCTGCTGAGAGGACGCCTGGCCACCACGACCGCCACGGCTGTCGGACGAGGATGCATAGGCCTGGTGTGTCCGATGGCTCGATGGCGTAGGCATGGCCGAGACTGGTCGGTGGGCGTGCGACTGCCCGCCCGTGGCCGACTTGCTCGGAGGATGCTGCTCCTGCTGCAGCGCATATCCAGCGCTGGCCATGCTTGCATACCCCGACTGGCCCGCGTACGGGTTTCTCGCCGTGCTCGTCGGTGGTCCCATCCTCGACGATGCTGCCGCCGTGGCCGTCGAGGACGCCGACGAGGAGTTGTACGAGGACGATGACGACGAAGAAGGGCCCGTCGAGGCCGCGGGCTCAACACCGGCCATGCTGCCTTGTCCTGCGGCGCGGTGGCTGCTGCTCATCGATGCGGCGTCTATGACTCTACACTACGTTTCCGCCAGTGTATGGATGCGTGCGACTGTCTAGGGAGTGGATGTGGATTGGATCGACTCCTCGATCTCGTCGGTGGGCCGCGTCAGACGCTGCAGGTCAAGAGCCGCTGCCGACGCCGCCGCTTCGCTGTCGAGGCGGCACGCGAGTGTTGCTGCACAGGTACACACGCACGCACGCTCCCCGTTGTGTCCCGTCGAGACGAGCGAGGCAGCAAACGAAGAGAAAGCGCCCCCTTGTTTTTCCTATTCTTTAAACGACGCGCTCGGATCGCCTGCGTAGTCCTGCGCTTCCTGCTCCTACTACTTACTAGCAGCTCTGGCGCACCGCTCGGCTTGACTCGACTCGACTCGACTCTCGACCTCTCGACGCCACTCGTCTCCGAAGGGCGCAACAGGGAGGGGGAATGAGTCGAACAGCGATGGCGGGGCCAGCGAGCGAGATCGGCGAGGCGAAGTCTTGGTGGTGCGTGGGAGCGCAGAGCAGAGAGAGCGAAGGGGGGACTGCGTGTGTATCGCGAAGCGTGCGTTGTGTATGTGTATGTGTCTGCTTGGCCTGGCTACTGATTTCCATATTCAGCCCAATACAATCTCTGCTTGTTTTTTGGATTGTGGATAACATGCAGCCCTTTTTTTTTACTTTTTTTGCATAGCGCAAGGGGAAGCCTCAGGCAGAAGCTTTCTGCTACTTTTTTAGTCCATCCAGCAGCTAGTAGTACTACTGCACCACTACTATATTACTACAAGTTGCAAAGCAGTCAGGCCTATCAGCGGTGTCTCGAGCCGTCATCATCGTTTGTTGTTCAGATCGTTTGCGTTTGGGACAACAGGAAATCCACATGAAGGGTACGGTGAGACGAGGCACATCTACATCGTGGTCTCGTTTTGCGCGAAAACGATTGCATGTGCGACAGAAAGATTCTCGGGATGTCTCTGTTTCAGCCAACAAAAAGGGCCGGACCGTCTGTCCGCCACCGCTCGTGCGCGCGCGCTTGTCTTGTGCGCGCGTTCGAAATGCGGTCCTGTAGCCTGTGTCTTAGAAGAGACCGATAGAAGAGGAAACTAACCAAAAAAGGAACCAAGGTCGCCCCCTCCTCTGGATCTTGTCATGAAATCTTGTCATTGACCGGAATATCCAGGGCCAGGGACGTGAAGCATCACGTGCGCTATGCGCAACCTCCATCCGATTTCGGCTGTGTGCCCGTGCGTCATGATCCATCGCCTTCTCTCTCTCTCTCCACTAGAATCCCAAGTCTTGCCATGTCGCTCCTCCGCACCAGCACCAGCGCCCTTCGCCTGTCTGCCTCGCGCGCCACCGTCGCTGCGCCATCCATGATGGCCGTGCGCGGATACGCCGACAAGCCGGACCCCGAGTTCAGCTCCGCTCACACGTCGGCCAGCGCAAAGGGTTTCGAGAAGAAGGAGCAGGTGCGTGTCTTTTCTCTTCTCTCTCTCTTGCTTACTGCCAGACTGACACGGTGTCTTCGTCACGACAGGCCCAGGAAGGCGCTTACTTCCGGGAGCAGGAGGCCAAGAAGCTCAAGGCTCGTGAGTTGCCTCTTCCGACAGGAGATGCTGTGCCTGCCATGACACCCACTAAACCTCTCGACCCACAGTCCGCGAGAAGCTCTCTGCCCAGCGCAAGCACCTCGACGAGGTCGAGGCGGCCATTGACGACATCGAGAAGAAGTAAAGAGAGTGTGAAACGCATGTGGTCAAGAGGGAAGAAAGGGTCCGACGCCGGGAAGCTTCTGCTGTCGTGTCACAAACCACCACACCACTCAATCAAAGTCATTGCCTTGCTTCCTACTCCCTTGTCTACCTCGTCAAGGGGCAATTTGAATTCTCTCTGAATGCTGCCATGGATGTCAGGTTGCGGGTGTCCCATTTCCGCATCGAGGCGTCCGTTGCCACTGATGCGAGAAGCAGAGCAAGGTCGAAGTCGTCTAGTCTCATTTGCTCGCTTTCGTTCGAAGATTGTAGGACCAGGTTGAAGAACACTGAAGGAACACATGTCACTGCTGAAAGATCCGATGACATTTGCTCATCGCAATGGTGGTACATGAAGGGTGGGACAGAGAGGAAAATTCGTCTCTCAGTCACACTGCGGGGTCGTGAAGTGATGCCCTCCCTTCCGCTTATGCCGACGCCACCTGCGGCGCGGGCACGCCCAGCTTCTTCTCTTTCCCTCCAAAGTAGTGGTAATTCTGCACGGGAGAGAGTCAGACCGAAGCGCAAGGAAAGAGAGAGAGAGAGAGAAAAAAGAGAGGCACTCACGGAGAAGCGGCCGAGCTGGACGAGCTGCGCGGTTGCGTTGGTGAGGTGGCATGCGAGCAGCAGGTAGTTTCTCGGCTGGACGCGCCATGCGAAGCGGGAAAAGACGGTGCTGCAGCAGGAACGAGTCAGCCAGTAAGGCAAGACAAAGGTCATGTAGAGACGCTCACGAGTAACAGGCAAGCGCCGTCGTCATGGAGCCCGAGATGACCTCTTCATCCTTCTTCAGGTCGGCAATGGCCGCGAGCGGGAGACCCCAGTTTGCGACTGTGTGCAGAAGCGAGGTGTCAGCGGCCACGGTTGCTTGGAAGAAAGACGGGTGGATGTGGGGATTGCTCACCTGGTCCCCAGAAGTGCTGTAGAGGATTTTGAACTATTGTCAGCGTCTCCCTTCACTGTTACCATTTGGTCACCACACTCAGGTGGAGTGGACAGGACAGGGCATTCCACTCACAGTGCTCTGTTAGGAAGGAAGGAAAGAAGACGGCGCCGTCAGTCAACGCATTCATGGACGAGCACGTTGAGGAGAAAAGACTCACGAAAAAGTACTCCCTCGCCGCGGGAGACCGGAGCCAAGCAGAGAATCCAGACGCCATCGTTGCTCGTGCGCTTCTTCCTCTGTGTCAGATAGCGAGGCTGGTCTGAGTCGAGAGATTCTCTATTCAGCGGTGGAATCGAAGAGTCGAGATCGAGATCGAGTCAACAAAAAAAGAAAAAAGAATGCACGCTCGTCGCAACCCAAAATTCCGGACGGTGGGTGAGCAAGGGCTCGCGCGGACCGTCGAAGGACCCTTTTTGTCAGTCGAGCCAACATGACAGAAGTTGGCGCACGTTCTTCTGACTCCACCAGTAGTTCTTCGCTTTTTTTTTCTTGAATTCTCGCGCGCTCTTTTTTTGGTTTTGACAAGGCGCAGTCCACCCAAAACCCCAAAGAGACGATGCTGACGCTGCTGGGCGCGTCTGTGCTGGGCGTGCCGAAGCGGGCGCAGCTGCTCGCGGCGCTCCAGGCGGTGCAGCCGCGTATCGTGTCCGTCGACTGCGTCTACGTGCACTTTGTCGACGCGGTCGCGGCGCTCGACGAGGCCCAGCGCCGCGTGCTCGACGACCTGCTCCGCTACGGCGACGACGTCGCACTGGCCACCACGAGGGACAGACTTCGAGCGGATCTCAATGGTGGTGGAAGCACGGAGGGCAGTGCACAAGAGCAAGCCGCTGCCACGCTGCTCTATGTCGTCCCTCGGCCCGGCAGCATCTCGCCGTGGTCGTCCAAGGCGACGGACATTGCCAAGATGTGCAACCTGGGCGACGTGGTGCGGCGCATCGAGCGCGGCGTGGCCTACGTTGTTGTGAGTGCCGGCGGCGTCCAGCTGACGGCCGACGAGCTGGCATCGATCCAGGACCAGGTGCACGACCGCATGACGCAGTCGCTCTCGCCCCACGCGCCCACCGACGCCGCCGCCATGTTCCACCGCGCCGAGCCTGCGCCGCTGCAGACTGTCGACCTGCTCGGTAGCGACGGCACCTCGGACCGGCAGGTGGCGCGGCAGCGCCTGCAGGCGGCCAACGAGCGCCTCGGCCTGGCGCTGGCGCCCGACGAGGTCGAGTACCTCGTGTCTGCCTTTATCGTCGGTGCCGACGGCGACGTGGCTGCTGCGCTCCGGCGCAACCCGACCGACGTCGAGCTGTTCATGTTTGCCCAGGTCAACTCGGAGCACTGCCGGCACAAGATCTTCAATGCCGACTGGACCATCGATGGCGCCAAGCGGGACATGAGCCTGTTTGCCATGATTCGCAACACGCACAAGCTGCACCCCAAGTACACCATCAGCGCATACAGCGACAATGCCGCCGTGCTCGAGGCGTACGAGGCGCCGCGCTTTGCCAGTGCGCCGTCGCCGGACGCCGATGCTAATGGACTCGTCGTCTACAGCGCCGTGCAGGAGGCCATGCCGATGATCGTCAAGGTCGAGACGCACAACCACCCCACCGCCATCAGCCCGTACCCTGGCGCAGCGACGGGCTCCGGCGGCGAGATCCGCGACGAGGGCGCCGTCGGCCAGGGGTCCAAGCCCAAAGCGGGTCTCGTGGGCTTCATGACGTCGAACCTGCTCCTCGACGAGGGCGCGGGCCGCATGCCGTGGGAGGACGCCGGCGTGGGCAAGCCGGCGCACGTGAGCAGCGCACTCGACATCATGACCGACGCGCCCCTCGGCAGCGCCAACTTCAACAACGAGTTTGGCCGCCCGGGCCTCGGCGGCTTCTGGCGGACGTGGTGCGAGCGTGTGCCCGTGGGTGGTGGCAGCAAAGTAGGCGGGATAGACGGGGCAGAAGGCAGGACTGAGCTCAGAGGATACCACAAGCCCATCATGCTCGCTGGTGGCCTGGGCAACGTGCGGCCACAACATGCGCTCAAGCACACCATCACGCCCGGCGCTGCCATCATCGTCCTCGGTGGGCCGGGCATGCTCATCGGCCTCGGCGGCGGCGCGGCCTCGTCGATGGCGTCGAGTGCCAGCCGGGCCGAACTCGACTTTGCGTCGGTGCAGCGCGAGAACCCCGAGATGGAGCGGCGGTGCCAGTCGGTCATCGATGCCTGCTGCGCCCTCTCCGACGCCCCCGGCACCATCGATGGGCAGATGGGCAGCGGCAACCCGATCCAGAGCATCCACGACGTCGGCGCCGGCGGGCTCAGCAACGCGCTCCCCGAGCTCGTCCACGACGCCGGCCTGGGCGCCCGCTTCGAGATCCGCGACGTCCTCGTCGACGACCCGGGCATGTCGCCCATGGAGATCTGGTGCAACGAGTCGCAGGAGCGCTACGTCGTCGCCGTCCAGCAGCACGACCTCGCGCGATTCGAGGACATTTGCCGCCGCGAGCGATGCCCTTACTCGGTCGTGGGCGAGGCCACACGCGAGCAGGACCTTATTGTGACAGACCGGCTGCTGGTGGGTAAGCCGATTGCGCTGCCGATGAGCACGCTGTTTGGCAAGCCGCCCAAGATTGCGCGCCAGTCGACGCGCCTCGCCCCCAACCTGGTTCCCTTTGACGCCAGCCTGCGCGCCTATCTGCCTTCGATCGAGCACGACGACGGCGCACGCCTGGCCGCAGCCATCGACCGCGTGCTGCACCTGCCCACGGTGGCCTCCAAGGCCTTTCTCATCACCATTGGCGACCGCAGCGTGACGGGCCTCGTGGCGCGCGACCAGATGGTCGGGCCCTGGCAGGTGCCCGTCGCCGACGTCGCCGTCACGCGCACCTCGTACGGCTTCGACGACTGCCTCACGGGCGAGGCCATGGCCTCGGGCGAGCGCACGCCCCTCGCCCTCATCCACCCCGGTGCCTCGGCGCGCATGGCCGTGGGTGAAGCACTGACGAACATGGCTGCCGCGAGCATCGAGTCGATTGAGCGCGTCAAGCTGAGTGCCAACTGGATGTGCGCTGCCAGTCATGCCGACGAGGGCTCGCGGCTGTACGAGGCCGTTGAGGCTGTTGGCATGGACCTGTGCCCCAAGCTGGGCCTCTCGATCCCCGTGGGCAAGGACTCCATGTCGATGAAGATGGCCTGGGCAGACGGCGCAACACAGCAGCCGCGCGAGGTCACGGCGCCCCTCAGCCTCATCGTCACGGCCTTTGCGCCCGTGGACCGGATCGACAAGACGTGGACGCCGCAGCTGCGCGCCGATGTTGCCGACGACGAGGAGACGGTGCTGCTGTTTGTCGACCTGGCCAACGGCAAGAAGCGCTTGGGCGGCAGCTGCCTGGCCCAGGTGTTTAAGCAGCTCGGCGACGAGGCGCCCGACGTCGAGGACGCCGCCGTGCTCCGCGCCTTTTTCGACGCCTGCTACACGCTGCATGCGCTCGAGGTGCAGAGCCGCAACGCAAAGGAGCCCAGCCTCGTGCTCGCCTACCACGACCGCTCCGACGGCGGCCTCCTCACGACGGTGCTTGAGATGTGCTTTGCCGGCCACGTTGGTGTCGAGCTCTTTGTCGACACGTTGGCTGCCAGCACAAGCACCGACGCCGTCATGGCCAGCCTCTTCAACGAGGAGCTCGGCGCCGTGCTGCAGGTGCGCGCGTCGACGGTCAAGGCCGTCTCGGCCGTCTTTGCCGCTGCGGGCGTGCCCTCGCACAGCCTCCACGTCGTCGGCCGCGTCACGCCGGCGTCGGAGTCGATCAAGATCGTCTCGCGCTCCCAGGCCGTGTTTGAGTCGACGCGTGGTGCGCTCCAGGCCGCCTGGTCCGAGACGTCGTACCGCATGCAGGCCCGGCGCGACAACCCGCTGACGTCGCGCTCCGAGTTTGACCTTATCCACGAGCGCCAGCACGCACTCACCTATGCGCTCTCCTACGAGCCCGGCGCCGACGTCGTCCTGCCCGCGATCCGCACGCTGCCCCTGACGCAGCGGCCCAAGGTGGCCATCCTGCGCGAGCAGGGCGTCAACGGGCACATTGAGATGGCCTATGCCTTTCATGCTGCTGGGTTTGCCGCCATCGACGTCCACATGTCCGACCTCGTCAGTGGGCGCGTGGGTCTCGAGGCCATGGTCGGTCTGGCCGCGTGCGGCGGCTTCAGCTTCGGCGACGTCCTCGGCGCCGGCGCCGGCTGGGCCAAGGCGTGCCTGCTCAATGCGCGTGTGCGCACCCAGCTCGACGCCTTTTTCCGGCGCCGCGACACGTTTGCCCTCGGCGTCTGCAACGGCTGCCAGCTCTTTTCCCAGCTCGGCCAGGCCGGCCTGCTGGAGGCAAGTGACACGACCGATGGTGGTCAACACTGGCCCAGCTTCAAGGGCAACGAGAGCGCGCGCTTCGAGGCGCGCGTGTGCAACGTCGCCATCGACGCAGACACGCCGAGCATCTTCCTGCGCGAGATGCGCGGCAGCATCCTGCCTGCCATTGTCGCCCACGGCGAGGGCCGCGTGTCGTTTGGTCACGAGCAGCAGCAGCAGGAAAGTGCACGAATCGAGGCGCTGGAGCGCAGCGGCCGCGTCGCGATGCGCTACGTCGACGGCGCCGGCGCGCCCACGGAGCGCTACCCGCTCAACCCCAACGGCAGCGCGCACGGCATCACGGCGCTGTCGAGCGCCGACGGCCGCGTGCTCGCCCTCATGCCCCACCCCGAGCGCGGCGTGTCGGCCGAGGCGATGAGCTGGAAGCCGCCGGGCGCCAGTGCCCAGTGGAAGGGCCGCGGGCCGTGGTTGCGCATGTTTGAGAGTGCCCGGCGTTGGGTGCACGCCAACGAGGCTGGCGACCTCAAGCCTTAGATCCTTGCAAAGCCTTTGTGCATGTATGCACGCGATCCCTCCTAAACACAAACACATGTACGATGGTCACCAGTGCTGCTGAATAGAATACAAATACAATGCAATGGGAGAGAGGAAGTCGCTGAGGAAATTGCCACGGGAGCAAGGAAGAGAGGGAGGGAGAGACAGAGAGAGAGAGGGAGAGGAAGAGGGAGGAGGAAAGGGGGAGAGAGTGTGACTAAGCAAAGTGGATGTTCTCCTTGTGAAAGGCAAAGAGGAGGCGGAGGATGTCGTCGACGTCCATCTGCGCCGCTCGCTTGTCGCTGTAGCCGCTCGTGGCGAGGATGGCATCGAGGCGTGCCGCGAATGGCTGCGGGTCCAAAGCGAGGCTGCGCTCGGCACAGAGCGTCTTGTAGTTTTGCTCGAGCATGGCCTTGACGCCCTTTGCCTCAAACGAGGCCCGGACGGTCTTGTGGCGGCGCGAAAAGAGGACACGCGTCAGGCCGTCGTACTCGTCGAAGCGGATTGGGGGAGGTGGTTGGATAGGCACGATGCGGACGACGCTGCTGTCGACCTGCGGGGGCGGGCGAAAGGAGCCCTTGGACACGTGCATCTGCAGGTCCACCTTGGCGTACAGCTGCACGTTGGCCGACAGCCGGCACCACAGCTCCGAGCCGGGCCGCGCGAGGAGGCGGAGCGCAAACTCGCGCTGGAACATGAGAATCGCGCAGCGGAACTGGGGCCGGTGCGAGAGCAGCTTGAAGACGAGCGGCGACGAGATCTGGTAAGGGGTGTTGCTGATCACGAGGTCAAAGTACGGCAGCGTCGTCTTGCAAAAGTCGCCAATGACAATGTCGAGCTTGCGCTTCATGTCGGCCTGGCCCTGCACACGCTTCGTGAGCTCGGCGGCCATGCGCGGGTCCATCTCGATCACGGTGCACTTCTTGGCCTTTTCCAGGATCCGCACCGTGAGGTTGCCCGTACCTGGACCGACCTCGAGCACGACATCGGTCGACTTGATGGCGGCCTTGTCGACAATCGACTGCGCCACGAGCGGGTTCTTGAGAATGTGCTGCCCGAACCGGTCCGTGTTGAAGATCGGGTTCTTGGTCGTCGCCCCCGAGGAGGAGGAGGACGCCGAGGCAACGCCCGACGAGGATGAGCCCTTGCTCGGCCGCTTCGCCGCCGAGACGGGCTGGTACTCGGCCCGCGCGAGCTTGTCCGACACGGCTCGGGGCATCTTTCCTTGCTGCAAGCGACGACTGAAGAAGGAACGGCGACGAGATTCTCCCTCTGGTCGCAGGCTGAGGAAGAACTGACGACGAGATTCTCCCTCCTCCGTTCTCCAAATCCAAAAATTTAAATTTTTTTTTTGGAAGCACCTCCACGTGATGCGCGCAAGCTGCTCACCAGGGTCCCTTGCTCACCCTTCCTCGCCTTTTGGCCTGCGCCACCGACAAGAAAGGAAGCTCCCAACTTCTCATCGCCATCGCTGCAGGGGCCGGCAGAGCGGGCGCGCGAGGATGCCGCCCAAGTTCAAGGCGAGGAGGCTCGATCGGGCCGCCGTCGAGGGCGCCAGCGGCGGCTTCTCGGCCCGTGCGCCGGCTGCGTCGCCGGCTGCGCAGCATGCAGCGGCCTCGTCGAGCACGCTGCGCCACCCGAAGCAGGGCCAGGAGCTGGGGCAGGAGCTGGGGCAGGAAGAGATAGGTGGCTGGCGAGAAGCGAACGCGACCGTCGTCCCCATCCAGCTGATCCACGAGCACGGCCGGCCGACGTGGTCCCTCGCAGACGACCAGTCGGCGCCCCGGCTCGCCCACTTTCCCGAGGCTGAATTCGAAGACTGCTCCGCATACATAGACTTTGGCCGGCTTCTCGCGCAGGAGGAAGCTCATGGTGGCTCAGATGTGGCTACAGACACCACAAAGAGCGCAGGAAAGCGAAAAGCAAGGGACGAAGACCAGGATGAAGAAGAGAAAGACGAGCTCGAGGAGGGCCTGCCGCTGCTCTCGACGGCCTGCCTCTTCCATGTCGCGCCCTGGGATGCTGCCGTCGAGCGTGCTTTAAAAAAGCTTGCGGAAAGATCGAGCGGCTTGTCATTCGGTGGCGGCGCGTGCGACCGGCTCTACGTCGCCGAGGTCGAGGGCCGAGACGAGGCGAGCGTGATGCACGAGATGCTGCACCTGGCCGACGGCGACGGCCGCCTCCTTCTCCGGGTGCCCCTCGTCGACACGGACCGCATTGAAGCCAGCCGGCTGCCCCACCGCTTCACCAATGGCTCCTGGCTCTCTGCGTGCGATAAAGAGCGGTGGAAGGGCAGGCGTAGTCTGATCAGCACCTCGATCGACGTCTGCTTTCCACGCCGGCCCGTCGTGCAGCCACCGGCGACACCGGCGAAGCTGCTCACGCTCCAGCTTAACATATCTGTCCACCTCCACGAGGCTGCGCTTTCGCCGTCGGCTCCGGTGCCCAGTGCGGGCGAGGCCGAGCTGCTGCAGCGGCTGATGCGCTTCGCAAGCCCGTCGGATATGCGCGACGAGGCGCTGCGCAGGCGGCCGATGCAGGAGAGCCTCGTCTACAGCGGCCTGCGCGCCTCGACGCTGACCGACGACGTGGCCGCACTGCAGCCGCCGGGCCTCGAGCCGAGCCTGATCCCCTTCCAGCGCCGCTCCGTCCACTTTCTCCTTGGCCGCGAGGGCAGGTACATTGCTGGGGCCGACGCCGACGCCGATGGGCAGGCCGTGCTCGGCAGCCTCGACGAGCAGGGCAAGGTCATGACGCACGCCGGCACGCAGCACGTCGGCCTCTGGTGGGAAAAGGTCGACGACGGCCTCTACTACAACGCGCTCCTGGGCACCTTTCGCAGACACGCCAGCGAGACGAGGGCCGACAACGTCCGTGGGGGTATCCTCGCCGAGGAGATGGGCCTCGGCAAGACTGTCGAGGTGCTCGCCTTGATCCTGCTCAACCCCGACGCGGGCCGGTCGCAGGAGCCGAGCTACTACGATGGAGAGCAGGACATCGAGGTGGCGCCAACCAAAACAACGCTCATCGTCGCCCCCGAGGTGCTTCGCCAGCAGTGGCTCGATGAGACGGCCGTACATGCGCCCGAGCTGCGCATCTTCAGCTACCTCGGCTACCAGGAGGCCCGCCGCGCGCTGCACAACAACAACGGCGGCACCACCTGGCATGACTTTGCCCGCCAGCTCGACGTCATCGTCGTCTCCTTTGACACGCTCCGCAAGGAGCTCAACGTGGCCAAGAAGGAGCGGCCGCGGTCGAGGCGCTTTGAGCGCAAGTACGAGCGCCCACGGAGCCTCCTCGTCCAGCTGGCTTTCCACCGCGTCGTCATGGACGAGGTCCAGCTCGTGGGCCACAGCATGGCCGCCGAGACGGTGAGCCTGATTGCGCGCAACCACAGCCTCGCCGTCAGCGGCACGCCCGTCAAGCAGCTCTCGGACCTGCAGTCGCTCCTCCGCTTCCTCAAGGCGCCCGGCCACTTTGGCACCAACACCTACTGGAACCGGCTCATGACGCCGGCCATGGCGCCGCAGCTACGCCGCATGCTCGAGGTCCTCGGCACGCGCCACACAAAGGAGCAGGTGCGCCACGAGATGAGCCTGCCGCTCCAGACGCGCACCCTCGTCCCCATTGACTTTACTGCTATCGAGTCGACGTTCTACCGCGACATGTACCACCGCACCCTCCGCTCGATGGGCCTCGACGACTCGTCGTCGCAGAGCACCGCGACGCTGCGCCAGATCCGCCAGCGCTTTGCCGCCGCCGCTGCCGCGTCTGACGGTGGCGGTGGCGGTGGCAGCGCCGGCAGCGACGACTCGTTCAGCCTCGCACGGCTGCGCAGCGACCTGCTCCACCTCCGCCAGGCGTGCACCCACCCGCAGATTGCCGCCGGCCGCGGTGGTGGCGAGCGCAACACGCTGGCCGTCTCGAGCCAGATCCGCTCGATGGACGAGGTGCTTACGGTGATGCACGAGGGTGCAAAGGCCGACGAAGCCTCGACCCGCCTCTCGCTCCACCGCCGCATGATTGACCGCGCCGTGCTGACGCTCCAGGACAAGGGCCATGCGGGCCGGCACGAGCTGGCGCGCGCACGGCTTGTGGAGGATGTGCGCCCGGCGCTCGAGCGGCGCGTCGAGGAGATCAAGCAGGACCTCGTGCGCGCCCGCACGATTGGGCCCTTTTACCGCTTCGAGCCGCACGAGGTCGACGAGCGCGGCGCCTCGGAGGAGGTGGTCGACGACGATGGCGATGGCACCACTGAAGACCCAACTCAGCTACAGCAACAACAGCAGAAGCAAAGAGACCGCCTGAGGCAAGGCCTGACGCAGGCGGAAAAGGACCGCGAGAACAGCCTGACGGAGCGGCGCGCACACCGGCACAGGCACGTCGTCATTGTGCAGAACCGGCTCCGGTCGGTGCTGGAGCAGCTGCATCGGTGCAACCACTTTCTGGGCAACATCTGCTTCCAGCTGGGCCAGCTGCAGAAGGAGAAAGAGGAGCAGCAGCAGAAGCAGCAGCAGCAGCAGCAGCAGCAGCAGGAGAAGGAGAAAGAACAGGAGCAGTATGGGCACGAGGGACAAGGAAAGGAGCAAGGGCAAGCGCAGAAGCAGGAACAGGAACAGGAGCACAAGGTCAAGGACGAAGGGGGCCCAGAGGAAGTCTCTGCCGTCGCAGCGATGGCGGTGGACGACGAGGAGAAGGAGCACAAGGCCGTCGACGACGCAAAGAACGACGAGCCCGTCTCGGCCGAGGTGGCCGAGCTCAAGCGGCAGGAGGACTACTGGTACGACCGGGCCGAGGAGGTGCGGCTGGAGCTGCTCAAGGAGTCGCGCCACGTCGTCGAGGCCTCGCTCCGGAGCTTTGCGCGGGGCGAGCTGGATCTCGCGGCGCGCCACCGGCCCTTTGTCACGCAGCAGTTTGAGGCTGGCGGTCTGACGCTCGAGCAGTCCTTTTCCCGCCTCGACGAGCTCGTGGACCTGCTCGACCGCAACGCCGAGGTGGTGCTCAAGTGGCGCCACGACATCATCGAGCGCCTCCGCAAGCCCGTCAGCCGCGACGTCAGCGCAGAAAACGAGCTCGACGACCAGTACCAGGAGAACCTCGACGCACAGGCCGAGGCCGAGGCGCTGCTGGAAATGTACCGCGTGCTGCTGTCGGAGCGCGAGCTCATCGTGACGGGCGTCACGACGCAGGGCGCGACGAGCAAGCCTGCGCTCATGGTCCAGCTCGAGCACAGCGACCGGTTGGCGCGCCGACGCCACCTCCGCCTCGCCCAGGACCCCAACAACGTCGAGGTGCTCGAGGAGCTGGAGCAGGGGCTCACCGAGGAGCAGCTCGAGGTGCAGCGGACGCAGCTGCGCCACTTTGAGAAGCTCAACGAGGAGCGCAAGGCCGTCTCGCTCGAAGCCATCGGCCGCGAGGAGGGCCACTTTGAGACGGTCCTCCGCCAGCTCCGCGAGACGTCGAACCGCGTCGAGCGGCGCGAAGAGGTCAAGCTGGCCCGGATGGCCATCGACAAGATCCGCGAGCTGACGGCGCAGCAAAAGAGCCTGGGCGAGCGCCTGCGGAGGGAGGCCAGCCTGCTGTCCAACGTCTTCAACACGCGCAGCTCCTATTTTAAGCAGATCCAGGATCTATCGGACCAGGTCGCCGACCTCGAGACGCGGGACCTGCAGAAGGACACGCTCGCTGCGGCAAAGGAGGAGCAGTCACTCAGGGCAAAGGCCGACGGCATCAGCGCCAGGCTGCGCTACCTCGCGGCACTCGAAGCAGAGACCATCGGAGGAGCAGCAAAGGCAGCCGCTACGACAGGCTCGACGTCGGCCGCAGCAGCAGCAAATGAGGAGGCAGCTTCAGCGACGACAAAAGCAGGGCAAGGCACCGAGGACAACGACGAGGCTGGACCCGGTCGGACGTGCGTCATCTGCACCGAGCCACTCGTCCGGGCGGTGCTGCTGGGCACGTGTGGCCACTGGACATGCGAGGACTGCTTCCGGAGCTGGACGCTGAAGCGCAGGGCCTGCCCCATCTGCAAGCGGCCCGTCAAGGCCAACGAGGCGCACAGAGTCACCTACGGCAATGCATCCACCGCCACCGCCGCCCCTACCGATGCCACTCGCTCGTCTGCGCAGATCCAAGACCCGATCAAGGCCAAGCTGCAGGCTCAGCGGGAGCGGTACAACGTCATCTCGGACGAGGCACGCGAAGACGTAGCCAGACAGCGGCTGCAGACGAGCCTGGGCAGCAAGCTCGACCTCCTCACGCGCCACCTTCTCCAGCTGCAGACCGACCAGCCGGGCACCAAGTCGCTCATCTTTACTGCCTTTTCCCGGGGCGTCTCGCTCGTCTCGGACGCCCTATCTCTCAACGGCATCAAACATGTCAGGCTCGAGACGGGTGGCAAGGCCGGGGCCAATGCCGTCGACAACTTCAAGAACGACTCGTCGGTCAATGTGCTCATCCTCCACTCCGAGGCACAGAGCTCGGGCCTGAACCTCGTCTGCGCCACGCACGTCTTTCTGCTCGAGCCCCTCGTCAACCACGCCATGGAGCTGCAGGCCATCGGTCGTGTGCACCGCATCGGCCAGACGCACGAGACCAACGTCTGGGGCTACGCCGTCAACAGCACCGTCGAGGAGCGCATCACCGAGATGGGCCGGCGCAAGCAGCAGCGGAGCCTGTTTACGCACGCCAACTGCCGCTCCACCCACCTCCGCGACTCGGCCTCGCTGGCGGCCGAGGCCAAGGCGGCACGCAGCGGCGAGCGCGCCTCGGCCGCCGGCTCGAGCACGACAGCAACGACGGCTGCCAGGCAGGGCGAGTTCGTCGCCAGCCTGGACGACATTCTCGAGAGTCTCTTTGACGAGGAGTCAGACGCGCGTCCGACCAGCGTCAATGGCAACGGCAGCAGCAGCAGCGACATCGTCAATGGCGATCGCATTGGCTCTGCTGAAGACGAGCGGGAGAAAATGAGAAGGGAGCGGCTGCAGGCCATTGAGCGCAGACAGGCCATGGCCTCCATCGAGCAGGAGCGGGGAACGCGATAGACACTTAACTTATTCAAGACATGTACGTGTATGAGTAGATCGACCGCCTAGTTTTGTTGTACAGTAATCTATAGAAGAGTCCCTTTACTCTCCCTTCCGTGTCTGGACCGCCCCAGATGAGTGAGTGCACGCTGTGACGAGCAGACAGATCGGCGCAGGAAGCCTCCCCCACGTCTATCTCTCTCGATCGCCAGGCGCGCCGCCACCTGCCACGCGTCATGGAAAAGCCTAAATGTTTTTCACTGAGGGCGTGGGCCTGCCCTCGCGACCGTTCCCATTAAAATCGCAGCGCCCGCACTGCCTTACGGCTGATAAAGCTAGAGAAAGAGAATCGGGACCCCGACACGAGCGCTGACGCTGCTGCACGCCCTGTGGTGCCCTGCCCCGCCTTGGGCATGTCCTTTTCCAATGGCCCGGCGCTAGAGTCGGGTAGTACCGCCACCCGCCCTGATATCGATATTGGTACCGACGGGCAGCCGGCGTTGACTAAACGAGGGCCACTCCTACGTTCCGAGTCAACAATGTGCTCTTTCTTTCGATCCGCAAATGGAGAGCGAGGCATTTCTTTTTCTGACCTAAACGATTTGGAACGGAAGACAGATTAGGGCGCACCAGACCGTCGGTCCAAGCTCCCCCCCTCCCCCCCCCCCCCCCAGTCCAGACCGATTTTCTTCCTTTTTTTTTTCTCCTTTCTTATTTTCCCTGTGTGATTTTAGTTACTTGACAGCGCCGCTAAAAACTTGGCAAAAGTTTTACCTTGTGGATAGAGAAGTGAATTAAAAATAGTCTATCTTCAGCGCAGCAGCAGAAAGGAAGTAAGAGCAGATAGGCACAATGTCGCTTTTGGGCGGCGAACTAGACGAACAACCACGCTGTATCCCTTCTACCAACCACGATCCACAAGGTACAGAGGCCCGAGTAGAGTGCGCACGTACCCTCTTTGTTCTTGCTCACTCCACCTTCGACACCCTCGCTCGCTTGATTGATAGCTTGCTGGCTTGCTCTGTGCAGAGATGGCGGGCGGTTCGTCGGCGTCGCCAGGGAGCAACGCCGGGATGCTCCCCATGCCCACCCCGTCCAAGGCTCGCCTGCCGCGCGCGTTCAGCATCCACCGCATCGTCATGCTCTCTGTCCTCTCCTTCCTGGGCACCTGCCTCTTCTTTGTCCTCTTCGGCCGGCCAGACCGGGAGCGGAAACCGCGCGCAGACTGGAAGCAGCTTCTCTCGCCCTCGGCGGCGACGGACGTCTGGCCCGATGGTCGGGGCCAGTACCCGACGAGCAACCAGGAGGGCGAGGACGGGTGGATGCGCGGCAGCGGCCGCACCGGCATCAACATCGACACGCCCTTCAACCAGGACGACCTGACGTATACCGAGGACGAGTGTGAAGCCTTTTTCCCCGATCTGTACAACGAGATTGACCGGAGCCGGGACTTTTACACGTACAAGAAGAGGTGAGATCGTATGCAGGGCTTGTTTCTTCTTCCGCGATTACTGATCAGAGTTCTCTGCATCAGATGGGACAGGGAGTGGCTCGAGGAGACGTGCGACGACGGCGTCTGGACGCACGCCCGCGTCGTGATCCACAACAACCGGCTCTACGTCAAGCGGTACGAGAAGGCCGGCCAGTCGCGAACCCACGCGGCGCTGGCGCTGCTGCACCAGAGCCTGGTCACGGGCAAGGAGAAGCTGCCCGACGTCGAGTTCTGCATCGGCATGCACGACTGGGGCTCCAAGGGCAAGTTCAGCCTCGACCGGCGCGACGAGCTCAAGGACAACTGGTTGATGCCCGACTACTCCTACTGGAGCTGGCCCGAGCATGTGGGCATGTACCAGGACATGCGCGAAAAGGTGCGGGCCATCGACAAGGACCTTGGCTGGGCCGGCAAGAAGTCCAAGCTGTTCTGGAGGGGTTCCCTCAAGGTTGGCACGGCGGACCGCGAAGCGATGCTGGCTGCCGCAGAGGGCTATGACTGGTCCGAAATGTCAGAGCTCGTCTGGGGCAGCCCCGATCCCAACAAGGGCCCCATCCTCATGGAGGACCACTGCCGCTGGAAGGTGAGTCACTGTCTCTCAGAGACTAGCGAGAGCAGGCCACAGAGAGAAGAAGAGGCTAACGACGACCACACGCACAGTTCCACGCATACAGCGAGGGCAACACATACAGCGGCCGGCTGCGCTACCTGCAAAACTGCCGTGTCGTCGTCATCACCCACAAGCCAAATTACATCCAGCACTACACCCACCTCTTGAACGGCGAGTGGGGCCACCCGGACCAGAACATCGTCTACGTCCCCCTGCCGGAGTCGGTCAAGGTGGACGACAAGCTGCTGGGCCGGGACCGGTCGTGGGAGCGGCTGCCTGAGGTCATGGACAAGCTCCTCAAGGACGACGCCATGGCCAAACGCATTGCAGAGAACCAGTTCAATACGTTTGGAATGAGGTGAGGGTGCTCTGATCGTGTCACTGAAGCGGGTTTGGTGAGCTGACGAGCAATGTGACTCCAGATATACCACCCCGGCAACAGCGACGTGCTACTGGCGCAAGCTCATCAAGGCCTTTGGGTCCATCCAGCAGTACGAAGTCGAGCTGAATGGCAACGAGACGAGCTATGAGACGTTTGCCCTCGTCGGTATGAGAAATGGCGACCCCGGCCTGCATTAAACCAGCTCCTCCTTTCTCTCTCCTCTTTGCTTCTGTCTTGGTCGCTGCCGCTGCTGCTGCCGCAGCCGTCGAAGCTGCTCTTGGTGGTGGTGGATTGTAAATGTATACCGCTTGCCTTCAAACCCTGTACGACTACTCTCTCTCTTCGAAATCTGCTTCTTCTCATGTGATCCCGATTGTCGGATATATTCGTGGGCTTCTCGTGCTTCTGCGAGCGAGAACGATCAGAATTTGCTTGAGGATGGGACAGGGCGTGGATCTTTTCGATATTTCAGTGCAGTCGAGCGAATCGCTGCTATGCCTGGGCAGCTCTTTGCCGTATGGTCCGACAGGCACGGTGGACTACGTACGCTACTCACTGACTCTGCACCACGTCATTCCCTATCGTCATAAGTGGGCATGATCATCGCCTGGCTTCGAGTGTATCATAGTCTCAGTGTCCACTATCGACCAAACTGGGCAAAGCAGCGATGTAGGACTCATTCTTTTCGTCCTCTCGACCAATTTGTCCTCAAAAGGAGCAACGTTCATCTATATTCAAAATGCAAATGCGAATGACCACACCAAGGAACGACAGAGTAGGAAGTATGTGTGTAAGGAAAGGATGTGCAGAAGATATGTGTGTAGCAGATATGTGTGTGTAGATTTGTGAGTGTGATAATTGATGATATAAAGAGGCAACGAGCGGGTGGGTGGGTCGAGAATCAAGACCAAGATTCGAGCTCCTCGAGCATGTCCTCGAGCAGCTTCCTCCGTGGCATGAGGGCTTCCAATGATGTGGAAGCCGACATGTTCGAATGCGGCTTTTCATGCTTGCTCTGAGTCAGCTTGACCGTTGGTGTTTTTACAGTCTTCTCTGCGGGAAGCACCTTTGTCGCTGGGATCGGGCCGCTCCTGCTGATAGGAAGAGGAGGCGCTGGCTTCTTCTTCTCTTGGGCCAAATTCTCCTCAACAATGAATGGTGCAAGTCGGTCATCGTCGAGAAGGAATGGGAAGGCATCGCCGCCATCTGTCGAAGTCGAGAGGGAGAGCGTGGGGAGATAGAGCCTTTGAAGGGAAGAGTCTCCTTCATTGTCTTCATCCTCGGTGGCAGCAAGCGGTGCGAACGAGTCGGCAGGCGTTGTGGGTAGGGTTGACAGCTCGCTTCGTGGTGAGACTTCATCTTCTTCACTGACTTGCTGCTCTTCCTCTTGTCGTGGCTCGGAGCTCTTGTCGTCGGATGAGGTAGCCGACACAGCTTCTTCCTCTCCTTCGGGGCCAGCCTTTCTGTGCACCTCCTCAGACGGCTTGAACTGGCTATGGGGCTTCCACAGCTCTGCCGTTTCTTGCTCCTCCTGCTCCTCTTCCCGATGCTGATGCTGGTGCTGGTGCTGGCGATGATCTTGCTGATCAGCTGCGTTGCCCTCGTCTACAACAACGACTCCTCCCTGTCCTTCTTCTTCTTCTTCTTCCTCTTCTTCTTCGACGAGATCGTTGAGCCTCCTGACGCTCCGCTCGAACTCTTCCTTGGACAGCTGGGCCGGAACGAGGTCGTCATCGAGCGGGAGCACAAAGTACGCCGTGGGCTTTCTGTACTTTGCTGCCGCCCCGCCCTGCCGGACCTCGACGAGATTCGACTTGGTGCGCTGCCAGTGACAGTGTGCCCTCAGCGCTCTGGCCGAGAGTGCCGTGCTCGATTTGGAACTAGCATTCGACTGCGAAGAGGCCGCAGACGACGAGGCATTGAGGAGCTGCGCGACGAGTCTCCGGAGCTTCGTCACGGCCAGGTTGCGCACGCGGTGGGCTGCATTGTCCATCGTCCCGTTGAGTGCCGTTGTCGTGGCCGAGGGCGAGTGAGAGAGGAGCAGGTCGGAGAGCGCCACGGGCGAGAAGTCAACACGGCACACGCGCACGTCGAGCACGACGACAAACGTCGCGTGCCCCTCGCCCTGGCAGGTGGGACAGTCGACCTTGAGATTGCCCGAGCAGGCCTTGCAGTCGAGCACGCCCTTTCCTTGGCACTGCCGGCACGACGAGGAGGCCGATTTGCTACCACCCCCGCCACCGCTACTGCCACCGCTACCACCGCGGCACCACCAGCAGGCGTCCGTCGACGGTGCGCCGTGGCACTTTGTGCACGCCTGGCGGCCCTCGCCCTCGCACGAGGGACAGCAGCCCGCCATGTCGCCAGTGGGCGACGCCGAGAGGTTCATCTGTCTCCGCCAGCGCGAGGTGCCCTGCACGACGGCGTCCATGTCCAGACCCCTCCGGTCGACAGCCACGTCCCACGGATCCGGGAGCGGGCCCAGCGACGACTGTGCTCCTTGCACCCCGGATGGAGCCCGGCCGACGCGCTTCCACGTTGCGCGGCGGGTCTCGATGATGGCCCAGAACTTGACGAGCGAGTGGGTTGCATCGCCACGGAACGTCAGCTGGAGGCCATCACGCAGCGCGGCCCGTTGCTTCGCCACAACTTCCTCGTTGCCTCGCCGGGGCGTCAGACCAGGCTCGCAGAGATGGGGGAAGCGCTGCGAAAGGAGCTGGCGCGCTTCGGTCAGCGTCGGACCTCGCTCAGGTCTGTGTGCTTTCAAGTCAGCGCTTGTGATGCAGAGATGAAAGCGTGAACAGTGCAAACTCACGGTGAGGATGAGGAGAACGTGACCTGGTAGGAGGGTGTCACAGATGGTAGCGACGAGGTGATGTATGGCAGCGTTTGCGATCTTCGCGCAAGAGTAGGTGAGCGAGCCTGGGCGGGAAAAGAGGCCGAGGCTGGGACAGGCGGAGACGGCTGCATGGGTGCAGTGGATTTCGCATGTAGTATGCTCGGTCGGGTGGGGAGAAGGAGTGTCTGCTGCTCCGGCCTGGCAGGCTGCAAGGGCTGCGAGGGAGGCTGCTGCTCTTGTTGTCGTGGTTCAGGCAGGCGACTGCTGAGGAGCAGTGGCTGAGGAGGCTCGGGGCGTGCAGCTTGCTGTCGCTCCTCCTGTGGTGGTTGCTGCTTGGGCCGCATCGACTGGAGGAGCTGCATCTGGGCCGGCGTGAGTCGCGGCGGTGGGACTAGGCGGCGCGCAGGACGAGGTGGGGCATTCGAATGGAGCGAGACGGTGCTCGCGGCAGGGCTTACCTCTGGAGCACCCTCGTGCTCACTGACCAGCGGCTGGAGATAGGCGAGCGAAGAGGACTTGAGAGGCGACGACGATCCCGGTGCTGAACTGCTCCTCTGGTGCCTCACGGGGCTGCCGTCGTCCTGTTCCTCCTGGTCCCCGTCCTGCTCTTCCGTCTCGGTATGGCTGGCCACGCTGTCGGTGCTCGCGCTCCTTGCCCTGCTCACCCGGCTGTACCGTGATGCGGATGAGGTAGAAGAGACGATGCGCTGTGTCCTATGCGAAGCGGCAAAGGATGCAAAGAGGGCCCTCTGCTCCTTTTGCGCCTGCCTTCGCGACGCTGACGAAGCATCGCTGTCGCACGACGCTCGGGGCTCCGACAGCACGTCGCCCTCCTGCTCCTCTTCCTCCGCAGCAGCATCATCATCATCGTCGATCGTGTGCCGAAGCACGCTCCTGTCTCGCAGTGGGCTGTCGATTGGGTGCGCACCCTGTACGAGAAGGCCGCGTCTCCGTTTAAAGCGGGGATCGGAATCGTCAAAGGAAGGCGGCGAGAAGTCAGCCAAAGGCAGAGGATCAGCTGCTGCTGCTGCACTTCCTGCCTTTTTCGTCACGGTAGGGCGAACCATGTGAGGTGGGGAAGTGTGCCTCCGTGGCGTGCCTGCCACTGGGCCAGAGGTGGCACTGGTGCTACTACCTGCGGCCACCATCGCACGAGGCCGCGGTGGAATCGGAGGTGGGGCTCGCCGCGGAGTCTTGCAGCTCGGCGGCGGTAGGGATGGGGAGGTAGAAAAGAGACCGTCAAGCTGACGGTGGTAGTCTGAGAAGTCGTCGAGACCCATCGCCTCGATCTTGGCCCTGACAGTCAGTCTCCTCTGCTCCGCTTCCCGATCGTGGGAGGAAGACGACAGGGACGAGGGGGCAGTCTCCTTTCCCAGGGGAAAAGCAGCAGTAAAGGGAGACGGACGGGGCGTCGTGCTGCTCGTGGCAGGTTGTGCCCGGCTCTCGTTGCTCCTGCCGCTGCTGATGCCGCCGCTGCTACTGCTGCTGCTTGTGCTCCTTTGGCTGCTCGCCACGCTCCCATCCTCGCTCTCAGCCCAGTTGATCGTGATGGGTGCACCATCGCTTCGACCACCTTTGTCAGCTCTCAGAGGCGTGCCTGCGGGCCCAGGAGGACCTGCAGGGCCACTCGATGGTTGCGTATACATGTCGGCAAGGACACGGTAGAGCTGCTCCAGCCGCTGGCCGCGCTCTGCCTCGCTCTGGGGCTCTTCGAATCCCTTGGCTGCTGCTGCTGCCGCCATTGTTGCGTCCTGACAACCAAAATGGCTCGCCAGAAAGCGGTCCAGATCCTCCATCGCTCTTCACGCTTCTCCTTTAGGCGATCACAACAGTGGAGAGGATGTACTCGAGTGAAGAAGCTCTTGGAATCCCTCTATAGCTCTCGGGCAAAAGGCAGGCGCCACCGGCAGAGCCACATACTCTCCGATCGGGCCCTGAAATCGATTTGATATCTACCTTCACACCAGCATCCGTCTTACGCACCATTGCAAGAGGTGACACGCAGGAAAAGCTGCATGGATTTTGGCTGGAGTGAGCAAAGTCGAAACGAGACGCAATCCACATTCCCTTTGTGTACACAGCTAACTCCGAAGCCCGAGAGCGCGTTTACGTCGCAGAAATAAACAAGGTAGAAATTCAAACGGCTAGGGGTGTGTGTAAATCGGACCCGCCTTAGCTGCAGGCAGCTACCGAGACCAGGTTTGTGTTGAAGGGAGATCGAAGCCCCATTCAAATCTGGGTGTCAGCAATTTTCCAGAGGGAAAAAGACACGGGAATTTTCGTCGTCTGGATGATCTTCACAACGCGCGTTTTGACATGTCGAGCCAGAAAGGGCAACCCAGATGGCGGACTCCGAAAGATGATCCGAAGATGAGGTAAGCCTCGATTTGCACTGGCCACTTGCTGAACGGAGAAAGGTCGATCTAGGGTGTAGCCAGGAACAGGAGTTGAACGAGCGTTGGGCTATGTCGCCGCACGGCCATCCGGAGCACGTCGCGGGTCGAAGCGTGTGAATGTTGGACCGCCATGTTTCTGATCGCTGCAAACCTGACGAGTGTGTGACTCTGGCAAGACCAAGCTAGACTGGCAAGGCATATTCAGCCACAACGTCCATCCTTATCTCTGGAAACGCATCCGGAAAGCATAAGACAACGAAGTCTCGTCACTGTGGACGAGAATCAAAGCCTTTGGTCATGTCGAGGATCATGACAAAGCCAACGCTGCGCGACGAAAAAACGCGTGGCGATTCTGAGCATAGCTGCCCGACTTTCGTCGAGTACATCAGGTACCTCGACTATTCGACATCGCATCTGCGTTGTTCAACTTGTCTTTGCGGAAGACATGCATTGTCCTCTTTCATCAAGAACTTGCTTTTGACACCATTCCTGAAGCTCTATGCCTTGAAATGCATGCTCTTGGTCTTGTCCTCGAAAGCTCAACCTCCGACGAACAAAGGCTGTCGCATCCTATGTTGAATCCACCCAGTTGCTGTTGACAAATGCTCTCCTACTGAATAACGTAGCGTGACTATTCTGCCAAGTCTGTGGTAGTGGTACGCTCTGCGACCTCACTGGAGAGGTCGTCTAGACTAAGGGGTATTCGTGCTCAGAGGGAAAATGATAACACGGACTCAAAGCTCAGAACAACGAGGCAAACGATTGAATCGCTCTGTGAAAGGGTTCAGCAATGGTGCCTTGCCATTCCTGCTCCAGAAGCGCGTACCTCTATCGGGGATAGAGCACTTGAGTGAAGCCTCGTCACACTCCTCGCAGGCTGCTAGCCCAGACTTGTCCTTGGGGATGGTGTGAGCTACGGCATATCACGACAGCCCAGGCGAGGTCGCCATTCACCGTGCGCCTCGTCAGTGTTGGCTGTCCATGACTCAACGCCAGCACGCCTCATTCTCGTGCAGTGTACAGCTAGAGGCAGATAGGCTCTGAGCGGATAAAGGAAAAAAAAGAAAGAGAACAAGATCGACGGCGGTAGCGAGCGATTAATTTGAAGCGGAGCGAAAGCGAAACATGGGCGTCCCACTGGATGACGCCAGTGGCGCTCCTCTGCTATTCCCTAGGGAATGAAGCAATTTTCATGGAGCGCTCGGCTTGTTTTGAGGTCAGATCAGATTGCCGACTTGTCTGAGACGATGGCGCTTCCTTCTGTTACTCACTCGCTGACTGGGCATACATCTTCAAGAGTGACGGGTAGAGCTGGGCCAAAAGTTCGTCGTCAAAAGGCGGCTGCACGCCACTTGGCGCTCACCAGGGTCTGTTGTGAGGAAGAAAGCGAGCTCGCTCGAGCCGGTATAAGACTGGCACCTTTTTCGATCACACTGCCCACTCTCCATCAAGAACACCAACCAGTCCTCCTCCCCCTCTCCCTCCCTCTACTTGCAAGACAACATCGAACATGTTCGCAGCCTCTCTCTCCTTGAGACCAACCATTGTAAGCATCTCATCGCCTCTTTTCCTTGTCTACCTCTTCACTGACACAGTGGATGTACCACTCAGCTCATCGCCTTTACCGTCGGCTTTGTGCTGCTGTCGCTGCCCGTCGATGCAAAGACCCGCCACACGGACCTAAACGGCCATAATATCCGGATTGCCAGGTGCCAGACCGGTGGAGATGTCATTTACCAGGACACCACGGGACACCTAAAAGGCTTCGAAACGTTTACATGCTCAGACGTCGGTGGCCAAAAGGTGACTTGAACACTCCCCTAAATTTCCTCGCGCGCAATGGTAAGCTTGGAGCTAACATGTGGCGCATTCACCGATTCTTTTCAGTGCACCTGCGATCACCGTCTGACCGCCGCCCAATGCGTGGTGAACTTCGTCATCGAATGCAAGGGTATCAATGGCGACATGAACATGGAAAAGTTGACTTATCAGCAGCTCAATTCGCTCCCCGAGTATGAGAACGATCCTACCAAGAATCCCAACATCAATATTCCCTCGATCCCGACCATAACGGTCAAAAACCCCAAGCAGGACCCAAATCCGCTCCAAAATTATCCGCAATGGCCGCAGCAGCCACAATGGCAACAGAACTATAACCCGACGTATGGCTACAATAACAACGGCTTCAACAACTATAACAACGGCTTTAACAACTATAATAACGGCTTTAACAACTACAACCCGTACCCGTACCAGACGTACCCCTTCAACAACAATCCCTACAACAACGAGCACTTTGGAAACCAGTTCCAAAAGCGCGATGGCCAGTATGGCCCGTCCTTCGACCAATACCTCAGCAGCCGCAGCAGCCATGCGCCCTTGGAGCGACGCCGCCGCAGCAGCAACGATGGTCCGAAGCGCCTAGACGGTAACGAGAGCGCCGATTCCGCTGCAGCAGAGACGCGCAGCGTTGACGACGAAGCGGCCAAGGAGCCCAACAAGGAAGACTCTACGCCCTAGCACGAGCTCGTCTTCAGTGCCAGCCGCTCTTCCCCTCCTTTCTACATTCACTTCGGCCTTTCACTAGACTCGCCTCAATTCTTCCAGCCCAGTCCTTCACTTAGGACCTCCCCAGTCTGTCGCTCAGATCCCTGCCAGTCGTTCTAATCTCTACTCCAGTCCTTACCTCTCCAGTCCTTACCTAGAATCGATTCAGTCCCTACCTAGAATCGGCCCAGTCCTTGTCCCTTAGACACACCCACTTCCTTCCACAACCGAGAAATTTAAACGCATGTACCGCACACACTACATTCGTTCGAATGCGACGCACTACCTCTTCAGACGCTTGCCATTCGTGGCCTGGCCGAGCGAGACACAAGGGCGAAAATTAATTCTCAAACATGCACATGCACACGACAGAGAGAGGAGAGAAAAGAGAGAGAAAGAGAGCGCGGAAAAGAGGGAGAAAGAGAGAAAAGAAAGAGAAGGAGAGAGAGAGAGAAGAAGAGAAATAGAAAGAGGAAAGGAAATCACAGGTAGATGGGCAGCGTCGTGTCGTTGACCTCGATGCCCCGGGAGCCCTTTTCGAGGTTCTCCTCCTCGAGGAAATGGAGCGGCATCTCGACGAGGCAGCCGCGCCACTGGGCCAGGCGCTTGCGCACCGCCTCTGTGCTCCATTTGGCCGGGTCCGCCGCGACGTGGCCGGTGCGGCTGCCGCGGGCGACAAAAAAGGCATTGTAGTCCTTCCAGTTGCGCACCTTGTCCGACGGCACGACTTGGAAGATGTCGTCGGCAATCTCCGTGTTGGACTTGGCCTGGCCCTTCCACATGCGCTCCACCTCGTCGCTCAGCGGGTCGGCGACGAGGCGCTCCCACTCGCGCTCCTGCGTGGACGCGCCCTCGGCGGCGGCCATCTTCTCCGGGTCCGGGTTGCCGTGCGGGGCCGGGCGCATGGCCTCGGTCGGGTATGTGGCCGCGCTCTCGGGGGAGCAGTACTGGGGCGCGACGAGGCCGAGGTGCTGGCGCCAGAGGTGGCGGCGAAACGAGGCCGCAAAGCGCGAGGCCATGTACTTTTCGCCATTCATGACGCTCTCAAACAGGTCCGTGTCCTCAATCACACACGCCGTCTCGCTGTCGCCGTCGCCCTTTTGCGAGCGGTCGTTGATGTTGGCGCTGCCGATGAGCACCTTGCGGTCGTCGACGATCATGAGCTTCGAGTGGACGTAGACCTCCTCGGTGACAAAGGCCTCGCGCTCGTCCTCAATGTCCTGGGGCCAGTGCTCCTCGTCGATGGGCCGCTGGCCGTGGAGGGTGCAGTCGGCGATCGAGTCCTTGACCCGGTTCTCGTCGTCGCGGCTCGCCGCAGCCTGGAAGCGGCGAATGACATCCATGGCCTCGTCGACGGTCTTGGGCATGGCGATGCGCGCGATCGTCTTGGGGTCCTTTTTACCCTCGCTGTCGCGCTTGGCGTCGTCGGCATCGTCGGCCGTCTTGATGGCCACCGTCTGGTTGCCCGCGGCGTAGCCCTGCTCGCCGAGATAGATGCGCGCAGCGGCGATCTGGACCTCGTGGAAGCTGACGCCCGTCTCCTTTTCCATGCGCCGGACGCCGGCCCAGTTGATGCGGTCGATACCACGGAGGTTGTAGAAGCTGATGTACTCGTGGCCATCGACACCCGCCGCCTCGAGCTGCTCGAGGATCGACTTGCCGCGGCGGGCAATGGAGCGGTACTGGTAGGCCATGATGCAGCGGATGCCCGCGGCCTCGTCGAGCTCGCCGGCAAAGCAGGGGATCGTGGGGATGACGACGATGACTTTAAACTTGCGGCCGTCCTTGGCGGCACTGAGGATGCGCTCCACCAGCGCGGCACCAATGAGGTTGACGACGGGCGTGCCCGGCTCGGTGGCCGTGATGAAGAACTGGTTCTCAATGTAGATGCAGTGCGACGCCTCGCGGATCATCTCGATGTATGCGTTCTGGATCGACTTTTCGGGCAAGGTGCCGTTGGACCAGTCGGCGCAGGTGCGGATGACCTGGATGTCCATCGTGTGCCCACGTGTGGCTGCCTCGCTGTCGTCGCGCTTCTCGGCGTGCCAGGGGTGGCGGAACAGCTGGCCGGTGCTGTGGAACCGGGCCGTGTACGGGTGGCGGGCAATGGCATCGTGGATCGGGTGCACCTCCTCGAGCGAGGGCGCACCGTGTGGGAAAGCGAGGAGCTGGTACTGCTTGTCGCCCGAATACTTGAGCTCGCATACGAAATTCCAGCGCTCGACAAACAGGTGCGCCACATCGAGGGCCGCGGGACCGTGAAGAGAGATGTGAACGTCGTGCCAGGGCATCCGGCCGACACGCAGCGAGCTCTGCTGGTTCGACATAAAGTCGTCGACCTTTTGGAAGTCCTGCACACGCGCATTGTTGTAGTCCTGGCCAGGGAACAGCGTGCGTTCGAGCGTCTCGCGCGGGTGCACGTCCGAGAGCGGGTGCAGCTGCGTGTCCCAGCGGCCATAGCAGATGTCCAGCCCGCCGATGCAGGCCGTCGTGTTGTCGACGCAGACGACCTTGGAGTGGTGCGACCAAAAGTACGTCTGCTCGCCGCCGAGATGGTCGGGGTGGCGAAAGACCTGGATGTTGGGGTGCATCTGCTCGAGGTGGTGCTTGGTGTGGGCCGATGACATGGTCATTGTCTGCGTCACCTCTTTGTAGACGACGATGCGGATCTGGACGCCCTCCTTTGCCTTTTTCAGCAGCAGCCGGTCGAGGCGGTACTCTTCGTAGTGCGCCGGCGGCCGACGCAGGTACAGCTCGGGGCTGAGCCACCAGTCGAGAATGTAGATGCAGTCGCGCGCACCCTCGAGGATCTCGGACAGGGCCCAAAAGTAGTCGTGCCCGTCCGAGTACCACTTGGCCGCATTGCCGGAGCGGATGTTGGCAAAGGATCGGAAGCGGTGCGAGTCGCAGATGGCCTGGCGCATCGCATCCTGCTCCTTTTCGTGCGCCTCGTCGTGCCGGTGGTTCGGGTTCAGCGTCGTCTCGACCGACACCTTCATGCGCTTCATCGACGCCGCCAGCACGTGCGGGTCCATGTTCTTCTTGAGCGTGTCTCCGATGCCCATCTTGCCTCTGCTCGTTGCTGTGTGTGCCTGGTGTCAAGATAGCTTCTAGGAACACGGCGAGCGTATCTCCACACACACGCTCTCTCTTCTCTCTCTTCTGACTTTAGCTCGCTCGCGTGACGATTAGTCTAAGCGACGATTTGGATTTAGGGGCGCACGGACCTGGCTACAAACAAGTGAGACGAGAGACAACGCTAAAGAGATAGAGATTGACAAGAGTGACAAGTGGGAATTTTAACGGTACAGCCTGCCTCGCCCGGCTGCGCTCAGAAGCGCGAGACACCCTCGCTCTCCATCTTGGCAATCTTCTTGCGCTGCTGCTGGCTCGCGAGGCGCTTCATGCGGCCCAGGCCGTCCTCGGCGTTTGTCTTGATCCAGGAAAAGGTGCGGAAGGTCTTGATCTGCGCTGCGCCGCGCTCCTGCCGGTGCAGTGTCCTGCGCCGGGCCCGTCTGCTCTCGCGGTCCTCGCCCTCGCCGTACTCGTCGCCGTCGTCGTCTTCATCTTCATCTTCCTCGTCGTCGTATCCCTCTTCGCCATTCCTGTACTCTCCCTCCTCCCCTTCGTCGTCGAGGTTGTTGACACCAGCGGACGAGGGCGAGAGGATAGAAGGACCTCCCTGCGCCGGGTTGGTCGACAGAGACAGCTTCCTGCGGTGGGCCTTGCTGAGCGACTTGGGCTTGGCGCGCTGGCCCGAGTCAAGCTCGGCAAGAAAGGCCTCGTGGCTGAACCGCATCTCGTGGTCGCCCGCGGTGATGCTGCCGTGCTCGAGGGCGATGCCGGGGAAAAAGACGAGGGTGAGGTCGAGCCAGCCAATCTGCTTGAGCCGGTGCCCGTGTTGTTGCTGTTTGTGCTTCTTGCCTGTTGTTGCTCTCTGCTTCTGTTTCTGCTTGCTCCGCTGGCTGGCGCCACTGCTGCTCGCATACCCTCCCGTGCCCTCGTCTTCCTTGTCCGTTTCGCCGCCAGTCTCGTTGTTGTAGTCGTCGCCGCCATCGTCATCGTCGGGCGTCTCCTCGAGGCGGCGCAGCATCGCCTCGCGCGAGTCAAGGCGGCAGATCTCCTCGAGGATCGGCGCGCGTTTCGTGTCCTGGGCCGTCGTCGAGGCCAGCTGGTCGCGCGTGGTGATGCCCTTGAGGACGTCCTGCTCAAACTGCTGCCAGTTGTTGGTCTCGTACAGCGGGATCGCCTCGCGGCGCGTCAGCTGGCCATCGACGAGCTGGTTGAGCGGGATGACGGTGTGGGCGCGCTTGTGGTTGCGGCCCGGCACGCGCGAGTCGGCGCGGAGGTGGATGTAGAGCCAGTTGGGGTAGCGCTGGCGCACGGCGATGCGCACGGGCTCGCTCAGCGGCCAGGTGTAGCTCACCTCGTCCTGTCCTTCGTTGTTGTTGCTGCTGCTGCTGCTGCTATTATTCTTCATATTGCTGCTGCTGTTTTTGCGGCTATGAATGCTGCTGCGGCCGTCGTCTGCGCCGCCGCTGCCGTCGCCACCGTCGACGGACCCACGCACAAGCACGGGCTCGACGCTCGACGTCTCGGACCGGCCACCGACAGTCTCAAAGAGGACGTGGGCGGTGCGCTTGTCGGCCAGGCTGGCGTGGATGCCGCGTACACGGCAGGCAGCCACTTCCACGACGCCAATGTTCCAGCCCTTCATCGGCGGGGGCATGGTGACCTCGACGGAGCGCCAGAGGAGCGTGACCTTGATCTTGCCCCAGCCCAAGCCGCCGCTGAGCGTGTACCACTGCGTGCTGCGGCACGAGTGGCCAAGCACGCGGCGGAGCTCGGTGCCGACGACGCCGAGCACGGCGTCATTCTCGCGCTGGCGGGCGTCGCGTACGACAAAGTCGATGCGCGCCGTGGCAAAGTCGGCCACCCAGCGCTCGGAGCCGGCATTGATAAACGGCCGCGGGTTGAGCGTCTTTGTGCGCGTGCGAAACACGGGCTCGTCGTTGAGGAGCACCTGGACATAGGAGCTGGGCAGCCGCGTGGCACCGCCAGACGCGTCGCCACCACCACCGCCGCCGCCGCCGCCGCCGTCGTCGCCCGCGCCATCGCCACCGCCGGCATTGTCGGTGGCCGTGTTGTAGCGCGGCTTCTGGCCCAGGCGCTTGCTCGTCGAGAAGCTGCGCTGGTTGGTGGCGATGCCCAGGCCGTCGATGGCGTGGATGTGGAAGGCGAGGATGCCGCTGGGCCACTGGTCGTCGTGGGGGCCATACGTGGCGGCAGCCTCGCCCTCGATGAGCTTGACCAGCTTCGCCACGCGCTGCTTGCGCGCTCGCCGCTGCGCCAGCACCGCCGGGTCGAGGGGCAGGCCGAGCGAGGCGACGAAGCGGTCAAAGGGCGTGCGGACGTCGTCCAACTCCTCTTCTTCCTTTTTCGCCCTTGCCTGCTCGCTCTCTGTCTCCTTTGCCTGACTCTGTCCCTGACTCTGCTCCTGTCCCTGTTCTGTGGCCTGTCCCTGTCCCTGTCCCTGTGCCGGACCCTCTCCCTTGACCTGCTCGACTAGTTTCTCAGTCGGCTCAGCGGTCTTGCCAGCCGGCTCACCCGCGGCCCGGTCAGCGAGGTTCTCGGCCGTCTTCTGCGCCGCCCCGTCGCCGCCGCCCGCTGCCGCCGCAGCACGCTCAGCAGCGCGCTCGAGCAGCTGGACCTTGCTGGCGGTGCGTCCGCCGTGCTTGGGCCTTGAGAGGCGGAAGAAGCCGATGCTGTAGCTCAGCCGGCCCTGGCCGGGGTTACTGCTGCCTCGACGTACAGGCTCGAGCTTGTCGGTGCGCTGCTCGAGGAGCGAGGCAGCGCCCGGCTCGTGGGGCTCAGCCATGGCGCGATTGATGAGTGCGTCGAGAGAGACGTCGATCTTGCCGAGCGGGTCGTCGCGCGAGAAGCGGTCGGCATCGAACACGGTGAGCCGCAGCCGCTCGTGGTCCCGCACCTCGTCCTGCGACACGGGCAGGATGGCGAGCTCCTGCCAGATGGGGTCGCGCGTGCGCACGAGGACCCGCGTCGTAAACAGCGGCTTGCCCGCCTTGGCAAACGAGAGCGACACAAACGGGTCCGAGTAGCCGTTGGCGTCGGCTGCTGGCAGCTCGATGCCCTGGTGGATGACGCAGACCACCACGCCGAGCGCATACACGTTCTGGGGGCCCTCGCCTGCGCCGAGCAGACCGGCGACGTCGACGGTGTAGGCTTTGGGCATGATAAAGTGCTGCAGGACAGCCTCGACGGAGTGCAGCACGTAACTGGAGATGAGGGGCAGGTGCATGGCGTCGATGATCATGCGCCGTCCCAGGGGCCGCGCCGAGATCTCGAGGCGGGGTTTGCCGACAAATGTGAATGCGACGTGCTTGACAAAGGGTGCGACGGGCGTCAGCTGGAGCCGGAGCCGCATCTTGCCCTCGATCGACAGCATCTCGCACCACACTGGCACCTCGACGGCGGCAATCTTCTGGAGGCCAATGGCCATGTAGATGAGCAGGTGGATCTGGTCGACGGGCGTTTCCGACGATGCGCCTGCGCCTGTGTCCAGGTCTTCTCCTGCTCCTGCTGCTCCCTCATCGGCCACGCCAGGCTCCTTGTTTGTCTTGCCACGCCGGCGCCGGCGCCGGCGCGCGGGCGAACGGTAGGCAAAGGTGATCTCGAGGTTGACAAAGTCGCCGACGTCGTGCTCGACATCCTCGTCGCCCAGCCGCTCCTCGGGCGGGCGTCCCAGAAAGGCAGCCTCGGAGCGGTCGAGGAGCGCGAGCGACTGGACCTTGAGCGGGACCGTGCCCTGGTCCAGGTCCTCGACGCGGCACGAGTGGACGATGCCGGGGACCTGCTGCATGAGCGCGTCCTCGAGCAGGTCGACAAAGGGGACAAAGTACTGCTGCGTGATCAGCGGCCACACCGTGTCCAGCACGGCATTCATCCACTCGACTGTCTCGGCGCCGAGGTTGGTCTTGTTGGCTGACGACGACGACGACGACGACCACGGTGGGACGCCCTGCGGCCACGAGGGATGCTGGCGCGCGGCCCGCGTGAGCACCGAGCGCAGGACATGGGCCAGCACGAGGGCGAGGCCGAGGCCGACGAGCCAGTGGGCGAAACGGCAGACGACGACGACGGCGAGTGACGAGCCGAGGAAAAAAGCCGTGATCGTCGGCAGCTCGTCCATCAGCGCGTTGGAGTCCTCGTCGTGTGGTGACTGTGCCGCCGTCTCTGCCTGTGGCTGCTTCTGCTCCTGCGACGGCTTCAGTTCGCTCGACTGTCTCTTCTCCTGCCTCTTCTCCTGCCCCTTCTCCTGGGACGGCTTCTGCTCCCGTGACTGCCTCTTCTCCTGCGACGGCCGCTTCTTCTGTCCCTCCTCGGCCTGGGTCGTCGTCGCCACGGCCACGGCATCGTCCATGTCGTCGCCCTGCTCCGCGGCTCTGAGCCGCGAGACGAGGTCGTCTGACTGCTGCTGCGATGACGACGACGATGACGAGGCCGTCGCACCCTCCTTTGCTGGCAGAGGAGGTGGCTGCAGGCCCTGGCTGTGGCTGGGCTGCGAGGGCGCCGCCTCGTCGGGCGCCGCCTCTGACTTGCTGCTCTTGAGACGCGACATGGTCCGCGACAGGCTCGACTGGCGCGAGTGGCTCGTCCGCGTCGCTGCTGCCGCCTGATCCGCCATGCTCGCTGCTTGCCCGTCTCAGTCGCCAGAAGCTAAACAAGTTCGTCGATGGTGTTGGCACGGAGCGATTCGCACCCTCCCCTGGCGCCCATTGTATCGAACCACGCAGTCCGTGCTCGCACCGCTTTCGGGGCTTGCCAGGCAGGGAGGGACGCAATCGCGCAGGCAAAAATTCCAATTTCGCAGGTCGCGCAGCCCTGCACGGGCCTTCTTCTCTTTGTCCAACCGTGTCCCCGCACAGTAAGTCTTGTAGAAAGTCAAGGCCAAGCTAAAAAGTAAATCGAGCAGGATAGGCTAGTAAATCGAGCAGGGTTAGGCTAGGCTGGGCTAGGGTTAGGTTGGCCCTAGGCTGGGCTTGGGCTGACTAGGGCTTGGGCATATAGGCTAAAGTAGAAAGTAGCCCCTGCAGATCATCTCTTACTGGGCACGCCAGAGTACTAGTAGTACTGTACAGTGGCTGCCTGGTCGAGGTCACGCTACAACAACACCATTATCACTGTGCGATCATCCCCCGTATGGCTGGCGCCAACATCGATACAAGGTGAGCTGGGCGTCAGAGTACGTCGCTGCAGTAATTGGCTATGAGAGTGTGCAGAACTGACGCGCACACCAGCCTGACGCCTGCGTCGACGACGGAGGCCTCGTCGATGATGGAGGGGCCCTCGAGCCGCGCGTCGTCGCCCTCGCTGCCGCGCCGCATCCTCGACGGCAGCCTCGGCCGCCTGGCAGGCCGCCGCGTCGCAGAAGAGTCCGAGGCAGAGGGAGCAGGGGCAGGAGGCATGTGGACGGAGAGCGGGAGCTGGAGGAACAGCAGCAGCAGCGGCACCCGAAGACGACGGCGGAGGAGGAGGCGGCTGCGCGACGACGGCGACGACTACGACGACACGCGCCTCCACGACGAGATGAGCCTCGGCCTGGGCAACGGCGTCCGCGTCTGGTACGAGTCCTACACCACCATCGACTGGATCCACGACGCCATCAAGGAGAGCTCGCGCCTGCGCCGTCTCCGAGCCATGCGCGGCCTCCGCGGCCTTGCCGTGAATGCGTGGGACCGCTTCCAGGGTGGGTTGCTCAAGCACAGAAGTAAAAGAAGAGGAGAAGACTGACAGAGCATGCAGGCTGGCTCATCGTCACCATCACGGGCATCCTCACCGCCCTCATCGCCGGCTGGATCGTCAAGTCCGAGGCAGTCCTCTTCGATCTCAAGGAGGGCTACTGCCGCCGCGACTGGCGCCTCGCCAAGCGCTTCTGCTGCCCCTATGCCGACCAGCCGGACTGGGATCAGCGTGCGTCTTTGTCTTCAGTATCTCGAGCTGCCGCTCACGGCGGAGGACTGCTCTCTGCCTGGGCCGCCCCTTCGGCCGCGAGCTACCGGTGGAAGGAAAAGAGCACCTGCGCCGACTGGCAGACGTGGTCCGACCGCTGGGCAAACGACAGCTGGGCGGCAGAGTACGGCATGTACGTCGTCGTCGCCCTCGCCTGGGCCTCGCTCGCCTGCCTCCTCACCCTCTATCTCACCTCGTCGGAGCTGTATGCGCCCTCGCCGGCGCCCGCGGAGAGCGACTCCACCACTGCGCATGCATCGTCAGCGACAACTGCAGACGTGGCGAGCAACGGCAACGGCAACAGCAATGGCACAGGCACAGCCCCTTCGGAGACGACGCCGCTGCTGGGCCACACCGCACCGCTGCCGCCCAAGGTGCTCGCCCAGATGGCCGGCCAGCAGCGCGCGGCCGCAGCCCTGCCCCCACGCAAGGTCCTCTACTTTGGCAGCGGCAGCGGCATCAGCGAGATCAAGGTCATCCTCAGCGGCTTTGTCATCCACGGCTACCTCGGCTTCTGGACCCTCTTGACAAAGTCCGTCGGCCTCACCCTCTCTGTCGCCAGCGGCCTCTCGCTCGGCAAAGAGGGCCCCTTTGTCCACATTGCCTCGTGTGTGGGCAACATCGTCTGCCGCGCCTTCACAAAGTACGAGCGGAACGAGAGCAAGAAGCGCGAGATGCTGTCGTGCGCATGTGCAGCCGGTGTCGCCGTCGCCTTTGGTGCGCCCGTCGGCGGCGTCCTCTTCAGCCTCGAGGAGGTCTCCTACTACTTTCCCGCCAAGGTGGGTTGTCTCTCCTCTCTCTCTCTCTCTTCCTCCTTCACACTCACACGCATACACAGGTCATGTTCCGCTCCTTCTTCTGCGCCATGGTCGCCGCCGCCACGCTGCGCTTCCTCGACCCCTTTGGCACGGGCAAGATCGTGTTGTTTCAAGTCACCTACGACCGCGACTGGCACTGGCTCGAGCTCCTCTTCTTTGTCCTCGTCGGCCTCTTTGGCGGCCTCTACGGCGCCTACTTTACCAAGCTCAACATGCTCTGGAGCAAGCGCGTGCGTGCCAAGACGTGGATGGCCCGCCACCCGCTCTACGAGGTCGTTGCCGTGACCCTCGTCAGCGTCGCCCTCTCCTACCTCAACGACTACACGCGCATGTCTGGGCCCGAGCTCATCGCCGACCTGTTTGGCGAATGCCACGAGCACGAGTCGCTCGAGGGCCTATGCGTCTCGGCGCCCAGCCAGATCCGGCCCTTACTCGCCGCCGTGGCTTGGACGATGGTCGCCAAGGGCGCCCTCACCGTCGTCACCTTTGGCATCAAGCTTCCCGCCGGCATCTTTATCCCCACCCTGGCCGTGGGCGCCTGCTTTGGCCGTATTGTTGGCCTCGCCGTCCAGTACGTCCAGTGGACCCGGCCCCAGCTCGAGTTCTTTGCTTGGTGCCCTGCCGCCGACGAGCAGCAGCAGTCGTGCATCGTCCCCGGCGTGTATGCCATGGTGGGCGCAGCAGCTGCGCTCTCGGGCGTCACGCGCACCACTGTCTCGCTCGTCGTCATCATGTTTGAGCTCACCGGCACGCTCGCCTATGCCGTCCCCGTCATGCTCGCCGTCCTCGTCGCCCGGACGGTGGCCGACGCCCTCGAGCCAAAGGGCATCTACGACCTCGTCATCGAGTTCAGCGGCCTGCCTTACCTCGACGCCCGCGAGACGTTCACCTGGCAGGGCGTCTCGCTCGCCGACGTCGTCGACACGGCCATCGACGTCATCCGCGTCGACGTCGACAACTCCATCGACGATCTCGGCGCCAAGGTGCAGCGTCTCATTGCCGCGGGCCACGCCGACGGGGGCTTTCCCCTCGTCGTCGCCATGGCGCCACCTAAGCCGGCCGATAAGGCCAGCGTCTTCAGCGGCGATGACGCGGACAACGACGCTGACATCGATGGCGACGGCGATGGTGACGGCGACGAGAACAGGAATGCCAACGGCGAGCGGCTGCGGCCGCGGCGTGCGCCCAAGTGGCGCCTCGTCGGCTACATTGCCGCCCAGGAGCTCGAGCACGGCCTCCTGCGCCTCGCGACGCTCTCGCCCGACACGCGCCAGTGCACCTTCCGCGCCTTTTACGCCACCCACCGCAACGGCGGCCGCGGCTCGAGCCTCCTCGCCGCCTCGGCCGCCTCGCTCGCCCCCGCCGAGGGCGACCTGAGCGTGTACGTCGACCGTGCCCCCGTCACGGTCTCGCTCGCCAGCCCGCTGGAGCTGGTGCAGCAGATGTTTGTCAAGCTCGGCGTCAAATACCTCGTCGTCCTCCACGACGACGGCAGCATCAAGGGCGTCGTCTTCAAGAAGCGCTGGCTCGCCTTTCTCCATTCGCAGGCCTGATCATCTTCTAGCATACAGGCACAAGTTCCCATCTGCTCTCCAGAAGCAGGCCTGATCATCACACACATACAAGCCCTCATCTGCTCTGCTCTGCTCTGCATACTCTGACGACCACATCCTTATAATGGCATTAATGACATTGACGCACACGTCTTGCCGCGGCCTCGATCTGTGTGTGTGTGAATGAATGAATGCACTGCGCGATACGACGTGCAGCGAGCGCAGCCCATGCAGTAGCGCCCCCCTCGCGAATTTTTGTGGCTGTGGGCCTGGCGTGGCCGTAAGAATCTGGGCAGTCGTCCTAGCGGCCGCCGGGACAGGGGGAAGAGCGATCAGATATTGTATACGAGCCCGTTTAGTCGAAATGCGCGTCATCGTGCTTTGCCCAAAGCAATATTACTAGCAGCACTATATATTAGCAGTAGCAAGTAATAGCAGGAGTGGAGGGGCAGAGAAATATAACGGAATGGAACCCTGGATCCGGGCAGGGCGGTGTGCGTGTGCGCGCGCGCGGGCCTTTCTATCAGCCAGTGCAGTGCACGTTTGGTCACAGCCCCCCTCCCCCCTGTATATATGGATGGACCTGTCCGGATCGATGAAAAATTTCAGCCCTTTCCCTTTTCCACCAACAACCACTTGCGAGCTATCCACACCACAACCACACCCAGAGCCAAGTAGCTACTGCCCAAGATGCCTTTCACCTGCAGGTGAGTAACCCGCACATATAGTCTTTCCTCGCATCACAGTCGAGACGGATGGCTGACTGCGACGGCGCCACCACAGCGACATTGTCAAGATCTTCTTTGCCATCTTTGTGCCCCCCGTTGGTGTCTTCCTCGAGCGAGGCTGCGCGGCCGACTTGTGAGTCGGCTCTCCTTCTTCTCTTTCTTCTTCTTCAGCACCGGTGGCTCATCGTTCTATTCCACAGCTGGATCAACATCCTCTTGACCATCCTCGGCTACATCCCCGGTATCATCCACGCCCTCTACGTCATCCTCGTGAGTAGTCTCTTGTTTTTTTCCTGGCCACGGCAGCTTGCTCACACTGTCTGCCTCTCTCTCTTCAGAAATATTGAGCAATGGACGTGTAGACGGATCTGAGCCCGTTGTGAGAATATACGAGCACTCCAGCGCAGCCGCACCAGTACTTGTGAAGAATACCATGTGAAGCCCTCTGTTCTTTCTCTCCCTCCCTCTCTCTCTCTCTCGCTCTTAATCCTGTCCGATGCCATTCGATTCCCTCTTCTGTTTCTGTCTGCGTGTCTCTGTCTGCCTTTCACTTAAAGACGATGTCGTCTCGACTGTGCCTGGATTGGTTTGGCGGGCAGGCGTGCGTAAGTCTGTCGCCCCTCGCGTGGAGGTTGGTTGGATATTTTTCTGCGTCGCCTCCACTGGACTGGACTGGACAGTAAGTAGCGTGGCTGACCCCGCAGGACCGGCCTTAAGCGTCGTTTCGGTTGCCGGCGCCGACAGGAAGCCCATCGACTTCTTATCGAAGACCCTCCCATCACCGCAACAAAGCAACCATGTCGATTCCGTCGTCGTGCAAGGCGCTGCAGCTGGAAAAGGCGCCGCAAAGGGGCGAGCGTAACATCGCGGCCGTGCGCACCGTGCAAGTGCCTGCGTCGGACCCGGCCGGCTTTGTGCTGTTGCGAATGCATGCCGCTGGCTTCAACCGCCGCGACGAGTGGGGCATGCTGGGCCAGTACCCCGGCCTCATCTACCAGGACAGCACGTTTGGCTGCGACGGCGTCGGCACCATCGTCCGCGGAGGTTCGTCCAGCAAGACACTCAAGCTGCTCGTGCCCACGCGCGGCTGGGAGAGCGACGAGGCCGGGCCCGAGGCTGAGCTGCCGCAGAACCGGGGCACCAAGAACGCCCTCGGAGGAAAAGGTTTTGGTCTGCTGGGTTGCACGGGCCCCACGGGCGGCAAGGGCACGTTTGCCGAGTATGTGCAGATCGAGGAGCGCGAGCTCGTCGATGTGCCGGCGCACCTCGATGCCGTCCAGGCGGCCTGCCTGCCCTGCGGCGGCGTCACGGCCTACCGCGCCCTCTTTACCAAGGGCCGCGTCGGCGCGGGCCACAATGTGCTCATCACGGGCATCGGCGGCGGCGTTGCGCTGCTCGCGCTCCAGCTCGCCGTCGCTGCTGGCGCCTCCGTCTACGTCACGGGAGGCTCCCAGCAGAAGGTCGACCGCGCCGTCGAGCTGGGCGCGCGCGGCGGCGTCCTCTACAAGGACAAGAACTGGCCCGCAGACCTGGCCAAGCTCGTGCAGAAAACCAACAGCCAGCGGCCCTACCTCGACGCCGTCATCGACAGCGCAGGCGGCGAGGTGCCCGTGCAGGCGGCCAAGGCGGGCCTCAAGGCCGGCGGCCGCGTCGTCTGCTTTGGCATGACGGCCGTGCCCAAGATGACATTCACCATGCGCGAGGTCCTGCGCAACGTCGAGGTGCTCGGTGAGCAGCTGAATGCTAGGCTGGCTGTCGATGAAAGAGCTGACTTGAGAGAGAGAGGACACAGGCTCGACGATGGGAAGCGCACGCGAGTTCAGGGACATGGTCGCCTTTGTCGGAAAGCACAAGATCGTCCCCATCGTCGACACGGTCCTCGACGGCCTCGACGACGCCCACAAGGGCTTCGTGAGTTGCTCCTCGTCCTCCTTCTCACCAATCGAGGAGCCTAACAGCGCTTTCCCCCTCACAGCCACTGCTGCAGGACGCCGACAAGCGCAGCGGAGGCAAGGTCATTGTGCGCATCCAGCCCGACGGCGCTGCCAAGTCGAAGCTGTAGCTGGGACTCATAATGCTGCTCGTTGTCTTTCTCTAAATGAATGGATGGATTGCACACACTTTGTGAAGGTATCATTGCTATTCACACTGCCTGCTCGTCGCCGCTCTCTTCGACGTCGGTCCTCTCTGCATCTGTGCCTGCGCCTGCGTCGTCGGCGTCGGCGAGCGACGAGGGCGTGCCAAAGGCGCGCTTCAGGTGCGGGCCCACAAAGGTGCGGTAAGCGGCGCCGGCCTCGTGCAGGCTGCTCCACTGCTCCTGCGACAGGGCCGAGAAGCCGGCCTCGCGCTCGGCGACGCCCAGCGCAGCCACGTCCTTTGCCAGCACGAGCAGCAGCGGCGGCCGGTCGTTTGCTTGCCCGTGCAGCGGCACCACCACGAGGGGCCCCAGCTATGTGCATTCATCGTCAGCCACTGTCTTTCCATCTACTGGCCAGCACAGCCACGCCACACCACACCCACCTCGCTCTCGACCATGAGGGGCGCAACGCCATTCGGGAGCATCGTGCCCGGCACCGCCACGTCGAGGTCGACGCGCTCTTCTTCTTCTTCTTCGTCCTCGTCCTCGTCGCCAGCGCCATCGTCGCCGTTTTCGTTCTCGGCGCGGAGCCGGTGCACGCGCGCGACCTCCTCGAGCCACGCCTGCCGCGCGAGCGCACAGAGGACACGCACGCGCTCGTCCGGCCGCAGATCCAGGTCCATGGCGCGCGGCCCCTCGTCTCCCGCCTTTGTCGACGCAGACGCAGATGCAGGCGCAGAGGCAGGCGCAGGCACGGGCGACGGGGCAAGTGGTGCGCGCAGACCGGGCTTGCCGAAGCCGAGGAGCCCGCGCAGGCCAGGCTTGCGCACGTACTGCTGCTCCAACCCACTGAGCGGGCCCGACGCCCCCGGCTGCTGCTTCAGTGTCTGTGCCGGTGTGGCCGAGGTCGAGGCGGACGACGACGACGAGGCGTACAGCGAGCCGTCGTCGGTGAGCACGAGCGCCGCGAGGTCCGCCCGCATCGTCATCGGAGATGCAGACGAAGGCGAGAGCGCCGTGAGGGCCTCGAGCGACGCATGCAGCGACATCGGGCTCAGCATCATCTTGTCGAAACCAAATCCTGTTGCCCCTTCCTGTGTGTTGTCGATGCCTGTGAGATGCAAGTGTTTCGCCGTCTCCACTCTGAGATATCGATGTCTTCCAAGATTGAATTTTGGCACGTGAGCAGCTGGCGATTGGCTTCTTCCTCTTCTTCATCGTGTTTGCCATTCGTGTCTTCGATGCTAAGGGCAGTACCAAATTCCAAAAAAAAAAAAAAAGTCACGCATGCTATAGAGTGATGCAATCGCTGCCAGCATTTGGTACTCTTCTGGTTTGCCCCTGAGAAGCAAGCAGTGCATTTATTGACCAGTGGAGAGCAAGCATTTGATGAAGAGATAAGGGTTGGCATAGCACACGGTATTGTTTCTCAGTGACCCGCGGACGAGCCAAGTTTGCGCGTGACACGGTGATCATCGTGCTCGGTTCCATTGTCGTGCGCAGCCTCCTGTTCCTGCTCGTACCTGGCGGCGGCCTCTTCCTCCTGAGGATCTCTGCCCAGCGCGATCCTGCCTTCGTCCGAAGCCGGCTCGGCGGCGCCCTCCTCGAGAAGCCGGTCCTCGCGCTCCTGCTGCTGCGTCCGGCTGATGCTCTTCTGCACGATGCTGCCCAGGATGGCCACCGCCTGGAGACCAATGGCGAGGATGATGGCGGCCGTGATCTCGGGCGGCCTCCGCTCGCCCAGTCCACCGATTCCGCGCTTCGAGTCGCCATAGAGGAGGGCGAGATGGAGGTAAATGCCCGCGGCGGCCCAAGTGACGTCCATCGTGGCAAAGATCCAAATGGCGCTCAGGGCACCCATGCTGCACAGCACGGCAAAGCTGGGCCACAAGGCCTTGTGAAGGTTCTCGAAAGCAGCCTTTCCGCCCTCGGACACATCCCAGCCTAGGGCAACAAAGGTCTGCTGAGGAATATCGAGCTGGATGATCGTCACGAGGAACATCTTGATGGGGACATGGATGAAGAGCCAGTCGAGAGGACGCGAGAGCGAGGGTGGGTACCGGATCTGGAGCAGGAGCACCGTGATGAGGAGCAAGAGTCCGCACAGCGAAAGCAGCACAAGGCCGATGAGGTGCGAGACGGGCTTGTTGAGCACCCATGTGATTGCCCAGGCCGCCAGGAGCAAATTGGCAAATGCCAACCGCAGTCCGACGCCATTGACGATGGTGTGCTGTGTACGATCAAGAACAGTAAGAGCAAGGATCACAAGTCAGCTTGAGAATTGGAACAAATGGGGAAGCGTGATGACGCACCTTGGTGAAGTCCTTCTGGCTCAGGACAACAAGCAGAGCGAAGCCGACCTGGAGCAGGAACATGACCGCCCAGAAGAAGAGGACAAGCGATGCGTTGGGCGTCAGGTAGGTGCCATGCTCCTGCGAGACCTGACCCAGGCCCGGACTGATGGCGACTGCGCACACGGTCAAGGCTGCCAGATTGACGAGGATGCTGAGCGGCGTCAGCACCTGCACCTTTGTCATGTGCCCCTGATTCATCGTGGAAGAGGGTGCCTCTGTGGTGCGCTCAGGACTTGCTACGGGCTGGTAGATGTGGTCGGCAAAGGGGCGCGGATGGCTGTTGCTCGTCGTCGTCGCCGTCGTCGCCGTCGTCGCCGTCGTCATTCGTTGGGAAGAGAAGAAGGCGGGCGTCTAGGCTTCTGCAGCAGAAAAGCCAAATACCGTAAAATTTGTGGAGATGGAGAAACGTCATCACGCGTCAAGGAACGGAACCCTAGCCTGGCCTCGTGTTTGCGTCGTCTTAACGCTTGACCCCATGGAGATAGTAGTGGGTGGCTCTCCTCATTAACGAGGAGCAAATATAATGTCGAACAGTGAGCCAGCATTGATGCTTGTACAGCTTTTCTCGAGCTTTCTGTTCGATGAATTCTTCGTCAAATGCCACCATACCGTTCTCATTGCCAAGGTGTCACACGAAACCACGTGGCCTGACCTCAACCGGCGCCAAAAATTTTAAATTTTTGGTCGACGAGCGCGAACTTAGTTGATCAAGAACGAGAACACATCAACGCAGCAGATGGTGAGTCTGGCAGCACTGGGGGGCATTCCTTTCATCGCTGAAGCAGGAAGGCATGCAGGCTGTCGACGCGCGCTTCGACACGTCCAAGTGGGCCGAGGCGGGGCCATCGCGGCACAAAGCCGCCGCCGCCCCTCTTCCACCAGCAGATGCGGGCGCAGAAGCAGCCATGGACGAAGACGAGGATGAGGACGAGGACGGAGGTGAAGACGAAGATGGAGATGGTGGCGAAGACGAAGAGGGACTTGCCTCGCCACAGACGCAGAAGCGAAAGAGGGTGCTGGAGCCGGACGCGCTCGACGCCTTTGCCTCGAAGCAAGCCAAGCGCGGCATCGTCTACATCTCCTACATCCCACGCGGCATGACGGTGGCCAAGGTGCGCCACCTGCTCGGCCAGTTTGGCGACGTCGAGCGCATCTTTCTCCAGGACGGCGACGAGAAGCGGTCGGGCGTCAAGCGCAGCTCGCGTGGGTGTCTTGCAGAGTGGAGAGAGAGAGAGAGAGAGAGAGAGAGAGAGAGAGAGAGAGAGAGAGAGCCATAAGAGAAGAAGAGTACTTTGAGCTGACACAGAGGGCATCTCTCCAGGCGCCGGCGTGCACTACACCGAGGGCTGGGTCGAGTTCAGCAGCAAGCGGAGCGCAAAGGCCGTGGCCGAGATGCTGAATGCGCAGCCAATCGGCGCCGCCGCGGGCGCCAGTGCCGGCTCGCGGGGCAAGGGCAAGAGCAAGGTGGGCATGGGCGCACGGCGGTGGCGCGACAGCGTGTGGACGATGCGCTACCTGAGCGGCTTCAAGTGGGGCATGCTCTCGGAGCAGCTGGCCAACGAGCGCGCGGCACGCACTGCGCGCCTGCGCTCGCACCTCAGCCAGAGCCGCGCCGAGCAGCAGGACTACCTGCGCAAGGTCGAGCGCGCTCGCGTGGCGCGCGAAAAGGAGGCGAAGCAGAAGCGCCGCCGCGAGGGTGTGGCTCATGGCGCGGAGGAGATTAATGAAGCCAAGGGACCAGCAAGAGAGAGGACATTCAAGCAAAAGACGGCCGTCGTCAGGGATGTGCGCGAGATGGCTGTCCCAAAGCAGCAGAAGCAGCAGCAGCCATCAGGCGAGCTGCAGGGCGTGCTGTCCAAGATCTTTTGAACACTGCTACTCTACTCTATTGTACAATGTGAATGAATGCGTGGAATAAATGCTATCTACTCGTCGAGACAATACCAGCTACACGTCGAGGCAATGCCAGCTACAGATCGAGGCCCAGCTTGCGCATGCTGTCGCGCCAGTCGGCCTCCTTGCTCCACGCCTGCAGCCTTGCCTCCATGCGCCGCTTGGCCTGCTCGGCCTCGTCGTTGCTGCCGCCGTCGTCGTCGGGCATGCCATCGTCCTCGTCCAGCTCGAAGCGGGGCCCGTCGCCGACGACGTGGCTGATGCGCGCGGCGAGGCGCTTGATGACGTCGACCTCGCGCGGGCCCACGCGCAGGCCGAGACGGAACAGCTCGACCTCGCCGATGATGCGCCGCGCCGAGAGCGACGGCTGGTGGTCGCGGCGCACGTGCGTGGGCGCCAGCTGGTGTGCATGCACGCGCGACTGCTGCGAGACGCCGAGGATGAGCTCGAGGGCGCTGGTGCGGTGCTGGAGCGACGGGAGGGCATCGAGGGTGGTCAGTGCGCGCACGAGGCCCGCGTCGCAGGGTGCGTCGTCGCCGCGCAGCCGCGCCGCCTCGAGCAGCGCGCGGTCTGGCGTCGAGAGGAGCGCGCGCAGCGGCGCATCGCACGCCAGCCGGTACAGGTCCTGGTGCGGCAGCAGCTTGGGGTCGGCGGCACGGAGCGGGTCCATGAGCACGAGGGCGTCGGGCTCGGGCGGCATCGCCAGCGTGTCGAGGCCGCGCAGCCTCGGCGACGGCGGGCGAAACAGGCCGCGTCGCTGCGAGTCGGCAGCCGTGGCCGTTGCCAGTGCGCCATCGAAGAGGGGCCTGCCCAGGGGGTGCTCCCTTTCCTCTTCCTCGTGTCTCTCTTTCTTCTCTCGCTCCTGTTCCTCTTCCCCTTGCTCCTTTTCCTCCTGCTCCTTTTCCTTGTCCTGCTTGTCCTGCTCATTGTTGTTTTGGTCTTCCTTCTCGCTCTGCTCATGGTCCTGCTTTGCCTCCGTCACCTGCTCGCCACCACCGTCGGCCACGAGCACTGGGCGCCGGCGCGCCTGCTCGGCCGCCTGGCCCTCGCGCTGCTCCACGCCGCGCAGAAAGCCGTTGCGGACGAGGAAGCGAATGACCTGGGCGACGGCATCGACGTGCCGGTCGATCTCGCTGGACAGCAGCGCTCGCAGCAGGTGGCGTGGCTCAAACGGGTTGCGCGGCGCCTCGCGCGGCCGCTTCCGTGGCCGCTGCTGCTGCTGCTGCTGCTGCTGCTGCTGGGCGCGAAGTGGCGCCTCCCTGGGCGTGGGCTGTGCCAGCGACGGGTCCACCTTGGACGACACGGCGTCCTTGACTGGGTCCATGTCTGAGCCAGACGAGTCGTCGTCGTCGTCATCATCATCGGAGGACGACGACTCGGAGCTGCTCTCCTCATCCTCTGAGCTGCTCTCCTCGTCATCGTCCGACGCATCCTCGGCCGACTTGGCCCCCGCCGCCCGCTTCATCGTCGTCGTATCCTTGTTCTCCTGCCACTGCCCCCGCTGCCGCCGCTGCTGCTGCTGCAGCTCGCGCCGGCCCTCGTCGGCCCAGCTCTCTGCGATGCGGCGCCGGACGCGCTCGTCCGTCGGCCACCGCTTGCGCCGCTCGGCCGTCCACTTGCGCACGAGCTCGTCCGAGTCGAGCCGGATGCTCAGTCCCTCTATGCGCACGCCCTCCTCCTCGCCCTCTCCCTCCCTTACTTCGGGCCCCTCATTCTGGATAGCAGCAGCAGCTGTTGCAGGTGGACCAGGCCGGCGCGATGCGCGCGCCCGCTTGCGCCGCTCCTCGTCGAGCAGCGGGTCCATCCGGTCCAGCTCGGCCTTGCCGCCCGGCGGATAGACGAGGTGCCGGTCTGCGCGGTGGAATGTGAGCGCAAGCGCCGACGAGGTGCGCCACTGGCATGTCGGCGAGGAAGAAGGCGAGCCGGAGGAGGACGAGGCAAGGGCGTGGCCGCAGACGAGATGGCCTGTCTGGCCCGTCTCGGGCGCTGCACCTGCTCTGTTCGAGTGGCTGCTACTCCCACCGCCTCCTCCCCGTCCACGTCCACGCCCTCCTCGGCCACGCCCAGCCCCAGCCCCTGCTCCGGCCCCATCTCTCTCTCTGTAGCCGTACATTGTCTTGTAGAACTGGCTGCTCCACACGGAACGCAACAGCAGAGGAAATTTCAGAAAAGACGACCAAAAAAAGTTGGAATTTTTCGACGTGTGAAGCACGTGCCGTTCTCGTCTCAGATGGGTCTACACTACAACAGCATCACTCTCTCTCTCTCTCGCGCGCAAAGATGAGAGAAAGAAGAGGACAGGCGTCTACTTGAGGAACTTGCCCTGGTTGTACTTGAGCCCGTCAATCTCGCCCTCCCAGGCAAGAGCCTCCTCGAAGAACTTCTTGTCGTCGGCCTTGTTGAAGGGGTCCAGGGGCGTGACGGCGTAGCTCTCGAGGTCCGGCGCGACGCCGAGGACGACGTTGGGGTCGTCGCCGCGGAGGATGATGGCACCGGCAATCTTGCTGTTCTTGTCCACACCGTAGACACCGCCGGCACCCATGACGTACTTGCGCGACGCCTCGAGGCGGTCAAAGAAGCCGCCAATCTGGTTGGCCGACATAAAGACCATGTTGAGCTCCTCGTTGTACTTGAAGTCGAAGCGCCAGATGGACCAGCCCTGCTTGTCAAAGTTCTCGTAGAACCACTTGAGGAAGTCGGGCGTGTCCCAGTTCGAGTAGTTGCGCTTGGCCTCGTCGATGATGAACGGGCTGGCGGGCAGTGACGCGCAGGGGTGCTTGGGCGCCGGCGCCGGCTTGGGCGTGTCATCGTCGTCGTCGTCGTTGTCCTTCTTCTTGTCGGCCTTCTTGGCAGCGGCAGGAGCAGCAGCAGCGGCGGCACCGGCAGCGGCAGCCGGGGCAGCAGCAGCAGCCTTGGGCTCCTTCTTTGGCGGCACAAACTTGGCGTTCTCGGCGAGCAGGTCGCCGTTGCCCGCGTAGACGTCGAGCACGGTGGGCTGGTTGATGACGGTGTTGTAGTACCGGCTCACGTTGGGGTACTTGTCGCGCACCTCCTGGCCAGCGACACGCAGGTAGGCAAATTGGAGGTCCGACGCGACAGTGAGGTCGGCGAGGGTGATGCGGTGGCCGACGAGGAACGTCTGCTTCTTGAGGTGCGCCTCGAGGTAGGCCAGGCTGGCGTGGAACCTGTCCCACGCCTTCTGCTCGGCCTGTGGAATCAGATCATCCAGTGGGTCAGCTGAAGCTCAAATGCGAGGAAACTAGTGGGCGGCTCTGCACGCACCACCTTGTTGTAGGGGAGCCGGTTCCAGTAGAACTGGAGGAGGGCCGAGACGGGGTTGAAGAGCTCCTCGTCACCAAACGAGATCCACTGCTCGACCTCGGCCTCGCTGTTCTTGTCCGTGCCCAGCAGCTTGGCATTGTCCGACAGGCCAGCGACTGTGGAGACGACACTCTTCTGTCAGCGATCCATTCTCCTCATCAAAAGAATTCGCAAGAGAAGAAGGGGAATCAGGGCATTATGCTGAGAAATATCTCGACACACATAGTCTTAAGACAGGGATAAACTGATCGGCGCAGGCACAAGGCCCACACCGACAATCGCATCATGTGGACGAAGGCGCAAGCAAGCACTCACCGTAGCGAGCGATGGAGCGGGCCTCGATGAGCTTGAGGCCGTCGGTGCCCTCAAAGCCCGGGATCCGGCCCAGGGGGAACTTGGAGGTGTACTCGGGCTTCAGGTTGTCGCCGTCCATGACAGAGCACTTTGAGACCTCGAGCTCGACGCCGTTGATCTTGGCCGCGGCCAGCGACTGTTAGAAAGAGGGACCACCACGTCAGCGCCTTTCCTCTCCCGCTTCCGTCACAATGACTGGGTATCGCTGCGCAGGGCTACTCACCCTGCTGACTTTAGGGTGCGCCTTGTAGCCGTAGATCTTTCCAATGACCGCCATTGTGTGGTTATGTGGTAGTGTGTCCTAGTCTCGTCTGGGTTCTGAGAGTGCAGAAGAGCCGATGGAAAGGAGAAGAAACCGCCGCCGTCTCTCGCTAAAAGCTAACTTTTTTCTCTTTCTCCCTTGGGAAAAAGAAAGCTCGAAAAAATCCCTCTTCGTTTGCCACGAAGAATTGACACGTGGGCTGAGAGATCTGGACGCGCCTCTCTCTCTGTGGAGTGGGAGGAATTGATTGATTGAATGCTACAGAATGAAGAATGATGGAAAGATGCTGCGATGAATTACACAATGTCTAGGTCAGAGCCGGAGTTATTAGAGTCAGAGTCCAGACCCAGGTCCGAGCCGAGGTCGGAGAGGTCCTCGTCGAGCTGGTGGGAAGGGGCTGCGCGGGGCGGTGCGCGCACGTTGGGCCGTGCCTTTGCCACTCTCGCATGCAGCTTGGGTGCCGGCAGCGAGCCGGGTGCCGCGGCGTGCCTGGCCAGGAGCTGGTGGGGCGGGATCAATCAGTCGCATGTCTCAGGACTGGTGCAGGAAAAAAGACTTACCCTGCTCGAGGCGCCGGAAGGGTGTGCAGATGGCGCACTCGATGGAGTCCTTCGTTGCTGTGAGGGGGTAATAGCAGACTGAAAGGGGTCGAAGCCGATCTTCTTGATCGTCTCTGCACCGTACGCAAATGTGCGCTTCTTGGATGCGGCCACACCGTCCTGCGTGGGCGGTGGGCAGCTGCTGTCGCCGCCACTGACGAGGTGCTGGGCATCGAGGAGGGCCTTGCCGCCGACGCTGTTGGCCCGGTGCTGGTCCTCGAGGCCGACGTCGGACAGGTCGAGCCGGGGCCGTTTGCGAGCAGTAGTCGGCGCCAGCGAAGACGTCAGCTGGTCCAGCTGCTGCTCGCGCTTGCGGGTCGCCTCCCTGCGCTGGCGATCTCGGCCGAAGCTGCCGGCGACGTCGAATGCGCTGCTCCTAGGGTCTCTCGCCGAGGGCAACGGTCCACGGTGGTGCGAGACAAACGTGGCCGTCCTGCCGCCACCGTTCAGCCCCAGGCCGTCGGAGAGACCAAACAGGCCGTTGCTGCTGCCGTTGCGCGCGGCGGGCCGGAAGCTCGTCGAGGCGCTGCTGGCCAGCTCCTGGCGGCCGTTCTTTGTGCGCTCGAGGGCATTGGCAACGTGGAAGGCGCAGGCGTGTGCGCCCGTGCGGCGGTCCACGAAGCGGGCGCAGCGCGTGCCATCCTGCTTGATCGCCTCGCACTCGCCGTGGTCGGCCGCGTAGCCGACGACGACGAGGCTGCTGGCGGCGGTGGGATTGAGGCACATGAGCCGGCTGCCATCGCCATCGTCTCCGTATGCTGCTGCTCTTGCCCTTGCTCCTGCTCCTGCTGATGATGCCCCTGCTGCTGCTGCTGAATAGCGATCGCGCCCACCCCGGCGCACCTTTGGGTTGAGCAGGCACAGCACCGCGCCCGGCTGCTCGATCTGGAGCCGCTCAAAGGCGCCCCCGCTGCCGCCCGAGTAGTGCCGCTTGCCGTCGGCGTCGCGCCACGTGCGCTCGGCCTCAAAGACGGTCATCAGCAGCTCCGCGTCGCCGCGCGCCGAGTCGGTGCCAGTGGCCAGATCGACGAGCTTGGCCGTCATGTAACGACGCTGCCTCGGTGGTGCTTCCTCCCTATGCTCTCGCTCGTGCTCGCTGCTGTCTGGCCGGGAGGTGTCGCGCGTCTCGCGCAGCGGGCCCTTTTCGGCGAGGACACAGATGGTGAGCCAGTCGCCGTCGACGGGCACGTCAAAGTCGCCGTCGCGCGTGCCCGGCGTGCAGACCGAGTAGAGCAGTGGCGGTGGGAGCAGAAAGCGGCCGTCGACGAAGCCGAGGAGCGTCTCGTGGGGCACGAGCCGTCGCCGCAGCCGCGTCCGCGACAGGGGCTCGAAGCGCTCCCAGTCGCGGTCCCATTCTGGTGCCTCGTCCAGCGAGCCGGGGCCTGGCTCGAGGCGGTGCAGCACGCGCATCCGCTCATCGCGGTCCTGCTCCTGCTCCTGCTCCTGCTCCTGCTCGTGTCCGTGCCTCCCTGGCAGAAGCACGCTGGGCCGCACACTGGGCCGCGCCTCGAGGTCGTCATTTGTCCTTGGTCGAGCAGCAGCGCTCGTCTCGGCCTGCCTGGCCTGGGCCCGGGCACGCGCATGGCCCCGCTGGATCTTCGACGAGCGCGCGAGAAAGGCCGACTGGGCGCGCTTCTGCGCCGGCAGCGCCTCCTGCAGCGCGCGCACGCCGGCCTTTGCCTCGTGCGCGAGCCGCGAGGGCCCCACGATGGTGCTGCACGCCTTGACCTGCGCCTGCCGTGGGGGGCTCGAGGGGGCGAGCACGCCCCTGCTGCTGCTGCTCGGTGCCATCTGTTGCAGCTCTTCTGGAGGAACAATACACACGCTGCTTCTAACGAGCTTTATTTCTGTTTGTGCGCGACTATTACTCAGACGCGTCGTGATGACGGATGCTGACAAGTTGCGCTTACATAAGATGCTTCCCTCATCGTGTGAGCAAATTTCTGGAGAAACAAGAAAAAAAAAATGTGGAAGACGAAAAAATCAAACGCAAGAGAAGCTCGAGGCCGGGAGTGGAAAGCTCTACTACCACCACCAATACAAGAAGACTACTCGGCCTCGGGATGCTGTCACGGATCAGCATTGCCAGGGGAGCGGCGTCTGCGGCGGCGCGGCGGCGGGCGATGGCTGCGCGCGCAGCGTCGTCGTCGTCGTCGTGGGCGCTCCAGCAGACGGCTGCGGTTCGGTCAGCCGCGGCAGCGACGGCGGCAGCAGCTGCGACGGCGCCTGGGACGGCCGAAACGAGTGGGAGCGCAATGGGCCGCTACCAGCCGCTGGGATTGGGCGCAAGTAGCAGTCATAGCGGGAGCAGCAGCAGCAGGCGGACAATGCTGCCGACGCCACTGCCCGAGCACGTCGTCGACTCGCACGCGGATGCGCTCCGGCGTGCGGCAAACGGCAAGCGCACGAGGACGCGGAGCAGCAGCCAGGGCCAGCTGAGCTTTGGCGAGTTGAGCGGGGCGACGCTGCACGCCCTCGACGACGAGCACGCCATCTTCCCGCCGAGCAAGTCGCTCGAGAGCATCTCGATTCTGCGCGCGTGCATCAGCACCGGCATGGTCGGCCGCGCCAACAAGATCTTCAGCGACGTGCGTGCCGAGGCCTCGTACCGTGCCGCACAGGCGAGCTACTCTGCCGCTGCTTCAGCCACTCCTTCATCTTCCTCGTCGTCTGCTGCACGATCACCGTCGCCGCTCGACGTCGAGACGTACAACGCCATGCTGGCCATGTACCTCTCCCAGGCCTGGCGCGAGGACAGCGCTGCGAACCGGTCGCTGTGGGTCGAGCGCAGCTGGGACCTGTTTGCGCACATGGAGAGCGGCGTCGACGGCGAGGGCAACATCAATGCCGACCCATCGCCCAACGAGGCGACGATTGCCGTGCTGGCCAAGGGCGTCGTGCGCATGCTGCGCACCAACCGCTACCCCTCGCGGCACAACTCGCTCGCCTACCTGCTCGCGAGCGTGCGCCGCCTCGGCCTCGATCTCCACGACGTCGTCCTGAACCCTTACATGACACGGTCCGACGACGATGCTGCTTCTGGTGGCCTCGACCACCTCGTCGTCACCCGGCGTGGCACTGGCCGCGAGATGGAGCCCGACGCCCGCACCGTACTCCAGTATCTCGTCGCCGCCGCTGCCGACGCGGCCGACGTTGCAGCCTCGGCCGAGCTCGACCGCGCCGCACGGACCCTCGACGCCGCGGCGCAGCAGACGGCCAGCGACGAGGCAGGCCATGCCATGGGCGAGCAGCAGCAGGCACAGGGCACGGCTGAGCAGCAGCAGCAGCTCACGCCGCTGCGGCCCGTCCAGGCACGCTCGCGCAAGACAGGCGAGGAAGAGGTGCCGTTCAACCTGCAGCTGCTCCAGGAGAACCTCAACGTGGTGCACGAGGCACGGGCCACGTTCAGCGACCCGTACGAGCGCCAGAAGTGGCTCGAGGAGAGCGCACTGGAGGCGGCCAAGAAGCGCCTCGCCTTCAATGCGTCGAACCTCGAGGAGCTGGGCCTGCACAATGCGGGCAAGCTGCAGTCGCGCCAGCTGCAGGAGTGGATGTGGGCCTGGTTCAAGCGACTCGAGACGCGGCTGCAGGACGACCTCGAGGCAATTCGGGCGCGCGAGGCTCAGCGCACCTCGTATGGCAGCCGCGGCACCCCGCTCGAGGTCGAGGTCCTGCCCTTTCTCCAGCTCGTCGAGCCGAGCAAGATGGCACTCACCGTGATTCTCGTGCTGATGCGCATGATGGGCACCGGCGGCGTCGCCCACGGCATCAAGACGACGCGCGCCCTCATCAGCGTCGGCCGAGCCATCGAGCAGGAGTACCACGTCGGCCTCACACGCAGCCACCCCGAGATTTTCACCAACGCCAAGGCAGCCCACGAGGTGCTGCGCAAGCGCGGCCTGCTCGACCACGAGGCGCGCCGCAACCTGCGCCAGTGGCAGCGCGACCAGGCGGCCGCCGGTGGCGTGGGCGGCACCGGCCATGAGGCCGCTGCGCAGTGGTCCCAGTCCACCCGCGCCAAGGTCGGCAGCTACCTGGTCCAGCACCTCATGGCTGCTGCCACGGTAGTCCGCCGGGGACAGGACCGCGACGGCGTGCAGTGGGTCGAGGACCAGCCGGCATTCTACTCGGCGTACCAGTACGTGCAGGGCAAGAAGCTGGGTGTCATCCGGGCCAACGACGTCGTGGCCAAGCGCCTCGACCGCGAGTCGCTCGGCGAGACGTTCCATGCGCGCCACCTGCCCATGCTCGTACCCCCACGCCTCTGGCTCAGCCACGATTCGGGCGGCTACCTGTCGATGAAGACGTCTGCGATGCGCTACAAGGACTCGGCCGAGCAGGGCTCCTATCTCCGCGAGGCGTCTGACAACCACCACCTCGAGACGGTGCTGGCGGGGCTCGACGTGCTGGGCTCCACGCCCTGGGTCGTCAACGGCAAGGTGCTCGACGTCATGACGCGCGTGTGGAATGCCGGCACCGATGTGGCGGACATGCCCCCGCTGGAGCCGGCATCCAAGGAGCCCGAGCGGCCCGCCGACTACGAGACGGACCTCAAGGCGCGGGCCACTTACTTGGGCCGGCTCAAGCACCACCACCAGGAGCGGGCGAACAACCACTCGCAGCGGTGCGACGTCAACTACAAGCTTGAGATTGCGCGTGCCTTTGCCGGCGAGCGCTTCTACTTCCCCCACAACATGGACTTCCGCGGGCGCGCCTACCCGATCCCCCCGCACCTCAACCACATGGGCAACGACCTCTGCCGTGGGCTGCTGCTGTTTGCCGACGCCAAGCCGCTGGGCCGCTCGGGCCTGCGCTGGCTCCGCATCCACCTCGCCAACGTCTATGGGTACGACAAGGCGAGCTTCGCCGAGCGCGAGCAGTTTGCCATCGACCACGAGGCCGACGTGCGCGCCGCTGTGGCCGACCCGCTCGCCGAGTCTGGTTCAGGTCGCTGGTGGCTCGCGGCCGACGATCCCTGGCAGTGCCTCGCCACGTGCTTTGAGCTCGTCGCTGCCCTCGACCACCCCGAGGGCCCCGAGGCGTACGAGTCGCAGCTGCCCGTGCACCAGGACGGCACGTGCAATGGCCTGCAGCACTACGCCGCGCTCGGCGGCGACCTGGCGGGCGCCAAGCAGGTCAATCTCAGCCAGGGCGAGCGGCCGTCGGATGTGTACACGGGCGTGGCTGACCTCGTGATTGAGCAGCTGGCGCGCGATGCGGCTGGCCAGAGTACCGTGGTTGACAACAGCGACGACAAGGGCGGCAGCGACGAGGGCAGCAGCGACAAGAGTAAGAGCAACGGGCAAGGGAGTGGTGAAGCACAGCGCCTCGCGCGCATCCTCGAGGGCAAGGTCACGCGCAAGGTCGTCAAGCAGACGGTCATGACGACCGTCTACGGCGTCACGTTCATCGGCGCCAAGAACCAGGTGCAGCGCCAGCTGGCGGACCGGGGCGACATTGCGCACGAGGATCTGTGGCAGGCCGCCTCGTACCTGGCCAAGGTCATTATGAACTGCATCGGCGACCTCTTTACGGGCGCCGAGCTGATCCAGCACTGGCTGCATGAGAGCGCCTTTCTGATCGCCAAGAGCATCCCGCCTGCGCGCATACAGGCCATGGACGGCCTCGCTGCTGCCGCTGCTGGTGGCAGTAGCGCTGGAGACAGCGACGCTGCTCGTTTGACGGCGACGACAAAGGCGCGCGCGCTCGACGAGGCCAGCAAGCGCGAGCAGATGACGTCGGTCATCTGGACCACGCCCCTCGACCTGCCCGTCGTGCAGCCGTACCGCAAGGTGACGCGGCGCCAGGTCATGACGGCCATGCGCACCGTCTTTCTCCACGACCCGCAGACGAACACGCAGGTGTCGCCGCCGAAGCAGGCGAGCGCCTTTCCGCCCAATTTCATCCACAGCCTCGATGCGACGCACATGATGCTTACCGCGCTCGAGTGCCGCCACATCGACCTGACGTTTGCCGCCGTGCACGACAGCTACTGGACGCACGCGTGCGACATTGACACGATGAGCGAGCTGATCCGCGACACGTTTGTGCGCCTGCACAGCCGCAATCTGCTCGGCGAGCTGCGCGACGAGTTCCTGGACCGCTACCGTGGGTTCCGCGTGCCGCGCGAGGCGGCCGACAAGCTGCGAGCGCGCCGCGAGCAGCGCGCCGCCAAGCGTGGGCTGGCCTCGGCGGGCGAGATGGAGCGCCAGGCGCGCCTCCTCGATTTGGACAACGATGGCGAGGAAGCCAACAGCGAGGAAGTCACAGGCGACGCCGAGGAGATTGGCGGCGACGACGAGGTCCACGGCAGCAGCGGCGAGGACATCAGCATCGACGACGGCGAAGTCAGCGTCGCGGGCGAGCAGGGAGAGGAAGTCGCAACGACGACAGCAGCAACAAAGACAAAGGGGAGGAGCAAGGCAAGGGGACGCCGCTCGCGCCAGGACCGCAGCGGGCTGCCCTACTACGTCGACCTCGGCGAGGCCCTGCCGCCGATCCCGACCAAGGGCTCCTTTGACGTAAAGGAGACGCGCAACAGCCTCTACTTTTTCTCGTAGATGTCTCTCCTTCATAGACGTTTTTCACACACCATCACCATTCCTCATTCATCCATTCATCCACTCATCCATCAGTAATTCCAATGTGCAATGTGACCATTTTTCAATTCCATCTTGTCAGACTTCTGACTTCTGAAAAAGTGAGACGGGGCGGTCGCGTGGAGGGAGAGAAGAAGAGCAACACTAGATCGACTCTTCTCAAAATAGACGCGTCCCTGTCGTCTGTCTTACAGCCGGTGCCTTTTCTTCCTTGTGTAGAACGACAAGACTGGGAACAAGAGGGGGAGAGGACATGGCAACGACGGCGCAGCTCGTGCTGGACCGCACCGCTGCGGCGCGGCTGGCGCAGGACGGCGGGGCGCGCGAGCGGGCTGCGCTCGATGCCCTCGTCGACGCGGTCCTGTATCCTGCTGCTTCGACGTCGGCGCATGCCCATCCCAGCGCTGGCAAGAGAGGCCATGGACAGGGACAGGGGCAGACACACAGAACAGGCGCCATGAGCACGGCTGAACGCGTTCGGGCGCTGCGATCCGGTGTGCGATCAGGCGCAGCAGCGAGGCACGGAGAGACAGACAACGAGGAGGGAGGCGCACTGCGGTGCGATGCGACGGGCACGCTCAGCTGGCGCACCGGCGGACAGCGCCTCGTGTGGACGCGCGGTGGGCAGGACGAGGTCGTGCGCCTGTTTGACTTTTCCCAGGCGGCCGCTGCCACTGCCGCTGCCACTGCGACAGATCGGCCGAGGGGCATCATCGTTGACGCCGCGTGGGTGTGGATCGACGTTGGGCCGACGTGGGACGAGCAGCTGCCAACTGCGATGACCAGCTCGGTGGAGAGAAGAGAAGGAGACAGGCCAACAGCAGCATCGGACGAAGTCACGTCGGCGCTCCAGAAGCTCTTTCGCGCCTCAGCCTCCCCTGCGCCCGCACCGGCGACAAAGACGAAGCGAATGGGGGCGAGAGCGCCAGCAAGAGCACGAGCACGGGCACTGTGCATCCTCGTCGGCAGCACGCTGCTGCTGCACCTGCCGCAGTCGGGCCAGGAGCACATGCGCAAGCTCGACTTTCGCCCTGCGCGCCTCTTTGCCCTTGGTGGTGAGGGCGAGGGCGAGGGCGAGAGTGGCAGTGGGAGCAGCGGCGATGGCAGGAGTGACGCCGGCTTCTTTGTCCAGCGCGAGGCCGAGGCCGAAGACCGCGTCGAGCGATGGCGTGGCTCGGCAGGCGACGAGACAATGGCAGACGACGACGACGAAGAAGCAGGCCCGCTCTCGACGCTCTTCTACCTGCGCAGGCCCTTTGACGACTTCAAGCCCGTCGATGTCGTGAGCGCCCTCTGCGATGGCGACGATGTCGAAGGCGTGCGCAGACGAGCGGTGGGCCGACCGGTGCCGTTCAACCGCATCGAGGAGCGCGTCATCTTTGTCGCCCCCGACAGCCGCACCCCGCTCCTCGTCGCTCTCGATGCGCGCAGGAGGGTGGTGGTCATCTATGCATACATGCACGGCCGTGCGCCTATTCTCTTGGAGGAGGAGGGGGAGGAAGAGCAGCAAGTGGGCATGGAGAAGAAGGCGATGGTGGCAAGCAAGAGGAGGCCGCCTTCGATGGTGGTCCAGCAGCAGCAGCAGCGCAGACGAAGCTCGCGCCTGCTCGAGTCTGCCGGTGCTGGGGCTTCCGCGGGCGAGGACATGGGCGTGCGACGCCGCAGCGCCCGCTTCTCGTCGCTGCCCATGCAGCAGCAGCAGCAGCAGTACGCCACCACGACGCCGCGCCATCCCTCCTCATCGTCGTCGTCGTCGTCAGCAGCAGCAGCCACGGCGACGGTGCAACGAGCTCACCACCACCACCGACCGCCTGCACAGACGCCGGCGCGGGCGCTGCTGGGCGATGCCGACGAGGCGCGCCGCCGCGATGGCGACTCGGCCGAGGTGCGCGACGCCGACATGGAGGAGATGCTCAACGTCTTTGAGGAGCTCGATGCACGCAGCGGCAGCCCGCGGCGCAGTGGCACCCCGCGGCCGCGCGCCTCGTCGCACATGGCTGCCGTCGCCAGCAGCAGCGACGGTGCGGCCGCATCAGACGCCGTCGCCTCGTCGTCCTTTGCTGCTGCTACTGGTGCGGCACCGGCTACGGTGACGCGGCGACGAGCGAGCGTCATGGCGCGCCTCGCCTCCAACTCATCGAGCGGTCCGGCCATGCGCAGGCAGGCCCGTCCCTCTGGCGTAGCTGGTCCTCGTGATGATGACTTGGATGCGCCATCGCAGCAGCAGCACCAGCACCAGAGACGCACCAGCAGCCGCCGATCGGCAGTCGCTGGCTCGGGACAGGCTGTCGTCGCACCAGCAGCAGCAGCAGTAGTAGCAGCACCAGCAGCAAGTGGCCAAGAAGGACCGGGCCTCGAGTGTTTTGGCCGCTTCGCCCAGGGCTTTGCCTACCTGGCGCCCCTGGCAGAGATTGCGCTTGACGAAGGCGAGGGAGACGACGAGGGCGATGTCGAGGCTTTCACCAGCCGCGATGGTGCCGTGCTGTACGTCCATCGGCGGCGCAGGGGTGTGCTGCTGCGCAGGTGGGTGCGCCGCGATGCGCTTGGCCAACTGACCCTCGTCGAAGAGCACGACGACGAGAGGGAAAGCCACGGAAGCGAAATGCGAGGCGTGGCGCGCGCCGTGCCAGTGGGTTCGCGCGCGAGAAAGGACCTGCTGTTCATCGCCGACGACGGTGCCGGCGCACTGCGGCTGCGGCTGGGTCCAGGCGTCGAGCTGGACATCGAGGTGGAGCGTGCCGTCGCCATCGACTGGCGCACGGCCACGCTGACGAGCACGTGGGCCGGCGACGACGACGGCCTCGAGCTTGTGCGCATCCACCACGGTCAGGCGCGGTCAGTCGCTGAGCTACAGCTGCAGCTCGAGCCGCGGTGCCGGCTCAGCAGGCTTGTTCTTGATGCCTGCCTCGTCGCCGCTGCCTCGCCGTCGGCGGGTGCCAGGCTGCGCCGGGCGTGGTTCGTCGCCCGGCGCAGCACGGCGCCTGCCGCGCGCACGCGGAGCGACTGGGACATAGTCGTCGACGTTGTGCTGGGCCGCGATGCTGTCGATGCCGACCACGGTCGACGGCACAACGACGCGCCGCTGCTCGTGCTCCTCGAGACGCTCGCCCAGGACGCGCGCCTGGACACGGTGGCGATGCACGACGACGTGCCCCGGCTCGCGCGCCTCATCACGCGCCTCGCCCAGCGCAGCCACTGGGCCCACGTCGTCGACTACTGGGCCCGCCTGGTGCCCGGCTGCTGGCTCGCCTGTGCTCGTGTCGAGCACACCGCCGAGGCCGACTACGAGCCCGTGGGCGACATCTACCGCGACGCGCAGCAGCTCGTCGAGGGGCGGCGCGTGCCGCTGCCTGGCACACGCGACGCGCGCATACAGAGTCTTATCCCCCGGACGGTGCGCCTCTTTCGCGTCCTGGCTGCGTTTGCAATCAACACGGCCGAGACTGAGATGGAAGGCGACACGCAGATGGAGACGGGGATGCAGCCGATCAGAGGAGAAGAGAAAGCAAGGACAGACCAGAAAAGGACAGACGGGAAAGAGGAGCGCGACCGGCGCGTCGTCGACGCCATGCTCGATGCTGGCCTCGACGCGCCGGGCGAGATGGACCGACTGCCCCGGCGGATCGCTGCGCCCCTGCTCGGCGCCATGGCCCGCTGCCGCACCGCTGGTCCTGCGCGCTGGACGAGCCGGGCGTATGCGTTTGTGGGTCGCGCCGACCTCGCACGCCAGATGGACCCGGACCAGGTGCCCGTCGGCCCGCGCCTCGAGCCCGTTCACAGCAGCAGCAGCGACGGGGCATTTTCACAGCAGCAGCAGCAGCAGCCACTCCAGCTGGACGCCGTCTGCGGCATGATCTTTGGCGCCGACGCACGGCTGCGCGACGTGGGCGAGATGCTGCAGAGCGGGCGGGCCGTCACCGTCGCCAGCCCGGCCACCGAGGGCGTGTCCGAGGACCGGGCGGGGGAGATGCAGCGTGCGCTCCTGCTCACCGTCACGGAGCGCATCAAGGCCACGCCGCTCGGCCGCAGCCTGCTCACCGTCGCCTCGCGGCCCTACCAGCCCTGGCTGCGCTTCCCCACGGAGCGCGTGTGCATGGCTGTGCGCATGCTGGGCAACGTCGTTGTCAGCCACCGCGAGCCCGACGCCGAGAGCGCCGAGATGGAGTGGCCCGAGTTTCATGCCGGCGTCGCCAGCGGCCTCTCGCTCTGCCTCGAGCGGGGCGACACCGTCGAGAGCGGCTGGATCTTCAGCAACTCGTCGATGGCAAATGCGGCAGGAGGACCAGCATCATCAGCAGCAGCAGCAGCAGTCCCAGCACCAGCACAGCCAGCGATGACGGCCAGGCACGCCGGTTTCGTCCTCGGCCTCGGCCTGCTCGGCCACCTGCGCCACCTCGGCCGCATCCACGCCTTTCGCTACCTCAAGGAGCGCCACGGCCCGACGTCGATTGCGCTACTCGTCGGCCTCGGCGCCTCGTTTCTCGGCACGCGCGACCTCGTCGCACGCACGCTGCTCTCCATGCACCTCCAGGTCGCCCTCCCGCGCGAGGCGGTGCCGCTGCGCACGACGATGCTCACCCAGGCCGCCGCGCTTGTGGGTATGGGTCTGCTGCATGCGGCCACCGACGACGCCTGGGCTGCGCGCACCGCGCTCAGGGCCCTCGCTGCGCGCCGCGTCACGACCGACGACAGCCAGATGGTCGCGCGCGAGTGCTACTGCCTCTGCGCCGCCTTTTCACTGGGCCTCACCCTGCTTGCGTCAGCCAGGCGGTCTGCTTCCAAGACGACGACGACGACGGAGCTGGAGCGCGACGTCGTGGCCCAGCTCGAGGCACTCATGACGCGCCGCCGCAGCCCCGCCTCGGACGATGGCGATGAAGACGACGACGGCTCAGACGACGGCGGCGGCGAGACTGCTTCAGCACTGTCCGCGGAAGAAGAGGAAGAAGACGACGAGTCACAGGCGACGGGCTCGTCGGCAGCCGGCGACGCCCACGGCCGGGCCGAGCGCGAGGGCCCCTTTGACTGGCGGCCCGATGCCTCCATCACCGAGGTGCCCGCCCTCGTCGCCCTCGCCCTCGTCTTTCTCCGCAGCGGCCGGCGCGACGTGGCCGACAAGATTGCGATGCCGCGTGCCTCGCGCGACCTTGATGCTATCCGGCCTGACGTCGTCCTCGCCCGCGTCCTCGCCCGCAGCCTCATCCTCCTCGACGACGTGGCGCCCACCCAGGCCTGGCTCGACGCCTGCGTGCCTGCCTTTCTCCGCGACGCACGTCGCGCCACGGCGCCCCAGTCGCACCAGCTCGCCCTGTACAACATCCTCGGCGGCGCCGCCTTTGCGCTCGCGCTCAAGTATGCCGGCTCGGCCTATCCACAAGCCGTCGCCACCCTCGAGGCGAACCGGGCCATGCTCGCGCGCCTCGTCGACGAGGCCACTGTCAGCAGCACCGACAGCGGCGACTACTTTGCCCGCATCCGGCTCCAGACGCTGAGCACCGTCTGCGACGTCGTCACAAACGGCCTCTGCCTCGTCCTCGCCGGCCGCGGCTCCGTCGACGTGCTCAAGGTGCTGCGCCGGAACCTGTATCGGAGTGCGGCTGCTGCTCCTCCTCCAGGCCAGGGCTACGGCAGCTTCAGCGCGACGACGCAGGCGCTCGGCACCCTCTTTCTCGGTGGCGGCCGCCTGACCTTTGCTGCGTCCGACCTCGGCCTCGCGGGCCTGCTCATCGCCTACTTTCCGCGCTACCCCACGGGCACGGGCGCCGGTGCAAGCGCAGGTGCAGGTGCCAGTGCCGACCAGCGCGCCTACCTCCAGGCCTGCCGCCACCTCTGGGTGCTCGCCGTCGAGCCGCGCCTGCTCGTTGTGCGCGATGTCGACGACGGCCGCATCCTCAATGGCGTTGCTGTGCGCATCACCACGCGTGGCAGGAATCCAGGGCAGGGCGCGCACCAGCTTGAGCAAGAGAAGGAGCGCGTCTGCACGACGCCGTGCCTGCTCCCGGACCTCGCCGACGTCGCCTCGCTCGAGGTCGTCGATCCCGCGGGACGCTTCTGGAGCAACCGCGTCGTTCTTGACGGCGCCGGTGCGAGCGAGGCGGCGCGTGCGCTCGTCTGGACGCGCACGCTCTATGTCCAGCGTCGCCCGTCGCAGCGCCACAAGGACGATGATGGAGCAGGGCAGGGCCAGGTTGAGGGCGCAGGAGGGGCACGCATCAGCAAGCGGCGCGAAGCCACGCCTGCTGAACGGGAACGGCTGCGCGCCTATGCGCTCTCGATCGGGCAGGCGCCGGCGCATTCATCGTTGTCGTCGCCGCCGCCGCCGTGCGAAATGACGCGCGCACTGGCGGCCAGCCTCGCGCGCTTCGGCGTGCCACCCTACGGTGTGCTCTGCCAGCTGCGCATGCTCGTCGAGCGCGAGCGCGAGCACGAGCGCGAGACGGGCGCGGCGACGAGGGTGCAGCTCCGGCTCATGGCACGCCTCGCGGTGCGCGCCTTGTCGGGCCAGCAGGACGACGTCGATGGCGATATCCTCGATCTCTTTGTAGATGCCTGGTCCCCCACTGTACAGTAGTCCACACCACATACACCGCAATCACACACTGGTCAGCATATTTCATGACACACTGGTCAGCATACTTCATGGCACACTGGGCAGCTTACTCATAACACACTGGTCAGCATAGTTCACAACACACTGGGCAGCACAATTCATAACACACTGGGCAGCACAAATCATAACACACTGGTCAGCAAATTGGACAGCAATGGCAATGGGATTGGTAAGAGCAGTGTGGGTGGACAGGGAGCAGCAGCCTAGTTGGTCACGCGCCAGTCCATGCGTCGCGCCCGCTTCTCGCTCCGCTTGCGCGCCTCGGCGGGCATCGTCGGGCCCATCCCTGGCCGCGGGCTCGCCGTGGTCCAGGGAAAGAGCATGGGCGACGACTCGAAGCCGGCGCCCGACGAGATGCGCGGCGTGACGAAGCGCTGCGCGACGTTTGTCGTCAGGTCCTCCTCCTTGTCCTTCTCAGCGTCGTTGTCTTCATCGTCGCCGTCGTCGTCACCGTCGACGAGCTGGCCGGGCGAGTCGGCCGCACCGGCTGGCGAGCGGCGGACCGACTGGACAAAGATGGCGTGCATCGCCTCGGCCTCGTCGGGGCTCCAGTGGGGCTCCATCGCCGCGTTGCGGTACCGCTCGCCGGGCGACGAGAGGCGGGCGCGCCGGAGCGCGTCGCGCGGAGACACCGTCGCAGCACCGCCTGCGTCGCCGTTGGACGAGGGCGAGAGGCCGGCGAGGCGTGGCGGCGACGACGACGCCGACAGGTTCGCGTTGAGATTTGCCAGCGAGGGGCGGTGCATGGCGCCGAGGTAGGGGTAGCTGAAGTGCGACGCGCCATCCTCGCCGTCGAGGTCGACGTCGCCCGCGTCCGAGGACGAAGCGATGGAGCGCGCACCAACACCACCGCCAAGATGCGCGCGCGGTGGGGCAGCGACAAACCCGCCGCCGACTGTGCGGCCAATGTCGAGATAGGCGCGCCGGTCCTGGTCGTCGAGGAGCGAGTCGATGAACGAGTCGGGGAGCGCGCGGCCCTGCCTCGAGGCAGAGGCGGGCGCATCGGCAGCGACAGTGGCCCGGCGCATGCTCAGTCTGGTCCGCGGCGGCGCATTGCGCACGACGTGGAAGCCGCGCGTCGTCGCACCCGTCGGCGAGCTGTACCTGTCCTCGGGCTCGTCGTTGTTGCGGGACGAGGTCCAGAGCATGCTCGCGCGCCGCTTGATGCCAGCAGCGAACCCGCCGCCAGCACCGGCACCGGGATCGTTGAGCTGGAGCGCAGAGAGCGGCCTCGAGGCCCACTTTTCGCCATCGACGGTGTCGAAATCGTGCGCCTCATCCTCGGCCTGGGCGCGCTTGGCCGCCTGGCGGCGCTTGTGGAACGCATACATGCCTCCGACGGCGGCCGCGAGGGCAGTGGCGCCCAGGACGGAGCCAAGTACAGCGGCAGTGCGCTGCTTGCTCGTCACCGCCGGCTGGTCTGCCGCCGCCGCAGGAGAGTCTGCGGGTGAGGGGGACGGCGTCGAGGCGGGCTGCTTCGTGGGCTCGTTCGATGGCGACGCCTTGGCCTTGCTGTTGCTGTTGGTGTCCTGGTCCTTGTCGCCGTCGTCGGCGCTCTTGTTGTCACTGTCGTTGTCGCTGTCGTCGTTGGAGCTGCTATCACTATCGTCGCTGGTCTTGTCCTGGTTGTCGGTGCTGGAAGACGCAGGGCGCTGGCTGGCAGAGGAGGGAGAGGAGGCCGGCGCAGGAGACTGGGCGGCGGGGGCAGGAGAGGAGGAGTCACTGGCCTCGTCGCCGCCCTGAGCCTGCGTCGATGCACTCTGCTGCTGCTGCTGCTGGCCATCCGAGGAGCTGACCGGCTGCATGGGCCCCGCCGACGAGGACGAGGAAGACGACGGATCGACGCGAGCAGCGACGACGCCGTCGACGCTGCTGCTCCACATCCAGCCATCGGGGTGGCCCGTGTCGAGGAAGCTGACCTGGCCGCTGTCGCCCGAGGAGAACTGCCCCGCAGACGAGGAAGAGGACGAAGAAGAGGACGAAGAAGAAGGGGAGCCCTGTCCGAAGCCAAAGATGACGACGTCGCCAGCAACAACGGCCGAGTGGTAGGCCTTGGCGGGCGAGGCGCCACCCTGCATCTTTGTCCAGCGTGCCGGCCTCGCCGAGGAGTCGAGCGTGTACACGTCCGTCGTCGGGTTCGCGCCCGACGACAGGGAGGTGTAACCGCCGTGGATGATGATCTTGCCGTCGCGCGTGGCTGCCGACGCCATGCCGATCCGGCCCGCGGGCACCTGCCCCGCCGAGGCATCGAGGGTGGACCAGACGCCCGAGGACAGATCGAGGGTCCAGAGGCTGTTCATGGGCGCCAGGTTGTTGGTGGCATCGAGGCCGCCGAGGAGCACGAGCCGGGAGCCGTTGTTGGCGGTGGGGAGCACGACGCTGGAGTAGTCTGCGAGCGAGATGTTGGCCTCGGTCATCGACGTGGGCAGGGCGAGCGAGCGGGCGCCCGTGAGTGTCGGCTGCTGGGGCACCGTCCACATCCACGACTTCCACCAGTTCATCGAGCCCGTCGCCGGCTTGCGGTCCTCGACCGTGAGGATGTCGATGCCCGTGTAGATGGCGCCCTGGTCCTTGCACGTCGTCGAGGCGCCGCCCACGACCATGATGCCTGCGCCGCCTGCATCGCGCTGGCTCGTCGCATTGAGGCCCAGGCCCGGCGAGACGGACACGGCCCGGGCGCCCATCCGCGTCGCAGCGGGTGCATCGGCGCTGGAGCCGCCGACCTTGATCCACGTCGCGTTGCGCCACGAGCTGCCAGCCATCGTGGGCGCCCACACAAAGCTCGCCGGCGAGTCGTACGTCTCGGAGCTCGAGCAGTCGTTGCGCTGGCCGCCGATGATGTACAGCCGCTCGTCGCTGCCGTCATCGCCACCAACGACGGTGCTGGCCGCAAAGGCGTGCGGCTCGAGCCCGTCCGAGTCGAGCTTGGTCCACTTGCTCGATGAGTTGGCGGCGAGGTCCATCGCATAGACGTCGTTTGTCAGGCCTCCGTCGGTGGCAGAGCGGCCACCGACAAAGACGACGACGTTGGAGCTGGCGAGGTAGGCGGCCGTCTGGCCCCAGCGCGCCGTGGGCTCCTGGTCGCCGTCTGCCTGCCGCGCACTCAGATGCCCACCATCATGCCGAGGCTGCACACGCTGCTGGCTGCGCTGCTCGATCGCGAGGCCATCTCCACCACGAGCGAGGAGGAAGGGCTGCGCCGGCACAGCAAGTGCTCCCACTCCTCCGGCTCCTCCGCCCTGCTGTCCGACGAGGAGCGCGGCGGCGACGACGTAGAGGAGCGAGCCTGCACGGGCCATCTTGAATGCGCTCCACGACCAAGCGGCGGCTGCCGCCGTGGCCGCTGCGGCGCGCCCACGACTGTCGTTCGAATACCCGCGAGCAGCTTCTGGGCCCGCCTGGCCCGCGTCGGCCGCATCCCGTGGCTGCTGCTGGCACCCACCGTCATGGGGTCTGTGGTGAAGCTGGTGCTGGTGCCGGTGCTGCTGCTCTTGTTGCTGCTGCTGCCGCGTCTGTGTGTCCATCGCATCGCCAGAGGCTCTCGGCAGGGAACGCTGCACGATGCTGGTCGGGATGGTTGGAACAGAGAACCTCACAGAGGTTCTGGTGTTTGTAGAGTCGCGAGAAGGGCTTCGCTCGCCAGGAGCGAAGCAGAGAAGGGAAAGAAAAAAAAAGGGGGGAAACAAGAAGAAGGAAGAGAATGAGCACAGCTCAGGGAAAGGGGGGACGAAGCAATGGTGATGGTGATGAAGAAGCAGTGCGAAAAGGGCATACAATTAATGGAGTAGTAGTGGCAGCAGCAGCAGCAGCAGCAGCAGCAGCAGCGACAAGCGGTAGATTCGAGAATCAACTTCCATTGCGGTTGTTTGACACCCTGTCTGATGGACCATGTCAGAAAAAGAAGGCGTCCCTGTGTTTCTTGGCGCGTCGTGCCTTTTTATTTTATTTTATTTTTCCGAGGGAGTCGATGGGCGTCACCAGTCCATGCGCACGGCTTCTACGCGCTGTTGCTCTTGGGCCGCCGCCTCGTCCGGCTCCTCGGGCAGGAGGAAGCCATCGAGCTGCTGCCGCATGGCCCGCCGGTCAACCTTGACGAGCGCGTCCCGCTTGCCACGGCGCACAGAGCCGTTGGTCGATGAATGCAGCGCCTCTTGGTCTCCGTTCCCTTGGCCCTGAACTCCCTCTTGTTCGTTTTCCCCTTGCTGTTTGATATCCAGCGAGGCGAGCTGCTCCGTGAGCGGGCCTGCTTGTTTGCTCGCTGCGATGCGGTCGGCGACGAACATGGGCAAGTCAATGTTGGCTGCCTCGCCCTGCACGTCGTCGCCGAGGTCGAGGATGAGGCTGCAGCCGTAGCAGAGGTGTGACTCGAGGTCTTCTTCTTCTCCTTCTCCATGAACTTGCATGTTGTCATCCGCTTCCAGAGCTGGTTCTTCTGAAAGAGCAGTAGCAGGAGTCACTGTCAGTCCACGCCTCCACGCCTGCAGACCGCGCTGGCGGGGCATGCCGCACAGCGCGCACCCGCCCACGGGCGAGAGCGACGCGGACCACTGGGGCAAGGACCGGGCCAGGCTCAGGAGCCGGTTCGAAGACCCCCGGAGGCCGATCTGCGCGCCCATCTCGACCGACTCCTCCTCGAGGGCCGAGATGGCTCGTGTCTTGGTGCGCAGTGCGACGGCGGGGCCCACGTGCTCAAAGGCACTGCCGCCACCAACAACATCGCTGGCCTGGTTGACGATGCGCTGGTAGTGCGTCTGCTGCTGGCCCTCGGCCTCGTAGCCGTGCGTGGCCTCGTCGTCGGCAAAGACGAGCTTGGACGTCGTCTTGTTGACCGTCGTCACCGTGCTCGGCACGTTGCGCTCCAGCAGGTGGATCAGCGACTCGGTCAGCCGCGCGATGCTGGCCTTGTCGCCGTTTGCGCCTTCGAGCCCCGCGACCGTCGTCGGGCTCCGCTGGAGCAGCTCGCTGGCGATGGCGTCGCTCGGCGCGAGGCAGTCGTCGTCGAGGCCGGCCGCGCGCGCATAGAAGGCCACCTCCTTGGCCACGAGGTCGCGCATCGGCCGCAGCACCGCCACGCCGTTCCACCGCACGTTGGCCTCCTCGAGCGGCAGCTTGTGGCCGCGGCCCTTGGCGACGGCCTCGACGGTGCGGATCGCCATCCGCGTGGCGTTTTCGGCCGTCATGAGCGCAGACGCGCCCCGCCGCTGCGCCTCGCGCCGGAGCAGGTGGCCGACGAGGAGCTCGCGCATGTCTTCGGCCCGCGTGCGCGCATTGGACAGTGCGCCTCGAGGCGTCGTGTCTGGCCGCAGTGTCGCAAAGAGGCGTCTCGTCAGGGCTGCTGCGCCCGCGTCCTGCGCGCCACCCTGCATTCTGATCCTCCGTCGTCTCTCTCGCGTTGACGATGCCGACGAGGACGCCACCAGCGTTGACCGCGCAAAACGTGCGTCTTCGAAGGTATCCTCGATCCTGAGGCCGACAAAGCTCAGCCCCGCCTCCTCGCCGCCCTCGGCCTCGACCATGGCCCTGACGCGCGCCGTCCGATCGCTTGCGCCGGGCACCAGCAGGCTGTCGTCCACGTGGACGACGACGATCCTGCCCACCTCTCTCGGCTTGCGCGAGCGCGGGTCACGGTCGGGCAGCAGTGCCATTCTCGCCAGTCGCAGGAGGGCCCTGCTGTTGACGCCACCGCTGCAGCCCAGCACCACTTCGGCCTCGGCCCCGGCCTCGGCTCCGGCCTCCTCTCTACCCGCGCTCCATGCCTCCCAGCGTGCCAAGAGTGCTGCACCGCGGACGACCTCGAGCGCCATCCTCGACTTCATCTCGACGCTGCGCCGCAGGCAGCCAGCGCAAAAGGCCGCCGTCTGGATCAGGATCTGCGCCCGCTCTGCGCGGCATCGTCCACATGTCCGGCCCAGCTTCCGCTGTCGCTCTTTCCGGTCTACGGGCTCCAGCGGTGGCTGCTGCAGTGTAACCTCGGCCCTTGCTGATGACGACGACGCCGACGTAGACGATGACGAGGGGCCGAGGCGCGAAAAGGAGCTCGTAGCTTCTTCGAGTCGGTGCGTTGACATCGTCGTCCTGGCTTGTTGGTGATGTCGATTCAGACCCTTTTTCTCTTTCGAAGCACCTGGAGAAGAAAAAAAAAACAACCAGAAATCAAAAAAACTGACAGCTTCGAATCTCCCGAATTCCGAGACGCACTGCTTGCTTGCTCGCCCGTCGCTCGACAGATGACGGCGAAGCCAATTTCTCAGTAGAAAAACGACAGGCTTGCTCGCCATTGTTGAAACTCACCTACTCACCCTCCTACTACAGAGGGTGGCAGGGCTCTTGATCCTTCATCGTCTGGCCCGCAGTCGCTCTTTCCTCCCGCTCAGTCCGTCAGGCTAATAGAGGCAGCCCTTCGACTCATGTCGACTGCACGGACAGGCATCTTGGTACACAAGTGAATAGTGACATGTCTCTCTTCAAATCACACGGACGGAAAATCGAGCTACGGATGAACAGCCCTCGAAGACAGACCAGCTTCTTCGTCAGGGGAGAGATAAGCATGTAAGAACTTATAAGGAGGAGGGTAAGGAAGCAAGGTCAGGAGAAAAGTATCTGGCCTTTATCCTTGCCTTTAGAATGGACGAGTTGGGCTAGCCGAGAAGATGTCCAGGGATACCCGTCTGAGCCCCACCACCCGGCTGGGATTCTGACGAGGTGGGTTTGGGAATTTGTCCAGAGTTGTCGTGAGGATCTGGCGTATTCAGAAGGTACTGCAGACCCTCTAGTTCGCGGACAAATTCGTGATCATGAACGAGCGGCGCGAAGGGATTGAAAAGACCTGGGCGTAACGAAGATTGAGCAAGCGGCGAATCAGTGGATAAAGGATGAGAGTGTGGATGGTGAAGAGGCGAATGGTGTTGAAGCGGAGAATAGATGGGCTGGGGGTGGTAAGGAACATCATCTGTCGCAGTCTGGGTCTGGGCCTGGGCCGGCGTAGAGCTGTGTGTGGTGCTATGATCTTTGCTGGAAGAGGTCTCTACTTGGACACGTCTTCGCTTTCTGGGAACGAAATGAAGAGCGGCGTCCTTGAGTACTTGATCGAAAGCTGGGTGACGTTGACGGGCTCGATCTGCAACTTTCTTCAATGCCACTGACCCATCCGCGAAGGCTTCACCAAGCCGCATCGTGTCTTTGTCTTTCCATTGAAGCAATGGGTCTTTTCCTTTTTGGGTCGTCGATGTCGATGGCATGTCCACCAGTCTCTGTAGCTTCCTTTTTAAGGATGCACGTGTGGAACCGTCCTTGCGTACCTTTTGCTGCTGCGGAGTACCTCCCCCTGTGGCTAGCGGCGGACCGCGTCTGTTTTGGATATACTTGGCAACCTTTTCTGCCTGCGTATTATGCAGAGTAGTCTGCTGTATACTCGGGTGCAGCTGCGCAAGGTATTCCTGTCCTGAGCTCCCCAATCTGTCCATTAATTCGAAGCTCAATCCAAACGGATTAGGTTGGCCTATGCGCGCAGCGAACGTTCTGCGATCTTTGAAGATCTGCTCGGCTAATTTTCTCTGCTCTTCTTCTATACCTGTGCGAGGGCTAGGACCTCGTGCACCGTGACCAATGACGTCCTCGAGATGTGATTGTTGTGCTGAGGAATTCTCAGTAAGGTCATTTTGTTGAACACCGTGTCCTCTGTGCTTTTCTTTTACTCTGAACCTTTTCAACTTGTCAGGCTTGCCGTTGAAGACCGGGACTGCAAGCTGGGCCAGCTCTATGAGATTCTTGATGTCAATGACTGATGGGTGACCTTCACTCTCTAGGCTCTTCAGCCTGGCAACGTCTGTGTTTGTCCAAGCGACGGAAAACGTTTCTACTTTTTCCTTTGGCCGTTGGCTTAACGCCCATCTGACTGCAGGTATGCTCCGAATGAGGTGGAGTTTGCGACGGACAAGGCGTGCTTTAGCACCCATCAGCGCGCTCTCCTTCTTTTCGGTGGGCTGTTCGGCCCCGTGGGAAGTGCTCCCCTGACCATCTTGGTTCTTCGTAGTGCCTTCAATCGCGTTCATGACGTCTGAATGGCCTTCATCTGCTCCCCCCTCTTTCAAAGCTGACAACGGCTTACAGAGGGTGTGCGAGGCATCTGGCGACGTCGCAGGCGTCGCCGTGTACTCGTCTCCATAACACTCCTGGCCTGCAGGAGTGCTTGCATGTAAGGCTTTACTCGCTGGCGACAGTCTTGTGGCGGTGACTCGTCCTGCGAGCTGGAGGACCAGCAAGGTCAGAGAGAGGAAAGGGAGTTTCATGGAGGATGTGAGCGGAGAAGTAGTGGTGCGCGTTGGAGGCAGAGAAGAGGAAAAAACAAAGAGACAGAAACCAGGTGCAGTGCTCATATATCAATGCGAGAGAACAGTAACTGAGGTGCCGTGGCGCTGTAGACCTCGTCCCTTTCCTTTTACCCTGCGCCCTAAAATCGCAAGGTGCGCGTATTATCGGGGCAAAAGACACACACACACACACCTGTCGGAGACGAGCTATGAAGGGCTGTGTGAGCCTCTTTCGTTTCGATTTATTGTTCATACAGTACTGTACGCCATTAGCTAGAAAGGCCCCGTGAACATTTCTCATAGCAGTTTGCCTCTTCAGTCTACAAGAGCGCGAGCTACGAACGCTCAAATTCTCGAAGACGAAGCGCGAAGCGCGCTGGTTGCGGAAACGCAGATGAGAATTGAGAAAAAAAGACAGGAAAGATACAAGAAAGTCTTTTTGGGTACACACTGAATGTTGGCGGCCATCCTTGCCTTCAATATGGGCGTACTGAAGCTTGAACTAGAAATGATCAAAAACCATCCTTTGGAAGCTTATTATCCAAACCGGGAGGTGGCGAGGCAGTGGGGGGAGCATCCTCTGGCGGGGCAGAAGGGGGAGCATGCTCTGGCATACTCAGCAGGAACTTCAGACCGTCTAGGTTCTTGTCATATTCGCGATCATGAACGAGTGGCGTGAATGGGTCGAAAGGTAGGCTGAAAGAAGGTCGAGCAGGTGGTGAGTCAGTGGGCAGAGGATGAGTGTGTAGATCGTGAAAAGGCGAAGGGTGAAGAGGCGAAGGGGAAGACGGCTGTGCGTGTAAAGGAAGAGCATCTGTCGCAATCTGGGCCGGCGTAGAGCTGTGCGTGGTACGTGGCTTCTTGCTGGTCGAGGTCTCTCCTTCGACGTGTTTTCTCTTTTTGGTAACGAAACGAGCAGCAGGCTCCTGGGCTTCTTGATCGAGAACTGAGCTACGATGATTGGTCCGATCCGCGTAAGTTTCCAAGCTCTCTACTCCACTACCATTGAGGTTGTTGTCTAGCCGCGTCGTGTCTTCTGCTGACTGACGAGGCGGTCTGCCTCTCCTTTTAGGGGTCAATGGCACGTTGATCTGTTTCAACAGCTTTTTATTTAAAGTTGTTTGCATGGTACGCTTGGAATGGTCCCTGCGATTCTGTTGCTGCTCCGGAGTACCTTTCCCGGTGGCTAGCGGAGGACCGAGGATCTTTCGAGCAGACTTGGCAATCTGTTCCTTGCGCGTCTCCTTTCGTTCATTACCGTGCAGCCTCGCAAGGTGTTCCTGTCCTAAGTCCCCCAAAGCGACCATTTCGGCTGAACTCAATCCGAACGGGTTACATGTATGTGGGCGCGCAGCGATCGCGATACGTTCCTTGAAGATCTGTTCAGCCAAACTTTTCTGCTCTTCTTCTGTCATTGGTGGGTAGCTCGAATCTCCAGCAACAGTGCTAGCAATTGCTCCTACTCTGAACCTTTTCTTATTGTTTGGCTTGCCGTCGAAGTCCGGGACCGCAGATTTGGCTAGCTTAAAGTGTTTTTCGACTCTTTCGACTCCGGGGAACCCAGCTTTCTTTAGGTTTTTTAATGCCACTACATCATTGTCTGTCCATGTGACGGGTTTAATCTCGTCTTCCGTTTTTTCCCGTTGCTCAAATGTCTTATCCCTTTCAGGTATGCACCGGATGAAGCTGAGTTTGCGGCGGAGACGGAACGCTTTATCAGCCATCGGCGAGCTCTTCTTCCGTTTGTTGAGCGCTTTGGCCGCGTGGGAAGTGCTCCCCTGACCATCTGAATTCTTCGTAGTGCCTTCTAGTATGTTCATGACGTCTTGATGACCTTTGTTTGCTCCAAACTCGTCCAGAGCTGACGACGGTCCACAGTGCATATTCGAGGCATCTGACGAGGTCGCAGAGGTCGCCAAGTGCTTGCCCCGATAGCATTCCTGGCCTGCAGGGATGCTTGTATGGAGATTTTCAGTCGCTGACGACAATTTTGTGGCCGAGACTCGTCCCGCGAGCTCGAGTACCAGCAAGGTCAAAGAGAGAAAAGGAACTTTCATAGCGACGTGAAGAGGAAAATGGGTGCGTGTGTGATGCAGCAAGAAGAAAAGATCGGGAGAGGGGCAGTGCTCTTATATGAATGCACGAGAACAATAGCTGAGGTGAGGCAGTGTTGAAGGAGATAGAGAAAGCAGTCAGCCCCGTTTGCAGCCCCAAAACCACAAATGGGGCGTGTATGATCGGGGCGCGTATGATCGGGGCGCATATGTATCGGGGCTGGAGACCCGTACCCACACCTGTTGAACATGAGCATGGAGGACCGTCTGGGCCTTCTTCGCCTCGCCTCATTGTATGCCAGTAGTTAGACAAGCCAAGTGCACATTCTTCATGACAGTCTATCGCTTCAGTCTACTTGAACAGAACAGCGAGCTATGGATGCTCAATTCTCGAAGATGAACCGGGATAGCTGGGGAGGCGCACCTAGGATAAAAAAAAGCGATAGGGAAGAAGTCAAAACTCATGTTGGGAAATTACTGAATCTTTGAGGGCCACTCTTGCCCTCAAAGTGGGCGTACGAAGCTTTAGCTTGGACTAGAGATGTCTAAGCAGCATCCCTTGGAGACTATCATCGAGCTGGGAAGGTGGCGGGGCGGAGGGTGGAGCATGCCCAGACTTTTCGTGAGGATCTGGCCCATTCAGCAGGAACTTCAGAGTGTCGGGTAGGTCGTTGTCTTGAACGAGTGGCGCAAATGGGTCGAAACGAATGGAGTGAGCTGGGTGGTGAGTAGGAGAGTGAGCGGGATGGGAAGTCGGAGGGTGAGCGGGAGGGTGAGAGGACAACACGTGGAATAAAACTTCGTGTGGGGCTGCCGGAGCCGATGGAGAGCTGGAAGAGCTGAGTGTGGTGCGTGCTCGCTCACGGGTGAAGGCCTCTTGCTTGCGCTTTCTCTGTCTCTTGGAAGTGGAAAGAGCAGGAACGTGTTCGCCTTCGATCTTGAAATTTGGATTGCTCTGACGGACTCTCAATGCGAGCTCTCCTAATTTGGTCGCACCACCAGCTACATTTTCAAGTAGGTCTGCTTCATTCTGTTCTGTCCAAATCGCTCTGCGTCCCCCCTTTCCCTTTCTCAAAAACCGTGGTTGCTTCTCCTGCTTCTTTAGTTTTTTAGCGAGGTTTGAGCGCGTGTTCAAAGCCTGACGCCTTTGACGCTGCTCCGGAGTGCCTCCCTCCTCGTTCAGTAGCGGACCGTACGTCACGCGATGCCATAGCGCCTTTTTCTCCTCTGCAGTCTCAGGTTCAATAGAGCGGTGCAACTTCTTCAGCTGTTTCTGTCCCGTACTTCCCAAATTTGCGAGATCCTGCGAGCTCAGACCGAACGGATTGGGCGTATCAAAGCGTGCAACAATGTCTTTGCGCTCTTTGAAGAGTTCATTCGCCAGTTGTATCTGCTGTTGCTCCGTGATAGCGGGAGACCCTCTGCTTTTGTGAAACTGAGTAGCATCATCTCCTTGATTCTCACGAAATATAGATATGCTGTCTCTGGAGTCGTGTTCCAGACCGTTGTGACCGCTGGATTCCCCTTTTGCCCGTACTTGGAAGGTCTGCTTGCTGTTCAATTCAATGTTGAATCGTGGATAGGCGAGCATGGCTAATGTCACGTCATTCTTAAGTTTTTGGACTCTTTCCCAACCTTCCTTCTCTAGTCTTTGGAGCATGGCATGATCCTTCGGGGCCCAAGTGATGTTTTTTCTCCACGGTTCTTTTCTCGCAAGCTTCTCGCGCCCTTCAGGTACCGGTATGCTACGAATCCATTCGAGCTTGTTCTTGATTTTGTTCATGTCATTATTAGCACGTGCCAGCTCCTTTTCGTCTCTCGTCTCCAAATGCTTCCGTCGACCGTGCTTTCCGTGATGATTCCGTCCCGAGCCTCGCTCACCTTGACCCAGCCGATCGGTGTGGTCAAGCCCTTCGTTGTCGACACGGGCATTGCTTCCTTGCTCGACTTGAGACTCCGTGGTGCCACCCATCCTGCTCCCGACGTAAGCCGCTTTAGCATCTTGCAAGGCAGACAGGGCTTCACAGTGAGTCTTCGAGGCGTCTTGGGAGAACGCAGACGTCGTCAGGTCGTCGTATCCTTGACATGCGTTGCTCGCAGCGATGTTTGCTTGTGGAACGTTCCTCGCTGACGACGACCTTGTCGCCGTGACCCGTCCCGCGAGCTCGAAGAAGAGCAAGGTCAAAGAGAAAAACGGGAGCTTCATGGTGAATGTGGACCTAAAAAATTCTGTGTGCGTTCGAAGCCTGAAAGAGAGGGGCGAAGAGAGGGGCGAAGAGAGAGTCTTTAATAAAGGGTCAGTGAGCAATGCATGCGATGAGTCGGCGCTCTACCGAGTAGCTGAACAAGGGCAGTGAGGCCCGTTTACATCTGCAGCCATAATTTGCAAGTGGGGCATGTGCGATGAAGGCGCGCTTTTCGGGGCGACGAAAACGCACCCACATTTGTCAAACGCGAGTTCTGGAGGACTGTAAAGAGATACTTCGCTTCCCTTAAATGCTTTCCTTTAGCTAGACAGGCCCACGACCTCTTTTTTGCCAAGCTGCGGCATCTCTCTACGTCATTGAAAGCAACATTAGACCCACCTTCATCCTTGAACAGGCTGCTTGCTGGTGAAGGCACGACGTCCTCTGCTTTCCATGCTCGCTGAGTGTATGCCCCTTGCGCAAGGCCAGAGTATCATCAGGAGTTTGTGGCACAGCTATGGGGCGCGAAATGTGCCGATAGCCCCGCAGATGGTGTAGATATAATATATCGTTAGGAAACAACAACACATAGGCAAGGGCAAACAATTGAAAAGCGACGTGCGGGTCAACAAGCTTTTCTTTCAAACGTTCGAGAATAGAGAGAACACGAGCTCGAATGGAAAGAGGATCCAGCAAGACTGGTCGACACGGCAAGTGCAACTTGCGTGCGTAAAGCTGACTGAATGGGCCTGGCGATATATGAAGAGGATTGCAGGTCAGAAACCTAGGCAAACACACCCTATTAGACTGTATTTGTTCGGAGGCCGCAGTATAAAACATTGAAGTAAATGGGAGCTCTTTGATGCTCTACTAAGCAATTCTATCGAGCCGCTTCTCTTTCTAGCTGCTCGATAAGCTTTTTCAAGAATTTTTTGGTATCCATCTTGAAGGGATTCTGGTCGAGCTTGAGCAATACTACGGGATCCCTCCTCCAGTAGTCCACGATGATTGGGAAGACTTCTTGATATTTGTGCAGAAGCTTCACACCCTTCTCGCCGGGTATTGCTGCGATTTCTTCTGTCAACCTGGTGTCTATGAGGTCCCACGAAGACCCTTTTTGGTTCCCGCTTTTGATGCTATCCAGCTTCTTGTTTAAGCGTCTGAGAGTAGCTTCGTCTACGTTGGAAAACAAGTTCTTCCACTGAGGAAGCTTTGAAGTCCTTTGCTCTTCGGCAGCTGCTTCAGACTTCCGCCTCGTATGTCTCGGCCAGCCACTTTTGAGACCAGCCAAACGAGCCTCCTCGCTGGTTGTCTCGCGCTCCTGCTCTGAAATTATGGGGTTAAACATTCTCGGCTGGGAATCTTGGATGTGGGCAGCAAGGGATTTGAGCAACCTTTCTTTCGTCAGGAGTGGGAGATCTTTCGCGTCGAAACGTTTCTTCTTTTCTTCAGGTCCTGCATCAGGCTTCTGTTTGCCTTTGGCGGCTGTCTTACGGCTGCTAGATGCTGCACCATGCCCTTCTTCACCGGAATAGCTGACGCGAGACGGATAGGACTGAGTCGTCATATATTGGACTGGACCTTCTTGGGTGACGTCATTGCTGTGCAAAACGTGATCGTACATGTTCGTGCCTTCTTTCGAACCAGCCAAATGCACATCGTGGTGAAGCCTGGGTGTGCTTGAGGGTTGATGTTGAGGTACATATGGCTCGTGGATTGACGGTTGAGAAGTGTGGGCGTTCCAGCTTTGAGTATAAAGCTGTTCATCGTTCTGCGGCCATGTCGTGCTTGTGGTTGGCTGGGACAACTCGGGCGGAGGGTAGGGCGTCGTATATAATTCAGTCGGATTCCAAAAGGGCAGGTGGTGCGTTTCCAAATCCACGTCATGGGCAGCGCTAGCATAATGGCCGGGTTGCGAGTGATGCTGGGGCGCAACTGAGGTCGAGTGTTGAGCAGGCCAGCCATGCCCTTGATCATAGAAAGAAAATTCGTCGTGATAAGGTATAATCTCTGGGCTTGCGATGGGCGCTTGCGAGAGCGTGTAACGCCAATCTTGGCTCGGGCTAGGCGCTTCTAAGAACTTGTTGAGCCAATTGTCGTCGTTGTCTGCGCGCTTTGCCAAAGCTGGCTGTTCTCTTATGTGCTCGAGAGGCTTTTGCCAGCGATGTAAAGAGGGAGCTTGGCGGCCATCCTGGTCAAGTGTGGCATCCTCTTTGGGAAGCGTCGTAGCCTCGGCTGCTCCAATGGGGACGAGGAGGGACAGACCAAGGACAAGGATCTTCATTCTCGGCCAGTGTCTACGACCACAAGCAGATGGTTTGCTTCAGCGTGAGGGTGTGCCCGTCGTATGAAGCGACAGATTCGAACAGCTGTGCGAGAAAGGAGATTTTTTGCGGTCGTTGTAGAGGACAGAGAGAAAGGGAGAGGCAAGGACGACAGCAGAACTGTTGACGCGAGTGCGAAAGGACAGGCCCTGCGATGGCGATGGCGCTCGAGTAGATCAAGGGCGGCGAGGCCTCATTTACCTCTGCAGCCACAAATCACGCGAGGCAAGTACTATCAGGGCAATTCGGGGCGGACTATCGCACTGTTTTGTTTTGTCGAGTACGCACTTCTTTGGAGGACTGTCCAGGCCTCCTTCGCTTCGCTTCATGCTTGCCAATAGCTAGACAGGCCCACGACTTCTATGTTGCAAACCTGGGGCCTCTCTCCATGTCCTCGAAAGGGAAATTATGTCCACCTTAACCCTTGACCAGGCTGGCAGAGACACGACATCCTCTACATTCCATGCCCGCTGTATGCACAGTACAGTACTGTATAAACGTCCTTTGCGCAAGGCCAGAATAACACCAGGCGTTTGTGGCACAGCTATGGGGCGCAAAAAGAGCCTATGGCCCCGCAGATGATGCGTAGTACTGTACTGTACATTGTTTCCAAACCAATAATACTTATGAAAGAGCGTTTCCAAACACATGTGAAAGGGCAAACAGGTATACAGCGACGTGCGGATCAACAAGCCTTTCTTTGAAACGTGCGAGAAAAGACGGAACACGAGCGCAAACGGAAAGGGTGCAGCAAGACTGGTCGACACGGCAAGTGCAACTTGCGTGCGTAAAGCTGACTAAAGGGGCTTGGCGATATGGACTGTAGGTCAAATACCTAGGCAAGAACATGACATCAGTAGACTGTATTTGTTCAGGAGGCCGCTGTAGAAAACATTGAAGTAAATGGGAGCTCTTTGGTGCTCTACTGAGCAATTTAATCAACCCGCTTCTCTTTCTAGCCGCTTTACAAGGTATGTCACGAACGTTTTGGCATCCATCTTGAGGGGATTCTGGTCAAGCTTGGTCAAAACTACGGGTTCCCTCCTCCAGGACTCCTTGATGATTGGCAAGACTTTTTGATAATTTTCCATAAGCTTCTCACCCTTCTCGCCGGTAATCTCTGCGATTTGTTCTGTCAAAATGGTTTCTTTGATGTCCCACGAGGTCCCCTTTTGATCCCCTCTTCTGATGTGATTCAGCTTCGTGTTTAACTCTCGACGAATAATGTCGTCTATGTCGTCAACACAATTCTTCCTTTGAAAAAGCTCCGACGCCCTTTTCTCTTCGGCAGCCCGCATCGCACACCTCAGCCGGACACGTTCTTGGCACTCCAAAAGAGCCTCCTCATAGATTGTCTTGCGCTCTTCCTCGGAAAGCAAGTGTTTGTGCGGTCTCAGCTGGGAACTTTGGTTATGAGCAGCAAGGGATCTAAGCAAACTTTCTTTCCTCAGGAGTGGGCAATCTTTCGCGTTGTAACGTGTCTTCTTGTCTTCAGGTCCTGCGCCAGACTTCATCTTGCCTTTATCGATTGTCTTACGGCTGCTCGATGCTCCGCCATGTCCTTCTTCACCGAAATGGCTGGCCCATGACGGATCAGACTGAGTCGTCATATATCGGCTTGAACCTTCGGGGGTAACGTCACTGCTGCGCAAATCTTGTTCCTGCATGTTCGTGCCTTCCTTCGAACCAGCCAAATGCTCATCACGGTGAGACCTGGGTGTGCTTGAGGGTTGATGTTGGAGTACGTATGGCTCGTGGAATGCCGGCTGAGGACTGAGGGGGTTCCAGCTTTGAGAATAAAGCTGCTCGTTGTGCTGTTGCGGCGGGGTGCCCATAGCTGATTGGGGGTACTGGGACGTGGCATGTAGCTCAGTAGGATTCCGAAAGGGCAGGGGTTGAGGTTGCGCACCCATGTCATGAGGAGGGCTGTCGTAATGGCCGGGATACGGGTGGTGATGTGGCGTGACTGAGGTCGAACGTTGAGCAGGCCAGCCATGCTCACGACCATAAAAAGAATTTACGTTTTGGTAAGGTGTTACCTCTGATCGGGCTGGGCTGGGCGCTTCCAAAAAGCTGTTGGACCAATCTTCGTCTGAGCTGTGCGCTTGCAAGAGCATGTTGAGCCAATCATCGTTCTTGTCTGCGCGCTTGGCCAGCCCTGATAGTTTTCGAATGTTCTGAGACTTTTGCCAGCCACTCCGATCAAATATAGGGCGACCAGCCTCGTCGAGGGTGACACCCTTTTCGGGGAGCCTTGCAGCCTCGGCCGCTCTAATGGAGACAAAGAGGGACAGACTAAGGACAAGGAAGATCATTGTTGGCCAGTATCCACCACGACGGTATGTTTCAACGTGAGGGTGCACTCGTCGTTTAGAAGTAACAAATTGAGTCAGTTGTGCGAGAATGGAAAAATTTGTGGTCGTTGGAGAGGAAAGAGAGATAGGGAGAGACAGGGACGAAAGCAGAAATATTAATACGAAGCGAGAGAAAAGGCCCCGCGATGGCGTTGGCGCTCGAGTAAGTTAGGGGCAACGAGGCCCATGTACCCCTGCAGCCACAATTTTCGGCGAGGCAACTACGATCGGGGCGATTCAGGGCGGACTATCGCACTGTTTTTTTTTGTCGAATACGCGCTTTGGAGGTTTGTTCAGGCCTCCTCCTCTTCGCTCGAACGCTTGCAAGTAGCCAGGCAGGCCCACGACTTCTCTTTGCCAAGCTGCGAAGGGGAGTTTGTCCATCTCTATTTCTGTTCAGGCTGCTAGCTGGTATAAGCACGACATACTCTGCTTTCTTTGATCACAATAAATGCCCCTCGCGCAAAACCAGGAGCCGTCTGGGCGCTTCTGGCTAAGATATGGGGCGCCAAGAGAGTCTACAGCCCTGCCATCAATGTACAGTACATACAGAACTGGTCTTGTACCTTTCTCTCAAACAAGAGTTGAGATTGAACGGCGAGCAGGTTGGTGGCAAATCTCTCTTTTGAAACGTCCGAAAAGAGAAAATAGTTCAGGCTGAGACGCGAAAGAGGTACAGGAAGACTGGACACATCGCGATAAAGCTACGTAGCTTGCAGCGAGCTGCCTTAAAGGGGCTTGGAGATATGTTAAGAGGATTATAGGTCGAATACTCTGTTGAGCGATATGGCATCACTGAACTGTATTTGTAGGGGTAACCCTAACTGGGGAAAAAAGTGGTAGAGAACGGGGCCACTTTGAGTGATCTAGCAAGCATCTCCGTCAAGCTGCTTTAAAAGGTGTTCTACAAACCTTTGGGCGTCCATTTCGAGAGGGTTTTCGTCTAGCTTCACCAATATTCTCCTATCTCTCCTCCAGTAATCCATGATGGTTGGTAAAAGCCTTTCATATTTGCCCATGAGCCTCTCGCCTTTCCTGCCTGTGACCTCCGAGATTTCTTTTATCAAGTTGGTGTCGTCGATGTCCCACGAAGACCCCATTTGAGACCCTCTTTCGATAGCGTTAAGTTTGTCGTTCAAAGCTTGATGTTTTTTGTTGTTGTCTTTGTCGTTAGCAGGCTTCGTCCTCTGAGGAGTGTCGGATTCCCTTTGCTTTGTGGTAGGCTGCATGTTGTGTCTCTGCTTAATAAGACTATTATACTTCTTAAGAGTTTCTACAGCCAACCCCTTACGCTCGTTCTGGGAGTGCAAACGCTTGCCTGGCTGTAGTTTGGACTTCTTGATGTAAAAATCAAGGGCGCAACATAGATCTTCTTTTGTCAGGAGCGGGATTTTCTTCGGGTCATAGGTTATTTGCTTGCCTTTAGCCTCCTCTACCGATATCGTTTCCCCTTCGGCGGCTGATTTGGGGCTGCTGGATGCGCCGTCATGCCGTTCTTCACCAGAATGGCTGGCTCTGGACGGATAGCACTGAGTCATAAATCGGTCGAAATCTTCTTGAGTGAGGTCACCGCTGCGCATAAGGCCTTCATACATGGGCATAACTTCCTTCCAACCAGTCGAATGCTCATCGTGGCGACTTCTGGATGCGCTGGACGGTTGATGTTGAGGCATAGATGGCTGGTGGGATGACTTCTGAGAATTGAGGGAGTTCAAGCTCTGATGGTTACGCTGCTCGTTGTGCTGAGGCGGCATCGCGTTGGTAGTTAAGGGGGAGTCCTTTTTTGTCTTTTCTTCCTTTTCCAGCTTCCCTTCAAGGTTTTCCACGTACGTTTCGGCGCTCATTCCAAGAGGATTCTTGTCTAGCTTTCCCAATATTTTCCTGTCTTTCCTCCAATGCTCTTCGATGAGTGGGAATACGTTTTCATATCTGACCATGAGCTTCTTGCCCCTGTCGTCAGTGGTTTTCGAAACTTGTTTTGCCAGATTGGTGTCGCCAATGTCCCACGAAGACCCCTTTTGAGACCCTGTTTGGATAGCTCTGAGTTTCTTGAACAGACGTTTACGTTCTTGGTCGTCCGTGCCAGTAGCGGCCTTCTTCTTTTCAGCCATCCCCGACGCCATTCGTTGTGAAGCATTTCTTTCTTTTATCTGCTGGTTGTTTCTCTGCATAAGGAGTCTTTCAAACTCCTTGCGAGTCTTGTCGGCCATCAAACGCTGCTCTCTCCGGGAGTGCAAGTGCTTTTTAGGCTTTAGCCGGGGTTTTTCGATGGAGACTTTGAGGGCGCAGCGCAGCTCTTCTTTCGTCAGGAGCGGAGTCTTGTTCACATTGTAGGGTCCTTTCTTGCCTTTAGCCTCCTCTACCGATATCGTTTCCCCTTCGGCGGCTGATTTGGGGCTGCTGGATGCGCCGTCATGCCGTTCTTCACCAGAATGGCTGGCTCCGGACGGATAGCACTGAGTCATAAATCGGGCGGAATCTTCTTGGGTGAGGTCACCGCTGTGCATAAGGTCTTCATACATAGCCATGACTTCATTCCAATCAGTCAAATGCTCATCATGGTGAGGCCTGGATGCGCTGGACGGTTGCTGTTGAGGCATAGATGGCTGGTGGGATGACGCCTGAGAATTGGGGTAGTTCCAGCTCTGATGATTACTCTGCTCAATGTGCTGAGGCGGCATCGTGTTCGTAGTTGACCGGGAGTATTCGTACGTAGAGTAGGGCGTGGGATGGAACCCAGCCGGATTATTCAAGTTCGGGTGGTGCATTTCCGCACCTGCGTCGTGGGCGCTATCAGTATGTCCTTTTCGCCCGTCCTGGACGGGTGCATCTGGGGCAGCCGTCCAGCCACGCCAAGGATCCTGAAAACGTTCTTCGTCGAGATAAAGAGTTTTCTCTGGGCTCGCGATGGGCGCTTCCGAGACCCTGTTGAGCCAGTGTTGGGTCGGGCTAGGCATTTCGAAGGCCTCATTGAGCCAATTATCTTGGCTGTCTGCGCGCTTTGCCAAAGCTGGTTGTGCTCTGATGTGCTCGTGAGGGTTTTGCCAGCGATGTAAAGAGGGAGACGGGCGGCAACTCTGGTCAAGTGTGGCATCCTCTTTGGGAAGCGTCGCAGCCCCGGCCGCTCCGATTGAGACAAAGATGGACAGGCAGAGAACAAGAAGGCGCATCGTCGGCCAGCGTCTACAAATACGAGCAGGTAGTATGCTTCAGCGTGAGAGTGCACCCGTCGTTGGAAAGTGGCGAATTGAGTCAGTTGAGCAAAAACTTTTTTGCGGTTGTTGGAGAGGAAAGAGAGACAGGGAAGGACAAGGACGAATACAGAGAAAAGAATACAAATGCGAGCGAACAGACGCCGCGATGGCGCTGGCGCTCGAGTAGGTAAACAAGGGCAGTGAGGTCCCACTCCCCCCTGCAACCACAACTCTTAAGTGAGGCAAAAACGATCAGGGCGATTCGGGGCGGGAGTCACGCACCGCCTTTTGTCGAATACGCGCTTTGGAGGACTTCCCAGGTCTCTTTTGCTTCGCTTCATGCTTGCAAGTATCTAGACAGGTCGACGATGTCTCTTTTGCCAAGCTGCCCCTCTCTCCACGTCGACGAAAGATAATTCTGTTCACCTTAATCTCTGACCAGGCTGCTGTCTGGTGAAAGCACGACATCCTCTGCTTTCTTTGCGTGAAAGGGTCAGGATACCTCTGCGCCCCTGCGGCACTGCTTTGAGGCGCAAAAAAGCCGGCAGCCCTGCCGATGATGAGGTACGATCGTTGGAAGTAACAACACAATGGAAAAGGCAAACAGGGAAACAGCGACATGTCGGTCAACAGTTTCTATTTCTATTTCTTTATTTTTTATGCGGGAGAACAGAGAGAAAGAGCACGAGCTCAAGCGGAAAAAGAGGTGGAGCAAGACTGAGACGCCACGGCAAGTGCATCTTGCTTGCGTGAAGCTGCCTGAAGGCGCTTATTCATGTACGAAGAGGACTGTAGGTCCGAATCTTGGTAAGGACCTGACAACATTGAACTGTATCTGTACAGGAAGTCGCACTATAAACGGTTCAAAGAGGGCGGGTGCGCTTTGGTGCTCTACCAGCATCTTCATTCGCAGTTCCTCTTTTCAACTGCTTTATAAGGCGCTTGACGTACTTTTTGGCACTCAGTTCAAGAGGGTTTAGGTCTAGCATCCACAAGACGTTCCGGTCTCTCCTCCAATACTCTTCGATGAGTGGGAAGACCTTGTTGTATTTGAACATAAGTTCCTTGCCCTTGTCGCCAGTGACTTTCGAAATTTCTCTTGTCATTAAAGTGTCGCGCACATCCCACGAAGACCCCTTCTGCCTCTTTTCGTCGATAGCACGTAGCTTCCTGAGCAAGTGTAGACGCATTTGCTCATCTTCGGCAGGCTTCTGCACAAATTCTGACTCCCTTTTCTTTGCAGAAGCTTTTTCTTGCCTCAGCATATAATTTCTCCGCGCATTCCAATTTTTATACTCTTTTCGAGTCTCCTTGGACATCTTCTCGAACTCTTCCATGGAGTGCAAGTAGCTGTGTGGCTTTCGCTTTAATTTTCGCTTCAAGAATTTAAGGCCGCGGCGCAGATCTTTCTTCGTCAGGAGCTGGTATGTGTTCACATCGTGGAGTTTTGTCTTGCGTTTTGCCCCCGCTCCTGACATGTCTTCGCCTTCGGCGGCTGTCTGGTGGCTGCTAGATCCGCCGTCATGCCCCTCTTCACCAGGATGGTTGGCTACGGACGGATAGAACTGAGTCATAACTCGGTCAAAATCTTCTTGAGTGAGGTCCCTGCTGCGCATAAGGTCTTCATACATGGGTATGACTTCGTTCCAACCAGCCGCATGCTTATCGTGGTGAGGTCTGGTTGTGCTTAAGGGTTGATGTTGAGGCGTAGATGGCTGGTGGGCTGGTGGCTGAGAATTGAAGGAGTTCAAGTTCTGATGGTTACGCTGCTCGATGTGCTGAGGCGGCATCGTGCTTGTGGTTGAATGGGAGTACTCGGACTTAGGATAGGTCGTCGGATGGAACCAAGCCGAATCCCAGGACTTCAGGTGGTGCATTCCCGCACTTGCGTCTTGGACGGGCGCACCTGGGGCCGGGTTCTGAGCCGGCCAGCCATGCCGAGGACTGTAAGAGTATTCTTCGTCATGATGATAAGGTTTTGTCTCTGGGCTTGCGATGGGCGCTTGCGAGAGCGTGTAACGCCAATCTTGGCTCGGGCTAGGCGCTTCTAAGACCTTGTTGAGCCAATTGTCGTCGTTGTCTGCGCGCTTTGCCAAAGCTGGCTGTTCTCTCGTGTGCTTGATCTGAGGCGTCTGCCGGCGACGCAAAGAGCCAGTGAGGCAGCCATTCTGTGTGGCATCCTCTTTGGGAAGCGTCGCAGCCCCGGCCGCTCCGATAGAGACGAAAAGGGACACGAAAAGAACAAGAAGGTTCATCGTCGCCCAGAGTCCACGAGCACAAGCAGGTAGGATGTCTTAGCCTGAGAATAGATCCGTGGTCGTTCAAGATATGCAAAGGGAAGTCGGTTGAGTGGAGTGCAATTGAACAACTTGGTGGACGAGCAAAAAATGGCAGACAGCGCAAACGCGCAACAAATAGCTATAAAGCACCGCTGCTCATTGATAGCATGTGACAAGGGCCGTTGGGCCGTCATAGCGAGCACCTTGGAGCCTCCGAGGGCGCATGTAGAGGGCGTCGGCTGAAAAACGAGACAAATTCGTTGAGATACTTGAACGCTTCTGCCTCGCACCAGCGCCGGACATTGACGAGTAAGTGGAGGACGCAACACGACGGGCGCCTCTCGGTCCAGGCTCGGAGCTCCAGATTGAAACGAAAGCGCGGCCCGAGAAGAAATAGAGAGCGCAAGACTAGAAAGGGGAAACCACGCAGCATATCAGAGCGTCAGAGAGAGGGCTAGCTACAAGTAGAGGCAAAAAGAAGCAACACAAGCATTATGCGGACCCCCCCAAAAAAGAAAAAAGAAAAACAAGTGGAGCAGCGGGGATTTGAACCCCGGACCTTCTCCTCTTAAAATCCGTTCAAGAAGGAAATCTTCTTCGTATGTTTCGCGTCGTCGAGGCGCACATGCGAAGGAGACACTCTAACCCCTGAGCTACAGCCCCGCGAGGCTGAAAATTCGATTTTTAGGGGCTTAAGCACTTCATGCCCCGCCGCTTCGCTGGCGTGCGAGGCTATCAACGAACAGCCATCGCACGCTGTCGGTCCGACTACAAATAGTAGACAAATCGTTCTCGCTCCTTCACCATCACTTCCTGTATAAACACACCATGCGTTGCTTTTCGTTTATTCTGGCTCAGTGCCTGCTTTGCTTTGCCTCTTTCGGCTCTCCTGTGAAGACGCTCCCGCACGTTCAAAGTGAGGCGCACTCTGCTCAGGTCCAAGATTACGCCACTTTCGCTGCAATGTGTCCCTACATCGAATTACCCGGCTCACCTGACCTCGGGGAACAGGCGCAGGCTACGTCCGAACATGTGGACGATCTTTTCGATTGCATGGAGCCCACAGACGACTTTGCGGGGAAACGCTTGACGTCGCATCTATCAGTGGGTGTGCACCCGATACACGACACGGCCGCAGAAGCCTCTGCTTCATCGGCTTCATCCACTGTAGGATCTTCGAGTACGGAAGATCTGCTTCGTATGCTTGAAGCCAAGAAGCCGTTCGGGTGGAAAGCTGAGACCGAAGATGAAAAGAAGGCCCAAGACGTTGCTTTGAACTTGCTCCTTTCGCGAATGGAGTCTTTTGACGCAGCAACCTCGCGCGAGCTCAAGTTGGAGTGTTTTCATCTAAGCAAAGAAGAGCTTGAGAAATTGAGCAAGCTCGAAAAGCGTGTCTACAGGACATTGAAGCAGCGGTTCAATGATAGAAAAAATCGTCTCCCTAACAAATATGCCCGGGACAAACAATATCGTCAAAGAAGATACGGAAAGCCCTTAACAAAGATTGACACGGAGAAGGGTTTGACGCCAGAGGAAGCCAAGCAGCTCAAGTTCGGTGTGGAGAGGACGGAAAGATGCTATTATGGGAATAAGCTCAGAAGCATCAACAATGGATTGAAAGAAGCAGATACTTGGACGTCCGACGATGAAGAGCGATTTCGCGTGTGGCAGACGCAGCACGGAAGGAGAGCCATCACTTTGAAGCAACATCATAGGAACGTGGTTGCGATGAAAGAAGCCAAGAAGTCTGCAGAAGCTCCTGAGCTAGCCCCTAGTCACTCTTGATGGCATTGCATGTTGCTGTGTGCGCCTCGAGACATGAAAAGTGTTACTCGCGGCAATTGTGCCGATCCACAATTCTATCCATATTATACTGCATGTACTGTACTGTACAAGTGCCTCTTGCGCAAGCTCTGCTCGAATTTGACGTTTGACATGTAACATATCTGACAAATTTCGGTGAAGAGTAAGAGCGAAGCAGGAATTCGTAGAGACGGAGAAAGAGGGAAAGATTGCCGAGATACTGACTGAGCCTCGGCGTAACCTCTCACACGTCTCCACATTGATTTGACAGCTGCTTGAGCGCTCAGGAAGTAAGCAGGCGAGAAACACCGCGCACGAGAACGTAGCCGACGCTGCGAAAGAATGCCGAACTCTGCACTATCGGTGGCGGCCACATCAAATGCAGACAAAACAACACCACTCCAGCGCAGAAGAAGCTCCATTCCTCAAAGTTCGTCGCACGGTTGAATTCGTGGGCTGAAGTTCTTGTTGGAGTATGCGGGCTGACATTTTTGCCGAGATACAAGATGACGTGCTTTCCGGGGTTCTTCTCGCGCCACGAGAGGCGGGAGATGACTCGCGCACTCGACTCCCGAGAGCAATGAGCTGTTTTCGTAAAGCAAGGAAGAGGCGGCAGAGGCGCAAATCGTCTGCGGGGGAAAAAAAGAGGGCATAGGAAACCCCACTTTCTCAATTTGCACCTAGAACGCTCGTGTCTCTTCAGCCCACCATCATGAAGTTCTCTGTGTGTGCTTTCTGGCTTGCATACCTGGCTGTGTGCCAAGCCGTCAGGACTCTGTCGAACACGTCAACAGGCTTTGCATCAGGCGCATCCTCAAACACCATTCCACAACGGCCTGCTCGTCACCATGCAGACGCTCCGCAGCAGCAAGCGGTTCGACTGCTTGGAAAGCTTCCTGATCTGAACCTTCCTTACCGCCCTGAAGCCGTGGACGAGGCTCAGCGCTGGCCGGTGCCCATAAGTCAGGAGGTAACCATAGCCCTGCTCCCAGGACCCTCGGCACCTCCTCGAGCCACCGACGGCAGCCACAGCCACACGATATCAGCCGTTGTCAGGGGCACCCATGACCTCGTGCCTTCTCTTGCCCTCACATACGGTAAACAGCCTCGCTTGACGCGCATGCCACTCTCCTTGGCTAGCTCAAGCCATCCCAGCGGCGAAAATGCCCAAGACGCGTCGAGGGGCAGGGCAGGAAGCCGTGTTGGCAAAGGGCCTTTTGAAGCTGGACCGTCGAGCTCCCGGGCAAAGACCACGAGCAGTGCAGCTGCGGGCCCGAAACAGACCAAAATAAGGCGTAAACGTCCGCGTGTCGAACCAAGCGATGAGGACAAAGCAATAGGCCTGCAGATGTTTAATTTCATGCGCAGCCAAGTCGATGCGCGCATGGCCAACAATTTAAAGCTTACGATAAGGGCGAGCGAAGGCATGACGGACGGAGCGCGACAAGTCTACAGCGATTGTTGCCGCATCCACAACAAGGAAAAGGCGAGACTGAGAAGGTTGGATAGGAAATATGGACGTGCTCCACAGCAAGCATCAAAGAAGGTAGAAAGCGAGGAGGAGAAAAAGAGAAAGGCCAAGTTCATGAACGGGGTGGCACGAGTAACCAGCAAGCTGAAGCGCCTCGAAAGTAGCCTCAAAATGAAGCTCTGGAAAGACACAGACCTGGCCACTTTGCGTTATCTAGATCAAGAAGATCCTGGGAACGTAGCCGTTAAAAATCTTTGGGACAGGTTCAACAATGTCAAAGCGAGGGCAGCGATTGCCGAAAACCAACTGGCGGCAATTGTCCCAAGAGAGAAAGTAGGACAGCAAGGCAAGAACCAGCCGAGCAAGAGCAGAGTGAAACAAGCACTCGATTGCAGTACTGCTTCGCCGCGCACGAAGGGAATTGGCCCACCGCCCAAGAGAAGGAAGGGTCTACAGCTTGTGTAGAAGGCGACGACTTGCATAAGCGGAAGTGACGCTGGTCTCTTCATTTTCTTTCTTAATGGCTGAAATTTCATAGCGTTAGTTTGGGGAGGGCACGGCTGAGCAAGAGCAACTACTCACCCATACACGAAATCTATTAAGCCGATCGGAAGGCGAGCCTGTTGATGTTTTCCTCCGTCCTACACGTCTGCCCATCGGCCACATCGGCGAGAAAGTTGGTCCGTGTCCTACACGCTTGGGCACAGCCTTGACCGAACTCGTCTTCCCACAGACCGTGTTACACAGCCGAGGGCAAAAACAAAAAACGGGCAACGAAGAAGTAATTGAGGGTTACTACTTACACCCGCGCAGGAAGCCGCAGGATCGATGATCTCAAGTGGGTACACGAGCAGGTTTCCCTCCGATGAAGCAAGCTAGTCCTGTCTTTGCCAGTCTTGGCCCGAGTAACCAAAGTTGGCCTTTAGTACCTACAAAGATTTCGTGGGGCTCGCGCGGGGACGGCACTGCTGGAGTAAAAAGGCTGGCGGCATTCTAAGAGAGTAAACTCTGTAGACAACGGCCGACGATTCACCGACGGCAAAGAGCTGGGGCGCTCGGGCGACTTTCTGACGTTGTTGGCACACAGGCAGAGGGGTTGTCTCTCTCTATGACATTTCGTCCCTCCTCCATTCCCACATCACCATCAGCTGGCCACATTATCATGGCTTGCCACTGGACGATTGCAGTCCTCTTCCTGGCCTGGTGCCTCCCTTTGGTCTCGGGCAGCGACACTGTGCTTCAGCGTAGAGCTCACACTCCTGCACCAAGCACAAATCCTCCTGTGCACACGCCCACGTCAGCGTGTGCTGGACGCTTCAATGGCGAGAAGCCCACTCAGAGGAAACCAAGGATCGGACGAGCCCACTACCGAAAAAAACCGGTCAACAAACAAAGCTCTTCCGCTCTCCCTCAAACCACCGAGAGCCCAGGCACGGGACGGTCTCAAGGGCAAGAGGGACCCGCTGACATGCAAGAGCCGCCTCTAAACCTTCTCCAATGCACGGAAACCTCAAGCAAAGGGCAAGCCTGCCGCCGAACGAGACCACCTGAGGTGCGAGTCCCTTCTTCTCGTGCTGCAAGCACAGGCAACGTCGACCCCCTGACGCAGTGCAGGGGCACAGTGGGCCACAGCCTCGCCTCGCCCTCGTATGGCCGGGATATCCTCGATTTGAACAAGCGTCCTCCTCCCGCGAGCTCTTCTTCGAGCACAGAGACCGAGCCTTCTCCCAGAGACTTCGCGCCGCGTCCAAGGTTTGGAGACGAGGAGGTGCACTCTGACTATTGGAGCTCGACAGAGGAGCAGTCGGCGCCGGCCGCGATCCGGGACCCAGTAACGTGGGAGAAGAAAAAAGCAAAGCAGACCGAGCTTGACCGAGGGGCCGCGTCGTGCAGCAGCCGCAAGAAGACGAAGACGTCATAAGACGAAAGAAGGAGCTAGGGTAGCTGAGAACAAATCAATGGAGTTCTTTGCCATATTACATGTCGCAAAATGTTAGCAGTCGCAATGACCGGTGAGTCTGGTGCCTAATTTTTCATCGCAATCACTCGTACATTTGCAAGGCGGTGAGGCTGACCTTGAAGTGATGAATAAAATAGCAGACAACAAGCTACCCAGTCTTTTTCTACTCTTTCTATATTTATATTATTAGTCTTAGAATTGCTTGGTTCTACTTTGTTGGCTGTGTCAAATTTTCGATTGGGTGACTGTCTCCCCGATGGCTGTGTTTCCTCTTCGGTTTTCTGTTCAGTGGCTATATTTCCTCCTCAAATGATCTGAAATCTCCGATTAAATGTGTTGGATTCTGTCCGTTCGAGATTTGACCTTTGTTGAGGCCACATGGCGAGGCCTATATAATAATTCTCAGATTTGTATTTAGCCCAGGGGATACGAATAACAACCACGATGAAGAGAAAGAAGTCACGCGTCAACAGCCTTTTGCAGCGCCGTGTGTTCTCATTAGATGATGGGGCGTTCAACGTCCCTTTTTCGTCCACCACCCGTTCTCCATAGTAAAATGCAATTTTATGTGCCGGATTACAGCAGCAAAGAAGCTCTTCGGATCGAGGATGAGACGGACGCTGAGTAATGCCCTGTCAAACGCAAAGAAGGACCTAAGGAAAGGTACGAGATCGGGGCGTATTCCGGTTGGCGTTCGGGGCGCTCAGAAAGTTCCACATACCAGACGGTATGGGCGTAACAAAAGGAGGCACCGGGCCTCAATCGTAGGGTATTTAGATGGCTCTGTCGCTCTCTCCTTGCTTTTTACGTTCTCGTTCCCACCCAACTACGAATTTTACACTGCGCGATGACCCGCTTCCGTTCGTCAGTGCTCATTTTTCTCATCTTCGCCCTTTGTCTCGCGAATTCAAGTACGTCTGTCTTGTTGCAGCGACGAGCGAGGACAAAGAACGATGCTGGGGCGACATCAACACCAGCAGAGCGGCAAACGGTTGCGCTAATGAAGCCCACTCCAAGCAGCAGGGGCTCGAGTCAGTCAGAAAGCCCACCAACCGCCACGGAAAGATTTCTTCCCATTCCTGCATCAGGGCACAAGACTACCCAGTCACCATCGACAAGTTCACTGCAATCCAACTCGATCCAAGACTCTCAAACACCCAAGCGCTCGCCGATCACACTGACTTGGTGCACTTCGACGAATCAACAAAGATGGGCAACGCAGTCGCCTCGTCCTTCATTGTACTCTAAACATTCGCGCGATGAGCCAGCTTGGTGTACTTTCTCGAAAACACAACGGTCGGCAATTTCAGGCTCCAACACTCAAAATCTTTTAGATCCTGTGTCCCATTTTTCTCACCCGCTGGCAGGGGCCGTCACTGGGCCACATATGTCGCCGTCAAATGACGGAACAGACTCGTCTCCATTCGAGCAGACAGCGACATCTGATGACGGCAGCCCCTCTCAGCCTCGGAGGCGTCCGACTCGAGCATCGGCGAGAGCTGCTCGGAACGTGTTCAGGAAAGCAGCCGAAAGCGATGTCGAAGAAGGTTCTGAGGACAGTACAGTCAACGCCAAGAGACGACGTACCCACTCGCCCTCGTACGAGAGTCCGACGAGCAGTAGAAGTGATGAATGGTCAGAACGGATGAGGCTGTCAAAAGAGAGAGTGGGAAGTGCAAAAAGTGATTCTGAGATTGACCAAAAAGGGGGCCAGCACAAATTCAGGAAGACGTACAAAGGCAAAGAATTTCGCATGAAGGAGATCCCGAATAACCGAGCGGGAGAAGTATTCAAACTTTGCGAAGAGCGCTTTTGGAAGGACCACTGGGAGACAGGCATCACGCAAAGAAATTATTGTGAACTGACAGACGCCCAAATGAAATACTTAGGCGACCAGCAAGAGGCCTTTGAAAAGATTGCCCTACGTTGGCGCGCCAAATTAAGTAGAGAATCTAACAAACAACACCAAGTAGCGTATAGAGTTCATCGCTTTGGACCGACTCGTCACCTTGACCCCAATGCCCAGCTGACCCAGGAGCAGAAAGATAATCGGAGGAAGAATAGTTTGAGGAGAAGCTTGAGGAAAAAACTGGAAGCTGTTACCAGCAGGAAAAAAGGCGGCGAGTGGAAGGAACAAAACAACAAGCAGCTGAAGGAGCTCGCGGATCTCACCGAACTCGACCCAAACGAAAAGGTTGTCGTTCTCTACAAAAAGATGCTAGCTATGAAAAACATGCAGAGCTGCATCCCTCTGCCACCTTAGATTGTAGACGATAGCGAATGACGCCTCGATCTCGGTTGTATCAGCTCACTCAATAAACACAGATCTCGGGGTGCGCAGAATACGGTTCCACATGTTTCTTGAATCTTTGCATTGAGTCCTGGTCCCAGAATCCAAATAAGGCACTCAATGCTAAACCTAGAACCCTCAAACGAGTATATGGAAGCTAAAGGTACCACTTGAGACAGCATCGCTCCTCTCTCTTCGAGACTGCATTTGCTTTGAAATGGTGGCACGAGACCCCCACGGCATGATCCGTGCACTTGAGCGAGCTGTAGCAAGACGATGAATACTAAGAACTTCAAGGCCTGTGCGGGAGCAAAAACTTGTGACGAGAGAGGGGATGGACGTGTCGCCTGCATCTAAAGCTTTCCTGCCCATCAGAACATCCTCTTGGCACACCGTTTTGACAACACTCGCCCTCCACGGGACCGACATTGGCGGTGCTGTTCAGCGGCACGTTCTACTCTAGCCTTTTTGACCTCGTCCTCGCCCCGTTTCGGTGAAAGGTTACTCACCGAGACTCACCAAGACTCACCGAGACTCACCTGTCTGCTTTCCAAGCACGTGGAAGGAGTTTGTGGGAGACACTTCAAGCATCTAACGTTCTCCTTGAGGTAGAGATAGGGAAGCACCCTACGTGCGCCTCGTTTACAGCACGTTGCAGACCAGGCCAGCTGCATGGAACCTTGGTCGCAACACGCGTTCACGCGGCCGTCTGGAAACCGGGGCGGCACATGTTTCGCTTTTGTGCACCTCTGTTCTCTTTCGCGTCTTTACGACGACTTGTATTCGCAGTGTCTGTGTCCGTGTTTACTGTTGTTTTCTCTGCGTAAGTGGAGAGCCTCTGCAGCTGCGCACACCTGCACAGCAAAGCGGTGACAGGCCTACCTTCAATCCTCACTGACTAGGGAGAAGACCCTAAGGAATCTCGTGAGGTGTACAAATTTGCGCAAACAATGCTCATCGCCCCTTTGCTCCTCTTGCGCCGCACCGAATTTTCATAGTACGCCCCATGACTGGAGCAGACGGCCCGGCAGAGAACGAAAAAGCTGTACGCCTAAAGCGAGGCAGTCTGGGATTTCTCATCTTTAAGGCAGTTCGCTGCCGTCGTCTCTCCTTGCCCTTAGCACACATCCTCCAGCGCTCTCCCAACCTCGACCAGATATGGTGCGCACTAGATCGCCACTGACCCTATGGGCTCTGTTGTTGGCCTCTTTCCTTCTCATGGGTGCGAGATGTGCAAGGACGAGGGATCAGGGCTCGCATTCAGCAGCGCAAACAGAACAACGTCCGACCGTAGGCCTCATGAGGCCTGTGTCAGGTGGTGGCCGAGGAGTAACACAAGTTCACCCGTCTCAGCTTCCTCCTAATGAGCCAGCCTCAGCCTCACGCTATCTACCACGCTTGCACTCCGAGGTGATGACTGAAGAGGAGGAGAGAGAGTCCTCTGGCGAAGAAATGGGGTCGGATTGGCAGGAAGGATCGCCGCCACACTCCTCTCAAGAAGGGTCTTTGTCTGCATCGCCGGCGTCTTCCGAGCATTTGAGTCCGAAGGCACACAAGACCTGTCCGACAACACTCTCTACTCAAATGATGCTGATAAGGAGGCGAACTTCTCCAACGAATCGTCGCGTTCGCTCCAACGCATGTCTCCGTCTGCTTCGTCACCAGAACACAGCTTCCAGTATGGCTTCCAGCAACACGCAGGCCAGCATTGGGGGCAAGAGGAAGACATTTTCGGTCTTCAAAGACATTCCCATTCACAGCATGCCACGAATTTCCCGGCGAGTTCGTCTTGGTCTCCCTCGCCACTCCCAACACGGTCCAGACCGATGCGCAAGGCGGCTCAAGCTGCCCTTATGAGGCTGAAGAAACCCCCTCCAATTGATGAATTCGAAGCGTCGGACCAATCGCCTGAGACCTCTTCTCGCAAACAAATAAAGGATGAGGAATTTCGAATGCCGACGTCGCTTCGAAGAAAAAACAAGACTGTTTCGCGCAGGGTGGCTTCGAAACCTGAGGAAACAGATGCGTCCAACGACGAGCGCTCTGCAGAGGGCGAAACGGAGGAAGAGGAGGAGAGTAAAGAGATCTCAAACAAAGGCAAGTCTAGAGCACCAACATCGGAAAAAGAATTCTGGTTGCAGTGTCCACCGAAAGCGAAAGGAACGAAAGCGTGGAAAGTTTTCGAACAACATCAAAACAGATATTGGCAGACCGTGCGAAGAAGGGAAGATCCTCGATCAAAGAGAGATTTCAAATTAAGCAGGGAAGAGAAAGAGGAGCTGGATGAAGAGGACACAAAGAATTATAAAAGCTTGCTGAAGCTCTTCAACAATCAGTTGCTCTATTTTCGCAACAAGATAAAAAACAGAGAACAGAGGAGAGCGGCTACCGAACGCTACCGCGAGCGTGCCAAGGCAGAAACAACGGACATGCCAGGTAACCCCACAAAACTCGACGTGCAAAACCTTCGTAACACTCTCAGTCGCAGGCTCAAGTATCTCTTAGAGAAAAAGTTATTCGTGCAAGGGTGGGATGACAACGACGAGTATTGGATGCAAGTCTTTAAAAGTCAGCCGGGAAAGGGAGGGAAAAGCGATGTGCTTTTTGAGCGCTATCATGAATTCAAAAAAGCAGTCAAAGAGACACGCAAAAGAGAACGGACAGACGGAGCTGGCGCTGGACCCTCACGTCCTCCAGGCACGATGAAGACCACAAAGGCTCAGGCAATGTCTGCCCACAAGCCTCTTCCCGTGCACGTTCCACGAGAGATGCAGTGAAGAAAAAATGAATGAATGCATGAGTTTTAAACGAACGAGTGAATGTATAAAGTTGCGCAAGACGGAGCAGAGACGGTGTGAAAATTGCAAGGCTTCTGTGTGATGACTTGGAGCCGCTGAGGGGGGAAGCGATGGGAAGAGAAACAAATTTATGAGGCGCAAGGGTCAACTTCACTTACAAGACAGAAAGACTCTGCTTCGAGACGGGAAAGTTGTCGCCAACAGGTGCCACACAGCGCACCAGAGTTCTGCGTGTCGAGACAATTGAACGGCTCTCTCGCCCTCTGTTTTGCTCCAGCCTAGTCTGCTGAGTTTCCTATGAGGACCTGTAGGACACGAAGCGCCCCGCGGGCTATCATTCACCTGTATTGTCTTGTTTATTTGCCATTGTGGCGGTGGAGTTGAGCACAAGGCGTCAGTGCTCAGGTTTGGCCCCGAACGGCCCGAAGGTGCTGGCTGCCTTGAATGGCTCGCTTGTTGCTCTCGAAGGATACTTAAGGACTGCATCAGCTTGTTCTCGTTCTTCATACACTCACTCACGACATTGATTCTTCGATGCAGCCAAAGATCCACTTTGCGCTCCTGCCCTTATTCCTCTCGCACTCGCTCGGTCAGCCCTTTCCATTGCAGCACACGAGTCTCCTTTCAATACAAAAGCGGTCGCCGCACGATCCACCGCCGCAATCGCACCACGAAGGCTGGGAAACAGATAATGATGTCTGGGGAAGTATCCTAAGAGGCTCTCCCTTGCGCGAATGTCGAGGATACCTTCCGGCGGCCAACGAAGACACGAGACCTCCTCTGGCAATCCATGCCGTCTCTTCGCCGTCACCACCACAAGTTGCAAGACCGCCTTGCTCTTTTCAAAGCCGAGAGACAAGTTGGCACGTCGCTCCCGCTGTGCGAGAAAGCAAGAAGAAGCGGAAGAAGAAATACAAGGCCGAGGACAAGGCTGAGGAAGGCAACGATTCATCATTACAGGTTGCAAGCTCACGAAGTCGGAAGAGGAATCGGTACGTCCCTCCTGCTGTGCATGAACGGAAAAAGAAGCGGAACAGGAGATCCAAGGGCAAGAAAGAAAATTGGGCCAATGATCCCAAATCAAAGGAGATGTATAAAAGGGCTGTTGAGCTATTTGAGTCCAAAGAACAAGGAGGATCCGGATTCCGCTTGTCGAAAGATGAGATGAAGTATCTAGATGTACCGGGTGTGGACATGTTCAAGGCTATCAGACAACAGTATCAGTCCCACCAGCATGACAAGACACGTCGAACAGGGAGGAAAATCCCGCGCGATCCAACCTCAGACCACACCATAGATTATCATCTCGGAAAATTGAAAGCCGTCCTTGAAGGCGACGCCAAAGGCACGACCATCACCAAGTCAACCGTGGAAAAGGTCCTAGCGCTCGCAAAAACAGAAGATGATCAAAAGAAGGACGACGGCAAACAGCTCCTAGAGCTGTTGGCTAAGACTCGAGACCGAATATTTAAAGACTGGGATGACGATCCTCACACGTATTGCGTGTCTCGGAGGAACTGTCCTTTCCCGCTCCTCGATGAAGTCTTGAAGTCAAACCTCTTTCCTTGATCCACTTGTCTCTCCTGTTGCTGTGTTCTGGCCATTATCTCTGGTACTCCACTGTTGAAGAACATTCTTGCTTTCGTCGCTGCCTCAAAAGGCGCAGGTTGCCAAGCAGTGTTGTAGCGCCGTTCTGCATAGTTAGGCATTGAACCTCACCACCCTATGTTCTGTTTTGGCCCCCTCCCGTTGTGTTGACTCCTGTCTCTCACATGTATGTTACGTGAGAAGGCCACCCAAAGAGTCGCACAGTCTTTCAGATGACATATCACGACGAAGGAAAGAAAGCACAGGCAACAATCGTCGTCAGAGTGACATCTTGCTGAAGTGCGGGCTGAAAGGCTCGGCTAGAGCAATTCTTTTTCCCTGGGGCGTCGCCGCCAAAAAAGCGTGTGCAGAACAGTACACCGCCTCGGGCCCTTCACCCGTGGCAACCTAGGCCTTACTACAGCTCACTGTGGACGGCGCGCTTTCGTCCGTGTGCAGCCCTGCTTTACCGTATCTTGCCTTTGCTATGGGAATGAGACGTGAGACGCCCTTTCGCAGACGTGCCACCAAGTGGGTTGGCAGTGTTGGTCCGATCGGGTCTTATCTGCACTATGCAGCCTCCGTATGAGAGGCTGTCGTAGGGCTCTGATCGCGTCATTCTCGTCTCTTCTCATCCCCCTCCATCCAATCACCACCGTCGCCTCTTCGATGCAGCCAGCACTCTTCGTCGCCCTCCTGGCTCTGCACTTCCCACTTGCACTCGGGCTGTTCCTTCCCTTGCAGACCACGAACCTCTCTCGTCTGGCAAAGCGCTCGCCTCCCACCCACCCGCATCGATCGCAAGTGGTCGATGGAAGAACGCAGGAGGTAAGCTGGGATAGCTTACTACGCGGTTTTACTTTACGTGACGCAGCAACCTCGTCTTCTTGGGCCATGTTGGACGCATGGATGATACGCTATTGCCTCTCGCTGCCACAGCGGCAAAGTGGCCCCGCGCTGGAGCAGAGGTGGTATTTCCCTCCCACTGTGAAGAATCAAAGGTCTGAAGCGCAAGGCAAAGACGAGAGAGAAGCTTGGCGTAACGACTTCGTAGCGGAACTTGATCACCGAAAGGCGTACGACCTATTCAACTTACATAGGCACATCAAGGAAAGTCGGCCTGATGGGGGGAAGAACTACCGATTCGCGCTGTCGAAGAAGGACGATGACGAGCTGGGTGAGCCAGGCAAACGTCTATATAGGGCTCTTCGTGACAAATACAGAAGTGAAGAATACAACCGCGGTCGTCCTGGTCGGGGAAACGGGCAGAAGACAGACGATTCGGTCACCAGAAACGCAGTCGAATACACTAGTAGAAAACTAGAAGCGATTCTCGGCAATGAGAAGAAAGGCACATCGTTCGATTTGGCGGACTTAAAGAAGATGCGAGCGTACACCTTGAAACTACGAAAGAAGGGAAAGGACATGTCGTGGGCTACTACGGAGCTTTGGGAGCCTTTGAGAGATGCACGAGACAGAATCATGAACGACTGGAAGTCGGATCCATACACGCGCTATATGAATGACGTCAAAGTCCCTCTTCCCCTGCTCGATAAGGTACTCGCGGAGATGCCCACGTCCTGATGTTTCTTTCTTCTTGTCGCTGTAGCTTTGTTAGTCTCTATGATTCATCTGATCCATTTACTGTGTATTTCTTTTGTCATTTGACGCCGACTCGATGGGCGCAGGTTGCAAGACAGAAGAGCTTTGCTTGCTTCAAGAGGACGAGGATTTCGTCAAGAGGTGCCCACAAATGCGCCAGAATACTGCATCTCGAGACACTCATACGACTTTCTCACCCCTTGCTTTGCTCCAGCCTGGTTTGCTGAGTTTCTTGAAAAGCTCTGCAGGACACGAAGCGCCCCGCGTGCTATCACTTGCCTGTATTGTCTTGTTTTTCCGTCATTGTGGCGGTGAAGTTGTGCTCATATTTGGCTCCGAATGGACCGAAGGGTGCTGGCTGCCGCGAACGGGGCTTCCTGAGATCCAATGTTGCATTTCGCCCTCGAAAAATACTTAAATAGTGTATCGGCTTGTCCTCTTTTGTCATCCAATCACTCAACGACATTGATTCTTCGATGCAGCCAACAATGCACTTTGCGCTCCTTGCTCTGCTCTTCTCGCACTCGCTTGGTCAGCCTTTTCCATTGCCGCCCACGAGTCAGCCTTCTCCACAAAACCGATGGCTGTCCGATTCGCAACCCAAATCGCAGCTCAAAAGTGGGGAAGCGCACGAAGACATCTGGGAAAGCATTCTTAGAGGCTCGCCCTTGCGTGACTGTCGAGGATACCTCTCAGGGGACGAAGAACACACGAGATACCCCCTGGCAGTCCACGCCGCCTCTTTATCATCACTGCAATATGCAGAGTCGCCTTGCCCTTCCCAAAGTCAAGAAGAAAGCCGGTTCGTCCCTCCTACTGAGCAAGAACCCGAAAAGAAGAGAATGAAACGCAAGTCCGAGGACAAGGATGAGGAAGAGCGCTGGCACAATGGTTCCTCACTACAAGTTGCAGAACCACGTCGCCCTCCGCAAAGTGAAGAAGGAAGTTGGTTCCATGCTTCTGCTGTGCGTGAACGGAAAGAGAGCAAGAAACCCAAGGCCAAGGACAATGGGGAGAAAATAAGTTGGCCCAATGATCCTATATCAAAAGAGAAGTACAGAGAGGCCCTTGAGCTTGTTGAGTCCAAAGAAAAGAAAGGTCTCAGACTTTCCATGTCGTCAGAGGAGCAGACTTATCTACAGAACCCGGGTATGAACATGTTCAGGCTTCTTAGTACACAACGCCGTAATGGGAAGTACGAACAGACACATGGAAAGAAGAGAGCAAAACCGCGCCATGCAATCTCGAACGAAACGATAAATTATCATCTCGGAAAGTTGAATGCCGTACTCAAAGGCAACGCCAAAGGCACAACCATCAGCAAGTCAAACGTGGAAACAATCGAAGCGATCGTGAGAAATCAAGATAATAGAATGAAGAAGAAAGCCAAACAGCTCCTAGAGCTGTTGAGGAAGGCGCGAAACCGAATATTTGAAGACTGGAAAGACGACACGTATACGTATTGCGTGTTCCGGAGGAACTATCCTTTCCCGCTCCTGGACGAAGTTTTGAAGGCGAGCTCCCTTCCTTGATTCGGTTGCCTCGCCTGTTGCTGTACTCTATCTAGTCTCTCTTTCATTCGATTGTTGAAAAAGTCTCTTGCATTCGTCGCTGCCTCGTAAGGCACAAGATGCAGCAAGGACTCTGGTGACCGTCACTCACGAAGCAGTGCTGTGGCGACATGCTGCGTGGCGGACCCTGCACCTCCTCAATCTCGATTCTGCTTGGGCCTACACCCAGGTCTGCAGCATTCTGCCTCTCACGCGAGCAGCCACGCAGCTCGGCCAATCACATGAGGCTCTACAGGGAAGAGAAGAAGGAAAAGCACAAGAAACAGAGGTCGTCAGGGCAACATTTTGCTGAGTTAAGGGCTGATAATTGAGGGCTGTAGTCAAATATGCCTGGGGCGTGGGCCATGAGGCGCGAACTGCACACCGCCTCGCGCTCTCAATTTCTGAGGACATGGGCTTTCTACAACTCACTACGAACTGCGAGCGTTCGTCCCTATGCGATCGCTTGTTTACCTCGGTCGTTGCCGTGGGAATGAGATGCCTCGTCGCCGACCTGCTGCCGAATCTTCGCCGACGTGCTGCAGAGTGATTTGGCAGTGTTGACTCGATAGCTGAATTGTTCGGCCTCCGTGTACTCTCTCCTACAAAAGGCCATCGTAGAGCTTTGATCACGTCGTTCTGGTCTCTTCTCATCCTTATCCAGTCAACCACAACTGTCGCCACCTCATGCAGCCTGCAAACGTCCTCGCTCTCCTGGCTCTGCTCCTCCCGCTGACATCCGGGCTGCTCCTTCCGTTGCAGACTACGAGTCTCTCTCCTCTAGCAAAACGTTCCCCACCCCCGTCTCCGGATCGATCGCAAGCGGTTGATGAAGGAACGCAGGAGGTGAGCTGGGAAAGCTTACTACACCGCTTCTCCTTGTATGACGCTGCAACGTGGTCTCGTTGGACCAAGCAACTACCTGTTGAGGGCCACGTCGGCGCCTCGTCGCAGCAGAGGAAAGATCCCACCGGTCCCTCGCAAGAGCCGAAACGAAGTTGGTATCACCCTCGTGTTGTAAGGAAATTGGAAAGTGGAGCTCAGGACAAAAATGACAAGGAAAAGTGGCGGAACGACCACCAGGCTGAACTTTGCTACCGAAAGGCCTACACCCTGTTCACAGAGCATAAAACCATCAAGGAGAGTCAACCAAAGAGCAGCACGCGCGTCCATTTCGAACTCACTGAAAAGGAGGGTGTTGAATTGGGCTACCCAGGTATGCAATTGTACAATGCTCTTCGTAGCAAATATTCAGACGCGGTTTACAATCAGACACACCCCAAGAGGATAAAGGGCCAGGAAAAAGACGGCCAATCTACCAAGGCCGCAGTCGCTTACAGTCGCAGTAAGCTCACAGACATTGTAGACAACGGCCGAGAGGGCACAATATTCCTTATGGAAGACCTCAAGAAGATACGAGAGCACATCGTAAAAGAAAGGCGAGAGCTGCTTGCTCCTCTAAGAAGAACGCAAGACAGAACGCGCAAGGAGCAGGCCTATACGGAACTTTATTTGCTTTTGACAGGCGCGCGAAACAAGATAATGCGCGACTGGATGCTAGATCCATACATGCGCTACATGAACGACGACAAAGTCCCTCTCCCTCTCCTCGATCACGTCATCAAGGAGGCCGACGCGCCCTGACCTCTGTCTCTCTGTCGTTGCTGTAGCTAGATTAGTCTCTGTGATTCATCTCATCCATTTGTTGTGTATTTCCTCTGTCGTTTGACGCCAACTCGGTGGCAAAACGGCCTCCGACGGTATCATCAAAACAGGCAGCCTTGTGACGTCGGACGCTATATCAGCCACATAAGCGCGGCTATTGAGTGAACTGTGTATAAATTCCTCTGGCATAAACAAATAGGTAGAGGCAGTGTGGCTGAGCGTCCGGCCGAAACAAAGCCCCCTCGGCAAGGGTCACTCTGCCGACCTGGTCCGAGACGCCACCGAGAAGACTATGTGGTTTATTGCCAGGGTGCCAGCAGCCCCTCATTAGTCGTCTCCCAGGATCACTTCTCGCTGCCTCTTCCCTCCATTTCACCTTCCTTGTCGCATCTAGAGTAGAATGAGCTCGACTGTCTTCCTTTTCCTCCTTTTCAAGCTGCTGCTGGCGCTGGTCCACGGGTTCGCCTCTGCAGCTGGACAAGCACCCCGTTCAGTTCAGCCGTCCAGCCCCCCTCCTTGGGTGTCCACGCCTCCGCAAGACTTGCATGCCAACGAGCAAGACAGGGAACAGTGGTATCATGAGCTTACGCAACAACGTCTGCGCACCCCAGAGCACTTTCCGATGGAGTGGCCTGATTTTCATGGCTACGAGGCGCGGCTCGTCAGTCACGCAGACGGCGGTCAGTCTACGGACCCACGATCCCCTCACGAAGCGACACCCCTCGAATCTACTGCGTCGGGACACGTAGCGCGGTCATACCATCACGTTGGCCACACCGATGTGCCCTCGTTCGATCCAGGCCAGTCATCGAGCTCTGAACGTCGACATGGCCGGAAATCTGAGAGGAGAGAGCATGGTCAAGACAACGAACATACCCATGCGGATTCATTGATCCGAGACTTATCTTCGACATCCAGAGACCAACGCAACGAGAAATCTAAAAAGGCCAGGGGCCATCAAGCTGTCCATGTCGACGACCCTCTTTTGGATCACGCCTCGTATCTGTATCTCGAGGGTCATCGTGATCCAACAAGCAAAGCGGTCAGACACCACAAACGCCAAGAAAGCGCACATGCGGCTGACAAGAACAATGGAGACGGTTCGGACTCGAAAGAGCCTCCCTGGCCGCTGACTGAAGAGGCTGAGGCAGAGTACAAGAAAGCCCAGAAATTGTTTTATAAGTGCGGAGGGGGTAGACTTGGGCAAAGCGACTACAAAAAGGCGCGTTTCCTCATCACAAAGGAAGACCGTAAAGACCTTGGGACAGAGGGTAAAAGGCTCTTCTCTCGTCTGTGCCACCTTGAGAGGAATGAACGGAAGTACTTAAAGGAAAAGGAAAAGAAGCAAGACGACCTGCAATTGGGGCGAGAAGAGCATTTCCATGACTTCGAGGATGAGCCTGCAACAGAAAGAACCCCTAAGATGGAATTAGACCGGCTGTGGACCAAGCTCGGGAGAATCGAATCCCGCCAGCTTAAGGGAACGTCGTTCACCCAGGATGACCTCGATTCACTTCGTCGACTTTCTGATTCGTTGCCTCTTGACGGACGCCTTTTGAGCGTCACCAAGCGTCTTCTGAAACAATTCAAGGCCATCGAAAGGGACTGGTGGGAGTTTCCCCCGCTGCGCTTTGGAAAAGAAGACAAGATGCCCAAATTCGACCACGAGTGGATCAAGCTGTTGCAAAAGAAATTCGAGAAGGCACTTACTTGAAAACGACGCACAGACTGAAGAAATCCAACAACAAGTCATCAAGACACACAAAAGCCGGTGCAAAACAAGTCGTGTGAGGCATGCTGTAGTCGAGAGGGTGTGTGTGTGTGTGTTTGTACAAAGAACGGCCCCTTTTTGTGTATGCGTGGCTGCTTTGGTGGCTGGTCCGGCGAGTGTGACTGAGAAGTGTGCAAAGGGGCTACGAGCCTCAATAAATTCAAGTCATTGTCCCTGATGAGTGCCCATCTTTCCCTGCTTTGATCACATCTGAAGTGCTGTCGTTGTCTTCGCAACGAGATGGAGAGAATCGCACGCGGCTTCCGAGAAGGAACCAGAACTTGATTGCTCCTTGTGAGACAACACCAGGCGATTCTTCCTGCACCTGCCGCCCACAAAGCCATTCCACTACCAATCGCATATGCACATTCTAGTAGCAGAGCAGACGAGTGAGAGATCTATGCTTGCGATGAGGTACTAGAGGGCAAGGGTAAAGGCCCAGGCATCACCTCAGCTGTGGGCAAACGAGACGCCCTTGGTGGGCCCAAAGTTTGGGTCGCCGCGCTCGGCCTCGGTCAGCGTCTTGAGCACCCGGGCGGGGTTGCCGGCGACGACGGACCAGTTGGGCACGTCTCTCGTCACGACGCTCCCTGCACCGACGGTGCAGCCCTGGCCAATGGTGACGCCAGCGCTGGGGACGCGAGGCGAGGCAAAGGCAATGGCGCACGTCAGCTGTTGGGCTCTTGCGCGGGTGTTCTTTGACGCACTGTCCACTCACAGGATCGACACGTTGCCACCGACCCACGTGTTCTTGCCCACGGCAATTGGCAGCGCCCGCTCGGCGCCCGTCTCGCGCTCGGTGATGGAGACGGAGTGGGTGCCGCCGTAGAGGTGCACGTTTGGGCCAAAGAGGACGCCATCGCCGAGCCGGACGGCGGCACAGTCGAGAATGACGGTGTTGAAGTTGCAGTAGAAGGAGCCCTCAAAGGTGATGTTGGTCCCATAGTCGCTGGTGCAGCAGCAAGACATCGTCAGGCGGGTTGGACCGAGAGCAACCGAGCGAAGACTCACCAGAGAAAGGGGGGATCGATGAAGAGCTGCCGCGATTTCGCCTCGTCGACGCCAAAGATGTCACGCAGCAGCGCCCTGCGCTCCTCGTTCATAATGTCGTTGTATCCCTTCTCGGTCTCATCGGCAGGCCCGGGCACGCTGCGGTTGTAGCGGCCGCACAGCTGGCGGCACTTGAGCCGGCGTTGCATCAGCGCATCGTCTGTCGCAATGTACGGCAGGCCCAGGGCAGAGCGCTCCGTCATTGTCATCGACGCCAGCCGCTCGGCATACTGCGCATCGGCCGCAGCAAACTTCTGCGACGACGTTTTTGCTGTCCCGTTTGACATTTCGGCGTTGCCCTCGCTCGCTGTCCTCGTAGTGGTCGAGTCAAGAAGAAAAGAGATGCTCTCCCGGGGGGAACCCGCTCTTGCCAAATCGATCGAGCCTTAAAATCCAATCTGGAATCTCCACGTCGACGCGCACCGAGCCAGGACCGAGGCCCGACTTCCGAGCCTTGGCGGCTTTCGTCTCCAGCCAAGCCACACACAGAGGCAGAGACGGAAACGGGTCCGTAACCAGTATTCTATATTGTTCATCGGAGGAGGAGTAGCTGGCTAATTATCCATGAATATGTACCAAGTAAAAAAGGGGAAAGGTGGCTAGAGAAGCGCAAGGGTAGCAATGAATATGGACGCCAGCGCAAGAGCATGAGGGAGCTTCAAGTGAACCGCGCCGTCCGCGCCGCCGCCCTGAGTCCCTCCCCCTGAGCCCTGTGTGCCCTGTGAGGCCGATGTGGTTTTGGCATTGTCGATGACCCACTGGGGCGGTCCGACGCTGGGCGCATACGCGGCCGACGTGTCCGAGCTACTCGTCTCGCCGTCCCAGCAGTAGAGCTTCATGCATGTGTCGCACCGCTTGGGCCGGGCCATCTTTGTGCGCTCCAGCGCGCGCTGCATCGCTGCGCACGCCAGGCACGTGGGCCACGAGATGTCGGTGCCGGCAGTGAGCCCACCCAGGGTGGCGGCCTCGACACCGTTGTCGAGGCCCAGCTGCGACGTCGCCAGGTCGTACTGGAACTGGTCCGAGGTAAAGTTGCTCAGCGTCGACCAGGGGTAGTTTGCCACGTAGATGACAATGGGCGAGTCCGTGTCGCTGCAACCAAAGAACGTCGGACGCGTGTTGAGGCCCTGGCCGACAAAGTCGGCTCCCGCAGGCACGGCGGGCATCTTGACGGCACTGCCAAACTGGCCTGCGAGCGACGAGTAGCGCAGGTAGGTGGCGTAGATGGAGTAGCCGGCGGGCCAGCCGTTGGTGCCCTCGCGGAGCGAATCGAGGGTGAGGACCATGTCGACGTTGCGCACGGGCTGGATCAGCGGCGCCAACGGGATCACCTGGCCGTCCTCGCCGCCGTCGACGAGGGTGAGGCGGTCGTCCTGGTTGTTGTTGAAGCCCTTGAACGGGTTGGGGATCGAAGGCAGTGTCTGCTCATCGTGTTAGTCTCTTTCTCTCTGCTCTCTCTCTCTCTCTCTCTCGCGGTGGTCTTGCGCGACACTCACGTTGGTCAGGACAGCGACGAGACCCCGGACCTGCGAGGGAATGTCGAGGTTATTGATAAAGGTGCTGAACGCGCCCTGCGCATAGCTATTGAAGATGGCGCTCGACAGGCCCATGACGTAGCCGCTGTGGACAGAGGGGGTCAGTGCCATCGATGCATTCCAGCACCAAGAAGAAGGTGGACCCACGCAGTGGCATAGCCCAGGACGCACTGGCCGTCCTGAGGCGCGTTGCCGCCCGTCAGGGGCGTGCCCATCACGCTGATGTTGGCAAAGGCGGCGATGGCAGGGTCCCACGAGCCGAATTCGTACGGATTAAACTGCGGCAGGGCGTCTGTCAGTCAGCCAGGGTTGCAGCAGCAGCAGCACTGTTCCATCAGGCCCACCTCGACGATGGTCGCATTGCCGCCCGCGGGCCGCAGCGCTGCGCCCTGGTAGTCGATGGCCGTGACGAGGGGAAAGGGCTTGGACGCGTTCTGGAACGACGGCGTGCTGCTGATGTCGGACCACTGCGCGGTAAACGGGCTGCTGGTCGCGACAAAGTGGCCGGCCAGGAGGGTGCCCCAGACGTTGACGACGCTCAGGCCGGGGGTGAGGACGCCGCTGAGGAGCTGGCCAGCCTGGTTGAGCGCGGCGACGAGGGGCGAGACGAGGTCCGTCGCGCTGAGCCGCGGCGGCACAGCGGGCAGGCCGCCGTCCTCGAGCTGCCAGACGTTGTCGTGGAGCGACTGCACCGTCGGCCAGTCGTTGAGGGCGAGCGTGCCCAGGGCCCAGCTGCCGCCGCTGAGGCCGCCAATGTATGAAAAGAGGTCGAGGAGGCCTGCGGTGCCCCTGGCCTGCGCTGTTGCGTTGCGCGCATCTAGGCCCTGGAGATAGCCCGTGTTGAAGAGCTGGGCGGAATCGCAGCAAGGTATGAGCAATTTGAGGGATCTGCGCTGGGTTCCATCATACTCACAGTCGCCGTCAGTCCGCCGCCGCTCATGGCAAACGCGATCCTCGGCGGGTCCTTCTGGATCATCGCCGTCACAGCATCCGACGAGAGGTTGAGCGCCGAGAGCTTGTCGAGCCAGGCCTGCTGTACGACCTTTGTGCGCCGGTCGATGTAGGCGGCCTCGCCGGCGCCCAGCGTCTGCGTCTGGCCCACGTCGCGCGCCAGGCCGCTCGTTGCAGGGCATGCGCCCGAGTTGGCGAGGCTCTGCGACGCCACTTGCAGCGGCGACAGCAGCAGCACCACCACCACCGAGAGAAGCGGCGCGAGGACAAGCATCAGGGAGCAGTGGTGGTCTCGTGTCGAATCGCCGACATCTGTGCGGCAGTGCGACTCTCAGATCTGCGTTTGCGCATCAGAGAAACACACTAGCTTCGTTTTTTGAATTTCCACGCTTCCCGAACACGACACCGTGTTGGCCTCCTTCGACGCCCTCCAGCTCCTCTTCTCACGATCATTGTGCCACGTGCGCTTGTATCACAGGGGTAGTGCCGAAGCTGGAGAGCGTCGCGGCGCCTTGGCCTCTACATCGTAGCCAGATGGGAGCTAGAGCAAGTTGCCAGCTCCCCGAAACAATTAAAAGAGGGCACGGAGCCTCATCCTGTAGTTGCAGTCGTTGTTCTTCATTGCAAGGGCGCCAGCCTCTGCTACAGAGATCTTGACGTCAAGCCACGCACATGCGCTCGCAGTTGCAGCTTTTTTCACACGTCCCTGGCTCTCCGAGTCTTCCCTATCGGCAGCCAGCCATGACCCGGAACGCCCGGTGCATAGTTTCGCCGTGTGCTACCAGAGAACTTTGGCGCAGGCACGACCTTGGCGCTTGGCCACTGGCAAATCACAACGGCCGACGAGTGCAGGGGGCCACGTACTCAGCCCGCCCCTTTTCAAAGCATTCACAGCCGATTCGACTCCCCGATTGACGTGGTGAACATGCAAACGCAACGTCGATCCGCGAGGCCATCGTCATTGAGCGTTCGAAATCTGGGAAGATAGTTGTCCCACGGCCGTCCTTGTCTCTCTCTCTCTCGCGCGCGCGTTGCAGGCGTATGAGCCGCGTGCCTCTTCTCTGCTCGGTCGGCCGAACGCGTTTTTATTTATTTCGTCCGCTCAATCGCCGGTGGAAACTCCTTTTCTCCTAGGGAAACCCACCGCCGTTTTATCCACCTCTGCTCAGGTCGCTCTTGCGCGTGACAGGCGGGCTGCCCATTCTGGAAAAGAAAAGCAATAGACTCAGTAGAATAGTACTACTACTGGCCAGGTGCTTCCTCAGTAATAAAACTTCCTGTACTCCTCCGTACTGCTGCCACTGCTGGATGCATGCGTGTAAAATTATTTTCGCCGGCAAACTCTCTCGTAGTTTACCCCGCAGGCCGTAGGACCGAAAGAAGACTGCAAGAAGAGCAGGCGGCAAGCGCCTTTATTTTTCCTCAAGTGACATGCAGTAGCTAGTAATATCAGGCGTGGGCGGGCGGGGAGAGGGCAGCAAGCGACGTCAGCGTGCCTGCACCTCCTCCCTCAACACGCTCGGTCTTTCGTGAGGCGAAAAATTTCCTCCATTGTCCCCCTTCTTCGCCCCCACTCGGAGTACAAAAGGGCCCCACTCTCGCGTTCGACCACGCTATAGCCAAGACCACCACCACCAGCACCTGCCAAGATGGGACTCTCATCGACAAAAACCAACACAATGGGCCTCAGCGGCACCAAGCTGCGCTTCATGATCGCGGCCGTCTCCATCACTGGCTTCTCCCTCTTTGGGTGAGTTGTGACGTCTGTCTGCTCTCCTCAAGCCCCACTGACGCAGTGATGACACAGCTACGACCAGGGCCTCATGTCGGGCATCATCACCGGTACCGAGTTCAACAACGAGTTCCCGGCCACCAAGGGCGACGACCGGCACGCAACTGTCGTGCAGGGCGCCGTTGTGTCGTGCTACGAGATTGGCTGCTTCTTTGGCGCCCTCTTTGCCCTCTTCCAGGGTGACCGCCACGGCCGCCGGCCCCTCGTCCTCGCTGCCGCCATCATCATGGTCATCGGTACGATCATCTCGGTCACGCCGTTTGGCCCCCACTGGGGCCTGGGTCAGTTTGTGGTTGGCCGTGTCCTGACGGGCATCGGCAACGGCCTCAACACGGCGACGATTCCCGTCTGGCAGTCGGAGATGTCCAAGGCCAAGAACCGCGGCCTGCTGGTCAACCTCGAAGGCTCCATCATTGCCGTCGGCACCTTTGTCGCCTACTGGATCGACTTTGGCTTCTCCTACGTCAACAACTCGTCGCAGTGGCGCTTCCCCGTCGCCTTCCAGATCGTCTTTGCTGTGCTCCTCTTTGCCGGCATGCTTGGCATGCCCGAGTCGCCCCGCTGGCTCATCGCCCAGGGCCGCACCGAGGAGGCGCGCGCCGTGCTCACGGCCCTCGAGGACAACGACAACGCCCTCGTCGATGCTGAGTTGAGCACGATCCACGACGCCATCCACCGCATGCCCAAGCAGCTCGGCTTCCGCGACCTGCTGACCAACGGCAAGACGCAGCACTTCCGCCGCATGCTCCTCGGCGCCAGCACGCAGTTCATGCAGCAGTTCACCGGCTGCAACGCCGCCATCTACTACTCGACCGTGCTCTTTTCCACGTCGCTCCACCAGTCCCGCCGGCTGTCGCTGGTGCTGGGCGGTGTGTTTGCGACCGTGTACGCGCTGTCGACGATCCCCTCGTTCTTCCTCATCGAGCGCATCGGCCGCCGAAAGCTGTTCCTCATCGGTGCCACGGGTCAGGGCATCGCCTTCCTCATCACCTTTGCCTGCCTCGCCGCGCCCGAGACGGAGAACAACGCAAAGGGCGCAGCCGTGGGCCTGTACCTGTTCATCTTCTTCTTTGCCTTTACTGTGCTCCAGGGCCCCTGGATCTACCCGCCCGAGATCAACCCGATGCGAACGCGCACGGCGGCCGCGGGTGTCTCGACGTGCACCAACTGGATCAGCAACTTTGCCGTCGTCATGTTCACGCCCATCTTCATCGGCCAGACGCGCTGGGGTGCCTACCTCTTCTTTGCGCTCATGAACTTCATCTGGATCCCCATCATCTACTTTTTCTACCCCGAGACGGCCGGTCGCGCCCTCGAGGAGATCGACATCATCTTTGCCAAGGCCCACGTCGAGGGCACGCCGGCCTACCGCGTCGCTGCGTCGTTGCCCAAGCTCTCGCCCGCCGAGATCCAGGCCGAGTCGGAGAAGCTGGGCCTGTTCGAGGGCGGCGCCAGCGACGATGTCGCCAAGGAAAAGGCCAGCGCCGGCAACAGCTCGAGCACGCCCTCGAGTCCCTCCGAGGAGGAGAGCCACTAGTCCGTGGATCCTAATAAAAATAAAAGCTCCCTAGATCTGCAAGCCACGGGAAGCAAATGAATTCGCTGTTCTCGCAACCATGTCATACAGAATTGTGCCTATAATCGAACGAGCAAAAGTCTTGTGCATGCTTTGGAACAAGTCAGTGTGTCTGTTTTTGGCGAGCCTGTCCCTTTGCCGAGGGGTGCTTTACGCCTGCTCACTCTGCATCGTCTTCTTCTTCCGATCTCGGTGGAGGAGGGGCAGTGGCGCGTGGAGGAGGCCCTGCACCACGCAGAGAGTGGAGGTGGACCCGGACCCACCTTGGTCAGATCTACAGTATACCTGATCGGGCTCGAGCCCTTGCCTGAGCCCAATCCCTTCATAAGGACTACCAACCACATCGGTAGCGCATCCCAAGAAGCTCTCAGACCATGCCGGGAAAGGTCTTTTTCGTCACAGGCACCTCGACGGGCTTCGGCCACTACCTCGTCAAGCATGCGCTCGCGCGGGGCGACTATGCCGTGGCGACGGCGCGCAACGCCGCCAAGCTCACCGGATTCGAGGGCGCCACCGACGCCAACTTCCTGCCCGTCAGCCTCGACGTGACCGACACCAAGTCGATTGACGCGGCCTTCAAGGCGGCCCTGGACAAGTTCAAGCGCATCGATGTCGTCGTCAACAACGCCGGCTTTGGCCTCAGCGGGCCCTTTGAGACGTATACCGACGAGCAGGTGGGTGTCGCTCCCCTACGTTCCCCAAGAGCAGCAAAGAGCTCACCCCCGCCTCCCGCAGATCCGGCAGCAGATGGAGGTCAACTTCTTCGGCCTCGTCAACTGCACCCGCCGCGCGCTCGAGGTGATGCGCGGCCAAAAGACGGGCGGCGTGATCCAGCAGGTGACGTCGATTGGCGGCCTCAACGGTGTGCCCACCTTTTCCGTCTACTGCGCGTCCAAGTTTGCCGTCGAGGTGCGTGTCCGATTGGCTTCTGCACTTGGTGAACCTGAGCTGACACCAGCCCTGGCACGTCTGATAGGGCTTCACCGAGGCCCTCTCCAAGGAGCTCAAGCCCGAGTGGGGCATCAAGCTGACACTCATCGAGCCCGGCGGATTCCGCACGAGCTGGTCGGGTGACAACATGATCTTTGGCGACAAGAACGTGCCCGCGTACGACCATCTCGACGCGCGCCAGCTCATGGCCAAGCGCCACGGCACCCAGGTCGGCGATGCGGCCAAGGCGGCCGTGCAGATGTACGAGCTGGCGCTCGAGCAGGAGCCGCCGCTGCGCATCGTGCTCGGCTCCGACGCACACAAGACGCTCTCGGACCGCCTCGAGGCGCAGCAGAAGCTCGTCAAGGACAATGTCAAGCGGTCGCTGGCCACCGACTACGAAGAGGGCAAGTGATCATCGTGAGCCTTCTGCCACTGAATGACGAGATCTATTGAAGAGGAGAGAAAGAGTGTGTGTGTATAAATGCTTGTGCGTGTAGTGTTTAAGCCAAAATAGTGCGAAGACTGCGACCTCCTCCTTTCACACCTTGCGGCCCAGGCCGCACGAGGCGAGGCGCCAGACGGCCTTGGAGAAGAGCGTGGCCCAGTGCTCAAAGGTGTAGGTGAAGCACATGGCGAGCGGGATGAGGATCGCATAGCCCGTGACAAAGACGACGGTGACGGCGGCCCAGTAGGGCGTGCCACGGGCGAGGAGCTCAAGGAGCAGCCAGGCATCCCAGGTCCACCAGACGAGGCCGTGGCAGAGGTAGATGCCCATCGAGTGCATGCCGAGAAAGTGCCAAACGCGGAGCCGGAAGAAGACCTGCACGCCGGGGCTCAGGTCGGCGATGATAAAGAGGCCGAGGATGAGCGCAAAGCCAGACACGCGCGGGTTCGTGTAGCTGTACGGCAGCCCGCCCGAGTCGGCATAGGGCCGCGAGGTGTGCCAGTCGGGGTGGATGTTGAGCTCCTCGGTCTCCATCAGGTTGCCGGGGCCGTTGGGGATCTGGAGGATGTACTGCTGGGCCCAGCAGGCCAGGAAGTAGATCCAGGCCAGCCAGCGGCCATGTATGCGCGCCCAGGGACGGCTCTCGCGGAGGAAAAAGGTGCGCCAGTGGGGCAGCAGCGGGATGCCTCGCTCGGCCCACTGGCGGTACTTGAGGTTGCCGTCGAGGTCGCCGACGATGAGGCCCGAGAGGAAGAAGCAGTCCCACGTGTTGGCGTACCAGCTCGCGGCGCAGCAAATGGCGTAGAAGCTAAACCGCTTCCAGGGCCGCTTGATCTCGTGGGCGACGAGGGCGCAGACCATGCATGTCCAGATGCCCTGCACGATGACGGGGATCGTCCAGAGCACGCCGGTCGCGTAGCCCGTGACCAACGCCGGCTCCGCGGGCGGGCCTGCCCAGGGCAGCGTGAGGACGGCATTGACAAACACGAGGACATTCTCGTAGTCCTGCCAGTAGCTCCAGGTGGACCAGGTGCGCGAGGCGAGGCGCGGCACCCACTTGAAGGCGGAAATGTCGATGAGAAAGTAGTTGGCGAGCGCGGCACCGGCGACGGGGAGCATCAGCCGCGGCAGCCGGCGCACCGAGGCGTCGGCCATCGAGTCGAGGCCGCCGCGGAGGAGGTAGCGCTGGCACATTGTGCGTGCGGGCAGCGCGAAAAAGGTGCCCAGGAGCAGCAGCGGGTTGTTGAGGGGTCCACCCAGGAGGATACGGAACCACTTTTCAAACTCGTAGTAGTGGTGCGGGCTATAGAAGTCGGAGATGCCGTGGTAGTAGATGAGGAGAAAGTGGCCGAAGCTGACAAACAAGCACGCATAGCCGCGCATCCCGTCCAGGTAGTCGATCCTCGTCGCACCCGTCGACGTGCGCTGCATCTCGCCGCCCCCGATGAGGAGCGCGTGGCGGATGCGCGACGAGACGACCTTGAAGAGCGTCGGCTCGACGTGGACGGCAGAGCTCTTTCGCCTGGCCTCCTGCACCGCTTGGTCGGCCGGCTGTGCGAGCTGGCCGCCGTCCTCGTCGTCCCGGCGCCTCTTCCAGCGCGCAATGACGGGGTTCCCCTGCGGTTTTTCTTGCTTGGCGGCGGCGGCGGCGGCGACATGCTGGAACTGCGACATGGCAGCCGGAGCAGGAACGGGAGAAGGACGCTGGCGATCGCTGGCATCAAAAGTGCGATCGGGCCGTCGAGGCAGCGCAGGGTGGAGATGCAGAGGCAGCTCCGGCTCCCGCTCGCCTGCATAGCCCCGCCGGTGATGCATGCCCAGGTCCTGCACCATCGAGTCGTCGACGGCGCTGTCGTCAAAGGACTGGTCGAGCACGGCCGTGTCGTCGTGCCAGCCCTGGAAGAGCTGCCGCAGCGCGCCCTCGTGCTGACCGCCCACGTCGCCGCCCTGAGCCGCGTCGTGGCCCGCCTCGGCCTCCAGAGGCATGGTGTTGATCCACATGGCGAGCGACGAGGTGGAGGCTGACCGTGAGATGACGCTCGCCGAGCCAGGCACCCACTCGGAAGCAGTGCCGCTGCCGGACCGCTTGAGGCTCGGCCGGGCAAAGAAGTCCTTTTCGCCATCGGCGCCGTCATGCCCGCCGTGGTGGTGGTGGTGACGCCGCTCCCGTTTCAGCTGCCGCCGCGCCAGGAATTGGACGAGCAGGCCGTGGCCGATGAGAAGAAGGGTGAGGCACACCGAGACGAGCTCGAGGATGACTGCCCAGATCGGCACCCGGAAGTGAGGATGAGGCGGCAACACGCGCTCGAGTGACTCGACAGCGAAGGGCGTGCTGCCGCGGAGCGTGTTGTCGTCGGTGCTGCACACGCTGTCGGCGGGCGGCGACGAGGCGCACAGGTCCGCAAACTGGTCCCTGCGCAGGGCCAGCGACGAGTTGAAGAAGAGGCGCGCATAGACGACGTGCGTGACGAGGTCGGTGTACATCGGCGGGCCCTGCGAGGCGCTTGGCTCGCCGTTGGACCAGAACTGGAAGCTGACGGGGGCAGCGACCGACGGCAGGTTGCTTGCATTGTAGCCCTTTTCGTAGCTGACGAGGCTCGTGCTGGCGTTGCTCCCACTGTTTCGAAACTGGAGCAGCTTCGACGAGTGCCAGTCGATGCGGTGCTCGTACGTCTGAGCTATGTCGGCGTCAAACCAGGTGAGATTGAGTGTGAGCGGGTCCGAGTCGCGCCCGCGCGTGGCGTAGTCGAGGCGCACCGTCACGTTTGGCGCCAGGTCCGACGCAGCATGGTCGTTGTAGAAGAGGCCCATACTTGCCGTCTCACTTTGCTCTCACGTTATCAGTCTTACATGTATACAGCTGGGAGGGGGGAAGAGCGCATGAGAAGCCCACCTCTCGTTGTAGAATGTGCCAAACTTGAAAGCAGCACCCCCGCCCGCCTGGGCCGTGTTGTTGGGCGGCACCACCATGGTCCGCAGCGAGCCAAACTCAATGTCGCGCCGCCGCGTCACGAGCTGTGCCCCGTCGACGATGCGCTCCTGGAAGTCGGGCACCGACACACGCATGGCTAACCCCAGGTCGCCGTCGGCAAAGGTGTTGTTGGCCTTGACGGCGCTGCGCCACGTTGCCCCAAAGCTCATCTCCCAGTCGTGCACCAGGTCGCCGACGACTGTCCACGCCTGCCCGCCCGTCTCGCCCGTCGGGCTGCTGTTACTTTTCGTCGGTGCATCCTTGCCGTAGATGGACTTGGCGCCCTCATAGGCAACATCGCCGGTGCCGCTCTCGTTGAAGTAGGTGATGCTCGCATCTGTCCACAGCTCGTTGGTCGTCGGGTCCAGGTAGCCGCACTCGCACGACGCCCTGGCCAGACCCACGGCCGCGGCCAGGAGCAGCAGTGGCGCAGCGACGACGGCGGCGACGGGGGCCCTCTTCATCGCTGGCGGTGATCGTGGTCGCTCCTCTCGATTGGCCGCGCGCGTGCGAGACAACGGTGGCCCTTATCATTGCGCGCCTGCTCAACCCCTCTGGCCGAGGCAGGCTGCTGCTGCACCCAGAAACGAGCATCGAACCTTCTTTGTGAGCAGGCGCGTCCATTGCGCCATCATTTTTTGCTTTTTTCGATTTCGGAGTCCGCCGATCTGGGACATGTCGGGAGCGCGTCTCGAGGGGTGTAGTATTTGCAGAGCTGAATTCTGGGCTGCCTCACACGCACGCTTAGGAGCTTGTCACTTGTAGCGATAGGGAGACGAGACGACAAAGGGGAAAGCAGTCTGCTCCTCCTGCTCCCGCCCAGCACACCAAGACCGACGATGAGGGCGATGGTGGACAAGCTCGCGCATGCGGCCTCGTCGGCGGCGTACGAGTGGACGCCGCTCATGCTGCTGTTCTCCTACTGCCTCGGCTCGTTTGCGCTGTACCCGCTGCTGCCCGACACGGCGCACGAGGTCCTCTGGTTCGTCCTCGCGGGCCTGCAGACGCTGACGTCGATCAGCGTCGCGACGGAAGCCACGCAGGCCATCCGGCCCACGGTCAATGCGCGGCGGGACATGCGCCGCGCCGCCAAGGACGGCTGGGACAAGGAGCAGGTCGACTGGCCACGCATCGACGTCATCCTCGTCGCCTACCTGCCCAACGAGAAGGACATCATCCTGCGCCAGATGCGCTATGCCCTCACGCGCATCGACTACCCGCCCGACCGGCTGCAGGTGTACGTCGTCTACAACACGCCGACGCCCATCGAGCCCGTCGAGAGCGAGATGCGGTCGCTGCAGGACGACTATGCCAACGTCGAAGTCGTCAAGGTGCACGGGTCCAAGAGCAAGGCCGACAACATCAACCACTTTCTTTCGCTGAGCCACCCGCGCGGCGACATCATCACCATCTACGACACGGACCACTACGCAGAGCCGAGTGCGCTGCGCTGGGTCGCCAAGCGCTTCCTGGCAGGCGACGTCGACATTGTCCAGGGCCGCTGCTGCGTGTACAACTACACCGAGACGCTCGTCACGCGCCTCGTCGGCGCCGAGTTCGACATCATCTACGGTGTCATGCACGCTGGCCGCGCCCAGGTGCAGGGCTACGGCTTCTTTGGGGGCAGCAACGGCCACTGGAATGCGTCGCTGCTGCGCACGCTGCGCATGGAGAGCCACATGCTCACCGAGGACATCGACTCGTCGCTGCGGGCCATTGTCTCGGGCGCGCGCATCGAATACGACACGCGCGTCATCAGCTACGAGCTGGCGCCCACGACGGTGCGCTCCTTCAACAAGCAGCGCCTCCGCTGGGCCCAGGGCTGGACCCAGGTGGCGCTGCGACACGCGCTGCCGGCGGTGCGCCGGGGCGCCTACACCGACGCCAACGGTTGGCGCTCGCGCATCGGCCTGCTCCAGCTGCTCCTCTACCGCGAGGCCTACTTCTACATCAACACGCAGCTCTTTTGGATCCTCGTCGGCTCCCTCGTCACCGTCCTGCCCCAGCAGGGCTTCCACGTCTTTTTCCGCAACTTTGGCGGCTACCAGGTCGCCATCTGGGCTCTCGGCTTCAATCTCGTCATGCTCGGCGTCTGCCTGGCCATCACGCTGCGCAACCAGAGCCACTTTGTGCGCTGGCACGGCATCCTCGCCCTGTATGCGCTCCTGCCCTTCTACTATGTGGCCGTGAGCCACATGGCCATCTTCTGCCACTTTCGCCAGTTCACCGGCTTCTCCAAGTGGAACCCCACCAAGCGGACGTGATTTCCTCTCCTATAGAAATTGATCATCTGTTGCAAGAGTACGGACTGCTGTGGGGCAGAGAGAGAGAGAGTGTGTGTGTGTTGAGAGAAGCAGAAGAGTGGAACTATGTGACTAGGAAGTGATAGACAGCACGGCTGAACCAGAGGGCGCCGTCGTCGACGATGCGCGTCCAAACCGCAGCGGCGACGAGGCAGGCAGGCATCATCGAAGCAAAGAGCATGGCCCGGGCCCCGTCGTCGGACCAGCCGTGGTGCGAGACGAGTTCGCGGTAGATGTAGGCGCCCAGGCTGAGCAGAAGGGGCCCCGCCGTGAGCATGATGGCGAAGCCGAGGGAGCCCAGGAAGCGGAGTGGGGCCACGTCGAGCACGCGTCGCAACGCCGGGGTGAGCTCGACGAGGGCCAGCAGGCCGAGGCAGACGAGGAAGTCGTCGTAGCGCGGGTACACGAGGCCCGAAGAAGACGCGTCGAAGAGGAGCTTGCCCGTGTCGAGGTCCGCGTGGAAGACGAGCTCGGCGTTGATGTGCGACGGGAAAGCGGCCGTCCAGAGGTACTTGAGCAGGAAGCCAGTGGCCAGCGCAGCCACCGAGGCCCACTGGAGCCGTCGCGTCATCTGTGTACTAAGCGTCGACGCATACACGACGGAAAACTCGCTTAGGGCGAGGCCAGTGAGTGTGTACCACGACCAGCGGGCGACCCAGGCCGAGAGAACGATGAGAACGCTCAGGCCGACGATCTTCCAGCGGCGGAGGAGGTAAGGGATCGTCCACGCGACGACGGTCAGGACGTACGTCTGCTGGAAGGCGACGCTGACGAACCAGACGAGGCCCCTGGGTGCCATAAAGTCAATCACGCGCGAGCTGTCGTACGTCTGGGGCGCAAACAGGAGCGCGACGAGCGAGTTGAAGTAGACGAGGGCCGATGTGATGGGCGCAGGCGGCCTCGCGTAGTCGTCGTGGACCCTGTCGGCGACCCAGGCCGAGCTCGAGAAGGCGCCCAGGTAGTTCAGCACCGTCGATAGGGCCAGACTCAGCGCGATGGGGACGAGCAGCCGCACGGGGCGGCGCACGCAGGGCCCCGCCAGAGCGACGGCCTTGCGCCGCTCGATGAACGTCTGGCTGCCGACGCGGCCCATCAGGACTATGTAGAGGCTCATCGGCAGCGTCGAGTCGAAAAAGACGGGCGAGAGGACCTTGCGGAGGACGACCATCCACGTGGGGCCCGGCGCAGCAGCCACGACGACGGCAGGACAGAAGAGACGAAGAAAGGTCCAGAGGAGGGACTGAATGGCCACGATGCCTCGCAGGCCCTCGAGGTAGCCCACGCGGCGGGTGCGCGCGCGTCCTTGATCGTTGCGTTCATCCTCGACAAACGGAAAAGCGGTGAGCTGTCCTCCCGCCACGGCGGCCTTCTCTTTGCTGCCCTGCTCTGGTGCCGCGCTGTCGAGGGCAGGCTTTGCCTCGCCCGTCGGCGACTTGCCCTCGGCTGGGATCTGCGGCAGGAGCGAGGCATCGACGTGGTCTTTCTTCATAGGGACGCTCCTGTCCACCTCGAGGGCATGCATCTGCTTTGGCGACCAGGCGGCCACTTTCTCCTTCTCGTCGCTCAGCCCGGGTCCAGCATCAGGCTCGTCGGCCAAGCCCAGGAACGCCTGGCTGGAGGGATCCGCCACGGGCGGCCACGGCGCCAGCTCCTGGCGGTCAGCAAAGGGCGATTGCGCGTGGTACGACGCGGCGGGCGGCTGCCATGGCTCGAGAAAGTCCTTGTCCGACGAGGTGGGTGGCCACATACCTGTGCCATTCTCCTTGTCATCGTCGACAAGCGAGGGAGACGACGCAGGCGTCCACACGCGCTGCCCTCCGGCCGTGTTCGGCTGGGCAACGACGGGGACGACGCCCTGGAAGAGCATGGCGCGCGGCCGCGGCCTGTTTGACCTTTGCCGCTCCGACATCGACATGGTGGCCTGGGAAGCGACTACGTGGTGGAGCCCCTAGCAGAGGAGGAAACGATCACACCATCAGCCCTTATCTTACTTCTCTCATCAGTCTAGCACCCGTTGCACGCGGCGATCCCCATCGACCCGCTCCTCCTTCAGCCCGTAGAGCCATGTAACATGCACCCAGATTTCTTGCATCTGGCAGTCGAAAGAGGAAGATTCCTCAGACAGCCCGCTTTAGGTAAGCGTGATTTATCCAAACAGACAAACAAAAAACATGCACCGAGACGCGCGTTTCGGACCTAGATTTTGCTTCGGATATTCGCCCTTCAGTTTTTCGGGCGAGCGTGAGACAGTTATGGGGCGTGCATCCTCGGCACCGCTCACCAAGTAGTAGTGGTTGAGCATCTACCGCTGCCGCTCGGCAATGAATCTGGACCGCGGTGACATACAGTGCTGCGCTGTCTGTGCCTGGCAAGGTCGCAGGCCCAGGGCAATGGCACCGCTTCCCATGTCAGAAATGTTGAGCGCAGTTTCATGCTCCCCATAGACAAGACGCTGGTCGCCATTCTCCTCGTCGCGTTCACTCGATAGACTGAGAGACTCACCCTCACCCTCGATGGACGCTGCTCGGGGCGAGGCTGTGCTCCGCAGGCTTCCAGATGTCGTCTGGAAGCCCCGGTCTGAGTCTCGCTCCTCGTCTGCGTCCTCCTGCGCGTCCTCTGTTGCTTCTTTGGGCCCAGCGCGCGGCAAGGGCGCCGAGTGGCTCCTCCCCTGGCTTGAACTCGTCCTCGATGGGCTGCGAGCGGGCGCACGCTCGTTTGGGTCCGCCGCCGCCTTCAATGGAGGCCTCGCCCTCCTGCTGAAGCTCCTGCACGCCTTCAAGCGGCGCAGGCTCGACTCCCTCACCTCCTACCTCAAGGCCATCGTTGGCGTCGAGAACGTGCGTTTTGCCGCCATGGTCTCTCTCTGGTCCTTTCTCTATCGCATTACCCATGGCTCGCTCCAGCTCAGCCGGGCTGGACCTTCTCCTTCTGCGCCTCTCCTCCATCGGCCGTCGTGGCCTCTGACGCCTGCGATGAGTGTCACTACCAGCTCGAGTAGCAGCAGCAGCGGCAGCACCAGCAGTGGCAGCAGCAGCAGCAGCAGCAGCAGTGGCAGTGCAAGCAACGGCAGCGCAATGACGAGCGCCGCAAGCAGCCCTGCCACAACAATAATCACGCTCAGCGACGAGACGGGCGACGCCGACAAAGACCCCCAGGAGAGGTGGTACGACGGCTACGTGGCGGGCGCCGTCAGTGGCCTGGCGATCGCCGTCGAGACACGGGCGAACCGTGTGTCGATGGCGCAGCAGGTCATGGTCCGCGGCCTCCAGGGCTCCCTCCACGGCCTGGCCATCCCCCATGCCGCCGTGCTCGTCTTTGGTCTGGCGTGCGGCCAGATCATGTATGCTTCTCTGGTGGGTTGGACTGTACGGCATGGCCTCGGTGTGCTGGACTGACCGTGGATCGCAACACAGAACCGGCCCGAGACGCTTTCCCCGTCGTACGTGGCCTGGGTGCGCAATGCCGCGCACGCATCGCCGGCCTCGATGAGGGTCCACGGTGCAGTGCGACGCGGAGAGCCCATCGACATCGAGCGAGTGGCCAAGATGCTCCTCAAAGGAGGATCAGTCACGCCGAGGAACGCAAGCACAATCCAGCGCTGGCTCACTGCCGACGACAGGCGCGGCACGATTCCCTGCGCAGTGTGGCATCCCTGGAGCGACTCGCACGCGCGTGAGGCCGTGAAGCGCTTCTTTGTCGTCACACGCTGGGTGTGGCCCGTCTACCTCACCCTGACGATGCTGCCCACCGTGACGCTGCGCTTTGCGTCGCTCAAGAGGGCGTGAGTGGGCAACTAGCAGAGCGAAAAACTGATTGCTAACCTCAGACCGCGTTTCGAAAATAAAAAGCCCGCTCAAGGGACTCCTGCTGGCCCTCTTTGCCTCGGTGCGCTCCTCGTGCTTCCTCGGCGCCTTTGTCTTCATCTTCCAGGCCCTCCACTGCGTGCAGAATGCCCTGGGTATGCACTCGACCAAGGCCGACTGGCTCATCGGCTTCGCCACCTGCCTTTCGCTCCTTGTCGACGATGCCCGCCGGCGCGTCGAACTGGCCGTCTACGTTGCGCCCCGAGGCGCCCAGAGCGCATGGGCAGTCGCGAGGCAGAAGCGGTGGCTGCCGCATGTGCCCGCCGGCGAGGTACTGCTTGCCAGTGCCGGCCTGTCGCTCATCATGGTCAGTCTCATACCCTCGTTTGCACTCTTAAACTCTCCCTCATTAGAACTCCTTGCACAGGGCACCTACACCAACCACCCCGACCATCTGGCCGGCGTCGTGCGCCGCATCGTCTCGAGGGTGAGCATCCCCCGTCGCTGCTTGTGCCTCGCAGTCTGACGCTGACTTCTCGCCCAAGCTCATCGACTGAGCTCGCAGACTACCCACACTCCTTTTTTGCTGCATTCACTAGAGCGCTTTGTTCTGAAATACACACTCCTTTACACTCGTTTAGCCATTTGCATTGCCTCACTGCATCAGTCTACACAAACATGTCGCTCGTCGAGAGGCCCCTCCTCCTCCAGTGCTTCTCGACGCCGAGGTCTTCCTTTCCCCGCCTGAACAGGCCGTCAGTGTAGCCCACCTCGGACCCGCTCTGGCTGACGGCATGGTGGACGCCGAGCGAGACCTTGATCCGCGTCGGCGCGGGCTCGTAGCGCTCGCACATCGCCTTGCCCTGGGCCAGCGCAGCAATGTTGCGCGCGGCGACGTCGGCCTGGTGCCGCGCATTGCCGCCCGAGTTGAGCGCTCCAAACGCATCCGCGGCATCGCCCACGACAAAGACGTGGGGCACCGTGGCCGTCGCACTGCGCGCCTCGTCGAGCAGCTGCATGTACCGGTTCACCGGCGCAGGTCTGCCTTTTAGAGGCGTGCCCACCAGGCCGTCGAGGAACGCCGTGTTGGCGGTGAGGCCCGTGCAGTCGAGCACCAGGTCCGCCTCGAGGAGGACGCGTCCAGACGTCGTGGTGATCACCGTCGCGCCTGCTGTGCCCGCGCCCTCGTCGACCCTCTGCGAGACGGCGCGCTGGCCGAGGATGACGTCGACGTGGCGCTTGGTGAGCCAGGCGTGGGCGCGCGCATGCATGGCGGCGTCGAAGCGCGGCAGGAGACGCGCCGACGAGGAGAGGAGCGTGATTTGCTTGGTGCCCACTCCGAAGCGGTCGACGAGATCCGAGGCAAACTGGACGCCCAGGGCGCCGCCGCCGATGACGACGATGCGGCGCGCCTCGCTGGCTGCGCGCTGGGCCTGCCGCAGCCGCTCCATCGAGTCGGCCTTGGTCGCGAAATGAGAGCCGACGTCGATCGAGGCAGGCCGCTGTGCCCCGAGGGCATAGACGAGATAATCAAAACGAATGGTGCCGGTATCGTCTGCCGCGCCGCCCGTGTACGTCGCCACGTTGTTTTCGAGGGCCACGAGGCTGCCCTGGACGAAGCGGCTCTCCTGGCCCTCGCGCGCCGCTCGAAAGAGGTTCGTGTAGGGAATGAGGGCCTTTTGCTCGTGCTTGGCAAAGACGCTGAAGCGTGGAAAGGCATAGACGTGGTGGAAGTGGCTGTTGCGCTCCAGCAGCACGACGCGGCAGAGCGAGGCGGGCAGGTGCTCGAGAAGCGCCTGCACGGCCTCGTGGCCCGCGTAGGAGCCGCCGACGACGAGGACAGTCTTTGCGACAGTCATGGTGAGGGAAGTGGCAGGATCATCAGCTAGAAGGACTGTCGGCGGCCGGGCCCTTATTTATATGGCACCATGACGACCACAGCGCAGGCACCGTGCTGAGCAGCGCACGGAGACGCGTCGGACATCGCGTCGGAAATCAGTCGGAGATTGCAAGCTTAAAATTACAGGCCAAACAAAAACGGATCCGAGAGAATGTCCTCGACCGAAGGGCCGGCCTCGTCCGAGGCGGTAAACGCCAGGAGGCTGTCGAGCAGGGCTGACGAGTCGAGCGGTGGCGACGCATGCATGGTCATCGGCGGCGTGGGTAGTGCGGTAGTGAAGGACATGGTGATTGGAGCCGACGTCGTTGTCGCTGCAGCAAAGGAAGGCTTTTTTGCAGGCGCCGCCGGCGGCGGGTCGCGATACACCCGACCGGCGTACTCGGCCACGCAGTCCTCAAACATGACAATGGGCCGGCCCGAGCCCCGGTTCTTGATGCCGTCGACGAGGAGCCGCTTCAGGCGGCGGCCCGAGAGGTCTGCCTGGCCCACCTGGCGGGGCACGTCGCCCAGGGCGTCGATGATAAAGGCCAGCTTCTCGCTCGTCTCGCGGCTCGTCGGCCGGGAGAGGAGAAGCAGATCAAGAAGCAGGACGAGGCCGGCCTGGAAGACGCGGTGGCGGAAGCGCCAGGTGCGGTCCATGAGCAGGCTCTTTTGCGCCATGCGCTGGGTGCCCTTTGCGATGAAGCCAGCCATGAGCACGGCGCGGTCGACGGAGGCGACCTGGGCCGAGAGCGGGTCGGTGTAGCCCTTGATGAGGTAAGGTAGGTGGAGCGAGAGGAGGGTGCCGTGAAAACCGCTGGCGATGTGGCACGACTGGATGCGCAGCGCGAGGCGCTTCTTGAGCCGCTCGTTGGACCCGTCGCGGCGCATCTCGCGCTTGACGTCGACGCGCAGGTACTCGGGCAGCACGTCGAGGTAGGCTTGAATTTTAGCATCGAGGCGCAGCACGGCGCCGTAGTCGACGTCGTTGCGCCGCATCGCATCGTTGACGCCGGCCTCACACAGCAGCCGGGCCGCCGTGGCGATGCGGATGAACCAGGGCCACATGCACATCCGCAGCCGGTCCTCGAGCCAGGCCGGGTCGGAGTGTTGCTCGTCGCGCTGGACAGTATCCATGTCCAAGCACCACTCGGAGGTGAACGTCGAAGGAAAGATGGTGAAGCTGCCGTTGAACGGCGCTGCGTCCCAGTCGGCGGCCACAAGGGCGAGCCAGAGGGCGCGTCCCGTCACGCGCTCCCGGTCCTCGTGCACGTCGTCGCCACGGCCCAGGCTGTCGAGGCCCAGGCGGCGGGCAATGCGGATGCATGCGTCGAGGATGGCGGAGCGGCGCGCGGGCGAAAAGGAGATCCAGGGCGTCGACAGGAGCGAGATGCCGGCCTGGGCGAGGTGGCGTGTGCTGCAGCCCGCGGCCAGGGCGGCGCGGAAGCAGTCGGACGACGAGCGGATGCAGCGCCGCGTCAGCTCGGGCACCGACTCGGCGTCGTCGTCGACAATGCCCCAGAGAATGAGCCGGATCGGGGCGACGACCTCGTACACGGCGGCCATGACGGCGCAGACCCACGCGAGCCGCGTCGCCTCGTCGCTGTCCTCGGCGTCGGCAGCAGCCGGCTTGGAGGCGTGACTTGGGAGGTACAGCTGGCGGGCCCACTGGTGCATGGCCTCGGTGTCGTACGTGGGCAGCGTCGGGTTGACGTGGACCGAGTGCACCTCGAGGATGGCGTCGAGCTGCGACGGGTGGCGGGGCAGCAGCTCCCTCGCCTCGCGCACAGCCCCGGCCAGCGAGTCCTCGCCGTCCAGCAGCGGTCCTGCCGGCGAGCCTGCGAGTGTCGACGATGCGGGCGTCGCACGGCCAGGAGCGGCGCCAATCCCGACGCCAGTACCACTGCTGCCTACACCACCACCACCACCACCACCACCACCACTGCTGCTGCTGCTGCTGCTTGTGCTAGCTCGGACTGGGGCGCTTGCGCTGTCGTAGCGGCACCGTGACTCGGGGATGCACCTGCGCTCGCACGTCGAGCAGAGGGGCCCACGCCGGTCGCACTTGAGCTTGGAGCGACGGCACGGCTCGCAGCTTAGCTGCACCCGCTTCTTCCTGGGCGGCGCTTCGTACTCCATGGCCTGCCTCGGCGTGGCTTACAGCGGAGCTGGTGGCTATCTGCGCCTTCTGTGACACCGTCGAAGGAGGAAGGAAGCGCAGTCCGGCTCGGCTATAGCTCGGACATCATCTCCGACAGATCCCTTTTCTCCGATTAAACTTTCATGCGCGACTGTCCGTCCATTCCACGTACTGTACTAGACTGGCACGGGACATTCACTCTCAATGCATGTACTGTGCAGTACGGTACCCTTCTTCAACGGTAATCGAGACCTTCGAGCTAGGACTCGAGCGCCTGGGCGTTGGCTCTTCTGCGTGAATTGCTCTTCTGCGTCTTTCGCAGCACCTGGGGCGCACAGTCATCGACGATCTGAGGCCGCGTCCGGGGCGCACGTGACCTGGCAGGAGCGCGACAAGCTCGTCGAGCGCTGCGAGCACGGCGGCCTGGGCGTCGCGGTTGGCCGTCTGCCTGTGCCGGCTCGGGCCATCATGGCCCACTTGTCCCCCAGCAGCTGGATCGCATCTACATCGGCCAGGCTCAGGCGGCCGGGAGCCTAATCTTGTCCAAGGTAGAAATAGAAGAAAAAAAAAAAAATCCAATTCGGGGCCGATGCCGTCATTGATCGAGGCGTGCATATCGCTGACAAGAGAGGAGTGGATCGACCCCCTTGATTCATTCTGCCCTCTTCTTATTCTCTTCACTACAAGTAAATTGCGGGAAGAAGTATTGGCCAAAGACGGATCATCGCATTGCACCACCACCGACACGCTGGATCGCTCGGCCAAGTGAAGCAAAGCAGCCCATCGTTCGACGACGACGACGAAAGCGCAGACGCAGTGTGGCCCAGGCGGATGCTTCGACGCGCCTCCACTTTTGCCCGACGCCATCTCGTGACGGAACTGCCGACAAATACGACCAGGCGCGCTTCTGCCATGGCAAAGATGCCCGTCTACCGTGTGCCTGGCCCGCAGCCTGCTGCAGATGGTCTGACGGGGAGGGCGCGACGGACATCCTCGATGGCAGCCGCCACGCCCGCGCCGACAACGGCAGCAGTCGACCCGGCGCCAGTCCCAGCAGCCGCTGCTCCCCGGCGCAAGACGGCTCCTCGGCCGAGACCAGCAACAGCAGCAGGCGTCCTCGAGCAGCTCGACGGCCCTGGTCTCGGCGCAGTCGACATCAAGAGCAACGGCAGAATCAAAGCAGCAGCAAGAAAGCCCAAGGTCGAGGAGGCGCCAGAGGTCAATGTCGTCATCGAGATTGCCAACGACCAGAAGCCAAGTACGGACGAGGCAGCAGCAAAAGGAGGCAGGCGCCACAAGGTCGCGCGAGGACAAGCAGTCAAAGAAGAAGCGCACGAGGGTATCGTGCATGAGGAGCCGCCGAAGAGGCGAGCAAGAAAGGCTGCGATTGTAGAGAAAGACGACGACGACGACTACGATGTAGGCCTGGACGACGGTGTGCAGGACGGCGCGCTGGACGACGCGCCGAAGAAGAAGAAGACGAAGAAAAGCAGGGCAGCGGCCGTCAAGACGGAAGAGCCAGGCGAGGACAATGCCGCCGAGGCCGAACTCGACTCCGACGGCGAGCCCGTCCGGCGAGACAAAAACGGGCGAAAAATTGGGAAGCGCAAGCGCAAGCCAAAAGAACCCATCGTCTACGAGATCCCGCCCGTGCCGCACAGAGACTTCCGCCTCGAGGGCCCGCTCGACAAGCGTGCCGAGCGTGCCAACGGCTTCACGGGCAGGCTGGGGTATGCGTGCCTCAACACGGTGCTGCGCGCACAGGACCCGCCCAAGTTCTGCTCGCGCAACGTGCGCATCAAGACGATTGAGGAAAAGGGCATGGACTGGGTCTTTGACCTGGCGCGGCAGAATGTGCGCGACATTGTGCCCCTGCTCGAGTTCAACCACGCGCACGGGATCCACATGATGCGCTTGTCGAGCGAGATCTTTCCCTTTGCCTCGCACGAAAAGTACGGCTACGACATTGGCTTTGCGGCCGCTGAGCTGCGCGAGGCCGGCGACGTCGCACGCAGGCTCGACCAGCGCCTCACCATGCACCCGGGCCAGTTCTGCCAGCTGGGCACGCCGCGCGAGAATGTGCTGGCGGCGTCGATCCGCGAGCTCGAGGTGCATGCGCGCGTGCTCGACCTCATGGGCGTCGGCCCCGACGGCGTCATGATCCTCCACGGCGGCGGCACCTATGGCGACCAGGCTGCGACGCTGGAGCGCATCCGCCACACCATCGAGCACCGGCTGCCGGCCAACGTGCGCGCGCGCCTCGTGCTGGAAAACGACGAGATGTCGTACAGCGCCGAGGAGCTGCTGCCCCTGTGCGAGTCGCTCGACCCGCCCGTGCCGCTCATCTTTGACTTCCACCACGACGCGCTCCGGCCCTCGTCGCTGTCGCCGCGCGAAATCATCGAGCGGGCCAAGGCCCTCTTTGCCCGCCGCGGCATCACACCCAAATACCATCTCTCGGAGCCGCGGCCGGGGGCACGGAACCTGCGCGAGCGGCGAGCCCACTCGGACCGCTGCGCCGAGCTGCCCGAGGACCTGCCGGCGGATGCGCACCTGATGCTCGAGTGCAAGGACAAGGAGCAGGGCGTGCTGGAGATGTACCGCATCTACAACCTGCGCGACGTGCCCCACGACAGCCTCCGCCCACCCGCCGACGATCTCACCACGGCCACGGGCGGCCGTCGCTCCAAGCTCGACGGCAGCGGGGGCGCCTCGTCGCCCAAGAAGAAGAAGAAGAAAGGGGCAGCGGGGACTGGAGGCGAGTTCGACGGCGACGAGAATGGCGAGCCGGCCGTCGACGAGAAGAGCAAGGTGGAGCGGGCGATTGAAAAGGCAAAGGCAAACGCCCTCAAGCGTGGCATCGAGTACAAGGGCCCCAAGAGCCAGGAGGACCGGCTCGCGGCGAGGGGCCCACTGCTGAGTGCAAGGGAGGTCATGGAAGACATGAGGAAGCAGGCCGACTGGGTCCGCGCCGAGCTCCGCGCCGGCCGCGAGCGGCGTCCGTATCCGGGCACAGAGATCGAGGCCGAGGCGCCGGAGCCAGACGAAGGGACTGTTGTAGAGTAGGGCTTCCATCTCAGAGCTACTTTCACGCCTTGTAATCATAGCAGAGTGGAGTGGGTGAATAGAGTGACGATGCATGCTAGATGGTATGATACAATGAGGCCCGTGACGAGGTGGATGCACAGAATGAAGAGGAAGGGAAAGCACTCAGAAGGAAGACAGCCAGGCCAGCAGATCCGACCGCAGCGCCCGGGGCGAGAGGGGCTTTGTGCGCCAGTGGTCCATGCCGCAGACGTCGAGCCCGCGCCGCTGATCGGCCTCGGCCGAGAGCGCCGTCGTGGCAACGATGAGGGGCCGGTGACCGACGTCGAGCTCGCGCACGCGGCGGCAGACCTCAAAGCCGTCGAGGTGGGGCAGGGAGATGTCGAGGAGGACGACGTGGGGCCGGAACGTCTGGTACTTGTCGACAGCCTCGAGGCCATCGAATGCCTCTGCGTACGCGTAGCCCAGCTTGGAGACAATGACGGTGAGGAGGCGCATGTTGATCGGGTTGTCCTCGACGAGGAGGATCCGCGGCTTGCTGTCCAGCGGCGGTGACGACGGTGTGCGACGGGGCGGAGCAGCCCGGCGCGTCGCCAGCGCGGTAGTGAGGCATGTCTGCAGCGCCAGGACGCCAAAGGGCGCTGCCAAGATGTTGGCCTGGTCTGCGTGCTCAGGCGTGCGTGCCAGGACAATCGTCCTGGCACCGCCGTTGGGCACGACTTTGGCGCCATCGACGAGGCAGCTGGTGATCTCGACGTCGGCGTCGCCTGCGCCTGTGCTCTGCACCAGGCCCAGCCTCTCCAAACAGCGCTCCAAATGCGCGATAGCTGGCTGAGATAGGCCCTGGTCCGGGTCGTCTTTCTGTCCAACGATGGAGTACTTCTTGCCCACGAACAGCAGCGGCGCTTCGTTTACGACCAGCGCCGACTCCGAAGAAGAAGGCAAAGGCAGGTGCGGGAGCGTAAAGGAGACGGTCGTGCCCTGGCCCGGCGCACTGCGGACGGAGAAGAGGCCACCAAGACCCTCGACGAGCCTGGCGCCCAGCGTTGCGCCCACGCCTGCTCCGACTGTAAACGGGCTGGCCTTTTCAAAGGCCTCGAGATAGCCGCGCTCCAGGAACGTCTGGCTCATGCCGACGCCGCTGTCCTCGATCCGTACCTCGAAAAAGGGTGACGGGCCAGGGTTTGGGAGCACCTCGACGCGCACGAGGCCACGGGCGTCGGTGAAGCGGAGTGCGTTGGAGAGGAAGCAGGCGAGGATGCGTCGTGCCTGGGCGGGGCACGGGACCATGAGCGCTTGGGCCCGCGCGTCGACGTCGAGGATGACGAGGGGAAGCTGGTTGAAGGGACGGGCGTCATCAAAGATCTGGAGGTCCTGCCGCTGGAGTTGGGCCACCCGGCCAATCTCGCCACGGCAGACGTCCTCCACCAGTCTGCCGAGGGGTTCCTCCTTTTGTTCCTCGGCGGCGCCCACTCCCTCGTCCAGAACAAGGGGCACATCCAGCCTTGCCGACGCTGCCACATCGAGGTCGAGCACGCTGTTGACGAGGGCCTTGAGGTCGAGCGACGCGAGCCGGGCCGCCTCCAGAAGCTCGTCCTTGTTCGCTTCTGCCGACGCCGGCCGCTCGCCCAGGAGCTCGAGGTAGCCGAGGATGCAGTTGAGGGGCGTGCGCATCTCATGCTGCACAGACCGGACGAAGCGCAGCTGGGTGTGCTGTGCCACGAGGGCCTGCTCGCGGAGAAAGACATTGTGCAGCAGCACGCCGGCCGTGTAGAGGAAGTGGGTGTCGGTGTCGTCCAGGAGCCTTTCGTCGCACCACGAGGCCACGATGACGACATCGACGCCCTCGGACTGCACTGGCAGCGCAAAGAAGGCCCTTGTGGCGTGTGGCAGAACGGCAAGGAGCTTCGCCCTGCTGTCGCTGTCGTCGCTGTCGTCGTCGTCGACGCCCTGGCACCAGGAAACGAGGTGGCCCTCGCCGCGACAGGGCAGGAGCTCCCTCAGAGCCTGACTGGTCAATTGGCCTGCTGCTGCTGTGCTACTGCTGCCACTGGCCACGACATTGTCCTCTGTCTGCGAGAGGTCCACAATGGCCACGAGAGCAGCATCCAAGAGCCGGGCGAGCAGCTGGACAAAGTGCTGCTGCTGATGCTGCTGCTGCTGCTGCTCTCCGAGCCCTGCTGTGGCGTAGTCACGGGATCGCGAAACACCTGCCAGGGCCGCGCTGCCCTCCTGGTAGGCGACGGCCTTCTGCTGCTTGACACTCAGCGTGTCGACCTCGATCGTCTTGGCCGCCATGGCAGCAAGATCATGGAGCAGGCGCGCCCGGTCGTCGCCAAAGTCGGTCCAGGGCGCCTTGCGCATGACGACTAGGTTGCCCACATGGACCTTGCTGCTCTGCCCAGCTGAGCAGGACGACGAGGGAGAGGAAAGAAGCAGGGGAACGGACGCGAAGAACTGCATTTCGGCGCCGTGCACGTCACGCTGGACGAAGCCCTTTGTGCGCCAGTCCTGTCGCCGATCGCCGACAACAAAAGCAGCATTGCTCGGGAGCAAGAAGCCGTGCGAGCAAAGCGCATAGGCACTCGGGATGCTGTCAGGGATCCCCGCATCACCACACTGGGCCATGATGGACACGCGCGTCTCGTTGATGCACGACATGGTAAAGAGGGCAGCATCCACACTGAAGATACGCTGACGAGGGGGTACCGGTGTCAGGTGCATGCTCGAGAGAGAGAGAAGGGAAAGCAGCCTCACCTTGGCCATCTCGCAGTAGAGTTTCAGTTCCTCGCTCTTGGTCGGCTGGCCCAGGCCGTGGTGCAGGCTGCGGGGGGGGACGACATTGCCTTCAGCTTAACCCCTCTCTCCCGCCCTTAGGACGTGCTCACTCACAGCGTGGTTCGTATCAGCTTCTCTGCTTCCTTGGATGGCCGAGGGGCTCCGAGAAAGCCGTGCTCGCGGAAAAAGTCGAAGCTGCAGTGTCTTTCTCCCAGGTGCTCAACGCCAGCATCGTTTTCGATCGTCTCGACGTTGATCTTGCCCCAGTCGTCGTCCCACCGCCCGCGCCTGTACGACTTCAGAAAGGGCGGCCACTCGTGCGACAGGGGCTGCCGCCCAGCCGACCGATAGACATCGACGCTCTCCATTCGTCTCTTGTCCTTCTTGCCGTCTCTGTTGTCGTTGTGGTCGTTTTGTTGTTGAGATCCCGGACCATGCTCCTCTCCCCTCTTTTTCGCCAGGATAGAGCTCGAACTTTCTGAGCTTCCTTGTGTCGGCCCGGACAGGGTTTTTTTCCGCGAAAATTGTAAAAGAAAGCTGCTGTGGCGCTTTTTTGCTAGTCGGGCTTTGTAGCTAGCTCCCACTATTTGAATCTCGAATAAGTTCTTTCGCCCACTGACGTTGGTCCAGGCCCTCACTACTCGTTCACTTCAATATATTTGAAAGCAAGGGACAACCATGCTGTCCTTTTTCCCTCTTCTACAGGTCCTGCTCGCTGCCGTCATGACCACGTGGCTTCGTCACAAAGGACGTACGAAAGGGCGCCGACGACCTCGGACCGCGAGCGAGCAGCAGCAAACGAATAGAGGTGCGAATTGGAAGAAAGAACGGGAAGAGAAAGACAGGCCTCTAAATCCTTCCCCGGCCTTCGATACATCTTGTCTCCGAGAGCCATCAGCGCATGAATTCCGTGATCTGCAAAGCCCACAGTCGAACTCACGTCACTCTCCAGTGGCTTTGCGCTTCTTCCTGTGAGAGTGTCCAAGCCATCTCTGCATGGAGAGGGCCTGTCACACCATTGTAAGCGGGCGTGCCGTCGCTGACGCGCTCGTCGATGTAGTAGAACCTGTCGCAGGCAGCTTAAACGCGGAACTGTACACCACGGTCCAGTCCTGCTCACCTGAAGCCCTTGGGACCGAAGATCTGAGCTGCCGCGTCAATGATCTGAGCAGTGCTGGTCTTGCCAATGCTGAGCGACAAGAGACTGGGCGGTGTCCGTGGAAAGGTCTTGGGATCGTCGAGGCCATTTCCGGTGAAGATAAAGGCCTTGGAAACCTGCTGCGGGAGCTTCTCAAAGCCGGCTGCTTCCGACAATCAGCAAGCGAATCTGGACTGGGCCTGCACAGGCCACCCACCGACAGCTTGTTGAGCAAGAGCATAGACGGACAAGGTGTTCACCTCAAGTGTCCTCCGCATGGTGTCGAGCGACGGCTGCAAAATGTTTTGGCCAGCGCCTGTGCCTCCGTAGGCTGAGCCGCGGTGCCGTGTCAGCACAAAAAGACACGATTCCAGCTCAGTGACACACCGCACCGTTGTAGAAGAAGACGCTGATGGGACACGAAAAGTCGTCTTCAATCGTTTTGCACACATGTGCAGTCTCCTCTGCCCTCGAAAAGTCGGCTTTGTACTGACGGAGGTTCCCATTCTGGATGGCCACCTCCTCGTCGAGACTCTGCGCCCCCGAGCGGGACACGACTGCGACCTTGTAGCCACCACTGAGAAAGCGGAGGGCGACAGATTTCCCCACCTTTGGCCCTGCTCCAAATATGGCTGCAATCTGTTGAGTCATTGTCGTTGGGCAAGTCTGGTGGTATCACGGCCCAGGAGCGAGCTTATATGCATGCGTGCCCTGATTCGCCTCCACCAGCTCATCGTGCCACGGACTTAAAGATTGCGCCTGAAAAACATGGCGCGAGGCGTTCAGACAAGATGGTCGCAAATACGTTTTTGATTGCTCCTCTTATGACCGACTTAACGCGAGTCTTAAATCCGTTTCCTTGGCTTGTGCTGTACCTGTATCGGTGCCTCGGCGAAGCTTCAAGTGCCAGATGAGTTGGATGGACCACGCCAATGTTTGCACCGTCTAAATACATGATTATGCCACAAAGAAGCTCCAGCCGCCGCTTTCGAACGTGTATTAACTGTGTGTCCCTCCATGTGTGCGCAGTGTGGCGACTGCTATGCATACAGGCTCAATGCGCCAAGTAACCGTTTAGCCGTGGAGAGAAAGCCAGTCTGTGAAGGGGTCATCTATCAGCATCGCGGTATTCGTCCCTTCGCCAGCCGCAACTCACCCTGCTCTAACGGCGCCAGGCTTCCGTAAGGCGCCCCCATCCTGGGCCTCAGCTTTCATGCTTGGGTGGCCCTTCTCAACGTCGGCCGGGAGCACAACCACAGCGGTGTCGGCCGTCGCAATCGCGCCTTCGAGCACTCTGGGCTGCTCCCGAGAAGGCTGCATCTCAACGGCAACGGCGCCATCTCGGCTTTTCATGTGGCTTTCTGCCTCAGTAGCGGCGTCCTGTCCAAATACAACGGAGGTGTAGTCGAAGGTCTAAAGGCAGGGGTGAGTCGTCGGTGACTAAGTGGAACAGAGCGGCTCACCTTGAGTAAAAGGTAGAAGCCGACAGCCATAAGCGAGCCGATAAAGGGGCCGAGCCAGTAGATCCAATGATAATGGGGCTACAGCTGATGCTAAGCTCACCTTCTGACTCCGTCTTCCGCACTGATCTCACTCACGAAAGAAGAGGCCACCACGCTTGGACCCAGCGCTCGCGCCGGATTCATGCCGCATCCCGTCCAGACGACGCCAAACAAGTGGCAAGAGAAGAGGGCGAGGCCGATTCCGATGGGGGCGAGGTAGGTCGACTTGTGTTTTTCAGCCGCAAGCAAGAGCACGGTGAGGCACAGAATCGCAGTCAAGAAGGCCTTTTCCGCAGCGAGTCAGATCTCCTGTTTCTTTCATCTTTGTTTGTCTTGAAAAATGAACACACCTCGATGAACAAGCCTTGCGTCACATTCACGCCTGTGCCAAGAGTAGTCTTGAGGCTTTCTGCACCCCCGAATGGTGTCAGTGCTGCCACGAGCGCGGCAGCGGCTATGCCACCGCAGAGCTGTGAAACGATCAGAAGGACGCAGCGGAAGACAGACAGGCCACCCGTGGCAAAAAGGGCCAGCGTCACACTGGCGTGAGGATCAGCAGCGCAGCCAGGGAGAGAGATCAAAGGCGCAGACACGCACGCGGGATTGAAGAGGCCGCCGGTGACGCGGTAGAAGACCCAGGCATTCACCAGGAGGCTGAGCCCAAAGGACACTGCGATGAAGAGAATCGTCTGATTGCCCAAGCTTGTTGACAGACCCTCGAGCTGCGACGTCGTCCGGGTTACCTGGGCTGTCTTTGCTCCTCCAAAGGCGAGGACTGCAATGCAGTGATCAGTTTGTGCGGACGTACAGTGTGGGTATGCAAACTAACGTAGAAAGAGGGTCGTGCCCACAAATTCGCCCAGCGCAGCGATCAGATCCTGCTTGTAGATGCGCATGAGAAGGGCGATGTGGCTATTACAGCAGCCATTGCAAGGCTCGAGGGTCTAATCTATAAGTGGCCCAACTTCAGGGGCCCTTACATACGTGCTTTTCGTCACGTACTCTGACAACGTCATCTTAAGACCCTGGTTGCTCAAGATGGGAACTGTAATCTCACCCTTAATTTTCTGCTCTTTCGTCTTTTCTCCTACCGGTCTAGGCTTTTCATAGTATCACGATTACTTTCCTTATAGGACGCTTGCGTCAGCTACTGGCAGAGCAGGGAGTAATCGACTTCCAAGACAGAATCGGACGGCTTGGTGCCGTCGTTAGTTCCTTGGCGGGACCGCGTTCGCTGGTCTTTTGATATTCTTGATATTCTTGACTGATCACCGCCGCTCAGTCATCGTTAGGCTTGGAAGTGAGCGCTCCTTGACTTTCTGACAAACTATTTCCCCATGTAAGTGTGCCTGAAGTGATCGAAGTCCGACATTCAAGCAGTGACCCAGAGAGGAACGCAGTCTTGACCGAAATCTAGATACGGAAACTAGTCAAATTAAGACTAACACTCGATTCCCTGATTCCTGCTCTTGGCTGACTTGATACATGCAAGATTGATTGAGAACCTCAGCAGTGGTGAGTCGCAGTACATTTGACTAGAGGCGAGGCAGAGGTGCGCGTGACGATATGCGTGCTGCCTGACCCTACCGAGAGCTCCAGTGGGGTCGGCGATGGATGACACCACGGGCTAGATAGCAAATGTTCTTGCTCCAGATCCGCTGAAGATGAGAACGGGCAAAGTCGGTTTGCCCGTTGCCGTGCGGCGGAAAGTTTTTCCTCGAAGGGTCTCTCGGTGGAGGCAATCGTATGAAGCAGGTGTCACGAAGTTGTCAATTAGAGGCGCTTCCCTGCCTCATCAAGGTTTAGTTCACGATCTGCTTTCGTGGTCATATCCGGCTGCAGCACCTTACTCGAGCTGCGATTGGAACATGTGCGGTGCTTCAGCTTCGGCTGTCCAGAAGAGTGCGCCCTTCTTCTTTGAGAGCGTCAAGGAAGCTCTGGATCGGTGAGTGCCTCCTTCTAGACAGCTACTTTTCCTCCTAGGACTGAGGCGGTCACCGGGCACAGTCTTTCTGTACCATCTCCAGCCGTACCGCCTCTCTTCCATTTCGAAGTGGTACAGGAAGGTCTGTCGGAGGAGACAGCAGACTACACCGCCTCAACGAACGAGCCGCCGTCATCTTCGATCGAGTCCAGCCCATGTGACCAGCCGGACGAGAGTACTTCCACGGTGCGCAAATGCTCTGAGATTTGCGGCTGCGCTTGGCGACTGCCTTCCTTTCGCCTCAACGTCATTCCCTTCCAAGAGAACAACAGGCAAGTCGTCCTGTTTCACGCTGGCTCTTCTCTGACCCGCTCACTTCTCCCACAGAAATCTCCTGAATTTGACCAGCCTGATCGTCTCCGTCTCGCTGGTCGAGTGTCAACACCCCTTCAGAACGCTCCCAAAACAGACGATGCCGTCGTTCCAGTGCCTGAGAGGACAAAAGGGGCTCAGCCCTACCTTTGCTTTTGGCTCGCATGGTGAGTCAATGTTGGTTTTTACCTTCTGCGACGCCCAGGCCTAAAAGACACCGCTGCTTTGACACTTAGCAGAGGAATACTTTCGCTTCTCGGGTCTCTGCACAGTGCCGGTGGGCTCTTTTCGGCTTCGCTTCGACTTGCTCGAGCGCGTCGGGCAGGCCATTTGCTGTCTGGCACACGTTCACAGCTTACCGCTGCGAGCTCGCAGCAACTCCGCTCATTTCGCCATGACTGGATCGATTCCCTCAAACCTTTCTCTTCTCTGACCGATCGAATGGGGAGGACGAGACTCGTGAGCGGCGAGGAAGAGGCAATGCTCATTGTCGCATCGTTCCCCAGAGCGTGAGCAGCAGGAAAAGGGCAATGCTCCTCGTCGCACTGTTGCCCCCGAGCACGCATACATGTAGGACTCGCTGGCTTGTGCGAATTGCGGCATTACGGAGAAAACGGGAAAATAGCTATGTGTACAGTACACAAGCCAAGTACTTCTTCTTCCCGACGCAGATATAGGTCCTGGAAATGACAACGGGAATACTGGCAGCGAGCAGCCTTCAGCTCATGCTGCTCGCGTAGCGAAAATCTTATCTCTGAGAAGAGCCCGATCGGGTAATTGGCAATGGCGCGCTGCTCAGAGAAGTCGGTGAAACCACAAGCAGAGATTTAGCCGCACTCTGCGTCGCGAGACGATAAAGGGTCGCATTTCTCAGCGCTTCTTCTTCTCAGCAGCCACCTCTCTGTAAACGAGAACAAGATGCTCGACTCCGCCATCTGCCCACACCTCCGGACTCAGCGCTCGCAGCCAAAGTCCACCCCGGCCTCGTATGAACCAGCATATCCGTCCTACTCTGCTCGCTTCGACCCATCCATCTCCGAGGTCGCCGCGGTTCTGATCGGGGCCATCGCCAGCCAGCCAAATTCGCGCCTCGAACACGATGCTCTCGAGTCTGTCGACCACTTCCTAGGCCAGGGTTCTCCTCAACCTCATTATCGCCTCCTGTGCAACTCGGAAGACCCGACAGGCCGCGAGACCCGTGCTTGGAAGGCCTACTGGCCGTGCAAGGAAGACTACCTCTCGTGGTCCTCTTCCAGCGGTTTCGCCGCCTGGTGGACCGAGTCAAAGAGGGAGACCGAGGAGCACGGGTGGCTGCTGGAGGCCTTGTACCCGACCATGGATCGTCTCGAGAGCGTCTTTTCCAACGAGGCCGCGCGCGAGGGAGCCGCGCTCATGTGCCAGGGAATGAGTGCAGCTATTGAGGAACACGGCTACTGGGGCAGCGCGCGGGACCGTTTTCCCATTGCGCAGACGGATACGGTCCCTGGTGAAAAGGTCTGTCCAGTCAAAGGGATGCTGGGTGGGGCGAAAGAGGCGAACGGCACCGCCTCCCGTCGCGTCGTCGTTCCTGGCCGGCAGAACCTCTGTGTGATCCACTCGGGTCAGGACTGGTCGGCGATGGAGGGCAAGGAGCGGGAGCTGTACCTGGGAACCTTGCATCCCACGCTGCAGGCAGGCATGCTATTCCTCAGCAACGACAAGTACCGCAGCCTCGACGGCGACGGGAGTGCTTCAGAACGCGTTGGATGCTTTGAATGCCGCTTCATGGAGCATCTGGATCCCGAGAGGGTGGAGCCAAGCCTCTCCAAGTCGTTTGGCCTTTGCTACTTTGACGACCTGGCCAGTCTGGAAAGATGGAGTCGCGAGCACAAGACGCACCTCAACATCTTTAACGGCTTCTTCAAGTACGCGGCCGAGACACAGGGCCAGGGCAAGCTGAGCCTGTGGCACGAGATTGCCGTCTTGGATCGGAGCCAGCAGTATTTCGAGTACGTCAACTGCCCACCCGGGACAGGTATGCTGGCGTCGGTGCAGAAGCCAATCAAGGATCTGTAGTATTGTCTTCCTGCGTCTCTCTCTCGACTTTCAGAAATTGCGATGATCTCTCCTTTGTGCTTCGTGTGGCAGATCTCTTCTTTATGCTTCGTGTGGCAGTATGATGCGAAGACGGCCTGGACAGAGGTAACAGACAGGGTAGCAGCCAGTCACACCGGTTCGCAACCGAGGACAGAAGCCGGTTTTATCTTATCTCTGCCTGCGTGCGTCTTCGGGTAAAGCACCGGCAAGATAGGGCTGCTACGCCATCCCTTCGCAGAGAGCCATGCACGGGCTGTTTTCAGCGGATTCTTGAGGCCATGCTCCTCTTATAACTTTCTTCAGTCGCCCCATTCTTGTCTCACGCTGGTCTCCCTTCCTCTGCCAGCAATCGCGAGTGTGTACAGTTCCTGCAAGTGCTGAGAGCCCGGCCGAGAAGTCGAGATGACCGTCGTCGGACCAGGCGCGAGCAGTATGGTAACAGGGCCGCCTTGGCTGGCTCTCTTGCTTTTCTTGCGCTTGAATGTACAGTACAGCACGAAGGCACAACGAGAAGGTTCTCCGAGCTACTAGCAAGACGCGACATGACGAGTACTTGCGCGGCTGTCGTCGGCCGAATTATCGGGGTTTCGTGCGGGTAATTATGGCACATCCTCAGCGCATATAAAGAATCATGCTGCGAGGGCTTGCAGACGCGTTGAGTATGAAGTTTGTCATTGATTCGAGTCTCAGGAAGCGCTTCGGCTTCGTCGCCGTCGCCGTCATTCGCGTACGACTGTCTGAAGGAGCCAGGGCGGATGTCACCAAGCTGGAATTCCTCAAGGCACGTGCTCTGGAGAAGCTGCTCGACCTGGTATCCTCTGGAACACCAGCGGAGCTGGAGCAAATCGAGTCGGTCGCACAGTGGATGCAAGCATACAAGACTATGGGCTTGAAGTCCAAGAAGATCAAGCCGACGCACTATGCGCTTGCACTGCGCCTCGTCAAGGACAAGGTGTGGCCACGGGCCATTGGACCAATTGTGGACACGTACCTCAGCAACCAGATGTAGGTAGCCCAAAGGAGCTCAGACGCATCAGCACTGACTTACACGCTGCCCGTCCAGAGTCCATCTCATGCCCCACGGTGGCTTTGACGTTGCCTCGCTCTCTGGTGGCACAATCCGGCTGCTACAATCGCCTGGACAGCAGGCCTTTCAGCCCCTGGGCGTAGCCGCAGATGAGGACGAACGCATCGAGACAATCAAGCTCGGCGAGGTTGTCTATCAGGACGAGTCTGGAATCAAACCCCCAGTCGTCGTCTGTCGCTACTGGAACCACCGCGATGCAGAGCCAACCAAGATCGGCGACGACCATGACGATGAGACTCGCTCGACAAAGGACTTTGTCCTGTTTGTTGAAAGCATCGACGGCAGCGAAACGGGGCAACAAAAGCTGCTGCAAACCGCTGCCGACCTCGAGCGCGCCTATGGTGCAGTCTATGGCTCGGGTGTGAAACAGTCGTACGTGCGCCTGCTTGAAGCCTCCTTGGTAGACGACGCAGAAATAAGTCTGGATTGGTGAATGCAGCAATAAATGGACAGCGTCGAGAGCTTCGGTCAACGTCCGCCGTTGCCTGTTTGAAAAGCCTCACCGGGACAATGACAATGATGAGTGCCAGCAAGAGGACTCTTCCACTTTCGAGTCCAAAAAACAGGCTCCACACCGCGCATAGTTTGAAACACACGTGGGTGCATGATGCGCCGATCCACACCAGATAAGACTTGCTGCAAACTCAGCACGCGAGTATGGCTCACCCACGATGCGGCAGCCACCCGTCCAGCTGACACTCGCCGAATCGGTCATCTTTGTGCCCTCGAGAGAGCGGATAGAAGATGACGGGGCCAGCTCCAACCAGCTGCGAGGCTTTGTGACTCTCGAGTGCCACGCGTCCAGGGGCGTGCGTCTCACCTTTCGCGGCCTCTCTGTGTGGGTCGATTGGGACGGTGAGCATACAGCGAGCCCAGTACGACGAGCGAGAACTGACAGAAGCCAACAATGGCAGCCACTCCGTCCCCCCAAAATCGTCAAACGGAGATCATCAGTCACACAGTCGAGCTTGATGCGGACGACAGCGTCGGTACTTTTGAAGGCGCAAGAGTGCCATTTTCCATTCCACTGCCTTTGGATCTCCCCCCTTCGGTGGACGCCGACTTTGGATCCAATACCTACGTCCTCACGGCGACCGTCGAAAGCCCTCCTGGCGGCAAAAGCAAGTCGGCAGAGGTGCCAGTCAGGATCGTGCATGAGGAGGTAGGCGGGGCGACGACGGAGAACGCCGAGGCTGCAGTCTCGGAGGGTGTCTGCGGTGACCGAATCAGCTATGCGTGGAATGCCGACCCCAGTCCGAGCGTTGGCACACGCTTTGCAGTCGACCTGGCGATCCTGTCGACCAACACGAGTGCTGTCTCGCTTCTTTCGGTGCAGATCTTGTTGCAGGAACTAACGTCCTACGGCCCGCAGAGCCGGCTGCAGACGCCCGTGATGAGACAGTGGGCGCTGCTGAAGCTAGGGGACGCCCAGAACGTACTCGAGGAGAGTGCGATCGAGAGTGCTTCTCAGCTGGCTTTGCAACGACGGCGCGCAACGAAAGAGACCAGCGAGAAGAGGAAAGGGAACGTGGAAGAAAAGGACGACGCTCTCCAGAGGCTGGCATGGGACCTTCAGATACCATCTTGCTCAAATACGCCCATCAACAACTCCATACGGCATGGCAAGAGTGCCGTCGACGTCTCGCACCGCCTCGTGCTTCGAGTCGTGCTCCGTGACGACGCCGTCGAGTCAGCACTCGAGGTGAAGCGCCCGATCTGGCTTCGATCGATGTTTTTGGCTCAGATGGGCTCGTTTCTACCTTGCTACTGTTGCTCCATGCACCAAGACCACCCCTACAATGTCGAGTCCCAGTGGAGACGCATTGCTTCTCAAGCACCGCCGAGCAGTCACAACCGCCTGCCAGACTGGCTCACTCGACTCTGGAGCAAGGACCGTCCTGAAAAGCAGGACGAGGCACACGGAGGCATGCTCTGGTTCGCGCTCAGCAGCAACGGCTCCGTAGACTCCGAGCTGCAGGCATCACACGGGCAATGCAGAGGGCATGAAGCTGGCTCAATAGCCCGGTGATGTCGATCCACCCAAAGACGCGTGGATCGGGGCCTCGAAGATTTGCCACGTGGTCGCTTCACAGTGTGGGACCAGGCACCGGAAGTTGCTCATTCCGGATGGTGATCATCTTGGACCACCTGCCTGACAGATGGCGACCTCTATGTGTAACTACCATGAGCAGCGTTGACGCAGACGTCGTTGTCGTCGGGGCGGGTATCTCTGGCATCGCAAGCGCCAAGTGGCTTCATGACCATGGCAGAAAGGTCATTGTGCTTGAGCAGAACGCGTGGACAGGCGGCAGGATCCGTACAGAACGACGCCCCGGTGAGGTGGCAGGTGCGTATCTGCAGCACGGCGGCATCTTCCACACCGACCAGTACCCTCGCCTCTGCGCTCTCATCGAAGAGCTTGGTCTTGGGGCCCGGGTGCAGAAGCAACCGAGCGCATTCAACGCTAATGTTCTCCAGCGCGGACAATGGCGCCACGTCGACTATGGGTCCCTCCTGGCGCCCATACGGTTCAGTGCCCTCGGCTGGCTTGACTCGTTGTCACTCTTGCGCGCTGCGGCCCCGATACTCGCCACCGGTCCGCCGCACCGCAAGGATGACTTCGGGACGCTTACGAGCATGCAACAATTTGACGAGCACGAGTGCACGCGCGGGCTGACAAGCACAGCGGCAGATTACTTTGCCGCAGGGCCCCACGAGTTCCTCTGGGGCGTGCGCAGCAACAAGATTTCCAAAGCCATGCTTGCGCTGCAGCTACAGATCTTCAAAGGCGACCTCAAGGAGCTGCAGGGCGGCACACAGGCCCTCGTCGAGCTCATGGCCAAGAGGCTCGATGTCCGACACGAGACGCAGGTGCACTCGCTCTCGCTCGACGAAGAGCGAGGCACCGTCGCCGTCACTGCTGGATCTGATGAGCAGGTCCTGCACGCACGTGCAGTGGTGCTGGCCTGTCAGGCACCGGTTGCTGCGCGACTGTGGCCTCAAGCGCCTAGTATCATCAAGCAACACCTCGAGGGGATCACGTACTCCCGTATTGACTACATCTACGTGCGCACCTCGACAAAGTTTTACATCTCAGAAGGACAAGAGATTGGCATGGAGGTGGTTCCTGCCGCTGAAGTGGAGCAAGGGCCTTTTCGGACCATTGGAGGTATGTATTGCTGCGACTCGTGGATCGATGCCGGCCAGGAGGGCAGCCTGCTGCTCGTCACCACGTCCAACGCCGCGGACGCTGCGACCATTGATGACGACGCTCTCGCAATGCGCCTTCAAGAAGAGCTCGAGCATCTGCACCCACAACTGAAGGGCAACATTGTCTCTCGGAGCAGCATCATTCGCCATGACGACTACACCCCCACCTTCAGCCAGGGAACCGTGGGTCGCCTGTCGAGAGCACAGCTCGAGCTAGAGAGTCTCACCAGAGACCGGGGACAGCAGTGCCAAGGGGCAATCGTTGACCTCGCGGGAGACCACATGGCTGCCCCATGGATGGAAGGCGCCCTCTACGCAGGCCACAAGGCCGCTCAGCGAGTCCATTCAGCATTGTGACTTGACGGCCATTGTACACTACCCGATAGCGACATAAGCTCTTGCTCAGGAAGACAGGCCAGAGTATTTGCAAGTGTGAAGTGGCACAGCACAAGTTATCCAAGTTCAGAGGCGTCGCTACAGCGTCACTACGACTTTGCGAGCTGAGACGCCCTCGCGCTGGCGATCCAAAGCTGATTGGATGGCGTCGAGGCCGTGCCCTACGACGAGTGCCCGAGGCAGCGGTCGTATCTGGCCAGTGGCAAGGGCCTTTGGCAGGAAGTCTTCAAAGATGGCCGGCCCGATGCTCGAGTATTCCAGGCTGGTGCCCCACACAAACTTGTGCTCTATCTCCTCCGGCAGCTTTTGCGGGACCCTCGAGACAAAGGCGACGAATTTGCGCTTGACGCTGTGCGGCTTTGGCGTGCGGGCTACGACGTCAGCGCAAAGCGATTCCACAGTGCTAGTCTGGTCCGTGATGCTACCGATGCTGAGTGCACCGGCAAGGCTCTTATCGGAAAAGAAGGCGACCAGTTCGTCATATTGCTCCTGCTGCGGACGGTGGTAGTCGATGGTGTACGCTGCGCCCAGCGATCTGACCAAGCCAAAGTTGCCGGGTGACGACGTCGTTACGACGTTGTAGCCTGCGCTGGTGGCTAGCTGGATAGCGCAGGCGCCAATGCTCGAAGCGCCAGCCGTGATGAGCAGCCACTCCTCGCGGCGCTTGGCTGGAATCGTGGGGAGCTGCAGCTGTAGATAGTCGTCTTGAAAGAGTCCTGTCGCAGCAACGCAGACGCCCATGGGTAGCACCGCCGCGTCGTGAAACGCCATCTCGGGCGGGATGGGCGCGGCGAGCCTTTCTGCTACAAAGGCGTGCGAGCTGTAGCCTGCGCCCCTGTACTTGTGCGAGTGTGGTCCGTCCTCTTCTCGGCACGACAGTCCCAGCACCCGGTCGCCGACTTTGAAGCGTGTCACACGGTCGCCGACAGCGTGTACCGTGCCGGCCACATCGAAGCCGAAGATGGTTGGGCAGGTGAGGTAGCCAAAAGCATTACGTCCCATCGACTGCATCACCCAGTCGACAGGATTGACGGCAGTTGCGCGTGTCTCAATGACAATCTCATGCGGTGCCGCGGTGGGTATGTCCGCAGGCGCAACCGTCAGCGTCTTGTCGCCGTCTGCCATTTGCCAGGCGGCCATGCCCCTTGTCCTTGTCGGCGTCATTTGAAGTAATACGATGCTGTGTAGTGGTTGACACTCGATCGAGGGGCAGCCGAACGCACCCCTTTTATCCCCAATGCTCCCATTCTCACCATAGACGTCAGCCAATCGCCCGTATCACTTTGTCCAGCATCTTTCTCCGGGTGCACGATTTTCTCCGGCGAGGATCACCTTTGAAATTTGTACTGTACTGAATAATATTATGTCAGCCTCTTCTGAAAACTAACTATTAATATTTAATTTAGTGCAGGGTGATCAACGGCACTTTTCGCTTCGAGCCCTTCTCCAAGATCCGGAGATGCCTACATCGTGAGAAGGCGCTGATGGCACAGGCTGCGCTGGTTCAGAATGAGGCGGAGCTACTGAGCTCAGCAAAGGTTCGAATGTGAGGAGTCTGTTCATCACTGGTCCTTTCCTTTCGGGGAAGGGGCCATCTGCCTGGCGTTTGGCCGGAGAACGATGCTCGCTTACTGTAGAGCCGCCCTTGCTTGCTCTGGGACCAGAGGCGAATCCGAAAGGTCGTCCGGATCATGGAAGCCGTAGCAGATCAGTGCATCGGGACAACACAGCCTAGCTCAAAGGATCGAAGCTGGAATTGAGATTCACAATGATAAGCCCAAGCACCCACAGGCCAACCGATGCCGTGTTGTATTTGCTCGTAATGCCCCTTAAGCTTTACGAGGTTGAGTTACATGGAGACAAATTTTGCACTGGGCCCTCTACTTACACTTCACTGCACAAGTCTTGCTTTGTGTGGACTTCGAAGTTGACGTCGAGGGAGCCAGCCTTGTGAGTGCATACCACCTACGAGATAGATTAGCCGCAAGGGGCTGCGACCAGGGACCAAAAGGGCATCCAAAGCGCCCCGGTCACCGACAACGTATGCTCCGATCGGGGTTGCCTTGCAGATGCCGACGAGACCAGGGACATCTGTGTAAAGGGTTTGTGCAGAGACGTGGTTTAATCGCAGCTTGGAAGTAGATCCAGACTCGTCAGCTGCACTGCTCCAGACGTCTGCCAGACTGAATAGGACAGTGGTGCCATCTGTGCGGTCCGGCCATTAACAATGGCTTCTTCATGCGCCAGCCGGCAAGCTTTGTTCCAAAGATTCTTTATCCGGCGAGTGCTCTCGCAAAGCCTAGATTTCTCAGAATGCGTAATTAAAGTGTTCCCGAGAGATAGGCTCGCCATATAAACGTTTGCCCGCATGTTTGCCCGCAATGACGATTATTCGCCATGATTGCCCGCAATGCTGGGCAATAAGGTGGGCACTGTGAGATGCACTGTACACGACATGAAGGGTCACCGGTACCCTGCCGCGCTCTTCGCCCCAAGCCAATGACGGGCCGAGCCTAGATTTCACGCTCTACTGCGCCGCAATTCCTCCTTCAGAGGGCTGTTATGTGAACGTGGTGCTCACTACTTCATCCTCGGTGTTTTTTGAACCTCAGCTGGGACGATTCAGGTCAGCGATACCTCCATCTGGGACCCTTAGAGCACCCTGTGTCTCTCATACTGTATTTTCACAACGACAACAAACTGATCCTCTCGGTCGGTGGCGTGGAGAAAGTAGTGCAGTTCAGAACATGGGTTTCTGCATCTCTTCCATCACCGACGCAGCTGGTCAACACGCTGCAGGCGCATCCTAGCCATACAAGAAAGCAACTACTACCAGGGCACGACCCATCCGATCAGATCCGAGCAAAGCCATCCGGGCGGGCTTTGCACGCCTGTGGGCCTTGACCAGTCCTTATCATCATTGACTGGACTGTCTGAAACATACAGTCGCTCAAGCGGTTTGCTATCTCGACGTGATCGTACAAGCACAACTTCTGCTTCAAGTGTACTAGCATACGGTCGCCAGCAAGGCCGCACTTGTTGCCACTTGGGGCCGTGCTTCGGTCACCGGTGCTACGACTGCGCTTGTTTCGGTCACCGCTGCTTCTGTCACTAGTAATTTGTGTTGCCACAAGTCGCAGTGTCGGCACTGCGGCAGCAGCGCAACAGAATGAGCGCGCACCGATACCGCGCCAGTCCCTCGGCTGCTGGTTCGTTTGATACCGCAAGCCATTCGACGAGAGAGCTTCTCTCCTCGCAGGCATACACCTCCCTTTCTCCCCCTTTTGCGTCGTCTGCGAGCCCGTCGCATACGCATCGACAAAGGTCTGGGGAGTGGAGCAGCTCCGAGTTTGCCCGGCTTCTATTGACGGAGCAGCTTCCTCAGTATCTGTCGACTGAAGCCTCGGGTGAACAACGGCAGCATCATCTCCAAGCTTCTTCAGATGAGCCCGCAGGAGACGTCACTTGGACCCCGATCACACGCCCCTCTCACAGTCCTTTGGATTCGTGGCCGTCGCAGTCATCGCTAGACCTCCAGTTCTCTCTTTCAAACACAAGTGCGCCACCGAATGCCTCGCCAAGCCACGACACGCTGCCCACGCCTTTCGAGCAGCATCAGGTGCACCAGCAGCAACCCGTGCAGTTCAGTCAAGACGACACTTACCAGTCGGGCGAGGACAACTTGTGGGAGCAACAGCTTGCAACCAGTCTTTTTGGCGACTTTCCCTGTCCACCATTCAGTGACGCAACACCTTCCTCTTCCTCCCTGCCGGCGACTGCTTTCTATGCCAACGTCAACGCCAGCACGATCAATCCGACGCCTCTTGTCTCGCCAGAGGATCGGCAGCTGGCATATGCACCCTTACGGGCCTTTCCCGGACCACCCTCACTACAGGGGTCATCCGAAGTCTACAGGCCGCTCCAGCCTGGAGTGCATTCGTACATCGAACCGCTCTCAGTGGCTGCAGCCCCTGTCGACCCACCGAAGAGGGTGTCAGCGGCCTGTCGTTTCTGCAAGGCTCGCAAGCTTCGCTGCGACGGATGCCATCCGTGTCGACAATGTCAGAGGAGGAGCGTCGAATGCCTCTATCAGCCCGAGACGCAGGCCAGACCAAGCCGGCGAATGACCGACCCTTCATTTGAAGCTTTCCGATCCACGACGGCGCCTGCACCCAGTGAAGGCCAGCGGTTGAGTCAGCAACACGCCAATCAAAGGAAGAGAAGCTGTACCTCAGTGGCCGAGGCTAGCCTTCGGTCTCACACACCTCACCTACCCGCTTCTGCCTCGGCCCATTCATGGTCTTCAAACGGCTCCACTTCCCACTCAACGGGCAGCAGCATCGCAAGCTCCTCCGTCCTGGTCTTGGCTGGCGATACCGCGGATGGGAGTCGTCAAGACAGCAGCAGCAACAGCAGCTACAAAACGGCCAAGGGGGAGAATCAAACATCACCGGGCTCGAGCAGTACGGTCAAGAGCAGTCATCCACCGACCTCGGCCAATCAAACTAGTCGCAGAAACAGCAGCAAAGGCGGCGAGAAGAGCACGTTCAGCACCATCAGCATCAGGGTTCGACCGGATCGGAATCGGAATGATTCCGAGACGAGTGCCGCCCACGAGGTGCGGTATGTCTGCCCCTTTCCGGGGTGTGCCAGCCACTTTTCGACAAGCGGGCACGCCCGACGACACAGCCGCATCCACACAGTGCTGGAGCCCTTTGAGTGTCCGCACAGAGGTTGCGACAAGACCTTTACGCGGCGGGACAATTGCACGCAGCATCAGCGAGCACGGCACGCCTTTCAGATGGTCGCCTATCGCAAGACAGCCGAGCGCGCTGAGTCGAAGGACGAGCATTGAGGTTTGCGCAATCTTAATGCTGCTGGTATTACCATTGTATTGAATTGGCACATCATTGGAAGCACCCGTGTAGAGGACATCCGCGATCACGAGCAAACATACGAAAGACTTTTGTCTTCTAATCAAGCTCTACTTCAGTATGTCGTCGTGGCCACCACCCCTCACAAGCCTAGAACGGTCCCAACGATTGCCTGGACGTTTTCCACCAGACCCTTGGTGGGGATCGTGCCGTTGCAAAAGACGACGTTGCAGTCCGGGTTGGGAAAGAGATCGTTGAGCACGACTGGGATGCTCAGGTAGTTTGCCGGGTTCACATCGAGGTCCAGAGGCGGGACAGGGTAGGGCCCTGGATCGGGAATGTGCTGGTCCTGAACGGCGCGCATGAGGATGCGAAAGAAGTTGTAGTAGAGATCGGCGGGCTGCGCCGAGAGGATTCCGCTCAGGTTCGGTGCTTCATCGCCAAAGAGACCTGTCCACGTGACAGTCATGTCAAGGCTCGGAATGATGAAGTTGTTCTGATGCAATGCACCGACCATCGCATACAGGTCCGGGGGCGCACTTGGGATCGCGCTTCGGTTGACGGTCTGGGCTGCGGGGATATTGGCGCCTGTGCACGTCTGGCCGCGGTTGTTCCAGAACAAGTAGCCGTAGCACGGGTTGTGCTCCGACGGCTGCGACAGCTGGGCCACGTAGTCACTCGAGAGCAAGCGCGTCTGCTTCCAAACGCCGTCGTTTTGCATCAGCAGGCCAAGCTTGGCAAGCTGCTGCGGAGGGATAAACAGCCACGCATAGCCATACGTGTTGCCCGAACGGTCGCGAAGCCAAAAGTACTTGTCCTGCTCGATGCCGATCGGGCTGAAGAGATGCTCCTGGGCAAATTCTTGCAGATCTTGGCCTACCGCCTGCTGCACGACAAAGGCCAGCAGGTCGGGGACGCGCTGCGAGTACTCAAAGAACGTGCCTGGCTCGTGCTCGAGCGGCTCCGCCAGCGCTTCCTGCGGGATGCTGGTCTCTGTTGTAACGGTGGCCGCCTCGGCAAGGATTGACTCGCGCATGCCCGCCGTCTCGGTGAGGAGCTGCTTGATGGTGATGGCACGGTGTGCGGCATCTCCCCACCCTTCGCCCGTGGGCAGATACTTGTCGATGGCATCATCCAGCCCGAGCTTCTTTTGATCGTAGGCCATGCCCGTCAGGATGGACACGACGGACTTCGTCACGCTGAAGACTTGGAACGGTGTCTGATCGGTCAAGGGGTCCAGGGCACCCGTGGCCACGAGGCAGTTGCGACGGAAGATTTGTATCGAGAGCCGGTTGTGCGTACCGGCATATGCGATCGCCTCGGCAACGACTGCGGGATCAAGATTCTGTTCGCTTGGCGTCGACGTCTCAAAGGCTCCATCGGCATCAGGAAGCTCGCACTGCCGTGGTGCACGGCGAGACAGTGGGCCTGACGCGCAAAGGTGCGCTCCGAGGCCAAGGCAAAGGAAGAAGATAACCAAGAGCGCAGATGCTCGCGGTGGCCGTACGCAGTGCATTCTGATGCGATCAAAGAGGGGAAATGGTCGTGGATGATGAGGGGATCAACGGGGGCCGACCTGATGGACTGGTGCGATTGTGGGGCTCGGGGCCGATCGGTAACCATTGCTGCTAGGTTCAATCGGCCTCGAAAGTGCCCCCGAGGTGCAGGGAGATGCTTAGCGCGCTCGCGGAGAGGGTTGTTTGTATTCGAGCCGCACACCCGGTCTCGGAGAAGGGCAGAAGAGCGCTAAGTTTTACATGGTGTATGAACCCCACGGCGAGGTACGACGCTAGCGCAAGCAACCCCCGCATGAAAGCGATTAATTGACAGAGTACTCTCCGCTTCTCATGTCATCGTCTGCGAATAACCCGAAAGCAGCAGAAGCTGCGGACCGGGGCCAACGATCTGTCCCTGACTGCAAGGACCGTCCGCGGCTGTGGAGAACTCCGGTACGTTATGCCGAGCCGCTCTTGCTCCATCCACTCCAATCCAGAAGTGCATACTCCTCTGCATCGCGTTTCTAGCCATCGATTGTGCTCCAAATGTGCAGTGACACACCCGCATTGACTCTCCAGAGGACGCCGTGGTCGTCTGCCTCTCGAGGGACGCGCACAGACAAGGCGCTTCCCGTACAGCGAGCACTCGCACAAGCTCGACTGTGTCGCGGCAGATTGCGTAGGCTCGGGCGACGTCTCGGACGTGTAACGCGATCGAGTGGCGTGTAGCACGCACATTCGGCTGAGACGGGTCCCTTGAGTAGAACAAATGGCCCACGACTGGTCTGCAGGAGGGGCGTCTCTTTCTGGCGCATGCTTAAGCAGGGATGCTGGCGACGCTCGTCCAGCGCTCAAACGGGCGCAATGCTCAGCAAATCGCTGTCGATGTGCTGCAGGAGTCGATTAACCTGGCTCGGGGTTGGAGATGCAAAAGGCGCATCAAAAGGAATGGCAAAGGGCTCCTGAACATGTGCGCCATCTTCCGGAAAGGCGTCGATCTGCGACGCTGTCCCTCCTTCGATGGCTGTGTCCAATTGGTCGGCAGTAAAGTCGGTAAAGTTTTCCGTCTCGACGGCAAACACCTGCAGTCTGTCCCTTTCCCGGATCTGTTCTTGGTCCCGGTCCAGTGTGCGAGGCGCGCCATGGCCCATCTTTTGCCGCAGCCGGTTCACTTCGCGCAGCAGGTCTGCCCTCTCTGCCAAGAGCTTGCGGATCTCTACGCTTGCCGTCAGCGCCCTCTGACGCTGATCGATGTGGTGTGCGATGGAAGCCCGCACAATGACGCTCTTTGACTGCTTCTTGGTGGAGGGCTGATTGGGTATGTTGGAGGACAGTTGCTGTGGGACAAGAGGCCATGAGTAGGGCCGTCTCAACTTGCAGACCTCGCAAACGCACCGAGAGCAGCTGGTTGAAGGCATCTCGTCTCTGCCTTTCTACGACGCTGTGCATGGCCCTGTCCTCCCTGGTAAAGTTCTTTTTCCTCTTGCGCCGGGCACGCGCCCCCGGAGCCTGGTCTGGCCTGTTCTGGCTGGCGGGCGAGTCGGATGTCTGACGAGGAGACTCGGGCGACGTGTCCTGGCCGTGCGCAAGGGCATTGAGGTAAGTTGAAGCGGACTCTGGGCTCGAGTCCGCTGAAAAGGAAAAGTCGAGCTGTGTGGACATGGTGTGTGTCGGACAGCTCCTGCTGCGCTAGGACACGAGATGTTGGCAGCCACAAACGAGCGACTCGGCAGAGACGGCCGAGGCCGACGCGCCTGTTTTGGGCCTTGTCCGCCCCCCACGCTGAAGAGATGCGGGGCACGCGAAGTTTGATAAATCAAGTAGCGCAATGCATTGCAATGGACGAGGAGGCAGTACTTCTTTATCAAGTACAGTACAGTACAGCACACTAATCCTTCGCCAGCCTCGTGACAGTCGCGCCTTGCGAAGCGTGTTCGGCAAAATGGTAGAGCGGAGGGATGGCAGCATTGCGTTGCCAAAAGATCCAGCGCTTAATGAACCAGGGCAGCCAGGTGCGGCACTGGTACGAGGCATGGCGAGAGGTGGGGACAGCAAAGACGTAGTCGAGCTCTTCCAACGTCCTCTGCTTTGTCTCTGGGAGACCCAGGAACACCATGACCGTTGCCAGAACATTGAGGCCGCCGTAGAAGCAAATCGCACCCGTAGGCCCCATCGTCTTGAGCATCGAGGGGAATGTGAGACTGAGGATGGTCGAGAAGAAGTTGTTGACAAAGATGCTCCAACCCATGCCCATCTCTCGGTGCGAGAGGGGGAAGCTCTCGCTGGCATACACAGACGGCACAGGGCCCATCCCCGGTGCTGCAGGTGCAGAGAAGTAGTCGTCGTCAGCATACTAGCTCTGAAGTGCACGCGCATGTGAGGCTCACAGTAAAAGGCAGTAAAGAGGTAGATGAAAAAGGCGAGAAGGGGCACTCGTGCAGCGTTGTCTGTCGACATCGTAAAGGTTGCGCCGGCGGCAAACAGACACCAGGCCATGTTGGGAAAGGTAAAGAGGAGCAAGCTCCGTCGTCCAAACGTGTCAATCGTCTTGACGGCAGGAAGCGCAAAGAGGGTGTTGACTGCGCCAAAGCCCAGCGAGGCAGCCAGGGCCTGTTTGGTAGAGTAGCCAGCCTCGGAGAAGATGGTGCTGCTGTAGAAGGCCATGATGTTGATGCCGCACATTTGCTGTCCGATCATGACGATAAAGGCGCCCAGCGTGGCTCGCCGCACGCGCGGGATGGTAAAGAGCTCGACGAAGCGCTTGCCGTACGACGAGGCGCTGACGGTCTCCTTTTCCAGCTCCACCTGCACGTGTGCGCTGTAGAGATCGCGAGCGGCTTGCAAGGGCGTGTGGCGGAGACGACAGAAGCTGAGGAACGACTCCGAGTACCGCTGCTTCTTGAGAAGCCAGCGGGGCGACTCGGGCACCCACCAGATGAGTATGCAGAGGGGCACGGCGGGGACAAAGGCGGCTGCCAGCTCGAAACGCCAGGCCAATTTGCCGACGCCATAGAAGATCATGTTGGAGCAGAAGCCACTGCATGCATCGCAACTGTAAGTGATGACCTCAGGAGAGAGAGATACTTGCACGTCAACCACCCACATAAAGATGCCAAAGGCGACAAAGAGCTGGAAACTCATCACCAGCCCGCCGCGGATCGACGCAGGGACGCACTCGGCCGTCATGATGGGGATCGTCGTGATCTTGCAGCCAATGCCCACGCCCAGAAGGAGCCTGCAGATGGCCAGCTCCCACCAGGTATGGGTAAAGGCCTGTCCCAGGACGGGAAAGACGGTGAAGAGGCCGGTCACAAAGATGGTCTTCTTGCGGCCGATGAGGTTGTTGACGGGATCGCAGAGCCATGCGCTCACGAGGCCCGAGATCGTGGGCGCCGAGTTGAGGAAGCCGACGAGCCAGGCATTGTCTGCGATGCCAAATTCCTGTGGAAACGAGAGGTTTGCTCCGTTTGCGCCGGTGTTGTCCCAGCCCTGGATTGCGCTGAGGGGCCCATTGAGCAAGTCAGCCTGCTAGTCCCAAGACACTGACTACTGAGCAGCACTCGACTTGCCTGCCTAGCGAAACGACAAAGACGAGGAGCCAGAGCGGGCCAGGGAGCGACCACCGGTGTGTGACTTCGCGCGTCAGGCTACGTTTCTCCTCGGGCGAGAGGTCCGGCACTCTGTCCCAGCTCTCTGGCTCTTGCGCCACCAAGGCTGCGCGCTCAAAGACGTCGAGGTGCGCCATGAGGCCGGCCATGTTGCAAAACGCCCTGACGTCGACCATCAGTTGGTCCTGTGGTCGGTGCAGCACAGGGTTCAGGAGGATAGTCCAGACGGAGAGCTGAGACTGCTCTCACCTGGGGAATGCCCGCAAGCGGGTTCTGCAAGATGGCATTGACGTTGTGCTGCAGGGACACTGTCGCGCCCTGGTAGTGAGGCGCCTCTTCTGGTGCGTCCGAGGTGTTGAGCTGGACATGGTCGTGGGAGACCTTGCTGTCCTTGTCTGGCTCCAAGCTTTGCTTCTTGCTGAGCGAGGACATGGTCGTGGAGCAAGGAGATGGCGATGCGGCTCTCAGTGACGAGCCTGGGAGTGTGTCCGCATCACAGCTTATATAGCCAGCAGATGTCATGACAGGAGGAGGCTGCTGTTCCCTTGGCGAGCGGGGCCCCGCAGTGCAAGTCACTGATGGGACCTGCGTGCAATCGCAGCCACACCATCGAGTCAGGTCCAGAGCAGGAAGGGGAGACCCGTGCGAACGAACCTGCATGTCGCCCAATCTCCCCCCACGCGCATGAGCTTAAAAATGCGGGGACTCGCACGCTGGTCGCAGGCGCGCCCTGTACAGGCCGCCAAGCCGCAACACAGTCGGGCGAGCCACACGGCCAGTCAAAGCAGAAAATCACCCTGCGTGTTGTCAAAACAGAAAATCGCCCTGCGTGTTGACAAGGGGGATAAATGTTCCGACAGCCAGGCCGGTCCTGTGCGGGGTTGCCTGGCGTGCCTGCACAGTCTGCCGGTATTGCACATGCGCTCACGCATCACTAGGCCAGTCTCTGCGACGATGGTGGCCTGTGTGCTGGCCTCATCTATGCCTGCACTTGACCTGAACTTGTCCAGGTGTCCGCGTCGAAGTCAGATCACATTGCTGCCAGAATGGACCGCGGAGAGCAATGCGTCCTGTGCAGTGTGCAGAGTCCGGAGGCGGCTCTTCGTCTCAAAGTCGAATCCAGCCACTCGGCTATAAAGGAGCGGCCGCGAGTGCCTCGTCTCCTTCCACATCTATCCCCATCCGTTACAGAATGGCACCCACTGCAGTCGCCTCGTCTCCCGCGCTGGCCAACCCGGCCGCTCCCGTGAATGCAAAGACGGTGCCCGCCATCGTCAAGCTCGCCGAGCTCGTCAATGTCGACGTCGACTCGATGGATCCCGCCGTGGCCAAGTCCTTGATCGCGCTGGGTGTGCGCCCCGCTGATCAGACCAGCAACCAGATCCTCGTCGGCGACGGCATCAAAGACCCGGCCAATCGAGACATGCTCGAAGGCGCAGTCCGCGAGCTGGGGAGCAAGGGCTGGGGTGCAGTCTACGACCGCATGTCTGTCCTCCTCTGCGCCAAGAACATCGAGAACATCACCGGCCGCGTCCTGCTCCAGAGCTCGCCCTCCCAGGCATACAACACAGACGAGATTGTCGCACACGCTCGTAGATATGCTGCCGAGTTTGAAAAGGTCGGCATCTCCAAGTGAGTACGGTACACACTCGCAAGGGAGGCCGGGTGCGATCGCGCACACTGACACACTGTCCACCAGGGACCGCTTCTGCATCAAGATTCCCGCCACGGGTCCGGGCATGTGTGCCGGGCCCATTCTCCTCAAGGACGGGTGAGCCACCACCGCCAACACTCGATTCGGAGCACAGAGCTGACTTGGATCCACTAGCATCCGCACGCTGGGCACCTCGCTCTTCAGTGTCCCGCAGGCCATTGCGTCGAGCCAGGCCGGTTGCCTGTACATCAGCCCCTACTTCAATGGTGCGCTGTCCAGTGTTGGCCCTTTTTGCCTTTTCTCCGCTCATCTTCTTGCTCCCACAGAGGTCAAGGCGCACGACATGACCACGGGCCTGTTCCCCAACGTCTCTGACCCGGCCGTGGAGCATCCCATGGCGCCCCGCATGGTGCAGATGTTTGAGCTCTACAAGCAGCTGGCGGCCAAGACGGGCAAGGACCAGCCCATCATCAAGGGTGCCAGCAACATCACTGCTGCCGAGGTGCTGGCCTGCGCCGACATGGGTGTTCAGCACATTACCATCCTTGCTCCCGTCCTCAAGGAGCTGTGCCAGATGAAGGTGGCCCCCAACGACGCCAGCAAGATCCAGCCAAAGCCCAAGCGCGCCTACTTTGACGACAAGCAGCTCTCTCCTCGCATGCTGGCGCTGATGGACAAGGATCCGCTGGCGCCCAGGCCCGAAGCGTTCAAGATTGCCAGCACAGACGTCGACTACCTTGCCAACCAGGGTGCCAAGCTGGAAGAGGCCATCGCCCAGGACCCAGAGACTGGCCGTCGTCTCAAGGACGCCTTGGATCTCTTCATCGGTGCTGAAAAGGAAGCCAAGGAGGCCATCGAGCGTGTCATGGCAGAGCTTGGCGTGTAGACATTGTCCGTGTTTTTCTGCCTAGACCTGAGCCAATCGATCAATCGGCTTTCCGGCCAGTCCTTGCGTCCCAACAAAAGGAGCAGAGAGCTATGGAGAAGCGGAATAGCCCGCGCGGTGAAAATCCTCTTGCTTTGATAAAAAAAAAGGTCGCGGGCAGTCGAGTGTACCCTCACCGAAGAGTGCTCAGAATGTCTGGCTGCAAGCACGGGCTTGTTGACGTGAATCAGAGGAGTGATGCACGGATGCAGTCGCAAGCACGTTGAGCAACGAGCGTCGAGTTTTCGAATTAGCGGGTGCGTCATGCATCCCGGTGGGCGCGGCGCCAATCTCCCCCCACTCGGCCGACAGCCTGCACCTGCGCGCATATCGCGGACGCGGCGGTACGTTCTCCACATCTGAATGCTGCTCTATCTACCACCTCATGACGTCTGCTGCTCTCGATCGTGCTCTTGTCACGAGCCACTCGCCCGTCCCCATCTCCTTGCGCTTCGTGTTCCGCTTGACGGCCACCTTGGCCACGCCAATAGCGATCGGCGACAGTGGCCAAGGCCTGCGCAAGGTCGTCCCCCTCACCGGTGGGGTCTTGGAGAGCAAGGCAGATGGGCAGCTCGGCGAGGGCGCTTTTGACGGAGCCCAGTGCGTCGGTGGAGGGGCAGACTACCTGACCGTCGATGCCAGAGGGCTGTCACGTCTTGATGCACGCTATGTGTTCCAGCTCAAGAGCGGGCGTGAGTTGGAGAAGAGAGTACGCAATTGAAGCAGGCACGCACTCACCAGCAATGCGCAGACTACCTCTACTTTCAGTCTAGCGGGACCCGCTACGTGCCGCCTGGTGACGATGAAGCATCCAGACTGCTCAGCAGTGGATCTGACATCGACCCAAGGCGCTACTACTTCCGTCTCAAGCTCGTGCTCGAGTCCGACGATGAAGATGCAGGCGTGCAGGGTGCCTGCAGGAGCATCGTCGTCGCCAGCGCTGTTCGCGGAGCAACCAGCATCGTGTATGATGCGTACGTTGTGGGATGAGACTCAAGAATGCTTTGGTGACATGCTCCTCCCTCCTGATAACACAAATATCACAAGCGTTCGATGAGCAACGTGTGCAATGAGAGGGAAGGCTTTAAAGCTTGTCTAGCACGATCCTTGAATCAGTCATCTGGAAATGAGTTCAACAAAGAGGCCGAGCTGGAGAATACGTCAGCAGCCGTCTTTAGAGAGAAGAGAGGAACGGAGTCGGCTCGCAGTAGGGGAAAGGCAGGCGTTTGCTCCTCCAGAATAGTCGACGTAGCTTCCGCGCCCTCGTGCATCTCGCGCGACGAGGGCCAGGCAGCCTCATCGTCTTGCCCAAGCAGCTCGGCGAGCAGGTCTTGCCGCTTATGGCGAAGCAAGTGGAGGCAGACAGTAGGATGGCCGTCGATGTCGTCGTTGGCAGCACTTTCATCGAGGCCAGCAGACGGCATCGGCGGTGACTCCTCCGAATCAATCAGGCACCGAAGCCAAAGGTCTGTGATATAGTTTCCACACATGTCCGCGGAGGCTTTCTTGGCGTGCAAATCTCACGAACGCGCTTTCGACCCGAGTCATCCCTGTCTTGCACACCATATAAAGTACAGACATGTAGCTCCGAGACACCGCTCATCACATCACCCTGCTTCAAAGATATGCAGCATATAGCTGAGCCATTCGAGCTCGGTATACACAACGGAGTCGTGGCGCTCTTTGGGGAAGGACTTGCCACCGCAATCCGCAAGCTCTGTCCTGACGCCAGTACGCCGCCGCATGCTTTGCACATCACGCTTCTCACAGCAAGCGAATACAAGCAGCTCAAGAGGCCGCCAATATGCCAGATAAAGCTGAAAATGGAGCAAATATACCTTCTCCCGCATTCCCCCACCAAGTCAAGCGTTGTCTGGCTGCCCGTCGTGTGGAACCACGCCGATGTCTGGCGCAAGTCTGTGGGCCTCGCGCCAAAGTCATACCACATAACCATGAGCGAAGCGGACGACCACTCGCTGGACAAGTCCGTGGCTGCCCATTTCCGAGCAAGCGGCACGCTCGAAAAGGCGCTCGAGGCAGCGACACAGATCGGCATCGATGCGCTCGACCATCTGGTGGTAAGCCTCGCTGAGGAGCACGCCAGCTCGATGCAAGGTGCCGAGCAGATGATCTCTGCATTTCCGCGCTCCTACAAGGGCTATCTTCGCCTCGCCGACGCAGCGCTTGCGGCTAACCCCAAGCTTGCGGCGCTATCGTACGCGCAGGCACTCACACACGACCTAAGCCTGCTGGAGCCAGTCTCGCAGCGCATCCGCAAGCTGTCAGACATCGTCTCCTACGGGCCAATCGTCACCGCCAAAGAGACGGAAAACATCCCCGCAGCCTTGCACCAGCATCTGATTCGTCCTTGGGCTAGTGAGCTTGACGCCGCTCTCTCGCAAACGCTCTGGACTGCCCCGACGACTTCCCGCGAGCGCAATTCGTACCTCGGCCGCGAGCTCCCGCGCTTCTTTTCCTGGGTCTTTCCCGGTCGTGTGGCAGGCATGTCCACGCCACGCCACGCCGGCGACATCAGCGCCCTCATCGACATGGGTTTCACGCACGTCCTCTCGCTCACTGCCGAGTCTCCGCTGGACCCCGCCTGGTTTCATCTCAAGCCACTCCGGCATGTGTACGTCCCGCTGCCCAACTACGGCGCGCCCACGCTCCAGGAGATGGACGCCATCCTCGAGGAGATTGGTGAAGGAGGCGCTTGGCTTGTGCACTGCGGCGGTGGAGTGGGACGGGCTGGCACCGTGCTCGCGTGCCTGATGACCATGCTTGGCCGTTCGGGCGTCGCAGGCAGTGAGCCACAGATGGACGCCAAGGCCGCCATCTCGTTGCTCCGCCAGATGCGGCCCCGGTCACTGGAGAGCGAGACGCAGGAGCGGTTTGTCTCGGCGTTTGTCTCGCACCGATGGAAGACTGCCTATGAGGCGCCGCACGGCGCCGAGCCAAGCACAGAGCTCCGCATCAGCCCGGCAAGTTGCGCTTCAAGTGCAGCCACGCCAGACGTCATCTTCATGGTCGGTAAGCCTGGTTCGGGCAAGAGCTGGCTCGCGAGCGCCATTGCAAAGCGACGGGGCAGGACAGTCGTCATCAATCAGGACAACGACGGCCGCTCTGCATGTGAGGGACAGTTTGCCAGGAATCGGCCCGAGGACACACTCGTCATCCTCGACCGCTGCAACTCGAGACGCCATGACCGTGCAGAGTGGCTCAAGCTGGTGCCCCACGGGCGGCGCTGCATCGTCGTCTACTTTGACTACCAGACATCCGTCTGCCGGCAGCGCATCAACCGCCGTCTCACCCATCCTACGATTCGTGCCGGCCGTGGCGACAATGCGCTTGACCAGATGGAGCGAGAGATGGAAATGCCGGACCTGAGCGAGGGCTTCGAGACGATGCTCCACGTGTCGAGCTTCCAAGCGGCCACGCAGGCGCTCGTCTTTCTGACACCAACGCCGCCGCTGCTCAAGTTTCCGCGCACGCTCCATCTGCTCAGCACGGGGGCCTCTGGGGAGGACGACATTGTGCTTCCCGACTTCAACGTGCTCTTTGGCCGACTCACAATCGAAGAGAAGATCGACGGCGCCAACATGGGCTTCTCGCTCGACGTGCAGGGCGGCCTGCGGAGCCAGAACCGGAGCCACTGGGTCAATGCCGCTGACCACGCGCAGTTTAAGCCGCTCTCGAGATGGCTCGATGTGCATGGTGCTGCGCTGGTCAAGCTCCTCAACCAAGACCCGCACTTTCCCGAGAGATACATCCTCTACGGCGAGTGGGTCGTGGCGAAGCACTCTGTGCACTACACGGCGCTGCCAGACGTGTTTCTCGCCTTTGACATGTACGACCGCCTCGAAGCGTCCTTTCTCTCCCGGTCGATGCTCGCTTCTGCGCTGCAGGGGTCTGGCATTGCACAAGTCCCGCTCATTGCCGAGCTCGAGGCGCTCACGAGGGCTGAGATGCTGGACATGGTGCAAGGGCAGAGTGCGTATGCGCCAGGCAGACGCGAGGGCGTCTATGTCCGTTTTGAGGACGACGCCCGCACACAGACGGTCAAGCGGGGCAAGGTCGTCCGCTCTGACTTTATCGCCGGCAGCGAACACTGGACAAAGGCAAAGCTCGTGCTGAACGGCGTCGCCAGCGACGCAAGTGAGATGGAGGGACGTGATTGATTCCCGATTCTGCGAGCAATGACCACGCAGTCCACGATGCGAATCCACGAGGGGCACGTAGCCAGTCAGCATTCTGACAAGCGCTCGACTGTGCTGGTCTCCGAGTGGCTCGCACATGTTTTGTCAAGTAACAAGAAGCCCGGTCTCGTCTTGTTCATTAGAGTACTGAAGAGAGACGCACGCTACAGTTTCTAACAGGATCGAGAGGTGCTGGCTAGTCGCTCACCAGACTGGATCGAAGAGGCCCAGGAATTCCTGCTCTTCAGTGAGCCCGGCAGTCGACGTTCCTTCTTGCCAGCCCTGCTGCCGGTAGACGTCGTCCCCAGGCAAGAGAGCATCCGACATGGGCTGGAACAGCACCTGCGCCAGCCAATCTGACAGCCAGGAATTCGCGTTTGGAGTTTGCGCCTGTTGAGCATCGCTAGAAAAGAGGTGAAGGTCCTCGCCGAAGTGCTCCTGTCCAGCCGGCACATGGGCCCCAGTCTGGTTATCCTGCGTGGAAGCGGTCGAGGGAAGATGCTGTAGTCTGAGCCCCAGCTGCTCGCGTAGCTCATGTACGTTCTGATACGAATCGATGGTGGAAAGTGCAGCGACGAGAGAGTGACAGCACTCTGCGATGTGAGCAACCGCACCGGGCTCGGCTTCGTTGGCGGCCATGCCTATGCCGAGATGGACAAACGCGACGATGGTCTTCAAGAAGGCATTTGGCGAGCAACGGAGGAGCCCATGAGGTTGGGCCTCTCTCGTCACCTGGACAAAGTGATCAAAGGAGCTCTTTGCCAGCTTGTCGACCCTCCCGCCAGTGTCAGAATCGGCGCAGTCTTGTTCGTCGACGGCCTCTTTGCCATCGGGCTTGCTCTTCATCCGAAAGACGAGCAGACTGGCCTGCTCAGTCACGTCTTGACCCGTGCGCAGCCCAAAGTCCTTTACGGCTGACCACAGACACAGAATCGTGCCGTGGTAGAGGTACTGGAGCGAGAGGGCCTTGATTGCGTTCCTACGCGCCAGTTCCCAGCCGATTGGAGCCGACTTGCGCGCGTCACCTTCCGTGACGTGCTGTGCCGCAAGCGGTCGAACATTCCTCTCCCACCGCAGTTCACCTGGGAGCTCTTGCTTCCACAGGCGCAGCGCAGAGACGGCATTGTCTACGTCTCGGACACGGATGCCCTTGCCCTGCGAGCGTGGCGACACAAAGTGCATTGCGACGGCGCGGACGAGAAAGACGAAGCGCAGGTTGTGCTCGAGATACAGCCCGTCGAAACGCACTGATCGTGCTGGCTGTGTGGTGACGTTTGCGGGCGCCGGATTCACCGACGGATCTGTGGCGTCTCCCGTCTGGTATATTGAGAAGTCAATCAATGGGTCCGCGCCCTTTCCTGCCCTGACCTTCCGAGGCTGCTCTTGGCGCTCTTTGGATCTACCATCCACTGCGCTCAGCTTTGGCAGATCCTGGTCGTAGTCGTCATCGCCTATCCTGGGAGACTCTCTCCTGGCAAAGCAGCGCAGGGTGTCGTGCGTGAAAATGACCCAGAAGATACGCTTTCTCCGGAACAGCTCCTTTGCCGTTATGAAGGAGCCATCAGCATCACGAAATGGCCTCGTCTCGCCCTCCGCACAGTCGGTCCGTCTCTGCGGAGCGCGATTGACTCGCAAAGACATGGCCATCTCGACGAGAAGCGTGTGTGAGAATATGCCCCTGCGCAGAGGGCCCTCCTTTGCTTTGTGTTCCTGGCCTCCCTTTGGTACGTCGGTCATCTGCCTGTATGAGGAGGAAGTTTTGGGGCTGCCTCGAGTGCCAGACGTCGCTTCGTGACTGTCTCGTCTGCCCTGGGGTACCTCTTCGTCAAAATCGGTCATGAGATACATGGCTTCCACCACGTCGCCCGCGTTGCTCCGCTGGTGCCAGTCCGTCCAGTCCCTCTCCTCGAACAGCACGCTGTATCGCTCGACACAGCGGTCCTGCAGCTTGAATTTGGCCTCGCTGCCCAGGGATGCCATCGATGGCTCGAGCAGTCCCGCACCGAGCCCAGCCACGGCCAGCAGCAGAAGCTCGTCTGCTGCCACGGGAGCCTCTGCTTTACCCTGTTCCGTTTGCTGCTGCTGCTGCTGCTGATCGTAGTAGCTCAGGTATGCGTCCCAGAAATGGTCGAGGTGCAGGATCGGTCGGATTGGTGCAACGTAGCGAAAGAACATCTTGAAGCACTGCTCCAAGAGCGAGCGTGTCATTCCTTCCACGCCCAGGAGGCCATTCGTGGCTGCAGGTGCCGAATGAGAAGTCTGGGCAAAGGCGCAGGTGCACGCGCAGGTGCACGAGCAGGCGCACGAGCAGGTGCAGGTGGAAGGCTGCTTGAGCGTGCTTGTCGACGCCGCCTCATTCATCGGTGACGGATGCCCCTGCTGCTGCAGTTGAGAGCTCTGGATGGCCAGGATGCGCTTCCCGTTCCGGAGCTTGGCCCTTTTTCGGCTCCCATGTTCGAAAGTGCAGCGCAGGCCCTGGGTCAGGCACTTTGAGCACGCTGTCGCTTCCACCTCTGCCTCCGGCAGGAGCGCAGAGGCGGTGCCGAGCTCCTGTGCGCGCTGGTCAAGCCGTTCCTTCTTGTCACATCGGACCTGTTGGTGTTATATCCTGCAGCATGAGGAGATCATGACACTTCAAAGACAGGCAGCAATCACCTTGCGAAGCCTGCACGCGTCGCAGGAGGGTGGTTGCGGTCGCTTGCATTTCCCGCCGTTGTCACCATCCGGCGTCTGCTGCTGGCGCTCGCCGCTTGCCATGGCGAGCTCGCCAAGATCGGGCGCCCAGCCTGGAACAGCGCAGCGGGCAAGGTGTGCTCTGATCGATAGCCGGCCGACTCCAAGCGCGTTTGTCTTAGCAGCATCGGTGTTTAATGAAGGTAGCAGTCCCTCTCCGTGTCGCAATGAGTAAGTAATCTACGACACGTGGTGTCAGCTCAATCGATGTGCCTTTGTCCGAGCTTGCGGACTAAGTCCGCGCGTTCCCGCAACCTCATCGCCTAGCTTCACTTCACACCTCATTGACACTCGGCAAGCATGCTCCGCCAAGCCTCCCTGGCCATCGCACTCGCATGCTGCGGCGCAATCGTAGCCATTGGTGCTCGCTTTCTCCTGCTGCCCCAGCAAGCAACGGCCGCGTTTGGCGTCACCCCCGGAAACATCCGCGCCCTGACTGCCATCAAGGGCGTACGCGACATCACCTCTGGCATCGTGCCCCTCGTGGCCTGGTCGATGGCGGGTCCTCGCGTCTTTGGCTGGAGCATGCTTGCAGCCTCGCTCACCCCTGTCGGCGATGCGATCATCGTAATCACAAACGGAGGCGAGCTTGCGCAAGCACTCACTGTCCACGGCGCTACTGCCGCTGTCCTCATTGCAACCAGTCTCGTTCTCATACAGACATAGATCCGTCTACTTGATCCTCCATGCTCCTTCTTGCTCAAGGTGATTGCTCTTCTGAAACCGCCGCCAATGCCCAGTACTGCCTTCACTTCTTCCCAGCGCTCTGGCTCACGCTTGCGACGATGGCACTGCGTTTTCTCGAACAACGCAGGGCATCTGCTAGCCAGAAGAGGATACGACCTAGTTTAGCTGCTCCTCACTGGGTACAGGATCACCTTCCGTATGTTTCCTGTGCTGTGCTGGAGGCCCTCCCGACAAGATGCCGATTTGCAAATTTCATAGTCATGCCGATGCCACGTGGGGTGAAGTGATGGCCCGTGCACTCAGCTCATTTTTCCGAATAAGCTCCGGTTTGCCCTGTGTGACGCCCATCCAACTTGGGCTATATATAAGCCGGCGTGTGTCGTGCAAGAAAACCAGACAAACGCAGCAATGATGGCGCACCACTACAATCCAGCCCCGCAGTTCGATGCCTCGACTCCTCAGCAGCAGCAGCAGCAGCGACCACTCAGACGTGGCAGTCCAGCACCGATGATGGGCCAGCACCCGCAGTCTAATATGTACAGCAACCAGTACAGGCCAGACCTGCGCGCCCATCAGCGCGTTCCGATGGGATGGGCCCCCTCGTCGGCCCAGAGCAGCCTACCACCTCCGGCATCTCACAGCAGAATCTCCTCGCCGGGCTATGCTTCTTCGTCCAGCTATGCATCGGCGCCCAGCGATGCAGCATCCAGCTACGTGTCCGCGCCCAGCTACGCATCCACGATCTCCATCTCGGCCGAACAGGCGCAGGCTGCCATCGAGCGGTTTGGGTCCCCCTATGCGACAAATGCAGACTGGCGTCCAAGCGCGCACCTCGAGCCTCGCCTCAGCGTGCTCCCTTCGCTTGGCATTGGCACGCGCATCAAGCAGCGCTTCGCACGCTCTGCGGGGGACATTTGGAACCCGCCCTGTCCGTGCTTTGTGCGGGCAGTGCATCCCGGCGCCATTCACCGCGGCAGTGCTTTCCAGCCGGTGCGATGCAAGGGCAAAGGGGAACTGGCCTCGGATGGATTTGAGCCGGTGTTTCCCGGCAACATCCTGGGGCCCCGCGACGTGTCGGCGGCGGACTGGCACCGCTTTCTGCAGGATCTCGAGGTGTCCGGCCGGCTCACGGGTGCGCAAGAGGTGATTGCGGGTGTGGCGCCGCTCACGATGCACATGGGCGCCACGGGCTACTTTGTGACCAAGGCCATCAAGAAGAGCATGGCACGCAAGCGCGAGCCCGTCATCTTTGAGACGGTCGAGACGTGGAACGAGCGCTTCTTCCTCCCGCGCGGGCTCGACGTCTACATCCGCAACAAGACCGAGCGACTCACGGCGACGTCCGTCGGTGGCCTCATCGCGCCGCTGTCGGAGCAAGAGTGCGCCTCGCATTCTAGACCCGGGCATTCCCGCACCAGCAGCGTGAGCAGCGACGACTCCAGCGCCTCCGACAGCTCAAAAGAGAAGAGGCAAAGGAAGAAGCGAGAAAAGGCGGAAAAGAAGGAACGGAAAAGGGTCAAGAAGGAAAACAAGAAGAAGGGCAGCCTCGCGATTGTCATTGCGCCCGCTTTCTATGCTTCCTCGCTGCCCCGGGCTGGATCCTAGTTGTCATCATTTGCGACGTGCAGATCCATACTTGGCCACGTTTCCTTGACCGAGTGTGTGCTACCGATGACTGCTTGCCCGACGCAGGCGCATACAGTCTGAGGAGAGCCCAGAGAGTATCAGCAGCGAGAGCAGTAGAGTTGCGTCAAGTAGACTTGTACAGGCAGCGTGAAGCAGCAAGCAGACAGACAACCAATGGCTAAAACTTCACGTGGCATCTTTGATGCGATAAGTTACTCGGTGTATCTAAACGCAGAGGCCCCTTTTAGCTATCGATTCAAAACGGCTCATCACTTCGGTTCTAGGCCGCTCGACCTGCCGCTTGCCCCCGTGATCAGTGTCTCGAAAGGCGACGTGGCCAACAAGGTGATCGCCATGACGCAGCCGCTCGTCTGAGAAAGCCGACTGCACGCATTTGACAAGCGATTGATTCGAAGCAGTTGGTGCAGGCGAGGCGATCGAAGCCAAACAGTCAAAAAGATCGATGTTCGACAAGCCATTCTAGCAGATACAATAGGATCATACATGGCTAAAGACATATTCGAGCATCTCTTCGGGCTCCCGCTTGCCGTGGTAGGTGTCCACCTCGCCGTGCTGTGCCAATTTGATTGTTCTGGAGCGACAAGTCAGCACAGGCATACCGGCAAGACATCGGCTCACTCACGGGAAGATGGGCACCTCGTCTTGCGTGCAGATGTCGGGGTACTTGACGCAGTCCACCGTCGCGCTGGCCACGCCTCGGCTCCAAAGCTGCCGCTGGACGCTTTCGAACTGTGGGCGAGGACTGAGCAATGGGCAATGAGCAAAGCAGCCGGGCTGAGCACTCACAATCGGCAACACCTCCTCGCAGACGTTGCACCAAGGCGCATAGTACATGATGAAGGCCGACTAAGGCACGACGGTTGTGTCAGCGTATGTGCAAAGCATCGCATGGAGCAAGACGCACCTTGGACTGCAGAAGCATCTCGTGGTCCCTCTCGGCTGCCAGCTCGAAGAGTTGCCTCGTCACATTGACCTTTTGCGACGGACGGCTGGGCTGCTCGAGGCCTGCGCTTTGGCTGCCCTGGAGACCCTTTGAGAGCCAGAAGAAATAGGCCACAGCGGCGAAGGCGAAAGAGGTGAACGAGTAGAGGAGGTTCTGGTTCTTCATGGTGCAGAGGGGCGATAGTGTGCTTGAGGCGAGGCAAGGTCGACTTTACTCTTGATGAGGGTTCGTCGTCTTCCTTCTGTCGTGCCTTTATTTATTTGGGTCCAAGGCCGTCGCCAAAGCGGACGCCAACGCCAGGGCTGCGAAGAGCCAGGGCCGAGATGCGCCAGGGCTGCGATGCAGAGCCGGCTAATCATCGTCGTTTGTTCCTGGGACCTTGCGGCGATCGAAACAGCCGAAAGCGTCGTTGATGTCATTCCTGCCCTCCTTTGCCACCTCGCTTATCTCCTAAATCCCGCATGCATATTCACTTTTCATGCGCGCTAGCAAGACGCCGTTCTCTTCCAAAAGCGCGCGCGGCTGAATAAGCATTATTACAGTGGGACGTGCATGCTTGCATCCGACGGCGTTCTGCCATGCCGCCTAAACCGCAGGACTCGGAAAGTCATCTGCGCCTCATGACGTATCAGCCGACGCTTTCCTTGCTAGCCTTGCCCTGGACCAAAATTCACACGCTCCGTTCGATCTCAGTAGGGCTGAATGTGCCTGGCAAGGGCGCATTGGCGTCTCGCGTGCCTGTGCCTGTGCCTGTGCCTGTGCCAGTGTCTTGTAGCTGCCTCTGGTTTTGCGGCCGCGGCAGCCGCAAAGTTTTCCCCGGCGCGTTTCTCGGCGATCATAGTGGTGAAATCTGCGCCGCCAATGTTCCTTAATAAAGTCACCGATCCAGGAAGCCAATAGCAGCCAGCCAGCGAGCGCCCTCGGCTAAGGACGATGCCTCCAGGCCCGAGTCTCGGCTCAACCGCCGTGGCGAATCAGGCCGCAGCGATGGGCCACTCGTCTGCTGGTACGATGGCCGCAGACGGCTGCCGCCCTGCTGCTCTGACGCACCGTCCTTCGCATCGACTTGCCCACATCCTTCACAGACCGGTTCCTGCGTCGCCTCAGTCAGGGTGCCGCCAACGTGCATGTCGCTTGTCGTTTGTGCTGCATAGAGCGAACGTTGGCAAGATTTGCTGGCGGGCTCGCGCAGGGCTCGCTTGAGGCTTGTTGGGACTTGCGGGGGCCTCGCTGGGCTCTCTCCGAGAGCATAAAGGGCGGCTGAATTTCCCTCACGAATCGAAAGTATCACCCATCTCCCCCCAGAACATCCCACTGTTACACCTACTCTTGCCAGCCATGTACAAGCTGCCTTTCTTCCTTCTGGCCCTGCTGGCCATCACCGCCCGCCTGGCCGAGGCCAGCGCCTGGGCCCAGTTCTGCAACACCGACGACTGCAACGACTGCGGCGAGTCGGTGGAGATCACCAACCCGGGCTGCCTCAACGAGAGCGGCCGCAAGACGATCAAGTTCCACGGCTACAGCCTCACCTCGGGCGCCGAGCTGATCCAGCTCGTCGTCTCGCCATCCCCCGACTGCCCTTGCGAGGCCTCGTGCTCCACCGTGCGCACCGGTGCCGCTGGTGTCGAGTGGACCGGCGTCTTTGGTGTCATCGGTGGCGGCGGCTGCATGGCCATCCCCCCTGGCCAGAGCTTCCGCTTCCAGAGCCAGTCGTGCTCGCAGTACTCCAACTGCCCCTCGAAGCGCAACCTGCTCGCCTCGGGCGGCTACAAGAACCTTGACCACGTCGCCGAACGCGACCTCGTCAGCCGCGGCCTGGCCAACACCACCCTCGAGGAGCGCTCCGTCTGCGGCACCTACGTCCAGTTCTGCGACGACGAGTACTGCACCAAGAACTGCGGTATTGCCGTCTGCACCACGAACCCCGGCTGCCTCAACGAAAACGGCCGCCAGACGATCCGGGGCGTCTATGGCCAAATCAACGACGCCGCCAAGCTCGTCGTCAGCCCTACGCCCGACTGCCCGTGCCAGAACAACTGCGTGGGCATGAGCGAGTCCTGCCAGGCCATTCCCGCGGGCCAGTCCTACCGCTTCGTGACGGGCCAGGACTGCGACCCCAACAACTGCTGAGCTTGCTCCTTCTTCTTGGCTCTCAATAAGTGTCTTCAACAAACGCGCCGTCCACTCCCCACTGTAAGGAAATGAAGTCTTCTCCAATAATATTATGCCTTTTGCTGCTGCGCGTGATATCGGACGCAGACAGCATCAGAGGGGATCGGACGGACTCGGGATGCTCTCATATCCGTCTCCAGTGAATGGGAGGATGCTTGGACGGGGCGTGGCAGTCCAGGACGGTCTCCACAGATGCCTAGGATGCATGGGATGCCTGGGATGCCTGGGATGCCTGGGACGGGTTCGGACGATTTCAGACGGACTGGGACGGGTTGGGACGGATATCACAGACGAGTGGGACGAGTGGGACGAATGGGACGAGTTTTTCGGACGACTGGGACGAACTGGGACGGGTTCTTGGGACGACTGGGACGGGTTGGGACGGGTTGGGACGGGTTTTTGGGACGAGTGGGACGAGTGGGACAAGTGGGACGGATTGGGACGGATTGGGACGGATTTGTCAGACGGCTGGGACGAACTGGGACGGGTTTTACAGACGAGTGGGACGGACTGGGACGAGTGGGACGACTGGGACGGGTTCTTGGGACGACTGGGACGAACTGGGACGGGTTCTTCGGACGATTGGGACGAGTGGGACGGAATGGGACGGATTTGTCAGACGACTGGGACGAGTTTTCGGACAGCTTGGACCGGTCTGGACGGAAAGCGACGAATCTATCGGACGGCTGGGACAAAGTGGACGAGATCAGACAAGTTCAGGCGAGTTCTTCAGACGGCTTGAACGGGCTGGACGAGATTGGACGGTTCAGATGGAATAGGGCGAGCTGGTACAAGTCCTTCAGACGGCCTGGACGAGCCTGGACAGGCTCAGGCGGGTTCAGACGGACTCGGACGGACTCAGACGAGTTTATCAGACGGCTTGGGACGGGTCAGGACGGGTTTTACAGACGAATGGGACGACTGGGACGAGTTTCAAGACAAGTGGGACGGGTTGGGACAGATTGGGACGGACTGGGACGAGTTTTCCGGACGACTGGGACGGGCTAGGACGGGTTGGGACGAGTTTTTTCGGACGACTAGGACGGACTGGGACGAGTTTGAACGGCTCAGGTCGAGTCTTTCAAACGGATGGGACGGGTTGGGACAAGCAGGACGGATTCATCAGACGAGTGGGACGAATCAGCACCTGTAGGACGAGTGGGACGGGTTTTTTGGACGAGTGAGACGGAATGGGACGGGTCTGGACGGCTCGAGACGAGTTTTATCAGACGACCGGGACGAACCAGACGGTCAGGACGGATTGGGACGAAATTTTCAGACGATTGGGACGGATCAGGACGGATTTTTCAGATGGTTGGGACGAAGCAAGACGGGTGTTGCAGACGACTGGGACGGACTAGGACGGACCGGGACGAGTTTTTGAGGCGATTGGGACGGATTGAGACGGCCTGGGACGAAATTTTCAGACGGGTCGGGACGAGGTCTTCGGACGACTGGGACGGGTTGGGACGGCCTGGGACGAATTGGGACGAATCGGATGGGACGGACTCACCAGACGGGACGGACGGGTCTGGACGAGTTTTGGGACTGCTGGAACGACGGGGACGAATATCTCAGACGAGTGGGACGGATCAGGACGAGTGGGACGAGTTTTTGGGACGACTGGGACAGGCTCGGACGGGTCAGGACGGATTTCATGCTCACTGAACAACAGCAGCAGGACGAACCAGACAGCCAGGAAGGCCTGGGATGAGTTTTTCAGACGACTAGGACGGAACGGGACAGCTTGGGACGGGTCGGGACGGACTTGGCAGACGGACAGGACGAGTTTTTCAGACGAGTGGGACGATTAGGACGGGCTAGGACGGATTCTTCGGACGATTTCAGGACGACTGGGACGAGTTCGGACGAGTTTTCCAGACGGTCAGGACGGGCTGGGACGGACTGGGACGGTTTTTTTTAGACGGCAAGGACGGATTGGGACGGCTTTTTTATGCCCATTGCAATTTGGCAAAGAGACAGATCCTACGGGTTCGGACGAGAGTATCAGACGGCAAGGACAGGGTTAGGGTTAGGGTTAGGGTTAGGGTTAGGGTTAGGGTTAGGGTTAGGGTTAGGGTTAGGGTTAGGGTTAGGGTGAGGGTTAGGGTTAGGGTTAGGGTTAGGGTTAGGGTTAGGGTTAGGGTTAGGGTTAGGGTTAGGGTTAGGGTTAGGGTTAGGGTT